TAGCACGCGCTTGCACAAGTTTCGCCTAAGAGCTGTCTGCGACGAAGGGGGCTGTGAAGTAGGGTCCACTGGTTATGATACATCTAAATCTCCACAATTGACAAGACCTCAAAGAGCAGAGCCATGATTATCTGGATCTATCATCACTGTGCAGCCGTATCAAGATCCATTGCTTAAATTTGGTTTGTCCAAACTCGAGGATCATGCCTTGATGAGGCCTTGAGGCCTTACTAACAAGGCACCAATAAAACCCGCTATCAACACGTGATGTGGAGATTCTGCCCAGCCTCACCGGTCAGAAAAAAAAGTAGGAACCCGATTTTCCGCAGCGATAGGATATCCCCTCGGAGATCAAAACATAACCTACGATCGGTCCCAAATTAGCCGAAAATATCGTGAGCCGGTTTAATATCTTCAACTTGATATTCACAGATTCTTCTGTGCAAAGAGCGGCAAGATGCCCGGCCCCGTGGATACCGCAAAGTCCATCGCCAAGAAGCGGAAGAGAAAGCACGGCGCTCGTGCTGGAGCCGATGATGAGGAGGTTCCCAAGCCCGTCGAGGCTCAGTCGAGCCCTGCAGTGAAAGCGAAGAAGTCGGCTGCCACTGCCAAGCCTGCCACAGACAAATCGATCAAGAAGCGCAAAGTAAGCCATTCGCCAAGTGACGACGAGGAAAGCGCCGACGAGGCCGAGGATGTCGAGGATGCCGAGGACAAGGAGGACGAGGAGGATGCCAACGATGATGACAAGGACGATGTGGAGGAGGTCAATGGCAATGGTGAAGATCTTCCTGTCATGGACCAGGTTCGCCTGCCGCAGACCGAAGGCGAGCTGCAAAAGTTCAGCGAATTGAATCTTTCCGAGAAGACTATGAAAGGTATTCAAGATATGGGTTTCGAGACGATGACCGAGATTCAACAGCGCACTATCCCACCACTGCTGGCTGGTCGTGATGTTCTGGGTGCTGCGAAGACTGGCTCCGGCAAGACACTGTCCTTCTTGATTCCTGCGGTGGAGATGCTGAGCGCTCTGCGCTTCAAGCCTCGAAACGGTACCGGTGTCCTTGTCGTTTCTCCCACCCGAGAGCTGGCTCTTCAGATCTTCGGTGTTGCCCGTGAGTTGATGGCGCACCACTCTCAAACCTACGGTATCGTCATCGGCGGTGCCAACCGCCGTGCCGAGGCCGAGAAGCTGGTCAAGGGTGTCAACCTGTTGATCGCTACCCCCGGCCGGTTGCTCGATCACCTCCAGAACACCCCGGGATTCGTTTTCAAGAACCTGAAGACCCTGGTCATCGACGAGGCGGATCGTATCCTCGAAGTCGGATTCGAGGATGAGATGCGCCAGATTGTGAAGATTCTGCCCACCGAGGAGCGCCAGACCATGCTGTTCTCTGCCACGCAAACCACCAAGGTTGAGGATTTGGCCCGGATATCTCTGCGTCCCGGTCCCCTGTACATCAACGTCGACCACCGAAAGGAGCACTCTACCGTCGAGGGTCTGGAGCAGGGCTATGTGCTCTGTGAAGCTGACAAGCGTTTCCTGCTGCTGTTCTCATTCTTGAAGCGCAACCTCAAGAAGAAGATCATCGTCTTCTTCTCCAGCTGCAACTGCGTCAAGTACCATGCGGAGCTCCTCAACTACATTGACCTGCCCGTGCTGGAGCTGCACGGCAAGCAAAAGCAGCAAAAACGCACCAACACTTTCTTCGAGTTCTGCAACGCCAAACAGGGTACCCTGATCTGTACTGACGTTGCTGCTCGTGGCCTTGATGTTTGTCTTTCCCCTTGTCCAGCGCCTTCATTGACATCAAACTGACAGACCCTTCTAGATTCCTGCTGTTGACTGGATCATCCAATTCGATCCCCCAGATGACCCGCGCGACTATATCCACCGCGTCGGTCGAACTGCCCGTGGTGCCAATGGCAAGGGCCGCAGTCTGATGTTCCTGCAGCCCTCCGAGGTTGGCTTCCTGAAGCACCTCAAAGAGGCTCGCGTGCCCGTGGTGGAGTTTGAGTTCCCGAGCTCGAAGATTGTCAACGTTCAATCTCAGCTGGAGAAGCTCATTGGACAGAACTACTATCTCAACAAGGTACGTTCCCGCCATAATACTCTTCACCTTGTCCAGTCTATGCCATATACTAACTATCTCTTCCAGTCCGCCAAGGAAGGTTACCGCTCGTACCTCCAGGCCTACGCCTCGCACTCCCTCCGCTCCGTCTTCGACGTGCACAAGCTTGACCTGGTCAAGGTGGCCAAGGGCTTCGGTTTCTCGGCCCCACCCCGGATCGATATCTCGTTGGGCGCGAGCCTGAGCCGGGACAAGAAGCAAGAACAGCAGGGCCGGCGGACATACGGCAGCCAGCCCAAGGGTAGAAACTTCAAGCGGAAGCACGATGACTAGACTCGATGCATTATGTGCACTATGCGAGGTGTTGGTTTCCTTGTCGTTGTTTGTTTGCCATCATCATGGTTATTGATGTGTATGAGTTGGATCTACAAAAGTGTCTCGTCCCTGCATCTTCCATCTTGGGGATTACGGCGTTAATTAGTGTAGATATATCTATTTTTTTTTTTCATTTCTCTTCCATTCTGTGCATGGGTTCCGCTGTATGTATACTTTCCATTGTCTTTTTCTTCCACAGTTACTGTGTATGACTTGGATCCTCTGCAACCCGGAACGCCCAGGAATGTGCCTTCGGCCACTGCCATGTGGAAGCAAGAGGCGTCTGTCTACCACGTGGGGCAATGGCATGTAACAAACTATAGTTTGAGAAACATAACCCAACACATTTTAACATCTATTCATCAAAAGCAAATGAAATTCTAATGAAATCACTTGACAAGATGGATGCAATTGGACGAGTGCATTCTACCATTACCAAGTCCATTATATGGACCTCAGGAACCATCCCGACTGGATTCCAGCAGCTTTATGCTGGCGAGTAGTATTCGAGCAGCCACATTGAATAAGTAATGAACGCAAGCAGGGTGATATCCTGTGTTGTGCTTACTGTAGCCATCAGAGTGTCGTTGTATGTACAGTATGTACATGATGTACGAGTAGGCCCGATGGAAACTCCCATCGACTTGCACGGTCCCAGTGGGAATTGCCAGCAGCCCACTTTGCCTTGCAAGGCACCGAATAATTCCCGCCACAGTACGGAAGAATAAGTCTCTCCACAGTTAATCTCTTCATAACTCATGTTTCCCCGGATTAGACACGAGTATTGAAGCCAATCAGTACTTTGACATAATTGAATCTCTCTGCCCGACCACTCTCTACTATTTGCCTGTCGTGGATCGTGTGGTAACAACAGGTCGCATCGTGGCTACACTGTCGGCCAGAATATCCGGTGTGATGAGATGAATGCGTTGGCAGTGGTCGGGGCCAATCAGGGATCCTCCGAGGCCCTTCCCCAGCCCTGTTGGTCTGCTTCAGGCCCGTTTAGTCTTTGACGGGGGAACGATTGACTGGCCAACTGGTTCTGGTTCGAGGGTGACCGGAGCAAAGATTCGTACTTTGTCTCCCAACGAGCCTCTTCGGACACTGCCACTGTTGGTTAGGCAATTATCACTGATAATAATCTAGGCCTCTTGGTCAGTCTTGAGCCTGAGCCGTTCAGTTTGACGGAGAGAAGAGGGGAACAGGGTTTCCCGTCGTCGGGGCGACCAGCAGTCCGTCTCCTCCACCTTCTGCCCACTTTTTCGCAGCGGTCGAACTGGTTCAGCCTTTCTCCCAGCCGGGCCAACGGATTCGCGGCGATTGCCAGCGGGCCCCACGGAGGGCCGCAGGTTTTGTTGGTCCGTGTTGTGCTGGTGTGACAGGCGGAGCGAACAGGTCAAATCATCGTCGGGGCGTGCATCATCGTTTATTGCCGGGGTGATGGGAAGTGGAGAGGAAAAGAGGAGTGAGGAGAGAGGATGGAGAAGGTGGATAAAAGAGGATCATGAATTGAGAATATAATCGAGGAGTAGATTTGGAGGACTCGTGGTTAGTAGTAGTAGGATAGAAGGCATTGTGTATATTGGACTGTAGTAGTATGTACTCCGTCGAGGTAAACAAGAAGAACCAAGGAACCAGAGCGGACCGCCCGATGGGATCCGCAGCCTAAACCCACGGCGCCGTTTGTTTATTCAGGAAATCGAGCAGCGAACTACGGAGTACAATTCACTGCTATCGATGGGTAGAATTGATTTTTACTGCTTGCTCGCCACGAGAAATATCAATTCGGCAAGATCTGGGACGAACTCGCGGAGATCCCAGCCATTTTCTTTTTTTTTCGAGGGGAGGCTGGGCCACGGTTCACCACCCAACGACGACTTGGAGAACCGACGTACTTACCCTGCTGGCCATCCGGCTGAGGCCTGTTTCTCTACACTTCTTCTTTTCTTCCATTCTCCAGACTATTCGACTCTCTCCATTACTCCTCCTTTCTTCTACCCCCTTCCCTTCCCCGGTCCACCCCTCGCATACTCGCATACTCGCATCGCCTCTTCCTCCGGGCCCTTTTCATGTGAGGAGATCGGCGGCAACGAAGCTCGTTCGAATAGCAACCACTCTCTCCAGCTCCCACCGTTGCTTTTTCTCTCCTTCACATCTCCTCCCTTCTTTGCTCCCACGCGGTGGTGACTTGCGCTGGTACGCTTCTTTAATTACTCCTAATATTCGAGACATTCTCGTCTTTTCTACCCCTCCCTCTTGACCCCCCCTGTCTCTCTCGACATTCCTACCTCACAACCTTCCCCACCACCCTCATCATAATCACCACGATCGTGGCCCCCTCAAAAAGCACGGAACACCACCAAGTGACCACAATCCCCCCTTTTTGCAACAGTCCGCCGGGATCCATCCTCTCGATAGGAGCATGCGATTGTCGGGCTGAGGGACCAGGGAAAAACAACCCGGGCACAACCATAGAGAGAGAGAGAGAGCAGACAGACCAAACCAGCTGCCCGGCGACCTTTCTACTCCCAGCCTGCCCTCCATTATTCAACCATGGGGGTCGACACCCGCAGACCCATGCTCCCCGCTCCCACAGAATCCCTCGTCGATACCACGGGCGGCAGTACTACGGGCACAGATCTGGCAACTGACCTTTCTCGCCGCACAGACAAGACGTCGTACGAGATCCCGGACGACGGTAGCCCCATCACTGTCTCCACCCGGCGCCATCGGGACCGGGACGACAAACTGTCGCGCTCACATCGAGACTCGCAAACCTCCCTGCTGATCGAGTACTTCGAAGGCGGGAAGGAATCCGGTGGCGTGGTTTCCAGGCCCAGCGTGCGAGTTCGAGTGACTCCCTCCGGGGCCCGCAAGTTCAAGGATAAGGATCGTATCCAGATCACCGAGTCTAGCAGTCGCAAGCCCTCATACACCCGGCGCATCTCTTTTACCTCGCCCGGTTCCAAATCGAAGCAAGTGGGCGAGCCCGCGGATGACCAGAGTCTCAGCGAAAGCAACTCGGCAGACGAAGAAAGTCCAACCTTGTCGCGACGACCGCCCGTGGAAATCGAATTTGTAAATCGCGATCACGGGAGTGAGCTCTCCACTATCTCGCGCGATACCAGATTCGTGCTTCCATCCTCCGACATCTCGTCCATGCCCGCCGACAGCATGCTCGACGCTACTTCCTCGGCCGGTCCCCGGCGCAAACGCAGCCAGAGCCTGGAGCGAGAGTCCAATCGCAAAGACAAGGATTTGCTGAAAACACCATCTCGACAGCGCAGTCGCAGCCTTAGCAAGGAGCGCATTGCCCATCGAGTCGCCGAGAAATTGAGCGGGTCACCCCAAGAAGTGCCTGGCAAACACAGACACAAGCACAGGACCAAGAGCTCCCGGAAGGATTATTTGGAGGCTGAGCCCAAATCATCCCGTCGGAAGCACCATGAAGACGACATCATTCCCAGTCCCGAATCCAGCTTGCTGAGCACCTCCGCCGTCTCGTCCAACCGCAGGTCTGGTGATCAGTATTCGATTCGCTCGGGCGCCTCCAAATCCTCCATCAACAACCCAAAACTCTTGGAGACGGTCGAAGATGCCATTCGACGATTGATCCTGCCTGAGCTCAAGGAGCTCAAGAAAGACCAAAAAGTCATGAACAATACAAACAAGTTTGAGCGAGATCGAGAGCGCGATATGATGACAAATTACTCATCTACCAGCTCCAGAGATGAACTGGGTCGACGCTTGTCCAAGCATTCAAGTGCACCCGACATCATCAAGCCGAGAGTTGTCTTGAACAAGGACAGCAAGGATGAGGGCATTGTCCTCGCCGACTCCGGACCCCGATCCAAGGACATTCAAAAGGATCTCACCAGGACACGTAAATCCAGCAAAAGCAGTGAGACCTCTGATAACGCGTGGGTGAAATGGGGTCGGCCCGAGCTCTCTGAGCAGGAGAAGCTGCGGCGACAAAAGAGCAAAGGCCTTCGAGATGCCCAGGCCGCTGGACGTGTGGGCTCCGCTCTGACAGCGGTGTCTCTCAAGCATCACGACTCCCAGTCTAGCCTGGGACCAACGGAGCGAAGGGACAGCGGCTCTCGCATGAGCGTCGAGGATTTCAACGTTAATGAGACTGAACTGGTTTTCAACAAGCACAACGTGCCTCGAATGCCCATGCACAGCGAGATTGATTCTGAACTGACCAGGGCGTCCCTACTGTCAGAACGCACCGAGAGCCCCGGCCCGAACCAGAATGTCCTGCATGGTGAGGTGCTTCGCGGGTCTCCTCGACAACTCGGTTCTCCCGCCTCGCGGACGCCGACGCGAACTCCCTTGAACGGTGGACATGAGTTGGCTATGCGCCATGGAAACCAGTCGCAGCGCGATCTCTCTGTCCACAGCACCTCTGACCGCGACTTGCGTGGCAAGAGTCAGTCGCCGGGCACTGACCATGGTGACTGGGCTATTGCCGCTGCCGCTGCCGCCAACCTGCTTGATGCTGCCCACCCCACCCACGAGGATCGGTATGAAGCTGGCCGAGCTCTGAGTCCTATTCAAAGCGTGGCCAGTGATCAGACTGAGACCTACGGCCAGCACAAAACTCAACATCTTTCTGAAGTGCAACGTGAGATGGAACCCCGCCTCTCCATTGATTCTTTGTCTTCTGCGCCAAGCACCAACCTAGCCCGATCTACTCGAAATGGCGCCAGCCCCCACAGCCAGCAGGGTGATTATCAGCATGGCGAAGAAGGCCCCGAGCTTGGATATGAGCAGTCGCGGCACGCCTCCGAGGAAGACCTGTATGGACCTGATGAGGAATCCCGACGTTCGCTGGGCTACGACGACAGCGAAGTCGATTTCATGGATAAGGTCAAGGAGGGCCAGCATGTCGCAGAAGGCGTGGCCGCCAATCCCCAGTTCGTTCACCTTGTGGGTGTGGAGTCTGCCGTCGCGTCCTTGATGGATCCCTCTGTCCTCGAGTCCCAATCGTCGGGCCATTCTGGCAATCGCTCTCAGACCGAATTCGAGCGTGCAGGTAGCAGAAGCCCCGAGAAGCGCGGTAGCCCTCTGAAGCAAGTCCAAGAAGCGCCTAGTCTCGACGAGACCTCTTTCCCTCGACGAATGGGCGTCACATCGCCGCCTCAGAGTGTCACTCAGTCCATCGAGGATCTGGAGGAAGCGGGTATGGCTGCTGCTGCAGCACGCGGCCTTGATAGTCCTCTCCCCGATGCAGAGGTGCGCAGTCAAGAGTCCGAGTCGGAGATCAACACCAACCCATCAATCATTCAGGGTCCCATTGGCGGCGTTGCTCCAGTAACTCAGGATCACTGGGGTACAGCACCCGTCTCTTATTACGATTCCCCAGCCGCTCAAGCTGGCGGTGCCAAGGATCTGGCTCAGGGCCAGCGCAGCCTCGATGCGGAGTACTATGAAACTGCCCGGAACATCTTTGGTGGCGATGACTACTTCGTTGAGCAGCATGACGGCCAGCTCTTTGGTACGCCTCCTGGCGCCAAGGATGAAGGCTACGTCTCGGCTGCAAACCCCATGTCCCCCAGCATTGGCACTCCCAAGCAAGCTAGCCGCGGCCTGGGTGCCGACGCTGCTGGGGCTGGTATCTTCAGTAGCCCTGCCGATGCGGAAGATCCATTTGCTTCGAATCATCAGCGCCATTTCAGTGGATACTCTCATGGTGTTGCTTCGCCGCTTTATGACAGTGCTACCGGCCGTGGAATTGAGCGGATCCAGTCCAAGGATATTGTCGCTCTGATGGATCACGTAAGTTAATCTGTTTGCATCTGAACCAGTGTGACCGTTTACTAACAATCTGCCTAGCTCACTGTTCGCGATGCTCAACGGAACGCCAGAGACACCGAGATTCTGGTCACTTTGGTCCGAAGCGCTGCTGAAATGCGCACCTCGTTTGAGGAGATGAAGAAGTTCATCGCCCAACAGGATGAGATGCTTCAGGACTCTAGTGATAAGCAGCACAGTCAGACTCTCAGGGCTCTCGGCGGACCGCGACCCTTACCGCCCAGTGGCTCTCGAAGCCGTCAATTGAACATGGAGGATGAGGAGGATCTCCAGTCCAAGCGGAAGAACATCTTCAAGCGTGCTCTGAAGGGCTTGAGTCTGAAGTCTGGGAATGACCTTGCCAAGATTGAGAGCATGCTGGAGCAGTTGCTAGATGAGGTTGAGGCTCTGCGTGAAGGACAAGGCTTCACCAATTCTCGCAATGGTGCTCGCGGAGGCAGTGCTGACCCGAACGACCATGACATGGCTGGTCAAAACGGCGCTGCTCTGGGCAGCCGTTCTCCTTACCTGGGTAGCCCACGACCTGCCACTGCGGATCAACGTGTCGATACCGTCCCTGAAGATGATGACGAAGATCTGGAGATCGACGAAGATGATCCTTACGTGGCCGCCCATCTCCCTGTTAAGGAGCCTGCACGTCATGAGCGAGCTGGATCCATGCCTCTTTCTACGCCTCCTCGCAAGCCCGTGGCCACGGGAGCCCGTAGCACTGAGACGACCCCGAAGAACTCTGCCGACAAGGCCCGCAAGCACAAGTCGAGCAGTTCTTCGATCTTCCCCAAGTTCTCACGTTGGTCCAAGACGACTGCCTCGTCAATGGGCGACAACATCCGCAACAGCATCCAGCCTAACCGCAAAGAGCGTCCTTATTCTGAAGTGTCCCGTTCTGGCTCGGACGTCGCCCAGGATACCTACAAGACGGGTGACTACTATGATCCCGAGGGCGACGACCGCATTCGGTCCACCTACACCCTCGATCAACCGCAAGAGGAGAATCGTCCTCCATCCCCTCTGGTCCCCTCCCAAGTCTCTGAAGCGCCCAAATACCGCGCCCACCGCGGCAGTCTGGATCTACAGCACCCTCAGCCCCGCCAGGGTCCCACTGGCCGGTATCAAAACCAGCTCGAGAGCCAAGCTCAGACCTACACCACCCCCACCTCTCCCAACTCTGAACAATGGGGTTCTAACCCCAGCCTTCCGCCTGTGAACCCCAATCAAAATCGCTTCAGCGTGGGTAGCCGCCTCTCCCCCATCTCTGACGCGGGCTATTCAGAGACGAGCTCCCGCACTCCAGGTCCGCCTCGACCTCCCAAGGTCAAGGACACTGGACCACTCGTCCCCGAGCGGCCACCCAAGGTTTCCGAGAACGAAGACCAGACACAAGCACAAAGCTACAGTGGCGATCGCGTTGCTTCAAGGGTATGTTACACTGTCGAGCTAACTGCTCTCCCCTTTCCCAATTCCTCCCAAGTATTCCAGCCTTTCTAACATTATCCCTACAGAGCTCTGCCATCCGCTCTCCACCTACCCGCAAACCAACGGGCCCTCGACCCCTCACATCCGGTGGTACCTACAGCCCTAGCAACATCAAGCGCACGCGCTACCGCGGCAGTCCGATGCAGATCGACTATGACGATAATTACTGAAACGTTATGGCCGCATTGTGATACCCCGGGGAGCTTGTATTTGTGTCTAACAAGCTTTTATCCCCTTCTACTATCATCTTTACACCTTGTGATGTCGCATAGTCCTCTTCCTTTTCTCATGTGATGACCGCTTTTTGTTTCTTCGGCGATATCTCTTACGCCCACGCCCTTACGACAGTGACGACCGTGCTTTGAATTTTAGGGATGAATCTTGAATCTTGAATCTTGAATCCACCCATCGTTTATCATACCACTTTGTTTACTCTGAATTTCCATTCCCATCTCCATCCCATCCCATCTATGAGCAATTGTGGCCAAAAATCCTTTACTCTTAGTGGACATTAGCATTTTGTTTCATCTGTCTTCCTGCGTATTAACTATGTATTTGGATGGATGGGGCAGCTGGCCAGCTTGTTGTTTGTGTTGTTGTATTTGTTCGATTTATGTTGTTGCTTGTGAGATGTTTACCTTTTTGCGCATTGCATTGCTGAGACCAGGGCTGGTCGCTGCGTCTTGGTTGTAGATAGCGTGGATATAATTTGTTTCGTTGGTACAATTTACTCGTCACTTGGACATTGTCATTGGTCTGACCGAGGGATAAAGGAATTCATGCAGGCTTATTCTTTGTAAAGAAGAGTACTCCGTACTGTTGACGACATCTCCGTGAGTCGGGAGGGATGAAGTATTTTTTTTATCGGTTTTTCATTTTTAGTTCCTGGAGATCTATGGAGTCTTGTCAAATGAATAGTCCCCTAATACCATCACTTTCTTTGCATGTCACCATGGACGCAAGACAGAAGAGACTGAAGCATAGGAATTTCTCACGCCAATTTCCACTCCTTGCAACCAATAACTCCGTACCAACCCACGAACCAATCTCCAAAAAAGGGTAATGCAAACCACGATAAAAACCAGTAAACTCCAGACAAAATAGCTCCGGATCACAATGTCAACTCCTGTCCGTAAACACCACACCTCCCGGTTTTAGTAATCCGAAAAGGGTCTCACAGAAGTAGTCCCCCTCTCACGGAAAGCACACGAAGCTGTAGCCAACGAGCTGAACTCCAATCCCTCACTGACAGGAAACTTGCCTGGATAACTCTCGGTCGAGCGGGCTTTGGCATTCCGGTTTGTAGAGAGACTCAGAGCAGCCGAGTCATCTGTGTAATGGGAAGAGGCAGGTGGGATCACGTTGAGGGAGGTTTTGGCGTCGTCAGTTGAGGTTGTGGGGGACTGGATGTTTGGATGAGTCTTGTCGACGGATTTGACTTCGACGGGCTTGAAGGGGATGCCCTGCACTACCTCGACGATCTGATGTTCCTCTTGCTGCTGCTGTTGGGCCTGCTTCGGGGTGCTTGGCTGAGCGAGAGGAACATCCTGGTTCTGGTCTGTTGCCAGTGCAGAGGTTGGCTCGCTGGTTGATGGGATAGATTTATCGGTGCCATCGTAGTGTGAGAGTCCGAAGTGATCAATCATTTCCTCAATGACTGGAAAAGCGCCAATGTGCGTGGCAGTGCTGTCCGGTATCTCGTTCTCGCTGAGCACGCCAGGCGGTTCCTGTCCTCGTCCAGTGCTGGAGTGGACATGGGGCAGGTTATCGAGCTCAACAACACGCGGCGGTGCACTAATTACACTGCCACAGCCCATTTGGGAGGCGTGATACACCGTCATGAAATGTGGGAATGTCAATTCATCATTCACAAAGGCACCGCTCGGCACAGGGGAGCGATAGAACGGAGGTGGGATGAGATCGGTGATGATCTCGAGCACTCGCTTTTCAGCAGGCCGGAGGATCCGGTTCAAAGGTCGAGGGCCATATTCCGAGGGCCAGAATGGACGGAGGAGGAAAGAGATGCCGTAGAGGAGCTGGAGATAGGCGAGGAGGATAACGAGGAAGATGAAGGTCAGGAAGGGGAGGGGAAAGATGATAGGACGGGTAGTGCGAGTTGGTAGCAACGCCATGTTTGTGAAGTTGAATTGGAAGTGGATGTAGATCTCAGTGTTGTGAAGAGATGCTATCGAGGTGTTGTTGGGAAGAGGAGGGTTTGATGGTGAGGTTGAGCAGGTGAGAAGAGAAGGAAAGAGCAATGCCAGACTTGGACACGACAGCAACAACAACAACTTTGATTGTCCAAACAAACGAATTCTAGAACATCAAGTAGTTTAGACGTGATCATACGCTTCAACAATCGCTGTTTCTCTCACTGTGGAGTATAGATCCATCGATCCATCGATCCATAGATCCAAAAGTGGGACCCTCCAACCCCCAAAACTTCCCGTCGGCCTGAACTCCGCTGCAACCTCCGCACCCTACTTCCCATCTCCATCATCATACTCCTTCTCAGTCTGGACCCATGACAAGTCGCCTTGTATCTCTCCACACTGCAAGGTCTGCTATCATGTCTGCCCTTGCCATGGACTGTACTCATCTTCGCCCGCGGCGATTTGCCCCGCTTGATGCCGGGAAACCGTCAGATGCCCCGGTGTTGAAGGGTATCGTCTTCGATGTGGATGGGACTTTGTGGTGAGTAGACTCAATTACGTGGCTTATATAGCGATTGGAGTTGTATGAGATGCTACCTGCCTTTTTGGTCCTGTTCGACGCGTGTTGTCTGGTTCAATGCATTTACGATCTATCCGAGGAAAGCCGTGTCAGGCCTGGACTGCCTCGGAGAATACGACTTTGGCTTCAAGTGCATTACCAAAGAGCTCGCTAACAAGCTCCTAGTTTACCACAACACCACATGTTCACCGAAATGAGGTGAGTCATGCTGTATGCTGATGGGTGTACAATCTTTCCGACCGGTATGTGGGGATGTACCACTCCCCGCAAACCCATATCCAAGAAATCAGCAGCAACATGGAAATACAACATTCTCTAACAATCATGCAGAGATGCTCTCGACATCGACAAGTCCATCGACATCCTCCACCATATCCGCGAGCTCCCCACACCCGAAGACCGTGCTGCAGCTGTTGCCAAGGTCCAAGCCGTCGAACGGCGAGCCATGCTGGAGCAACAGCCCCAACCAGGCCTGTCAAAGCTAATGGATTACCTGCAATCCCGCGGTATACGACGAGCACTCTGTACACGAAACTTCGAGTAAGTCTGATCATTATTATCTTAATACACTGGCTTTTCAGTATTGGCATACTTACTTATGGATGCAAATAGGGCCCCGGTCCAATATCTCATTCAGAATCATCTCCCCAGCCACATATTCCTTCCCATCATCACTCGCGATACCCCCCATTTGCTTCCCAAGCCTGATCCAGCGGGCATTCTGCATATCGCCGGCGAATGGGGTTTGACTAATCGGGCGGAGAATATGATCATGGTACGTCTTTCGTTTATGTCACAATTGGTTAGGGGCCCTTGCAACTCGTAATTCTAACCTTCCTTGCCATGTAGGTTGGAGATAGCATTGACGACATGACTTCCGGACACGCGGCCGGGGCGGCAACCGTGTTGCTGCTGAATGAGCGGAATAGTCATCTCCGCGAGCATGCTCATACGGATCTCTGCATTAATCGCCTGGATGACTTGATTGATATCCTGGAGGGAGGATTCCTTGGTCGGGAAGAGAATGATGTGCATGAGGAGAACTAGCAAGTCTAGATATAGTTGAGATGCATTTAAGCCCGGGTTATACACGGCATACCTGGGACGAGACAGATGGAATGAAAAGATACACAAGAATCAGTCATCTAAGATGTTGTGTAGACGTGATGGCTATGTACAAACAAGGCATAATTGATTTTGTATAGTTGATGTACAAGTTTCCCAGGTCTAAGATAAACCCAACATACACTGACGTTAATTTTCATAAGAATTAGTGACCTCTCAGGGCCGCCCACCTCGGGCCTTCCCACCGCGCCCTCGACCACGGCCACGATTTCCACCACCACCACTATTTCCACCCCCTCGAGAAGGCGGGCCCTTCGGATGGAGGAGTGGTGGTGGTTTATGTCGTGGCTGACCAGACCCAACACCGCTACCAAACTTGATCGCCCCGCGACCCCGGCCCCGAGCCGGAGGCGGGCCCTTTCGAGCGCCTTTACGAGGCATCATGTCTTCTTCACTGGTTGAAGATGGCGTACGTGCACCACTACCAGCACCACCACCGCGACGTCCCTTGCCACGTTGGTAACTCGGTGGTGGAGGGGGAGCCTTTCTGGACGATGCTTTTACGTTCAGATTGGTCACGGTGGCAGGATCAATGTCCTTGAGGGTGAAACATGCGGTCCTTTGTTGGAGGTCTGGAGGTAGTTGCGGGCAGTCTCCGATTAGGTGGGCATCACTTGTGCAGTGAGCGCAGGAGATGGAGACGGTTATGGTTTGGGAGAGGGGTTCCCGCATCGGGAGGCTATACTGGTGGTCACAGTCGGACTCTGTATGTGTTGAGGAGCCACAGTGGTCGCAGGGGACCTCGGCGGCGGAGCTTTTAAGGGCGGAGGGGCAATCGCCTTCGACATGACCGCGTTCCCGGCAGCGTTTACATCTTCGCCATGAGGGGCATTGTGTGCTTTGGTGGGTGTTCCACGCTCCACAGTGGACACACTGTATATGTGTCAATTTGAGGGTTGGTTCGCGATCAAGTCTTCATTTGAGACATACCTCTTTGGTGGGACACACTTCGGCCATGTGGCCCTGACGAAGACACTCGATGCAGCCAACCGGAAGCTGGAGATCGATGGCATTGACGTCTCGATCCCAGTATACAAATTTAGCCTGGATATCCATATCGTCCTGCTGCAAGTCCAGTAGGGTGACAGGCGCGGTCGGATACTTCTTGGAGAATCGCTTGAAGGCCTCCTCCTTGGACTCAGTTTGTACTTGGGTAGCATCTCGGAGATGCCGTGCACCACTCCCATTTGGTTGTCTATTGGTGGGGCCATTCCCCATCAGCAGATTCTCTGGATCATAGTCATCCGTCCCATCTCCCTTGGTGCCAATATTGAGCATAAGCGAGTCATCGGCTTCGGAGTCCAGCTCTGAATCATCCGATTCACTCCCGGAGTTGACCTCGCCTTCTTCTGAGACATTCTCTTCGGATGACACAGATGCACTGCGACTGCGCCAGTATGCACCGTTGACAGCTTTAAATTGCTTCGCAGAGGTTCCATTCACCCCACTATTCGCGGTACTTCCAATAGTCTGCGGCTCTGGTTGCGGTTGCGCCTCCGTCTGAGGCTGGGATACAGACTGCGATGGGGCTTGCGATCCCGCCTTGCGCTTCCCAAGAGTCGTTCTCACCGCCGTCTTTCTTCCCTGGTTCCAACTGATCGCCGGCGCAGTACTGCCCGCATGGGGGTTGGCGGGCAGGGTTTCAGCCGGCGCCTCAGACTTGTCCGATGCGCTCTCCGAGTCCGACCCAGAACTAGAAGTATCATCAGGGTCAACCTCCAACGCAATGGCGCTAAAGGACGCGCCCTTGGGCACAAAATCGCTGAGATCGCTGGCCGTGCGGGATCTGTTGCGGCGGCGCTTTTTCGTGGGACGCGAGTCATCGCCGGACTGGGCTCGGGAGGAAGGAGTATTTTTGCGGCCGCGCTGGGCACCGAACGAGGCCGTACGCGAGTCGGCCTCGTCTCCAGAATCCGACATGACCTGTTGCTTGAACGAGAGGGTTGAAGGCAGGGAGAGTTTGCCTGTCGGGGATTAAGCTGCATCGCAGGCAAATTTTACGGTTGGCGGGAAGTGCCAACAGTGCAGGATGGTGATTTTTGTTTTTAGGCTGTTGAGCACGGAAAGTATCATGGTAAAGATGATATTGGAATAGGTATACCATGGATCAGCTGGTGTAAATTGTATTCGTCCGCTGTGCAGAATAGCTGTCTGTACCTCGATGACGCTAAGTCCACGCTGACACAAAACAGGAGTATTGGATCAAACTGAGGACTCCGACACCATCCATGTTCTATTTTTGTCGGCCCTCGAGTCTAGACAATGAGACTATAGAAAGCCACCCCTAATATCTCCTGGAATTGAGGGCCATCTATCTCGTTAATTGGCCCATGTGGTCAGCAGCACAGAGTCTTTGTCATATTCCCGTACTCTGTTTGGCGTAGTTGGTGAGTTGATCGAAGGAGTTCCTCCGAGTTGACTGAGGACTGCACGTGCCGGGCCCAAGTGCTATTCCCCGATTTCTCCTTCTCGGAGTCTTCTTCAAAGTGCATGGTTGCACTAGATCGTCTAGATCCCGCCTTCTCAGATTTTCTCCGATTCGCAAAAGTGTCTGGTGTCCGCCAGAAACCCAGATCCAGGCAGACCAACAAAAAAAACGAGCCAACCCCGTGACTCCCCCCGAAAGCCGATCCGCCCGACTCCAGTTCTGGAGTTCTGGGCCGTGTGTGCCACCTTCACCATCCCCACGCTCCTTTTCTCCCTCCTTCCCAACGCTTTCCTTGAGCTCTCCCTCCCTCTCGAGAGCAGTCACGCTGGCGTCTAATCCTTCCAAGTCTTCCCTGCTGGTCCCCCGTGCCATCTCCTTTTCTCCCGAGATGGACGGACCGCGGCGGTTATCTCCCAACACCCAGAAGCAGGGCCGCCGCCGGCGGTCCAGCAGCATCATCTACCAGGAACCTCCCGAATCCATGGAACATAGTAGTGACCAGGCTGCATTGCCCAATCTCAATGCGAACTGGGTCAATGCTAAGGGTGAGTCGAGCTTGTTTGGATCTCTTCTGTACCCCAAGAGCTGTCCCGACCGAACCGGTGCGGACACGGTGGACGGGAAGACGAATCGACCACCCATATATAACACAGAGCTAGGCTAACGAAGGAATGTTGTCGCGTGAACTAGGTGCCTGGACCATCCACTTTGTCCTCATTGCCGCGCTGAAGATCCTCTTCGATATCATCCCCGGCGTCTCGCAGGAGACCTCGTGGACCCTCACCAACATCAGCTATATGTTCGGCTCCTTCCTCATGTTCCATTGGGTTCGGGGCATCCCGTTCGAGTTCAACGCTGGTGCCTACGATAACCTCAACATGTGGGAGCAAATCGACAATGGCGACCAGTATACCCCCCGCCAAGAAGTTCCTGCTCTGCGTGCCCATCGTGCTCTTCCTCCTCAGCACTCACTATACCCACTATGACTTGACCTACTTTACCATCAACTGCCTCGCCACGCTGGGAGTTGTCATTCCCAAACTGCCTTTTGTATGGGCTCCACCCTACTCCTGCCCTGCTTTACAAAAATACATTGACTAACGTGTCTCGCGTCTCCAGTCGCATCGGCTGCGAATAGGTCTCTTCTCCGACATACCCGACGACTCATAGTATTTACTTTCCTTTTTCCTTTTCGATTCTGCGCTACTTTTGCTACATCGGCGTCTTCTGGCCTACGAGCTCACTCCCCGTGTTCCTTTCCTTCCCTCTTCGAAACTATCGAACCCCCCACCGAACCTCCCGACTCCTCATAAAGAAGTTCTTTGCATTGCGTTTGATCCGCGGAGTTGTGAATCCGTTGTTGGCTGTCGCAAATTCTCCCTTTCGTCCTCTTTTTTTGGCAAATATGAAGAACACAGTGAAGCAATGAGCTGTGGAAACAAGACAGAGGTGGACACTTGGTTCTTACTCGTCTTTGGGTTGGGTAGTCTAGATTTTTCTCAGCTTTTTACAAGCCCTGCATATCTTACACCATGCCCACATTGATGCTCTTTGTTTTCTGTCTATGAGTAATCTTAGTGATTCTGTTATTGCAAATATCAGAGATTCTAGCCTAAATCTTACAGATTGCTCAAGTACCTAATACAAGCTATAACTTTTGTCGTTCGTCTTGGCTGGGTCCATGCGGGGCCTCTTGCATCATCCTACTGTGTAGGGCTGAGTGTTAGAATGCACAGGTTCAAGAGAGGGTACTCGATTGAAAATGGTAGGTGGTTTCCAACGATTAGAGTATTTTGCTTTATTTGACATAATGAGGTGCTCGGTAAAAATGAACGCTCCGAGGGCAACAGCTATATTGCAGCTCTAGAAGTACCTAGCGCTGGCCTGCCACTATCCGCCTGAGATGGCTAGATATATGTTGATAGACAGTACTCTAGCTCACATATCTAATGCTACAGTACCTTTAAGGTTAATTAATATCACAAATGTCTACCCACCTCAGCATTTAACACAGCTCTATCGAGGGGTCCGGGATGTAACAAAGAGGACCTTGAAAGGTCAAGGATGGATACAAAGAAACCTAGTCTTACAAGGGTGCTGCCCGGTAGAGCGAATCGTGCAAGACACCTGGGCATGCAAACGACCACGCCCAACTAGTCTCTCATACGACAAAAGGGCTGCTGGTATGAAACATCATTCATACCCAAGTCTTCCAAGGATCAACCAATGTCTCCCTCTTTCCCATATCCAACCATTTCCGTTCAATTTAACCTTGTCGAGAGCCTTTCTTACCTAATCACTTATCGATAAGCACGCGTCCAAACAGACGCGATCGGCCACAGGATGTCATTTCCACACGACCAGGCCATGGCTCCTCTGGGGGATTTCCCGCATCGGACGCCCAAGCCGTTGTCCTTCGAACTGGTGCAGCATACTGGTTATTTCTTTGAGGAAGGCCTCTGTTCGTGCTTCGTCCCTGGCCCCCTTTCCATCCCATCGCGCGTCTAAAGATCCCCCCCACCCAGCTAACCCGCCAGTAGACACACTAGCATTGGATCTCTTGTTCAATACCCTCGCCTCGGGGACTTACGCTTCAAATAAAGTCCTGACGCCACTGTCACAGCATCTTGCCCTTGCAGTAACAGTTCTCGTTCACCCTTCAACAACCACCCGCGCCCAGTCCACCGAAGAGAAAAGTGCGCCGGATGTTGCGCTGCGACTTCTGCGGCTCTTCTCCGCCCAGGTCAACCCGATAGAAGCCAGACTCAACACTGCCTTCAGTTTTTCGCGTTCCAAAATCTCGCGATCGGGACGGCGATACCAGGAGGAGCACGACCCGACTGGCGATGACGAGACGAAGCCGTTGAACCTGGCATTGGGACAGGCAGAGTCCTTGTGGTCTCGCGCGGACGACTTCTGGCATGCTGTCGGCTGGGCATTTAATTGTTCTGTGCTTTACCTAAAGCGGTGGGACCGCTGGCAGATCTGGTTGCAGTTCATGTGCGAAATCCTCGAGGACGACTGGTTACAGCGAGAGAAAGAATACAACGCAAAGCAAGAACAAAGCAGGGAAAGCTCAAAGTATGCTGCATCGGAGGCAAACACTGAAACGACAAGTCGGGGAACACGGTATCAGGGAGACGATCTGAACATCCTGCGGCAAAGTTTGATCTTCCAGTATATCTCTGCTGGCGCGAGGATTATAAATACTCGCCGGATCATCAAATCTATCTTTGCAGACGGCAATACTGCCTCGATCAATCAGTTTAGAGAGGTCTTCGAGAAAGAACTCGCCTTTCCCAATCATCAGAAAGACTCTGCAAAGGCAAAGAAACGAGATCGTGAGGTTAATATTGATAAAGACCAATATGGTGACTACTTCACCGATGATTCGGAAGTTGACTCCGTCTCTGGTCCGAGCAAGTCTCAATCCCGTTCCTCTACACCTCTGGAAGACGTGCCAAATGTGAGACGCTCGAAACGCACCAGACGAGGCACCCGGAACGCGTCAGATTCAACCGCTGCAGAACCAGCTCGAGAAGCTTCAGATGCATCTCAAGGCCAACTCACACATCATGGTGGCGGTGTATCTCAACTGGGTGGCCTTGAATCTCTTGCACTGCGCAAGAAGCTCCTCGGCATCTTATCCAGAGTATCTGATTACATGCCTAAGGACTTCATCCAACTCGATGATCTCTACCAATCTTTCGTTGAGCATATCCGCCACCAGCCCCTACCGATTTTCCAAGCCTTTGTCAACCCACTTGTCCTTCCAGAGCTCGACGATGAAGCACAGACAACCCTTTGCGAATTTCTGCTATTCAACATGATCGAAGCGGCTGCACGCGAGTCACAGGAAGACCGACTCACAGCTGCAAAGCTGGAGCATTGCTTCCTTCCCTATGCTGCAGCTACACCTAGTGTTGCCGACAATGCCAAGTTCTCTATACTCCTCGAATCGTTGGTCACACTGCTGGCCGGCCGAGGTTGGATCAAGCAAACCCCATCCTTGAGAGCGGCAGTCGATAAAGGGATAAAACACCGAGAGGAGCGGGCAAAAGAAGAGTCACACCGGGGTCATGCTAGCCGGAACAAAGAGGTATCCGAGTGGTACTGGCTAAAGGAGAGTGGAGAGAGACTGATGTTCCTTGTCGATCTTCTTCCGGTCGAGTAAGTACGGAATTTGAGGGAAGGCAATCAGCGGATATCACGATCATTACGATGGCAACGACCCTAATGATGCATACTGTGTTTGAGTATCAATTGTCAAAATAATCATTATTTCTACATCTTTTAAGTATTAACTCAAAACCATCTTGAATTGTTAGTAGACGCAGCCGAATTCGTGATAGATTCAACTAAATAGCGAAGAGATGTACGGATCAAGCAACATCTCTGCAATTTCGTTGTTCCTCTTCGACAACGCTTCCTTCATCTCATTTTCAAAGACTCCCGCTCCATACTCAAGAAGCATTTGCACGACCCGTTTATGCCCGTAACGTATAGCCCTGCAAAGTGCACTACCAGATCGACTGTTGTAGTGCACGTCGGGCGTCACACCTTTCTCCAGCAAAAGACATACAATTTCCTCATGTCCTTCACCAGCTGCTTCCCAGAGTGCCCGGGTTCCATGGGAGTGGACGTGGATGCCATGCTCTAACAGTCTCTTGACAATCCCTAAATGCCCTCCGTACGCAGCTGCTTCAAGTGGATTCCTCGAAGCAAGGCCGATGTTGCTTACCCCGATGTTGACCTCAACGCCTCGATCGAGGAGGAGCTTCACCACGTCCTCGTGACCATTGTGACATGCATCCGCCAGAGCAGTACCACGAAACTCGCTCTCGGAATTGATATTCGCGCCTTGATTCAAGAGCAACTGAACCAGCTCAGTGTCTCCATTTCCAGCCGCAGTTGTCAGGGACCGCTCGCATTCACAGCCTTTTCGCAGAATGAAGCCGTGATCGAACAGTATTCGTGTGGCTTTAATGTCTCCCCACTTCACGGCTTTGTATAAAGGGCATATGCCTCTCCACGGCCACTTATGCCATGAATCCGGATCTCTGGCCCCGGTTCGTCTATCATCGGTGTCTCGCATCTTGCCGAGTATCTCTCCCACCAAAGAGACAATGCCAAGATGCGCAACAACGTCGATATCACTCCACCACCACCCTCCATACCCACTATACAGATACATCCAGTTATTTCTCTCCGGGCCATGCCCCGTGCACAGCACTCTGACCGCATCAAGAAAGGTTTCCGCGGCAAATTTGGACAGGTTGCTGTAATGAGTTGGCCAGTATTGCGCAGCGTATCGCAGGAATGGAGATTTGCGTTCCTCGCGTCGCATATTCCTCTGTATTTTGGGCTTTTTAAACCTGTGTTCGCTGTAATGCACGTAAAACCTCATTTTCAGGGTAAGAAGGAATGAAAGACATGCTCGAGTGAGCATTTCATGTCCAGCGGCCATATCAATACTGTTCTGCCAAGAGGGTGTTGATTTGACCAACAAGTAAGATTGATCCTTGGTTTTCTGGAGGAGGAAGTCTCTAGTCGATTTGTGAATCAGAATCACTGTTGCCCTGTTCCTCAGTAAAACTCCATCCAACAGCCCCATAACCAAGCCTTTTCGTTCAGGGTGCCGTTCGGCTAAACACCAGTAGGAGAGTCGATGCTCGGGGGATATGGCTGCATTTTGATCAGAGTCGCTAAGCTCGCCGGCCAGAAAGAGCTCTGAAAGTGATAGAGGCCGCTGCGCAGCCAGAAGGATACGAAGCATCTTCTCGACCATTGCAGTGCCCCATTTAGCGCTCGCCATGTTCAGTGTCTTTTCATAGACATCGTGGATATCCATAGGAAAGTCCTCCAGTAGAACACCAATGCCTGAGAATGCCAGAGGTTCATCTCTATCCTCTCTGAGAGCGTTCAGAATCAGGCTAGTCGCTGCTCGCAGCCACATCCAAGTCTTCTTTTTATTGCCATGTAGAATTTCTTCCACACGCTTCTGATATTCGCTAGGAATGCCATCGAGAGTGACTTGGACAAATAGTGTCATATCTAGGTAAATCAGATGAGCCAGCCCATCCGCATCCAAAGTTGTAAGCGTAGTACCAGCTGCATCTCGAAATCCCTCAAAGTCCTGCGCCAAGGTACCTTTTAACTGGCGGCTGGTGACAAAGAATTTCACAACTGACCGAGGGTTTCGGCTTGACTGGTTCGATATTACCGAATAGAACTGACCCAATGCTCGAAGGAGTCGTCTCCTTTCACTTGGGTCACACTCATCCACGGCATCGAGCACACACACGAAATGCCCAGCACGAGCATCACTCGCACAGCGAACAAAATGAGGCCATACTTTATCAAAGTCTAGCCATGGCTTTTCAAAATCAGCCTGTGGCTCCTTTAACAGATTCTTGACCGCTCGATTTGTTGGTAATCGATTCCAGGTCTGATGAATAAAGGTTGGATGTGGCGTCTTCTCTAAGAGCTGATGTAGTAGAGCAGAGACTGTGCTTGCAGCAGTCATTCGCCGGGCATGACCTTCACGGAAGAAGTAATAGCTAACAATTGTAGCAATCGTATCGGTCTCGGAAGATAAGCTTCTTTCTTCCCACCAATCATGGCTTTGAGTGGCTAGTGTTTTCGCCAGACTGGATTTGCCTTGTCCAGGACTAGAAGTCAACCACAGAATGCTAGATTGGTCTGTGTCGCGCCAGTGCTTCACACACGGGTCGTCGAAGAACCATCTTCCTGTGCCTTTGAATATAGCTTCGTGGTAATCATCGTCGTGTTCGTAACCTGCCGAGAGCCTGTCCATGGCATCTTGCGGTCTGTTGTCCAGCATGGCGCAGGAATCGCGGGGTTGGTGCCGTTCTGAGCAGCTGTATTAAGCCTGGTTTCGCAAACATCCGGTAAATTCCATGATTATTGATCAGAATGTCAACAGTATACGCGTGGAGAGTCTGCGATGTGTGGATTCTCACTTAGGCCTCCCTCGTGAGGCTGAGCATGACATGCCTTGGAAGTGGGCCGCCCGACTACCTAATTGTACAAGCCTGAGGGCAAATATTCAGATTTGGGCTCTACATTTGCTTTAGACAAGCATGCTCTATTCAGGACGGTACAGGGCCGCTCGAAATCAGTTTCACCTTTTTACTCCCTTCGATTCTTTCTCGAACTCTATTCTGAAACACGCTAGTCTATTTTTAATTTTAGCTTCTCGTAAGATCGTGAAACATATTTTTCACACAAAGCCACATGATTGTTTTTCATGTAATGTACTTGAAATAAAATACATTCCTTTATGTCCAGCGTTCTCTAATCATTGATAAAAGGCTTTGTTCCAGGGGCAACAGGTAAGAGCAAAATAAGATGGCACTGTGTGGCCACCACTCATGATAATAGACTGGGAAGCAAAGTAGCATCTATCTCTATGGATACATCAGGCGTATAAAGAAGATTGGCTCCTTGACCAACTTGATCGGTCATCTGATTGCGGGGTAAACTGCCAGTCATGTGTAAATTACCATTTCTGTATATATGTGGTAATAATACCTCCCTTTGTACAGCACCAGTATGGAAGTTACAAGAGTTAGAATGAGATTGCCTGAAATGACTATCATTCCATTCCCCGTTGGGCGGTTCGTAGTAATGCAAACAGACTATACTGTAACCCTACCTGGACCAGACTCTTTGCCTGATCATGATATCCTCAACCCGTTGAAAATAGATCCTCTCCAAGCTTGGACAAACAGACATAAACCACTTGTGCCCAGACTCTTCAGCGGCCGCCGGAATGAAGTTCTTATAGCGTTCATCATAGATTGCTAGCGCAGCCTCGCGCATAGGTCCTCGTCTCGGTATTTCCCACCATTCCTCCAAGGTGATAGAACAATTGGGCATATTAAACAGCCCCAGGATAATTTCGACGTCCTGCAAGTCCAAGTTATCCAAATATAGAATCGCTTTTAAGTGCTTGCAGGTCTTGAATCCGTGCAAAATAGTGTCAACGAGGGCTGGCAGATCGCTGTCTCTCTTGCTGTAGAATGTGGCCGCTCTCCTACAAACGCGACTAGCCGTATACCCCAAAAAGACAAAAGGACTTAAAACCGCGGATACTACGAGCATCAACCCAAAGTGGTCATAAACAAAGCGAGGCGTGATCTGGACCACCTTTTCCCCCACAGCATGAATGTACGGGCGTTCAGGGTTAACGAAAACAGTAAGCCGTCTTGTCATATCGCACAGTAGCGGATAGTTATTCAATATTTGGATAATGGCGGCCAAGGATGCAGTGTGTTCGCTGAATGGGCCGTAGCCGTGTTGGGGAATCTGGACATAAAGACATACGGTGGAACCCTGGAAGATGACGGATAGAACTTCCTGGCGAACCTGCTTATTGACCAAACCAAGATTGAGAGAAGTGAGGTTCAGGAATCTGAGACCAGTAGCACTGATGATAATATCATAGCCCTCACTCGCGAACTCAAAACTGATCTGCCCAAACGAGACCCAATCGAATTGTTTTGGCTTGCGTCGATAGATACTGATTGCATGTCTGATTATCTGTCTTCGAAGCTCAAAGGGTAAGTCGAGGAAGCGAAAAGGGCTGTTTTGAACACTGGAGACCTCTGTAAGCAAGTTAGCAAGAGCGCTTAGTGATAACTTATATAGAACTGACCTGAAAGAGAGTCCATAAGCCTTGCATCCCTTAGGGCCATCATATGCCCAATGGAAAAAACTGTCAAAGTCGATTTTTAATGATTTTGTCAGGTCATCTTCCCTTCGGCGGGTATTTCTGAGCACAGCCTCTAAACGACACGTGGACAGAGCTGCACATGAGGTTATAGGATTCCGTTCCATTGATATGTGCACAGTGTTTTGGGCCCCCCGAAAACAATAGCGGTCAGATGAGAAAAGGTGTAAATTATACGGTGGGTTACCTGTGAATGAAGCTGCGTACAGCAGCCTAAAGCCAATCTAGCAGGAGTCATTTAAATTACACTCTTTCTCGTTTGGCCACTAGTTTCCAGCAGCCGCATCTCACCCCCACATGCTAAGAGTCGAGTCGGTCTTTATTTGCTCGAGATAATTAGCCTGTAGTTTTCTGTCCAGTTAATGCTGTTTCGGGCCAAATTGAGAAGGCAGATGCTTCCATGAAGAGTGCGTGCGTAAGGTCAGAATAGTTGATGTTCAAGTATACCTTAAGTTATCTACAGAGAGAATGGCTTCATAGCCACCAAGGCAAACAACAGAAAAATCAGCATAAAATAGACGTGCGGTTTGAGGATAAACTCGTCGAACCGTGAGAAAGAGAATCCACCAATCCACCCAATCGCCGACGCAAAATAAAACAGAGCAGAAATCCTGCAAGTTGAGCAATAGAAGGTAAAAGAAGAAACAAAAGGATCAGAGCGGTAAGAATTGAATAGTGGCATAGGTTTGAATAGTGGAATCAGGGGGATAGAAGCTGCTTATGGCGGAGGTCGAGGTCCAATAATCTGTCGTCTGGCACCTCCAATCCCTAAGCCTGTGCCGCCACGATTCTGGTTATCGCCGCCCATGTAGCCATATTGGTGAACATCCCAGCTTTGGCCTGGCCCAGAGCCCGTAGTGGAATCACGCGCAGCAGCTTGCGTTTGCTTCTGGTTATCTTCCCACTCGCGCTGGCGCTCACGTTCACGCTCCATCTCACGTTCCAGAAGTGACTTGGAAGCCCATCCACCAGCACGAGTTTTCTGCTGAGATTCAATGCGGCGCTGGTTCTCTGCGTCAACTTCAGATGTAGTGCTGTAGTCTTGTGGCCGGTGGGTAGATGGGGCAGGGGCTTGAGGCGCCGGGTTCGACGAAAGGAAGCGGTCGACACGGTTCTCATGACCACGATTAGCCGTATATGCTACCGGGTCTGGCAAGGGACGTGGAGCTGCAGGAAGGTCACGAGGTGGAACTGCAGGCTTGGGTGAGGCAACAGGCTCCGGGAGTGGGCGAGGGGGCGGAGGAGGCGCCTGCTCCTCTTCTGCTCTCTCTGATTCCTCGGTAGCGGCTGGCATTTCCTGATTCTTCTGCCACTCCCCACGAAGCATTCGCCGTTCCTGTTCCAGCGAGGAGAGATCGTAGCTTGGCTTAGGAGGCACGGGGGCCGGGCGTTGACGGCTCTCGCTTTGAGGCTGAGGCTCAGTGCTGCCCTGAGATTGAACGCTTTGCCGTTCGCTCTGATATTGTTGTTCCCGCTCTTTAGCCAGTGCCAGCTCGTGCTCGAGCTCTTTAATGCGGCGGCTTTCCGGGGTCTCCTCAGGTATCTCAGCGGCGCTACTGACACTGACGCTGCGAGATTGGCCAGCCTGATATTGACTGAGGAACTGTCCATTGAGACGGGCATCGTTGGCGCCCCGTCGACGCTGTCGCTCTTGCTCAAGGCGCTCTTCAGCTGCGTTTTCTTCAGCGGCGCGGCGCTGCTCCTCTTCCTCCCACCGACGCTTTTCCTCATCCCAACGCTTCTTCTCCAGTTCCATTTCCTGGCGTTCTTTCTCTCTTAGACGAGCGGTCTCTTCTGCCCAACGGCGTTCCTCCTCGGCCTTCGCCCGGGCCTCTTCTTCCTCCTGCTGTCGCTGGCGGATCCGTTCGGCCTCCTCTCTCTCTGCATTCTCCTGGAGAATTCTATCTTCCTCCTCCCGTCTACGTTTCTCCTTCTCCGCCAGACTAGGCACAGCTGGGCCAGGTGTAGTGATCTGTCGCCGAGCACCGAATGCAATGCCTTGATTGCCCTGACTGGCGCCACCCATGTAGCCGTATTGATGGATGTTCCAAGCCGGGGAAGTTGCTCCCTCGTCGTCTCTCTTGCTCCAGGAGCTATACGAGCCCGATGGCTTTGTCGCATCACTAGCGCTACTTGAGGCCCGGCCATTTCGAGTAAACGACCCAGTGCCCGATGAGCCGGTTTCATTCGGGCTGATCACTCCACGCTTGCTCTGAGGGCCAACTGTTCGAGGGAACTTGCCAGGCGCGAGGGCATTCGCTCGGCGGCTGAATGCTGCTATGCATTGGAGAACTTGAGCCGGATCCTTGGATTCGTAGAGATCGACTGTAAGGAAGACATCGTGGGGTGGTAGGCTCAGAGGTGCCATTTGGCATGCGCGGAGGAAATGCGAGATGTTCTCCATCTGTACGAATGGCATCGCTGACTGCTTATAGTGCACGCCTGGTGACACAGCCAGATTGACCAGTCTTGTAAGAAAGGGGCGTCAGTTGAGGTTCCAACTTTGGAGATCTATACTATCAGGTAAAAGTTCGCGATTAAGACTCACTTGCAAAGGGCCACGCCATCCTTCAATCCCTCCAGCAGATCGCTGGATGGGAGTTTCTCCCGTAGTACCTCCTCGATCCAGTCGCGCACCTCCGCGGCTGCCTGCGGGGTATAGCGGGACAGTCGCAGGTTGCGCAAGTCTTTGTCCAGTGAAGTCACAGAAGCCATGGCGAGGTCTGAATGATTCGGTCTGCGACCAGATAAAGTTGTTGAACGAGGGGACAAGTGTCGTCCTAGTCTAGCTGTGTATCCCGATGCGCGAATGTGCCTGATCGACCCCAAGAGTGGGGAGTTGGGTTGGGTAGCAGAGTAGTAAAGGGCTGCAAAGTAGTTCAAGCAGTTCGGGCGCGGAAGAAGAATTCAAAATTCAGCCTCATAAAAACACAACCGAAGTAGGCTTTTGGAGGGGAGAGAAAAGAGGGTTAAGGGGAAGTTAAGTGGACTGGAATGCTCGGGGCTGTTTATTTCGGCTCCGCCGATGACGTTCCTGACTTGCTGAGGGTTCCTTTTTACCCGCGAACCACTTTTTCTCCACGCCGCCTCCTCCTTACCTACCGCTGCATCGCAACGACACCATGGTGAACAGTCTCTGGTTCAAGTGGAAGAGCCTCCGACTGCCCTGGCGGCGATCATTTCTTGTCGGTGAGTGTCGCTTCCTTACGCTTCCTCTTCGTGCTGGATGCGCAATGCCTGTGGAAAATCGCCGATCTTGCTGACCATTCCCCATCTAGGTCACGACCTCGCCGGCAACACTTTCTGGGAGTTCAAGGACGTTGCAAATGCCACTCGATTCAGACGTATCGTGAAATTCGACCCCAAGACGCATTATGGAGATGTTCAAGTCACACGTTAGTCCTGTCGATTCCGAGGAGGTCCGGGCATGGTTCGCCACGACCACGCACCCTATTCCCAACCCGCTGCTGGAAGATCTATCGCTGACTCTTTCCGATTCAATAGCGCAATGGCATCAATGGCTCCGATATGTTCGACAAGATCCGCCAAGTCTCGAAGAACAACAGCAGGACTTGATTCGCCAGGCGCAGATCAAAGAGCTCGCTCGACTCGCCGATGAACGCTGGGCAAGCAAGCCGTCCTTCCTTGACAAACCAAACACCCGACAGACACTGCCACCCACGGAAACAAGTGAGCCTACAGTGAACCCGGCGACCGAGTCTCGCCAAGATGCCCCAGCACCCACTCCCTCAACGTCTACGCCCGAACCCACGGCCTCCAAACCGAAGCCCCTAAAGGAGGACCCATGGGCGAAAGCGAACCCCGGCAATCCAGGAGACACCTGGCAGCCCGAGTCATGGACGCCTTCATCGAAGCGGTGAAATAGTCCACAAACTCGGTCGATCACCACCATATTTGGGAAAACACTGGTTCTGAGCGAGGATTGTTGGTGACGAACCCCGACGGCAAATCCCGTACTCGCTGGGCCGATTTCGGAGTGATTTGAAGAGTCTTGTGAGCACCAGCAGAGCTTCTCCCTCGAACTTATGTTCATTTATAGAACGGATAAGTTGAGGGCGTCTTCAGTGAATGACCTGCTGCAAGCCATGCGCAGTCGTTTGAACCTTTGTCGATGAGTAGTATCCAACACCAAGACACGGCAGTGGAGGCCCTTGTGATGTTTCTTCCAACAAAGACGCGCTGATCGCAACGGTGACGGATCCTGAAGAACCTCTGCCTATGAGGTAGCCTTGGACGTTTAAATTTGAGTATCTGCATCATGCCGCAATGTCAAAGCCCCTCTTTATCCTGCGATCTCGCCTCTCTCAGGCTATGTATTGATTCAAGAGATCGATAGTCAGGCCTTTGTACATTATTTCAAATTCACATGTCTTATACACAAGCCACCCTTTATCCTCCAGGTCTATGATTGCTCTTCGCACCTTGAGTGATCAATATCTCTAATCTAATCCTGATATCTCTATCTACTAGCCCCTACAAAGTGAAGATGCACAGTATTTGCGCGGCCCGAAGGCCTTTTTTTGTATTTTGTAGTTTCTATGAACGCAGCAAAAACAAGTCAATCTCCAAAAAAATCTGCAAATCTTGCAAGCAATCCTCCAAAGGAAAAATAGCAGCTTTTTCTTTTTGTAAGTTTTCGCCTTTTCCACTTTTTTTTGGTGTTTTTTCCAGTTTGACGAATCCTCCATGAACCACATCCCCTTTTTTTGGTGTTTTCCCAGTGGTAAGCCGTAAGCCAATCAACAAACACATGCTTGATCATCGAAAATCTGATATCCATGGTACAACTTGATCTTCAGCAAGATGATAAAATGCAAAGTAGACTGATGATCAAGCGCGAACAGAGGGCAAAGCCCTGTATTCTCAAGAAATCTGAAAACTCAACCCTGAAGGGAGCTCCGAATCAAATGCATTCTTCAAATGTAGACCATAGTCTCCGCAAGGTTTCGAGCCAAGTTTGTGACGTCTTTCGAAGGAGGTGGAGGAAAGAATTTTCCACGGACGACCTGGTGCTCCCAGTAATAAGCACGAACGTACTTACGAGCACGATCAGCAAATCGATCCGCTAGGAAAGCAGGAGTGCTGTAGCTGATTGAGCGAGTGCAGCGGCCCATCATGTAACAGATGTTGTGGGTCAGTTCCTGGATGGCGTCCGAGGCGTTGGGTCCAACTTCACGTTTCAAGCTTGGGTTTCTAAAGATCTCATCATGGATAACGACATAGTGAGCGGAACGAGCCGAACCCTGCAGCGGAGCCTGCGCCTGGAGGTAGAAATCCCAGTAGATAGGGCGGGTAATACCTCGATCAACCACAGTTCCATTGAAGCAGTTCGATCTTCCATCCATATCCTTCGAAGTCGTCGGGAAGAACCGTGTGTTATGACGCTTGCCACCAACCAGGATAGTGACGTTGGGCTGTTTTTTATCCCCATACACCGACTTGAAGGCTTTTTGGACGTCCCCCAGCTCGTCTCTGAGAACCATCTCATACTGACCTTCACTAACACCGTCACGGAAGATCAGAATATTCTCGGGTAGTTGTCCCTTGTTATCAACCTTCCAACGCTGAAGACGTGCCTTCAACATCTCCTCCAAGAATTGGACATTCTCCCTGCGGCGCTCCTGGATCCTGACCTGACCAGGCCATTGTCCCATAAGCGCATTGGTGCTGGCGACAATGGAAGCAATGCTTGGGAATGTATCGGGATCCGTAGGAGAGGGGTGGGTCACATCAAGGCCAACAACCATAGTCTTCCCTGCCGCAATCAGTGGAGAGGATGCAGGCATTTCGAGAGTCTGGTTGACTCCTCCAAAGCGAAGATTGACCTTCATCGCGTTGTTGGCGTGGTACTGAGCATTCTCAGCATCGCGGTCAGTCGGCCAGAACTTTGTCATAGCACAGCAGTGAGTCATGATGCCATCCATAGTATCTCCACGCCATTTGAGATGATCAAACACCCGGTCCTCCGAAGCTGGAATGAGGATGACTGCAAGCTCAACATTCTTTTGTTTCAGTTTGGAGAACATCTCGTTGATCTGCAAGAGCCGCTCTTTTGGCTGAAGTTTATCCAGCTTAATGGTCAGGACCGTGGGAATCAAGCCTTGCACATCCATGCCCAACTCCCTCATCTTTCTTTCAAATCGCCGGAATTCTGGCATAGGATCACTGCGCGGATATCCCTTCTGTTTCTCATTTGTGATCACGACAGCAGCCCACGTTCTCACTTTGCAGCCAATGGTAAATTTCCTGCCGCGCAAATTCCACGAGCCCCCTCTGGGAGTCTCCTTGCCATTTCCATACTTCAAGTTGGGGGCGTTGAGAATTCGAGCCGGGACGACACCCATTTCGGAGGACACTTTTATTCCGAGCTTCATTGTGTGGTCATTCTTCACTCCGGTGATCTCGAGGCCGTGGGTGGTGATCGAGTCGTAATTCTCTGGGGGCTTCCGGCAACTGAAGGTGATGATATTCTGGCGCTGTTTCAGCAACAATTCGCCGCGGAAGACCCGACCACGAGGAATTTTCAAGACATCCATGGGGAGGTATTCAGGTCTCTCTTTGTTGCCGACGTTCACCACGGGCTTGTCTCCATGTTTCAAGGTCACATTGTGCACTGTCGAACCTTGTTAGCAAAGTCATATTTTAGGGGGAGCGGTCTGCACGCTGTATACATACCATTTTTGAAGTAGTTGGCAACGGCGATGTAGCTATTACCATCGTGGAATTCAACGCTGTGAGCGTCAGCTCCAAAATCTTTGACTCTGGGTGGATGTTTTTCTTTCCGTCCATCCTCTTTGTCCGCAAGGGCCCAGATGGTCTTGATACGAGGAATCTTTCCTTTTTCAGTCTCATCACTAAGGTGCGTGCACTCAACCCGAAGCATCCTCACGTATCTGCTGAAGAGCAGAAGTTGTTGATCGGGCCTGACGTCCTGTGTTTCCGCACAGAATGCATTCCACAGATCGACCAGCGGGCCAGGACGGTAGAACGCACTGTGATTGACACTCAGGTTGAGTTGGACACCGCTAGCAGTAAGACGCACACTTGCGTAGTAACCACGAATACACTCGAGTCCTCCGAAGAGATTGGAGGACTGTTGACGACCGTCGATCCAGAAAAACTTGTTATTGCTACCTTTGCCAAGAGTAGTAATACCACCGTCTTTTCCAGGATGAGCGGCCATGAGAATATTCAGGGCCCGGACCATAACAGCCTCGCCTTCATCTGGGGTCCGCAGTGTAGTGTCTTTGAGTTTAGCAATGATCTTGTTATGATCGATCACAGTGTTCAATTCTAGCTTGACCGAGTATTCTTTGTGCTTGTCTTTGTCCTTGAGTTTGAAGGTGAGGGTAGGCACATTCCCAAGGTTTCCCAAAGTGATCAGCTCGGTGGCTTTGTCTGAGGCAGCACCAATTCTCACGATGTTCGGGTGTGCAAGGATCTTGTCCCAAAGCTCCAGCAGATGCCGCTTGGGCTTCGGTTCCGGAGAAATCTTGGCGATGTAGGAGTGAATCTTGACCTTCGGATTCAAGTCCATACTGAAGTAGTTGGCACGCACGGTGATCTGCCTTCCCTTGGTACCATAGACAGGACGCGCAGCCAGTGTGCCTTGCTCAGGTCGGACTGGGCCGCCAGCAGTGATCCAGCTGTCCTCAAATTGATGAACAGTCTTCGTGATCTCAGCTGATCCCTCGAGCATCTTGCTGTATAAAATTGTAAGCATGTGTATCGAAAAGGGAACAAATTAACTTGGTATAACTTACCTTGGACCAGAAGGAGGGCCACCTGAACGACCTCCACCGCCACCTTGATAACCGCCGCGGCCACCACCTTGACGGGGAGCATCACCACCGCCAGGACGACCACCTCGGTAAGGCATATCGCCGCCACGACCGGAACCACCACGAAAGTTACCAGACATATTGCCTTTGGTGCAATTGTCCAGGAAGGAAAAAGATGGAAAAGGGAGTATGAGGGGAGGGTATGAATGGAATGAAAGGGGAAAGCAGGTGAGGAAGGTGTGAAAAGGGAAGTTGCGTTCGTGAATGGACAGGATCTATCACAAGTCTGGGTCTTCGATGACCCAGTGCGAGATCCGAGGAGGGAAGGACTTTAATAAAGGGGGATGACGATGAGGGTGAGAAAGGGTGAGGAGGAGAGAAGAGAAGACTCGGGGTCGAGGTCGAGGATAAAAATTTATATGTCTGCCAATGGTCAGCAATTGGACCCGGAAGCTTCTTTAAAACGACAAACGAAGCGTGCAGCCAGGCACCGCAGCAAATATTGTTGAAGTAGAGCGTGTTGTTTGGATTCAATGGCGGCAAATAGACGTGATAAGGGATGTCCAGAGCAGGCCGGACAGCAACGGAAGCAATTGAGCAGATTCCGGAGGATGGGGCAGATGTAGGCGGAATGTTTGTGAAGTTAGGGCTGGGGGAACATAGTGGAAATCGTATGCACCAAGGCAAAGAGTTGGACTTGGTCATAGAAGGAACCGGATTGACCAGGAATTGGGAATACTGGGGGCGGAAGACAAGTCCCAGGTAAGATGGAAAATGCAGATGCACAAGTGGAAATAGTGTAGAAATGAGATGTGAATAACAAGATGATGATAGAATGCAAGAGTATAGCACATAGTGATTTCAGCATAAAAAGTAGAAATTGAGTTACCTTGATTGGCTCAAGACAAGCCGCGTATGAAAATCTGTATGTGTAAGCCTTGTAGCATGTGTGTGTGTGTGTGTGTGAGATGATAGGAATACGAAAGGAAGACGGTTAAGAATCGAGAGAAAAGTTAGCGAGCAACTGATTTAGTATGGTAAAAGTTGTCAGTATTGAGCAGGGCTACATATCCCTGGAAAGCTGGCGTCTCGAGGCCCCTGGAAGAAAGCATCCGGTCATGTTTACTGCAAGTTTAGCACCAAGAAAAAATGTAGCTTGTTCAAGTCTGTAATCACCTTAACATATACACAATCCAGGAGGGGGCTTGAAGTTCAGAATCTTTTGACATTAGACAACGATGAATGTGTCTAAACATTATGTAGAGTAAATCTAACATTTTGGAGTATAACCCAAAGACCAAAGCTGAAAACGCAGTGAGTAACAAACCAAACACCAAACCAACCTTCTGAACAGATATACCCAATGATATAAAAAGAATCCCAAGAGAAAAAAAAAACACCGGCTATAACGTACAGAGATATCAAGGTGATGAAATACAATCAAGAAGACAAGAACAAAGTATGCAGTTTTAACACAAGACGGCTTCCAATGCCTCCACATCACCGCCGGCATTGCGAACGGCACGAAGGGCAGCCTCACTCAATTTACGGCGTCGGTCCTTGGCCTCCTGCTCCCGACGGGCCTTTGTCTTGGAGCTACCAGAGGGAGCGACACCAGTGAGGATCTTCTTGCTGTCATGGGCGGTGAAGTTGACGAACGACACACTGACAGACTTGTTTGCTCCACGCGGGCTGGTGGAGCTCTTGGCAGACTTGGGTCTAGTCATGCTTTGACCCGAGAGTTTGCGACTGTGCTTGCGGCTGTGGTTCCCCTTGACACCATTGCGTGTATCTTTGGGGGAAGAGCCAGCTGTAGGGGAGAGTGATGGGGAGCGGGAAACGGTTTGAACTTGAGGAGCGGTGAATGGGGTCATGAACTTCTGGTTGTTCATGGGAAGCATGGCGGATTCGCCGGACATGTCAAAAGAGGGATCCATTTGGATCATCAGTCCTCCTTGCATCATGTCATTCTGGGCCCCAACACTTTGCAAAGAGCGTTGAGGTGCGGGTGATGTGACCATGGTTTGGTAGTTGGTCTGTTGTTGAGCGACTCGTGTGGGCATCGGGGACCACCACTGTGCATCGTGACTCGGGAGATCGGGAGTAAAGGAAAGAGAGGCTGCGAGGGAGTCCGATTGCCATGAAGAGAGAGAGTGAGGATCTGAGGAGTGCGATGAAGAGAAAATTTCATCAGCAGAAGGAGGGCTCGAATTGGTCACAGCTGACGAGCCAGGATGGCTCATGTATTGTTGCTGATGGCGGGCAATGGCACCAGCTGAGGGAGATGGCATAGAGACAGCAGGAGATTGGTGGAAGAGACGGGCATCATAGTGAGCGGCCATCTCTGCAGAGTTTCTGGGGTGATTCATTGTGGCAGTGTCGCTAGGCATGTTCTCGTGTTGGATCAGAACATCGGAAGGCGGGGGAGATAGAGGAAGGCGATCATCGGAGCCAGTGAGGGTGAAGTTTTGAATTCTCTGGGCCCAGGCCTCGGGATACGCCATTCTTCCTTTTTGGAGAGACGATCGCATCAAGCTGGGGGAGAAGCTTTGCTTGCGCAGAAGCGCCCGGCGCTCATTCGGATCACGATGGCGGATAGACTTGGGGGTAACGAGAGCACTCTTGTTTGCTTTACGCTGAGGAGTCGCGGGGGGAGTTGAGGGAGCAGCAGTAGGGATCGGGGTAGGGACTGCAGGGCGGGAAGATGCTTCGAAGTTGGTTAGACCTAGGTCTGAGATGGCAGAGGGATGGACTGTGTCTTGAAAAGCGAACTGATCGCCAGCAGAGCTGTCGTCCTGCAGGGACCAGTCTTGCGTCCAAGGTTGCGGTGACTGACGATGGCGTTTCGAAGTGGAGACAGTGGGGGAGAGATCGCCACAATCACTTGATAGCGCGTCCAGCGGGAAGAGCTGGTCAAAGTGACTGGAGAGCATGGGGTCTTTGCAGTCGGGGGCGGAGGTATCCATATTGACGTATTGGTTGAATAGATCATTGAAAGAATGATCGAATGGTTGGGCGAACATCTTGCTTGAGATTTCCGTTTGCAGCCACAGCAGGTGAGCGAGCTGGACAAACGATGATTGGCAACCACCAAAAGTCAACGAACCGCGGCTGAGCGGGAGGTTCGCGCTGATTTGGTTAGGGCTGGAAGTGGAAGGGAAAGGCGGAGAAATCGGAGATCTGCGCAGATCGGCCGGGTAAGCCGAGAGAGACTGGGAAAAGGCGATCTGAGATGCAAAGGATGCAAAATGCAAAATGCAAACCGGTCCTGCAGAGAATGAACAGACTGTTTGACTCTTTGACAATTGATAAAAACACAGCTGAGTATGCAAAGAAAGCAAAGCAAACAAACAGCTCGAGGCGAGTATTTGAAGGGCTGCGGACAGTCCCAGCCTCGGGGTTTCTGCATACATTCCAAAGAACTGGCCAAGATGTGTCAAGAATGCGTTGTGAATGACCCGGTTGGCCCATGGCCGACTCCACTGGGCCCCAAAGGAATGACAGAAGACTCCCTCACGCCAGATAGACCAATTGTCAGGCCCAGAAAATCGAACGGGCGACTGGAGCTCCCAGACGGTGTCCACCCCCAGGGTGGATGTGGGTTCGGATAGCCACCCGTGGGAATGCAACCCTCCCTCACTAAACCAGAAGCAGAAGACGTGAATAAATCACCGTGGCGGGAGTGGGGACGGGAAGAGGACATAGGCATGTCAAACTAACACCCTCCACTAAAATTATCAATGCTCCTTTCGTGGCATAGGGGAGTATGAAGCATTGGAACGGGGGACTCGCCGAGCCGCCCAGGAGAAACCAGCGCCCATACACTTGGCCGAGTGGGTCTCCAAGGTATGGTCCCCTCGCGCCAGTGTATGCGTCATGACAGTGGTGATCTAATCGTCAATGGCTCACTCTCGGCTGACTCGGAGTATCAAGCGGAGATGCAGCACTTGACACGGACTCGACATGGGGTTGCCCTCTCGCCCTCTTCCTGTTCTATCATTAGTTAGTACAACCTTCTCGTGGAGAAACCGTTGGAGTGTTGCCCAATGCCAGAGCGCAGATAGGACTGGAATGTGGACCGGGCATGTTTGAAGGCTGGGTGGAATGTCACACCCGCCCGCTCCAACAATGCACCGGACAGTCTTTTGGCATTCGAGAAGGCTGTTTGGCTGTTGGAAGCCATGTCCCAACTTCCAAGTATAGTGCAACAAAAGAAAAGCTCCGACCTGCAGGGGATCGTCAGTCAGGACAAGCCTGTGGTTGGCTCTTCTCGAATTCAAGCTCAATTCTATAATTATCCACCCTTTCAAACATCGTGGCTGAAGATCGCTGAAGAAATGATCGCAAACATCACTGTTTCGTTGTTCAAGTCATGCCTGAAAGGTATCTTCCATGTACTGCTGAAGGAATCACGAGTCATGACGCCATCCAGGGCATCGCGACAGGGGACATCAGTTTCTTGGGTATTCTTTGTTGTCTCAGACCACCGTTCACCAAATCCGGACAACCAAAGCTGGATCGTGAGTGGATGGTACCCAGGAGAGAAGATATCGAAAGCAGAGAGGTTCTTTGTTCAAGAGCTGGGAGTTGGGTGCGATGACGTGTCAGCGCCAGTATACGCCCAACTAATGTGTGGGAGAGTTGGCATTGTTTTGATATTCCGAAACATGTGGATGGTTGTAAAAATAGCTTCCAAGGCCTTTCTTTTTCCCTTGGGAGCTCGACAGTACGATTATGAGGCACTCACTATATTGGACGCCAATCTGGTCGGGAAACAAATCCCAGACGTCCGCACCAGACAACAGGTCCCTTGGAGCTAGTATGAGGCGGTCAAGTAACGGCTTGGTTGTTCAAACAGTAGTTTGATGCACTTGCGCAGTGGTACCGGGTTATTGTAAACGGGACTTGGTAGATACTGTAGTTGCTCGTTCCTTGAGCACGAAGCTGGTCTTCGGTGGTGGGGAGAGAACACCGAGAGAACCAAGCGCGACCTCTGTTGGCGGGTCAGTATGTCACTTGCGAAGCTACCGTACATGCGAGATCTTGTAGAAGAAGTCGACATGCGAACCCATCTTCCTATAGTTCTGGCAATCGTAGTCCCGCCAGCCACCTTCTAGAATACTGTCGAACCGGATCAGATCCTGGATGACGTCTGTCTTGGAGGCCCCGGGCTTTGACTCTCCAAAAACTTCACAAAAAGAGACTTGCAAGGGGATATGCAATTGATTGGCGCCTTGCATTTGCTAGAGGCCGCTCCCCTTGCTCTTTTCGTAGGGCATTGGGCTGTCCAAATTGTCGGCAATTGAGCCGTGGATCGGAGGAATCGATCGGAGCGGCGGCTGACTCAGAATGACCAGAATCCCGTGAGGCGACCACCAGACAGAAACAAGGTTCAGCTGAAAGAATCATCTTCTATTATTATTGACTTGACCATCTTTGCTTCTTCCTCCAACCCCCTCTCGACAGTTATCTGAACTCCGTTCGGTCACCGGTCTTGCTGAGACTACCTTCCACCATCCACCTTCGCCTCTCTGACGGTTGCCGCTGACTCCCTCCAAGAGGATTCGCCGGTGACTCAACGACCCCTCGCACCCCGCGAAACGTGGGTTAACTGGGTTCTCACCTCGGTCACCTCACTTCTCCTCACTGTCCCACTCTGCTCAACCGACTACATCCGCCTCACAGTCTTGATCAAAATTCAACAATCTTCTCGCAGGTCGGATCACGACCATCCCCCAGCGTGAAGGCCCCGCCGCATCCCCTAACATTCCGGTGCCGCTTGCATCGCGTCGCGAAAATACCACGACCTCCCTGGCCTTCTCATCCTCGTTCTCACCACACTTACAACACGATCGACTCCGACGGGATTCTCTTCCTCCACCTGTCCCATCTCTGACGGGATCTACCGCTCCAAGTCCTTGGTGTTCAGTATCTAGGCGAACCACACTTCGAGATTCGAGTCGCAAGAGGAACGACCTCAACGAAACCAACTAAACCCCGATACTACATTCGCAAAATCATGTATTCGCAGATTCTTCTTGCTGGGGGCTGCCCCGTCAAGTTCCCTTAAGCGATCACACGATCACCGTGTGCCTCACCATGGATCTCTCTCCGTGCAATCGAGGCTTTCCTCGCCACTCCATTATCTCGAGTTTTACCTAAGTCTCCAACATTCCTCTATCGATCGCGACGAACCTGGCCATCGCTAGGCTCGAAATCTGCCGGGAAAATTCGTCGTACCACAACGATTGTTTCTCCAATACCCCAGCGCCCAACATGGCCGCCACTCACGCCACCCACAGAGAGTCATGGGATTCTCTCTCCTCCACCTTTGCCCACCTCGAAGTGTCCTTCTCACAGGACAGCTGCTACGGTTCTGATGAGGTTTCTGTCTCATCCAATAATCCTGCCCCACTTGAGTCCAGTGTCGCGACCTTCATCGACAAGCGCGCCACCACTATCCACCCGTTCTTGAAATCGATCCTCAAGAACTCCACTTCCGACATACGTGATGAAGTCGATGGCACTGATTCTGAGTCTGGATATGGCTCAGACGATATTGAATTCGATTACGATGCCCTCTCGGAGGATGATGAAGATGAGGACGATGACGATGACATGTCCGATTTTTCTATCTGGGAGGAGACAGCGGAAAACGTCCCTGAAACACGAGAAGACCGCACCGACACCTTCGATGATGCTTTTATCGGATTTGAGCCTTCTGTTCGGTTTGCTCCGCAGATCGAATACATCGAAAACCCTTGTCTCGCAGAGGAGGACGAGACCTCTGACAGTCAAATGACATGCCATGAGATGATGATGCTGGCCCTTCAATCCAGCTCCGCGAGCTCCGCGAGCTCCTCGTTCCACTCCGAGGACGAAGGTGACGATGAAGATCATCCTCAATGCGAGTTCATCCGCAATTGTACCAACCATCCCGAAGACTTTACTCGCGATGCGGTCGATGTCGATCGTCAGCTATTTGTCGCCTACATGAACGGCATTCACGGAATTGCCGACGCCAAATACAGGGCATACATTCACACACAGGCAGACAATATCAGACTGGGCCACGAAGCCGAGTCCATGCATCCAGACGACGCACCTTGCATGTACCTGGACTCGATTCAGAATCATGTCATTGGTGTTTTCCGCAACATCCTCTCCGTGGCTGAGCTGGACGACCTCGTCGGTCTCCGCAAACAAGATGTCGCTGCTGAGCAGGCCAATCCTGACTCTGCCAACCTCTCCCAAAACCACCATCGCGTCCTTCTCGACAAAGTCGAGCACTTCCTCCTTGACCGTCTGGCCAACGGTCGAGTCGATGTATGCCCGGACGAGATGAGCTTCCTTGCTGGCGGTATCGTCCAAGCACTCGGCACGCAGGACCTTCCTGCCTCGACCTAGACCCCATACAGCTCAGGGTCATGAAAAGAACAGAGCTACGAGTTTACGATTATGAAAAATGGGTTATTTTCGGATTCGCAACAGCGCGAAGTGTATTCACTGGTTCACAACAACCATGAAAAGGAAAAGTATTCGGGTTTTGAAAACAGCAATGCGGGGCCATGGTTCTACATCATGTATTTTTGCCTAGCTAGCACTTGAAATTTTTAAGAATTCCTCAACTTACATTCTAGTCTTCGCCGTAGTTTCATAAGCAGGTAACGCTCACTGGACTCAGTGACCGATAGGCCTTGCTGAGGGCCAACCGGCCATGTTTTCTTCGGGCAGTGAATATCCATCCCCGGTGCCTTCCTTCATCTACCAGGATCCCCGGACGCCATGTGTTGACCAGCGTCTGGTCCAGGCCCAATCTTATTCCTCGCCCGTGCTCTGCGGCGGCTGTCTGGCCACCTGCAGCATCTCGAAATGGCCGGGAGCATCCAATCTTAGATTGGTAATTTAGACTGGTGCGAAGCAGGAAGTAAAATAGAGCATCTTCGTTGCGATAGTGATCATAAGAGAAGTGGGCGAATGTTGATTCTGACGACAAGACAGCAGGGTAGACAGGCTACCTTATTTTCACAGGACTGCGAAGGAAATCATATTTCTCGCCTAGACATCTCAAATTCTCTAGAGTTCTAAGTTTGTCAGCCTCTGTTGGTCTCTCTCGCTATGTAGCTTGACAAATAGTATGAGGTGTTATGAATAACCACCGATCTACCATGACAGCCGTGTCCTACACTATTTCTTCTAAATGTGAATAACCGTGTCCACAAGGCTTCAATCCCGATACCAACACTGCTAAGGAGAAAAGATTCCAAACCCATGGTCTAGAACTTTACCATACAAGCTAACCTCTCCCATTCCCCCGTGCTCAGGACTCACCCTCAAGCCGAAAGCAACGCACGCCCACCCGTTTCATGTTTCAAGTATTGATCGCCAATCTTCTCTCATAGCCCTCTTTGCCACCCCACTTCCCTCCCGAACAAAGGCACGGAAGCTAACTCCCTCGAGTCTCGACCCCTGACGCCTCCCCCATCAACATAACCCCTCCTTCCGTCTTTGCTGCAAGTGATGCCCTGGCACGCGGGTGTTAGACCCGGATCCCGGGTGGCCAGGATGTTGCTGGCGTTAGTGGATGATGAGATATCGGAGAATTTCAGGTTTCCTTCCGTATGGGGTAGGGATGGGCTAATGTGGAAAGTGGGCTTGAGGTCTATCCTTTTGGAGAAATATCCAGCGATAACTGTGGCTATTGAATTACTTTTCTATCTTCGTCTCTACTTGGTGAGTTTGTGGGAATCGCTGGCTACAGTTCTGCAGAGCGTGAAGTGAAGGTTCGAGGCTGAGCTTACTGTGAGATCGTCCCCTGCGAGAGATATATGTTAGAAATTACCTGAAGGTGGAAGTGTGATGATCGGTGGAGTTCTGCAAGTAGAATTGCCGTGGCAAGAAGCAATGTCAATGCCGACTTCCAGGAACCTGAGCGATGTCTTCCACAGTCATTTTGGATCCGGACTCGAACGGTCTTGTACAGACAGTTCCTCGTTCTGGCGAGCAGCTCGAATGCACAATAAACTACGACACATACCTGCACTACCCATGTACAGCTCGCTATCGCGTGACTCCTCTACGTGTGACAGGTCAGGTAGATAGGACGGCTGCTCGAGTGAAAGTACAAGAATGGAAAGTTGGAGGTATCCAGTTGCCGTTTTGGTGGCGTGTGACGATCACTCAACGGCGAAGCGAGCACAGACAGGGACACAAAACCAGTCAGATGCATCCAGGTCCCCCTCGTTGTCTGAGCACACGATGCGGTGAGGGTTTGACTTGGAGCAGTTGTTTCTTGATGTGTCGCACTCTACGTGTAGGCAAAATCCAACTATCATTGATCTATGAACCTCGGATTTAATCAATTTCAACAGGATGAATCAACACAATGGCACAGTCGATACGAAGCAAAGAGCAACGAGATACCCACCACTTGCACATGCAAATACAATCACTACTGTAGCTAGCCACACCTTACTCCATCCACCATCCTGTACAATAATAGCTTAAAATCCATATCCCCATATCCCCCATTTCCCTTCACGAACAAGGACCTGCAGGTCTTGGCTTCGCGCGGTGTGGAGCCCCGGCAAAGGATTGACATGAGGAAAATCCAATTTTGACAGCCTCCCCCGAGCCCAGGAGTGGAAGGGGTGGACCATGCCCACCCACTATTGTTATCCGTCGGAGTTTACACATTGACCATCCTTATTTCCTTGGATGTTGCTGGCGGGAAGTACCGGCCGTGGTAGCTGTAATCAGGGCTGTGTGGGCGATCAGCATCCACATTGGGCCTTGCTAGGAACTAGGCATATTCTTGCACTTTGTGGGCTACAGCCGGGCGTATCAGTGACGTGTGGTCATGATTCTTGTGTTATAGACCTAACACTATAGACTTGCGAAGTTATGCCAGGTATGTGCTAAATATAAACAACATCTAGATCATGGTTGGTTCAAAAACCGTTGAGCGGGATGAGGCGAAATGAAGTAAAATAGTCAGATAACTATACGACAATTATTGCGCTTACTATCCCCTCCATAAGTCCGACCCCGGCGCCTTCAAGCCTAAGGCCAACAAGGATCATCCATCTTGGGATGCAGGGAACACCTTTCCTCGAGGGCCCAATAGCGTGTCCAGCCAGGCAATAGAAATCTGCACGACGATGGGCAATGGAAGAATCGATATGACACATACGATGTCGTGAGTCAGTCATGAAACTACCTCGCCACTTAAGCCCAGTGCGGTACAGGAGCAACTTGCAAGACAGAAATCGCCCTGCACCATGCAATTATTTGTGATTCGGAGCCCTAAGCCTTACTTACGAGAAAAAGCAATAATGCTTGAGAAAGAGGGGAAATGAAGGGACGTAGCTAGGGAGTGTCACTCAAGTTATCATACCTACGGTGTACAAGTAACTAAATTAGAGGGCAGGTAGATATACGAGAACGAGGACTAATAGTTATACGCAATGACAATGACAATAATGAACTCGCGCGGCTGGGCAGGCAAAGTAGCGTAAACAAACCAAATAATACTTCCATTGTAGCCACGGAGACCAGACAGGACGCCGATCGCATAGACCATAAAGTCAATTTAGGTACTCCGTACAGCGTGAAGAACGGAGTACGAAGACCTACGTTTAGCGCGAAATCCCCGGAGCGAAGGCCTAGAAGCGTGCGAATGCGATGCTCTCACATGTGCATGATTCAGGCCCTTTATCCAGGTATTCGGGATTGCGCCTTATGCTCAGGGGCGTTGGTGACCGTTGTTATTGTACTTATTACTCTGCATCGTCGAATTGATTGACCGCTCCTTGAATCTCGCCTCGAGGAGAGGGGTCCACATCGCAAATTGCTTTGGAGTAGGTCATAAGCACTCTTCTTGGTGGGTAAGGTTGAGGGGTAAGAAAGTCCAGGGACGGGCAGGTTGGCAGCAATAATCATCATTTGGACACCGGGGTCGTTTGCATTGATTAAATCGTATTGTTTCGTCGTGAATAGCCCCGTCATCTCATGGATCGTGAGGTTCAATTGCGCTGTTCCGTCAAGGCTCGTCTACGTCACGGTCTACCATCCTTCGTTGGAATCTACCAAAATTGGGGCATGCCTGATTTTCTGGAATCAATGGTGGTTCCAAAACATTATATATTTGCCGCGGGGGAATTGAGCATTAACTGCAGTAATCCCGCAAGTCGATTTGGAGTGTAGTGGGCATGGCAAACGGTGGACGAGGTCATGATTGGAGGGTCCAACGCAGAAGGATCGCTGCGATCGACAGAATAGTCCGAATCCATAGTTATCCTGGCTTGGAATTCCAAATCCTTTGTCAGTCGTCACACTCAGAGTACAGTATCTACCGGAACCAAGCACATTATACTACTGGGTCTACTGGGTCCGTCAGGTACCACGGATGATTGCCAGGGGAAGAACCTGGGCACCGCCATTAGACCGGAGTGGTTCGGGGAGGAGAGCGACAGGGCATGCGATGGGGATGTGCGTCGATATTGGGGGACTCGCAAATGATATCCGGCCGAGCCTGCGACAATGTATGGAATATCGGGCCTGAATGGCCGAGTAAAGACCTCAGTTAATTAAGTATGGAGTAAGGAGTACGGACTCAGCTGTGCCACACCGGACCAGCCTAGACCACGTTGACCCTGAGTTGATACAGTCAGGCGTCGCACAAAGGCATCTTCTGATTATGTATTATTGGGAGGAGACCCAAGAGTCCAAGACCTCAGCATCAGCCGAAGCCTCAGCCACAGCACACTGGCATGTTCTCCTCGTGCGTATTGCCTACTTGGGAGGTTCCATGGAACACATGGGCGAGCACTTGAGGAAGGTGTGTGTTCGTATTAGACGGCACCGACGGAGACCAGAGGTCGTGCAGAGCCTATGAGACGATATTGGTAGGGTCCACCTCGGGACATGAGAGGAAAAGAAGGTTTTAGAAGGCCAATGGTGGCATCGGTGGCAGCGTGGCCACTGGCCACTGACCAGGGGGGCCACTTACAGTACAACAGTATGTACATATGTACGGAGTACGGAGGACTGGAGTAAGCATGTGGGCGGAGTGGAAGGCATGGAACCACGATCGAAGCCCCCCCCCCTAAAGGCCCGGAGATATGGACGAAACGAGCCCACCAGAATCAAATCACAGTGAGAACAAGGCCAGGGGGTATCCTCTTAGCCTCTTAGCCTGGTCTGGAGGAGCAAGGTACTGGAGTCCTGGACCGTTTCAGCGGGCGAGCGAACCGACTCGGGCAAAACCAGAATCCAATAGAGCGGCCTCAATGGGGCAAAGCGTGAAGACTAACCATTGCCAGGCCCCAGATCTGAAGCATGCGCAGACGTCGATTGGTCGTATCGAACCTAGTGGACCCAGACCATCCAGACAATCCTCTGCCCAGTGGAGTCCACTAGCGTGTTCTCGGGGCCCGTCGATCGGTTCACTCTTTTCGCGGACCCCCTGTTTCTGCATTGCCATAGGCCACTCGGGTAAAGGTTACCTCCGGGCAGGACCGTGGTTGTGCTGACTGGGTCAGCAACTCAACAGAGCGAAGATGGGCATTGAGTCAGGTACGGTACCTGAGATGATCAGAAAAGGGGGGGCGGGAGTAAACGGCGTGAGAGTTCATTTAGAACTGATGATGATGACAGGCAAAGTCTGGAGGAAGTGGAGAGAAAAGAAAAAGAAAAGGTGGAAAGTCCAGTAGTGCCGATCGTGCAGGAAGAGAAAAGTCGGGAGTGGCCACTGGCCACCTCGTGCGGGCTGCACGCCTCCCCGCCTCAGGGGGGGGCAATAAGGAGTGCTACTACTGTAAGAATCTAAAGTCTGTACGGAGTACTCCGTACTGTATTACTACTATTAATTAATATATCCTCGTGGGCCTGGAGGTCGTGGACTTGGGTCAAAGGTAACATAGTCGAATACATGCATTCTGAACTTTCTGTACTCTGTACCGTACAGTGGACGGAGTTTGAGATTCACAAGGATATGGGACTAGCAACCACAAGCGCGATGATAGAGTTCCAATACAATAGCTTCTTTTTGCAATCTGATATTATTTCCATTTTCCATTTTCCATCCTTCACTCCTGTCTCCTGGCTAGCTCCATAAATTATTATTCGGTGGTCCATCCCCGAATCAGCCAGCGAGTCTCCACCTGAGAACAGTCGCAGTGATCAGAATTCTGGGAATTGGAAGCTAACTCCATTATTTTTCTTTTATTCCTCCACCGATTCCAGTTTGACGCCATTAAACTCCATTCGGTCGTCCATTTGGAACTCCTGTTGCCAGTCTCCGTCTCTCTCTTTCTTCCCTATTTCCAAGCCTTCTCCCAGCAACCTCACTACTCTCCATCCCACCTCCCCCCTCTAACTCCTACGACACTCGTTTCAGGGATGCTACAATCACGGACGGCATGATCACTCGCTTTTACGCCGGTCCATATGGGTACGTGAGAAACCCTTTCCTTGCTTTTTTTTGACGGTCAGTCCCGGGGGTAAGCCTGCATCACGCCCCCCCCAAAGAGCGTGGTACGAGACTCGGGCAAAGGCAACCACGCGCAACTCTCCAAGATCCCAAAAATAAAGGGCCAAGGGGAGGTCGCAATGGGCCGCAAGGCCCCCAGAACTGATCATCACCTCCCCTCCTTCGTTCTGAAATGTCAGCTTTCACGACAGGAGAATGTATGTCAGGCTGACCTTGCGCTTTGGAAGTACAGGATGATTTAGAGATTTTGATTCGTCCCAGTCTTGCTTCTGCGACTCTCCTCCCATACCCTTGAGATCGAGGGTCACGAAACCCCAGAGTCCCGAGGAGAAAGAAAAACAGATTAACAAAGAAACTTCAATCGACGGTCGAATGAGCAATAGTCCAGTCATGCAACAGAGAGGCCCCTCCGGGACCAGGGTGTCTGATTCTCCCGCAATGCAATCTTACAAAGGATCCGATTTCCTGGAGGCCGGGACATTGTCCCGCTCTCGCAGTACCAGTCTCTCCAGCGACTCGCAACACCCCCGAGTCACCTTCATGTCGCCTCCCTCGGTTCGCCCGCCGCCTGCTTTCATCTCGTCCTCCGCTGCCTCGGAGATCATCACTTCTGACCAAGAATTCAACGCCGCCGACTTTGCTCCCGAGGATGAGGGGACGGGCGCTGGCGCAAATGCGCTGGTGACCCCCGCCGCGCTCTCTTTGCTGAATGGCTTCCTCGACAACCTCCTGTTCAATATTCTGGCCACATCCAAGTCGACCCAGCTCGCCTGCATCCGACCCGCCCTGGCCGATGTGCTGAAGCCGCGCTTGGCTTCGGAGGTGGTGGCTACCGCTGACGAGGAGTTGAGCGAGTATATGGGAGGTGCGGAAGATGAGCAGACCGAGTTTCGCGGGGGTCACGAACCGGGCGGCGATTTCGACCTCGTGCGCTCGTGGAAGTTGACGCGCCTGCGTTGTATGGTGTACACTCGGCTGGGTGACATGGAAGAGGAGGATGAGGACGAATTCATTTCGCAGGAGGGCCTGGGCGAGAACGACGGAGCACCTCGCAGATTCACGAGTCATGTCGACAACATTACGCCCGCGGCAGCTATCTTCCTGACCTCGATTATTGAACACATTGGCGAGCGAGCGCTCGTGATTGCGGGCGAGACGGCGCGATCCCGCCTATTGGCGAAATTGAACGACGGGCAGGACGACGAGGCAGACGAGGATGAGGATCGCAAGCGAATCGACCGACTCGTGGTGGAGGATCTAGATATGGAGAAATTGGCGCTGAATGCGACTCTCGGGCGATTATGGCGCACATGGAGGAAGCGCAGACGTAACACCACTCTTGCAAGGGCTTTGTCGCGCGAATCCTTCCGTCGACGCGGATACACACAGAATCTCGCGAATAGCCGGAAAAGCAGCGTCGTGACTGTCGAAGAGCCCATGAGCCCTCAGGAACAAGCGCTGCTTGAGGAACTTCCCGCTCCAGTTGACCCTGCCGCTGTCCCTCTGCCCATTGGCGATTATGATGTGCAGGAGATTGAGGTTCCCGGATTTTCGTCCGAGTTGGAGGGTGAAGTACAGACCATGGAAGCTGTGGTGGCGCACAAGGTGCGACCGCGTAGTCTCATGGTCTTCTCATCCCCCTCCCTGACACCCAAGTCCCCTGGCTCAACTGGCTCGCCTGTAAGTGCGGGTGCCATTGACAACGCGAAGAGTCTCCGCCATACCCGCTCCAGGTCCTTGCCAAATGCGGCGGCCAGTCCACCGCGCGCACCGCGCCAGACCTCCCAGCAGGCCGATCCTACTGCGACAGCCGATCAGCCGTCTCCCCAGTCGTCTGAGGAGAAGAAACATCTCGAAACCATGTATGAAGATGACGAATCGACGGAATTCGTGGACGCTGCAGAGATTGCCCCTGGCACCGCGATCACCACGTCACACGAGGAGGCCCTAGAGCAGTCCGCGGCAGAATCTGCAGAGAAAGACCGAATGCCTGTGGTACCGGAGGAGGAAGAGGAACAGCCGGCTCCAGCTGCTGTATCTGCTGCAGGTCCTCCCGTCAACGAAATTGTCGCGTCCCTGCGATCTTGTGAGGACGAGGAGGACGCTGCGACCGGTCACAGCGCTCGTGTTTCGGTCGCACCCCTAGGTGATCGACCTACCAATGATCCCGAAGTAATTGAGGGACAAGGATTGCGCGAGAAGCCTACGTTGACGTCGACAATTCACCGACCAAGGCGAAAGGCCAGCAAGGATCATGCAATTCTCAACGCAAAGCCGATCATTGCAGAGACTAGTGAGGATGGTATGAACTCCGTCATGGAGAAGCCGCCAGCCACGCAAGGGGTTGAACCCACACCCACACCATCTGGTGCCACCATCGAGGCTATCAATTCTCCTCGCGATGAAAAAGATCTTGAAGATAGCGATCAGCATATATCAGCCATGAATTCCACGCCAGCGATCGCCCATGCGAAAGACGAAGTGAAACCCGAGAAGACCAGCGACCCGGTTGTCGAAGAACCAGTCGTTCCTACCGAATCCACCGAGCCTAAGATTGAACATTCTGCGGTTCAAGAGCCAGGTTTTGTCCCCGAGTCGCCTCGCCCGGCATCTGCTACAGGTAGCGAGCGATCGCAAAAGTCCCGACGCCACAGGCCCAGTCCACTCGTGGTCGCACCAAGCACCCGCACGTCCCCGAAACTTGAGCAACGAGCGGCGGTCCAGCGCATGCCTCGCTCAAATACGTCAGTTTCATCTACGATTCAGACCAAGTCTCGTCGCTCGGAAAGTGTGAGTAGCTCTCGCGACAAGCGTCCGCTCACCGCCGGCTCCACTACATCATCTCAAGTATCCAGCAAGCTAAAGGGTCTCATGAATCGTCCTCAAGGCGAATCTCCCTCACTGCGTCTGCGTAGCTCGTCTGAGACCAGCCGGGCATCTGGCAGCGCAGGCTCTGTGGATAATGATGCTACGGACCTTGATAAGCTGATCAACAGCGACGAGACTATCCATTTCACTCTGACGCCTCGCAGTGTCCGAGAGATGCATTTCCCGGATATTCCTCGGCAAATTCCGCGCTCTGACACTACGGACACGACCGATCTTGCCGACTTTATCAAGAATACTGGGCCGCCTGGAGAGGAGCCTCGGCCGCGAACTTCTGTATCTTCAAGACACACCAACGATATGAATGCCCTCGGACGCACCAAGTCCATCGAGTCTCCGAAGCACATCCCGATCGCTTCTCGGATGGCTCTACCGGCAAAGTCTCCTGCACGAGAGGTTGCCCGTTCTGCAGGCACTCCGACCTCGATTCGTGATATGGCCGGGAGCACAAAGTCTGCCGGTCCTGCCAGCGCGCCTGTCCAGCAAGCTAGCTCCCCTACTCGCCCTTCATCCAGCTTCTCCGCCAATACAAACAACACAAGTCGGTCCAACCCGAACCGACCCCGTCTCCAGGCCCGTCCTGCTGAGACTCGAGGCTCTCAGACCTCGGAACTGATCGACTTCATCCGCGAGGGGCCACCACAGCCAGGTGCTCACCGTATTCCCCGTACGGTGGCACCATTCCGCAACACTCTCGACTCGGATGATATCCACTTCGATTCTCCACACGAGAGGGACCAGGGCAGCTCTTTCGCCAGCACTCGGGATAGCTCTACTCCTAACAAATCCCTGACTTCCCTTGGCTCACGGACCGGGCTGCTGGATTCGAGCAATCGTGCGAACGGCCATGCCAAGGCTGCGCCGACGAGCGCCGTGATGCAAGACGACGACCGTCCTGTCCCTGTTCGCAAGCAACGTCGCATCCCAGGTCAAGCACCAGACCCGTATGCCATTGACGACGACGACGACGACGATCTCTTGGAAGAACTCATCAACGCTAAACCGCCCCAGCGGGAGGAAGAAAGTCTGATCGACTTCCTCCGCAGCGCACCTCCGCCGGACTTTGAGCAGGCGCAACCCCAGCCGCTGAATGTTAACATTCCCTCCTCCAGAACCAACGGCACAAGTATGAAGTCCCGACTCATGCGCAGCGCTACCTCGGCCGATAAAGCTCCCTCCTCGAAGATTTCTATCAGCTCCCTCCGCTCGCAGGGCACACTCAGCTCTCAGCACCAGCAGTCATCCCACTACTCTTACAAGGTTGGCATGGCTCGTAACCCGGGTAGCATGCCATCCGCGACCAACAGGCCGACAGAAACCTCTGCTCTGGCGGACTTCCTCCGTAACACTGGTCCCCCAGAACCGCCTGCCGGTCATGATCTGGGCACCAAGGGGAAGGAGGGCAGTTTCTCGCGGTTCTTCGTGCGTCGCAAGAAACTCGAGGCCTAATGTTTAAAGGCCTGCCTCACTCTACATACCCCTAACCTTCATAATTCGAGTCATTCACTTGCAAAGTCGATGTCATGCTCTGAGCGTTTCAGCTTAATCTAATGATCCACATACTCTCATGTCCATCGTTTTGTCTGATCATTGCTTTCCATCCTTCATTTTCTCTATCCATCATCAACCTTGGATCCATTGGATCCACCCTTGACGCTCCCATTTATTTGTATAGAGCTTCACGCCTTGTGACATGTTCCTATTATCTCTACTATCTCTTGTGGCTATAGCCAGGTGGCTTTTTCCTTTTCAACCCTATTCTTTATGGAAGTCATATCTCCATTTTCGTGCCCTGTTGTTCTCTTCTTGATATGAACTGAACTCGGCCCGCCTCTCCGTGTCTCCTTCTCTGGATGATATTCTACTCTCTGCAGGACTGAACGACTAATACGGACTTTTTCCTTCATTCTCATTTTCATTATTCTCTTCTTTTGAGATTGACTTCTGGTTCACTTTGACGGATGTCTTTTGGTTTCTGATTCTCTTTTACTTATTGTGAACACTTGCGAGATACCATGTTTGAAGAGCTTGTGTGCCCTGTATCTAAACCTTTTATGCTTCGGAAATTATTATTTCTTCTTGTCTGATTATCTAGTAAACAGTATCTACCCATTCAATAGATAACTATCAGTTGACCTGAACAAAATTTCCCTCTTGACCTTCTGCACCGGCTGTATCACCAGGCTGCTGTCACAGTCGGTTATTGTCGCATGTCTGCACCCTGTCGAGGTTAGGAATATACCGCAACATATCGACGCATGATATTTTTGAACAAATGTCTTCAGTCCAGAATTTGGTCAATATATAGACAAGGAACAAAATAATGATCCAGACGTCAAAAGGTGATCTGTTTCAACCAAGTTTCTCGAAATTGAACAGTATTCTCGATCCATGTATGGTCTCTCGTATACTTCGCGGGTATGCCTGAGCCCGGAACATTGTTGATCCCGCCAAGTCCCCTTACCAGCTGGCATCAACAGCTCTCCTGTTTACCACCGACCATCCCGACAACCATGGGTTCCTCTCCAATCACCATGAGGTCGATCCTCGCTCTTTTCCTACTCGTGGTGCAACTCACCTCCGCCCTCAAGTTCGATCTCCCCGCCACCTCGGGCAAGACTGAGCGATGCATCCGCAACTTTGTCTCCAAGGACCAGCTTGTCGTGGTCACGGCCATTGTGAGCGGCCAGAAGGGTGATGGCCAGCGGGTCAACATGCACGTACGTACTATCTTTCTTGGGGAATGATGAGGATCAATTCTATAAGTTGAGGGCAGGGTGGGTGAATTTGTGATGTGTGGGACACGATGGCTAACGGGCGGCGCGATGCAGATCAAGGATGCGATAGGCAATGACCACGGACGTCCCAGGGATATTGTCGGCGAGGTGCGCCAGGCTTTCACTTCGACTGCTGACACCGCGTTCGACGTGTGTCTCGACAACCAGCTCGTCGGTCGCAGTAAGTTCCCCTCGGCACGCGAGTTGCCCATATTTACACACCCGTCCTCGCCGCATCATAACTAACGCAATTGCCCCGAATAGATGCCGTCGCCAATCCCTCCCGCGAAATCGATCTCGATGTCGAGATTGGCGCCGATGCCCGCGACTGGTCCTCCATTCAAGCTCAAGAGAAGCTCAAGCCCGTCGAGACCGACCTCCGCCGTATCGAGGAGATGGTCGCCGATATCGTTACAGAGATGGACTACCTCCGTGCGCGTGAGCAGCGTCTGCGTGATACCAACGAAAGCACCAACGAGCGTGTGAAGTGGTTCGCGTTCGGCACGATGGGTATGCTCGTTGGTCTGGGTGCTTGGCAGGTTGTCTACCTCCGGGCCTACTTCCGGTCTAAGCACCTCATTTAGAGCAAAATTTGGAGCGGTTGTTTTTTTCTGCTATGTTCGCTTGCGTGAGGGGACTGACGGGTTGCATACATGATTTGGATTTCCTTCTTCGATCTTGGATTTGAGGTGCTGCTGCATGGGGGGTTTCGCGCTTTTGGTGGCCGTTTATGGCATCTCCCTTGTCTTTAGGCATTTCTGTTCCAATAGTCATGACCTCAATGATATAAAATACATGCCCTGCTCCCGCGGAGGTTTAATCGTTCATTCTATGTTCCAAAGTGCACTGTTGTTTACTACTCGGGAGATTCATGATCTAAAAAGACTATGCCTCCGGCTCGCAGAAATCGAGAGACCAGTATCTACCATTGAGTAGCTTGACAGTCGTTTTTATTCCTGATCATTGATTGCTTCCTGCGCAAGAACCTCCCAATACTCTTGGGTGGACCCTCCATCTGCAGTGCCTGGAGGCCGCTGTGTAATTGCGAGCGATCTGGTGGAGCGGCCGACCAACAAACACTGCAAACATCGGGTCATGCAGGCCTCGGGTATCTTTTTTCGGGTCGTTTCTCCAGATGATGTCAAGCCAGCATTGATAATTTACAAGCTCATCAACCCTTCATTTTGCCTTTCACCAGACTCGAATCTTCCATATAGGCATCGGGGATACGGTTATCACAATGTCCACTCCGCGAATCATCAGCCGCCTCCTCCGGCCTGCTCCGGGAGCATTCAGCGCGCGTTCGGCTTCGGCCGTCACCCGTTCATTCGGCACGACCGGTCTGCGCTTCAAGGGCCCCGAGGACGCATACACTGGCAAGCTCGAGCACTTCACTGGCGGTCGCCAGGACCAGGGGCCTCAGAAGCCGGACCTGGAGGTGGGAGAGATGGAGGGCATTACGTTCAAGGTTGAGCCCTTGAAGAGGTCTGGCGAGGATACTACAACCATGCGAGCCCGACTACTATGTTCGTCGCCCCAATTCACCCAAATCTGGCTTCACAATGTTCAACCTGTACGAACAAAAGCTAACAATATTATCCAACAGACCAAAGCCGCAAGCGCGGTATCCTTGAATCCGATCTCCTCCTCTCAACATTCGCCGATGTCTACCTAGGCAGCATGAGCCATGTGCAGCTGCAAGAATACGACCGCTTCCTGGATGAGAACGACTGGGACATCTACTACTGGGCAACCCAGGACCCGCCCTTGGAAGTCCCCGAGGCCGCGCAACGGCCCAAAGAGGACACCGTCACGGAGACGTGGATGAACACCGGCGCCAAGAGCGGCGAGTGGGCGCAGACCGTTGGCGCATTCAAGGCGGCATATCGACCTGTGCCGTCGCGGTGGACGGACTCGGAGGTGCTGCGCTTGTTGAGGGAGCATGTGCGTGATAAGAGCGCGACGGGCTTTGAGTCTGCGAAGAATAAGAAGACTGGTGGTGGAGGTGGTTTGGGCCGGATGCCTGATGTGCAGATCTTCAACTAGTTGAGGATCTTGTGGAATAGAACGTTGATGGGATGTGTACGATATGATATAGTTCTTAGGGGCGAAGTATATAAGCCCGTGTATAGATTGTTGGATTGCAACGGATTGTATCAACAAGAATGGAGATATTTGCATTGAAAGATAGTGGAATGAGCCTTTCACCTCATTGCTCGAGTATAGATTTTAGTGAATCGAACAATGCTTTAGAAACTTGAACTCGAAGCAAGGTCGGCGTTCTTTTCATTACATCCAATTATGGACATGTTTTGTCCCTGATGAGCTATTGTCGAATGGATGACGATCAGTCAAGCTTGACGGCATATTGAAGGCTTAGGCTCAAGTCCAGACGGAATACATGTAGCCTGTATTCACCCCGACTTTTGTAGATCTTAGAATATTCCATGATACCATGTTGAATGGCCCGAAGTATACAAACAAGACCATCGGACCCGTCATCCAATCACATGACCTTCGCTTATGGTTAGGGCACGGCGGAACCACACAAGGTGGCAGCCAACCGGGTTTAGGGCTTGAGCGGGCACGCAGGCCAACCTCCTCCCTCTGCGATTTTATCTCCCCAGCGTCAACGACCTTCTCCGCCAAACCTCTCCTTCATCGTCTCACTCCCAACATGGCTGAGCAGCTGGTTCTTCGCGGCACCCTCGAGGGCCACAATGGCTGGGTTACCTCCCTCGCCACCTCTCTGGAGAAGTAAGAGGCCAACCGCTCCCAATTTTTCGCAACGAGAATGCACCATCTGACTTTTGACTTCGGCTTCTAGCCCCAACATGCTGCTGTCGGGCTCTCGCGACAAGACTCTGATCATCTGGAACCTTACCCGCGATGAGCAGGCTTACGGCTACCCCAAGCGCAGCCTGGAGGGCCACTCCCACATCGTCTCCGACTGTGTATGTCCTTTTCGAATCTCTCCTCCCGATGACGCCGAGGAAAATTGAAGACTCCATTGGAAGGTGGAACGGCAACGACACCACTGTGAAGGATCGGGATTCAGTTTGGGAGCGCATTGGCTGACCGCGGGTCTTTTGTTTTCGCATTATAGGTGATCTCCTCCGACGGTGCCTACGCTCTGTCCGCCTCCTGGGACAAGTCTCTCCGCCTCTGGGAGCTCGCTACCGGCAACACCACCCGTACTTTCGTCGGCCACACCAACGATGTTCTGTCCGTCTCGTTCTCCGCCGACAACCGCCAGATCGTCTCCGGTTCCCGTGACCGCACCATCAAGCTGTGGAACACCCTCGGTGACTGCAAGTTCACCATCACCGAGAAGGGCCACACCGAGTGGGTTTCCTGCGTCCGCTTCAGCCCCAACCCCCAGAACCCCGTCATCGTCTCCGCTGGCTGGGACAAGCTCGTCAAGGTACGCTCTATCTCCAACTCGACTTTCCGGACTCAAAAACCCCTCCACCTTTCCTCCCCCCACATGATGTTTGCATATTCTACGTATTTGCTACTTCAGAGCCCTCGGCGGCTATGAGACAACCATTCACCCAATGCCTGATGGAAATCCCAAATTCAATGTCCTGTTTTGGTCTTGAGTTTGAGGAAGACAAGGAAAAATTTTCTTGACTTAATATCACACATCGATTTGGACGAGTTTCAGTCATGCTGACATTCTCTTCCACGATCTAGGTTTGGGAGCTCGCTTCCTGCCGCCTGCAGACCGACCACATCGGTCACACCGGCTACATCAACACCGTCACCATCTCCCCCGATGGCTCTCTCTGCGCCTCCGGTGGCAAGGACGGTACCACCATGCTCTGGGACCTGAACGAGTCCAAGCACCTCTACTCCCTCCACGCCGGCGATGAGATCCACGCTCTCGTCTTCTCCCCCAACCGCTACTGGCTGTGCGCTGCCACCAGCAGCTCCATCACCATCTTCGACCTCGAGAAGAAGAGCAAGGTTGATGAGCTCAAGCCTGAGTACGTTGAGAAGGGCAAGAAGAGCCGCGACCCCGAGTGTATCTCCCTCGCCTGGTCCGCCGACGGCCAGACCCTGTTCGCCGGTTACACCGACAACAAGATCCGTGCCTGGGGTGTTATGTCGCGGGCGTAAATGGGTTGTTGATTTGTTGTGAGCGAATGCGGAGAAGGGAGGAGGCCTCTTTTTGATCTATTGCCAAAGGGAATCAAAAAAAGTTCAAAACCAGACAAGATGGGCATTGGTTTGGTTTGGGATGTATGAGCCACACGAGCAAATGAAGCACTCCTCGTGGTCGAGGGAAGTCCTCGGCCTAGGAGGTTTTCTGACATGCCTAGCTTGATTCACCATTATAATCGAATGTCTGGAATCTTGTGACGGCATGTGATGTTCTAATACCACATAAGGCATCAAAATGTTTCCTATTTTTTCTTCACCCGTGTTGCTATTGCGTAGATTTGGTGTGATGCCTCTTGTGTTCTGTCATTTTTGTAGCGGTACATTGTAGACTTCACTATTAACTTTCGGCCACAGACAACTTCCACTGGCTTGTCTACTTAGGAATGGAATAAGATCTTTTGATCCAGGGCCCGAACCCTAGAATTTATCCCGGAATTACATCAACCAGCCTCTCGTGGAACTTGTATACTTTGTCTCTCCCTGCAGATGATCTACAAAATCGGATGTCCGCAGATATAGATTGAGATAGGATTCTACATGGTCATAATGTACAAAGTGCGAACACTCTATCCCCAGTCAAGCTTATTATTCGAGCCTCTTCAGGGCTTCCCCAGCCATGGATACCCCTTCCTCGTAGCCCAACCCTTGTGCTAGAAACTTCGCTTCTGTATATCGCTGCTGAGCAACGTCCAGCTTGTTCTGTAGCTCCGCAATCTCACCCAAGTTATACGTTGCGGCCACACACGTCATATCGCACTCCTCGTTGCGCACAGGCGACTGAATTTGCGCCGCAACATCAATAGCCTTCTGAGCCCATTGGCGGGCAGCATCGATAGTCTGCTCCCGCGAGACAGTCTGCTTCTCTCCAGAACGAGGCTTAGCTGGCACCTGCGCCTGTCCTGCCATGGCGCTGGCGACGCTGTTCAGCAGAACAACCTGCTTGCAAGAGGGCGAGTCACCCTCTGCAACGCGGATCATTTCCAACGCGCGTAGGTACAAGGGCATGGCAAGCTCGCTGCGGCCCTTTGCGGTGTAAGTGTCTGCGAGCTCTGCGAGTGCTGTGGCAATCTCGGTCATGTTCAGCCATGCCTCGCTATCTCCTTCATCAGCTGTCCCTCCTCCAACAGGCAAGCCCAACGATTGCCGGCGGTGCATCTCTTTGAGGCATAGTTCCACGGCGGCGACTTGCGCATCTTCGGCCTTCTTCTCATCCTGGATATACTCGCTTGAGTATAATTCGGCGAGCTTCATCTCCATACCGACAACCTTCTTCAAGGCCCGGTCACGCTGCCTCGCCTCAAACTCCCGCATCTCCTTCATTTGCTTCTCAGCCTCCTCCAGGCCATCGATCTGGACATTTTCTGGAGATATTTTTGCTTTAACGGGCGCTTGTCCCGTCTTAGACTTATCCGCTGCTGCAGCCTCTGCTTTGCGACCTTCCTCAATCCAGTTCAAAGCCTCCGTCTTCGTCCGCTCCAGCACCTCAACTGCAGGCTTGACCAGCCCAGACTTTTCCAACATCATCGCAACCTGCAGCTTAATGCCCAGCACTTCGTCCGAGAACGGATGCATACCCATATCCACAGCGATCCGGAGTGCCTCCTTGTATGCCTTCAGCGCCTTGGGCGGGTTCAGGTCGATCTCGGTGTAGTACACCGCCGTGCGAAGCTGGTCGGCGACTTGCTGGGGAAACTTATGGTACTGAGGCTGGACACGAGTGACTTCCACGTAGGAAACGTATGCGAAGACGGCGATACCGCCGACCACGGAGAAAATGGCCAAGGGCAGCAAGATCGGATTCTTGCGGAAGACGCCTTTGGATGCTTCGCGGTATTTCAGACGGATCTTCTGGGCCACGGTGAGGTGGCGGGTATGGGGAATGGTGAAGAGATCAGCATTGGTATTGTTGTATCGTGGGCGCAAAGTTGGTCGACCATTGTTGCTGTATATTGACCGTGTCCAGGACTGGCGCTGTGCTGGGGCGAGCTTTTGAGCTTGGGCGCTGGCGCGCCGCGAGGCTGCGCGAAACATTAACGCAATTGTGATCAACCAAATTGACCAAATGAAATGCTTCGTAGACTAGACAAGCAACGGACGCGCTAATCGCTCGCGGGGAGAGTTATCGGACGGTCGTTGGAGTTGATGAAGATGGAATTGGCCGCACTCCGTTTTTCCGCAGCGGCCGACTTGGCCCAATGACGTCGCTGGGATCGATTTGTAACTCTCAACTGCTCCCACTTCGTAATCCTCCTCCAGAACAAAGCTCCTAATGGCACGCGGTGGAATGTGTCATTCAAGATAGAATCATTCTAGGTCAATTTGATTCTCTCTACCATGTGTGGACGCTACGCTTTGGGCGTGGTGAGTCTTACAGCTTTCATCCTGCCTTGCCCCATAGCCCAAGGCGCGACTAACCAATGATCCACAGCGCTTGGCGTACATCCAACAGCAGCTGCAAGAGCGAGGAATGCAAGTAGATGAAGCTCCAGATGATGACGATGTCCGTGAAACATACAACTTTGCGCCGGGAAGCTTTGGCGCAATCTACCGTGCCGACATCCCTGACCACCAGACTCGCTCCGAGCGGGACACAGAAAAGGGTCAAGAGCAGAATGACAATGTCCCCGAGCAAGAGACTCAAATTGAGGAGAAAGAGAAAGAAAATGACACTTCATCGGGGGCCCATCCCAAATACAAGCTTCAAAGCATGAAATGGGGCCTCATCCCTTTCTGGACAAAGAGGCAGCCAGACTACGGTTCTATGATGCGCACGATCAATTGTCGCGATGACTCGTTAATCGATAATCGCGGCATGTGGACGACTATGAAGCAACGCAAAAGATGTCTTGTGATCTGTCAGGGCTTCTACGAATGGTTGAAGAAGGGACCAGGGGGTAAAGAGAAAGTCCCGCACTTCGTCCGGCGTAAGGACGGTGACCTTATGTGCTTTGCTGGACTGTGGGATTGCGTGAAATATGAAGGTGAGATCCAAATAGTTACATTTGCTTCTTTCTCCTAGATCCTTGCTCTCGAACTGCAGGTGTCCAGTCAGCTGGAGGCTAATTCTGTCCCATAGACTCGGATGAGAAGCTGTACACGTACACCGTGATTACTACCTCATCTAATTCTTATTTGAAATTCCTCCATGATCGGATGCCTGTTATCCTGGATTATGGAAGCGAAGAGATGCGAACATGGCTCGATCCTACCCGAAAGACCTGGTCAAAGGAACTGCAGTCCATTCTGAAACCCTACGAAGGCGAGCTCGAATGCTATCCCGTTTCGAAGGAAGTAGGCAAGGTTGGCAACAATTCGCCGGACTTCATTATACCAGTCAACAGCAAAGAGAACAAGAGCAACATTGCCAATTTTTTCGCTAATGCCAAGGCGAAAGACGCGTCCCCGAAGAAGGAGCCTGGTATTAAGGCTGAAGGAGATGAAGACAAGAAGGATATCGCTGCACACGGCACGAAGAGAGAGCATGCGCCAGAACCAGCGAGCCCTGATAATGAGACCAAGAAACAAAAGGTGCATCAACGCGCACTCTCGCCCTCGCCGCAAAAATCCAAAACGCGTAGCGCAACCCACAATACGCCGATGAAGAAGGCAGTGGGGTCCAAACCACCAGCCGGATCACAACGGATTACGAATTTTTTCAAGAAATGAACAGAATAAAGTACTGATATTCGAGATTGTGCTCCAATGTAAGGAAGTTAGGTAGGTAGTAATTTAAATGGATGTTGCACAAAGAGGATATGGACCCGGAGCTCGAATATATGCCTCTGTACACTCCCAACTTGGCAACCACTTAGACGTTGACCAAAGAGTTCTATTGCGGCTGGACCTTGCAATTGGATTGGAAGATCGGAGGCTCATGCATAATTCAAAGCTTTGCTGGCCACAAATCAAAATATTCATTGGAATTAGAGTCAAATAATACAGTATTGTACAGAAAGCTTCGCTGGAAGCGGGTATGAGAAATCAGCTTATTGCTTGTTAAGCTCCCGGAGTCGCTGGACAAGCTTTTCTCTGAGAAAAGGGGTCAATCCCAAGCTAGGTAGGTCACAGATTAGCAATCTTCAACCCGGTCACAATGTCTCTCAACAGATCATGACACAAACTTACATTCCATCTCGAGTGACCATTCTGTAAGTGCCTGTAAGGGATACGGTCAGCTTAAAATATCGTAGAGCAGAGGGTCATGTTATCGATACCACTAGCTTGATATTTGCCGTCGCCACCAACAAATTGTCCATGCCCATCCACCTCGAGACTGCCGAAGATATCCTCTGGCCTGTATAAAGATTAGCCATTGACTTATCCTCGCCAAGTACAAAGGTGTCGTACCATGCAATTCTGCCAAAATCGGGGGGTCGTCTGCTGTCCGAAATATGAATCCAGCCGCCTTTCCCAGCACCGCCGGCACCACCTTGACCGCTAGCTCCACCGCTAGAGTCACCTGCTTCCATGCGCTTTCTATTCCCTCGTTGGTTCGCCATCAGGACACCGCCAGTATAGAGATTCGCTCCAGCTGTTGACACCATAACCTGCGCTTGAGACTGTGCTTCTGGATCTTCATGTGCATGCTTGGCGAAGACTTCTTGGAGAATATTGAGGAACTCGGGATTCTCCGTGAGTGAGTCTGGTGTAGGCGGTAGCTTGTTGGTGACTCCAATGGCGAGATCTGGATTGACGGGCTCGGACGATAAGAGTGACAGAATATGAGAGTTGGTTGTTCCTTCCCTAGGGAACACATACTGCCTCATGATTAGCATAGAAAGGAATTGTGTTAGATACATCGGGATGCATACGATGTGAGGGTTGCCCTCTAGTGAAGACACGAAGCGCGCCTGTGTCCACCTGGGAACGTTCAAGGCCTGTCGGCCAATTGACCTGGTCGCAAGCATTTTCCAGCCTTTCAAAAAACCAAAAGTCTTCGAAAAGTTGGAATAGAGATTCAGTGAGGTCGCGCGAGCTCCGAAGCTCCGTCATTCGGTCATCGTGCAGATCAAGGCGGCGAGGAAGGCGGTGAGCGCGGACCACTCCAGAAACCGTTCACGTGGGAGGCCTTTTGTTTGGAGGAAGTCAACCTTCAAGGCAGCTCTCCGATCTCCCGGCAGCTTTGCGCCTGTCCATTGCAAGTGTTAGTGACGGTTGGCTTTGAGCGAGGCAGCTGAGGTTCAATGACAATCCTCGATCCACGAGACTTCCTGCCCATCCTCGCCTGGAGTGCTCCCGAAGCTGGCACTTGCGCATGATTGATTTGTTGCGCATCCAAGGATACCCAGGTTCAATTGCACATTTCACCCTGGGATTATAAGTATACTCAAGCTTTGGATACTTTTACTTGCATTTGACTACCCCGTCTCTGTTGTGCTACTCCGACCATGGCAACTCCATCAGCCAAACCTGGCGCAACGCCAACTCATCTCACTTCTTCTCCACACCCATCCTCCGCACCCCTTCGATCAATCGCTCATAAATCACCGTCAACACGAACTCCAACGGCCTCAGGAACTGGCCATGCAACCCACCTCAGCGTTTCTTCACATCAATACGCCACACCACTTGCCGTGACAAGCGCCGTTGACGATCCAGTCAACTTCAGTTCCCCATCAGCACTTCTCGCACTCGGTGGCTATACTGGAATCAGCCCCTCGCCTGTCGTCCACGAAGGCCTTGTCGGACCTAGCATGAACGAGAATGATATCCAGACTTTGGGCATGCAGGGTATCAAGCTTGGTGGTGTGGGGCGTGATAGCGATGAGGAGCAGAAGCACCGAATTCAGGAGGTGGTCCAGTGTCTTCGAGCGCGTGTTGCAGGCAAAGGCGTGTCTCGGGAAGGGATCGAACGAGTGAGCCGACTAGAGGGATTCGAATCAATTTGGCAAGACAACGATATCAACATCGCCGGGAATTTCGTCGACCTAGAAATCGAGTTCTACGCTGGTCACGATGTTGTCAAAAATGTCAGTTTACGATATGCGACCCCCGAGTTTACAGAGGGCGAACGACGAGATGAAGCTTCTGCGGTCCTGAAACGGAATCTTGTACAGCCGCTCGAGGACGTCGAGCACGGGAAATGGAGGTCTCTTCAAGGGTTTCATGAAAATCTTCACTGGCTCGCAAAGCTCGACAAACTCAGTCAAGAGGTCAATTGTTTTGAAGCTTTGGAGGGCCTGGAAGAGAACCTCAAACGGATCTGGGCTGAGGAAGGAAAGGGTGGAAAATACGGCGGCGAGTACGAGCGCCTCTGTGCTGGAGTCATCGGGCGCCCAAGTATGCACAAGGGATCGCGAATCGGTCTCGGTCTAGAATACTGGGTTGAACAGGCCAAAGTCTTGGACGCAAAGCAGCAGAAAGTCTCACCCGATGCGATGGCCGTTGATCAACCCCAAGATCAAACTGAAAATGGGCTGGACGAGCAGCAGAAGTTATGGACTGTTATGGTCGAATGTGAAGAAGGATATCCATCCCTCCGCATATCAAAAGAATGGGTGGGAAACGGAGTCTTTACAACCACCCAAAACACCGAGTCGGAACCCGGTGTTGGCCCTCCGGAAACAGTGAACTGGCTCGACCCTCCCCAGACTATGCGGTTATCTCATGGTAACCACCCTGATCCCATGGCTCTGGATTCTAGCATGTTAGAATCGACACCTCCGAATCGTCGTTTCGTTGCGAAGCTTGACCCCCCGCTTGAAGTTCCGATTCTTGCAGCATCCGAGATTTATCGCAATCTAGGAATGCAGCTACCGCAAGAGTTCAAGATGGTTACCTATGATAGTCTTCTGACCTCAGAAGGGTCACAATTGGATTCTACACCGCAGCCTGGTCGGAGGAAGCGCCGAATGTCGGTACAGGCCTTTGATTCGACTGGCAGCGCCTGTACGAACTATCATAACTACACCTTCCAAGCGTTTGAGTCCGTTGCTGGCCGTACCATCCGCGACCTCCCATTCTCGCACCCTCGGCAACTCGCCAATACTATCCCAGTATGTATGCCTGCTTATCTGAGCTTGTCGTCAAAATACTAATCCGAATTAGGTGTTCCGCCAATATGCTTTGTTGGCAAATCTGATACGCAAAATCACTGGTTCGTCCACCAAAAGCAAGGACAAAAAGCGAGAACCTTCGAGAGTGGCATCGGTCGGTCCATCGGTCGGTCCATCGGTGCCTGCCAGCCAAGAGCTATCCTTTGCCGGTCAAAGTGATATCATCAGGCTCTGTAACGATGACCCCAATGAGGAGAAATTGAGTGCCCTCCTTGGCGACGGTTTCTCAAGCGTCTTCACAGCTGCCGCTTCCAATGCCTCTCCATTCCACAACGAAGATTATTTGGATGACGTCAAGGTAGACGTGACTCTGCGTACACAAATCGGCCAAGCGCCGGCTCTGATGCTGCTCGTTACAGACTCTAGCAACAATGCCGAGAAGGCTGTGCGTGAGCCCGTGCAAGTATCCATATGTTTCGAAGTCGGTCTCAACGGACGTATTACGGTCGTCGACGTGGCCGAGCTGAGTGGGCAAAGCGGAGATGGCGGCGACGCGGCGATGCAAGGGACAGATACTGCCGGGTCAAAGCTGCAGGATATGCATGAGAAGATCGCCAGGGTCTTGGAGATCTCACAGGACCTGGGGATCCTGGTCGAGTGGGTCCTGCGCTGGCTGCGGCGGCGGGCCGGCAGCGGGTGAGGCTGACAGACCATTCGAGAATTCGGGGACTGGAGGATGTCTTGAATCTAGACCAAGACATCCTTGCTAGTTCCATGACCATGCGTTATGTTCTCAGTCCTTGCTGGGCTGGGCTGGACCTGCGAGTAGCCGGTGCTGAGCCTCGGCACGCTGGGAGACATTGTGCCCGCGACGCTGACGAAAATTCAGCTACACTAGAGTCGACATCCATGGCCGAAGCCATCAAACAGATGACAAAGCGTTCATCCCCCTGACTGCGTCTACTCATCGTGGGATGCTTCTCTTGCTGGTCTGTGGCAGTCTTTCCAACCCTGCAGCATGGTTCGCACAGCCATACCGTGTCATATGCGACCTTGACGGCTTGCAGCCGTCGAGCAATGCAGGGGTTGATGACGAGGATGCTGTCTCCAGCAGTACAGTAGTATATCTTCGACCCATGAAATGATGAAATTCAAAATACCCCAATTGGTTCCTCCAGTCGTCAATCTCAGCCCCAAACTCTCTAGTAACCCGTTGATCACCCATGACGTAGGTATACAAGCCTACAACCACATCATTATTCTCCGTAACTGGGAAGAGGCAACGTGCCGATTTTCCATTGAAGGTTGAGTAGTCTATAGTCTTCAGGGCTTTATTTGTTGTGCTCGATCCCCGTAGATCTTGCTACCATCGGGTGGCGACGGCATCATATGGGATCATCAGCATCCTCATCATCGCCTCGACCAGTTCATCAGATAAACGTTGCTTGTCTTGACGACCAAATTCATGTACGTCGCCCCTTGCAGCATGTTCAAGAACACGATCCAGACAAGACGATCGCAGCAGCTAGAGTTTCTGAGATACCAAAAGCGAACAACCATCATATGTACAGTACTTTTGTCTGGCATGAGGTAAACTACAGTAGTCGGCTAGTCCACCCTGCCTTAAAGTTATTACCTACCAGCCCGCGAGATGCGCATAATAAAAACTCCAGTGTGATTAGTGGACCGAACCAATCCTTGCTACAAACTACCAGACGAAGTACGAGACACTACTATCATGGCCCAGTCGAGTCTGACCCGCCACTAGGTTGAGGTTTTTATGATAGCCGCTGGAGGGGCCCAACATGCGTCAGATGACATCGTTAGGCTGTTCCTGTTATCAGCGATTCCGCAATTAAAAGCGGTGCCTGGGAAACGGAACTGCCCCTCTTTCCACGCTTCGCTGGGGCATTTTGGAGGGTGTTTGAGTTCGAGTATTACCTTTGCAACAGGTGAGAGAGGTGCAAATGCCTCGAATGGACAGTGTAACAAGAAAGTATGACCGGTGGGGCGCAAGACTATAAGCTGGAATTGAAGATGGTCGCAAGGTTGGGTGTGGTGGTAAACTCCGTGGCATGAAAGGCAGTATTACATACAGACAGCGCTGACGTACAGTACTCCGTACTCAGGTACCGTACGAACGCCTCGTTTGGAGGGGGGAAATCAGTTCTAGTCAGCGCAGTGTGTCAAACCTGCTCTCCACCAATCAGCGGGTAGTGATAAGAAACTCGGGCAGTGTCGATCGCAGCCGCGGACCTTTGGGGACCGTCCGATTTCCATTTCGCGTCGTTTGGTTTGACCACAGGTTTTTGCTGGGGGTCGAATTTCACGATAAAAATCAATGTTCATAAGATTCTAAATCTACTCGGAAATCTGACCGGTTTGACCAGCGCACGTGGTATCTCTTTTCCCTCCTTCGTTCTGACCTGTGTTAGCCATATAACTACCTAGTATGTGATTAGCTAGTCGGTCTGTCGGATCAACGTAAGCCCTGTTCCACGGCGCGCCCCAGTCTCGACTCGGCTGAAACTCGCTGCGATGACTAACGGTCCCGCCGTGAATCATGTTTCACTCGCTGCTATTCTTGTGTCGCGGCTGTCCTACGAAAATAGTACCGGGCTGTGCTACTTCGGAGACACCTACCGAGAGACAGGGGGGTATACGTCGGATATTCGAGCATGGAACTGTCATGAGCATTCAACTTGATATAGCATATTGTAGTATCATGTATCATGAATATCGTGAAGTGTGTATACAACTAGCCGTACGAACTACAGTATGTACTCCGTATTGTGTTCTTCGACAGGGCTGAAGATCGGAGATTCATCTCCCTCCTCAGCCACCCAGTCGCAGCCCCATTCCTAAAACCCCCGACTTTTTTGACTGCTTGACCATTTGCTCGAGAAAAGCCGGGGGAAGGCAGATCTTGTCGCCACTTTTTTGGTCTTGGTCGATTTCCTGGAGAATCCCTGTTCCCCAGGGCACGCCTAACCTTCTTGCCAGTGCTGGAGAATCGATTTCTGACCGATCTGCTATTCTAGTACCCGCCCGTAGCTGCTCGATAAAGAGTGAATACAGCTCGATGCGCTATTTCCAATTTTACATAGCCGAGTAAAACAAAAATAATATAACAGATAACACCAAAAAGCCTTTTCAAAGATAACGCACACAGAAATCAATCCGAAACAGGAAATCATTGAAAATTCCAACCCTTCACGCGACTAATCGTGACCGATCATACACCGTCGTACTGAAAAGCCCCGACGCCAGCACCAAGGCCATGGCCGGTGTCGGGGGCGCTTCCAGCGGCTTGGCAAGGGAAGACAGAGCGTGATTGGACCGTCGGAGGCGGTTTCGAGAACGTTTTGCCACGCTCCACCAGGTATTGGCGAGTTTTCGCGGACCATCGTCTCGCGACGGTGGCTGGAGCTCCTCCAGACTCCTCCAAGTCTCTGTCTCCAGCGGGCGGATCGTTACTTTACCATTGTATATTACGGTTTCCCGATCCATTGTGGGCGTGGCGCCAGTACGTGTATATGTGTATTTCCTAATGTAGTAATTGTATACAGATCTTATGTCCATCGTGGCATGCGGTTCCAGCATTATACTTGTCTGTCGCTGCAGGTACCCAGTGCGGAGTTCCAGAATAACGGGTATACAGTGCTGATGGGGGGTTCGAGACTGGCAGTTTAGCCTGGCCTTTGAGATGAGATTGTGTCGGCCGCGCATACCACGCGGGCAATAGCGCCGTGCCCGGGCGAGGGCTTTGATAACGAATCGTGCAAGGGCCGTTAGCATGGTTATCGGGTCCATCCCAGGTACCCGATGAGTGCGGAGGAGTTCGATCATGTCGCACACATCTCTGACGTGGGATTGTTCTCCGTGTTCTTGTTTGGGTATACCCGGTGAATACCGCTGGAAGATGAGAACTACAGTTCCTCGACATGGGACATTTCTCGCTTTACGGTTCGTAAGCAACGTTGCTTATTCGACGCAGCTGTAGTTCTAGAACAAGCCCGTCGCTGATTTGGGCTGGTGGTCGTCTTAGACTATCTACCCCAGGCCTTGCAGCTGATATGCGCCAGGACAAGGAAGATCCTGGTGTCGGTTGGTAAGATGAATTAGCAACTTAAATTTCCTAGGTGCTATCTATACATATACATGCATATCCGCTATAGCCTATAACCTTGTCCGAAGGACAGGGGACCAAGTACATTTGCGGGAGGCGGGTGGTTTCTCCGTTCGTCGTAATTTGACATCTGATCGCCACGGGCGTGAACGGAGTTTGTCCCGGGGAGATCCCTCCCCCGGACTTTTCCCGCTCTTGGGGAGGGCCAGCGACCATCGGGGGACGGGGGACGAGGGAGGAGACTGGAGAGGGCGACGGGGAAAATAATGGCTCACGAGGAATAAGACGAGGAACCAGATCCAACTAGATCTAGGAGGTAGAAGCGGACGGAGTAGGTTAGGTACAGTAGATGTGTATCCAATTGATATGGGTTGATGATTTAGGAGTGCAGGCAAGAGGCGTTCTCAGCTTATCGGTCCAACGGGAGCAGAGCGATTGATCATATTACTGGGCCTTATTACAAGGACCTGATAGCTGATTGGGCCGCGGAGAATGAGGGCGGTTATCACGACAGACAAGAAGAAAAGAAGACGGACGGCTAAACAGAATTGTGGTGTGTGGTGGTGGTGGTGAGTTTCGGGTGGACGATCTATGCGTATTGATATTACGACTTATTTTCTCTCCGTGGTTGCGTACTGCGTAACTCTATACGTGGTTGAGTCCGAGTATGGAAGAATGCGGAGGGTCGATCGGGCGACCAGGTTTAGAATGTGACGGGCGACCGTCGATGAAGCATCACTACCTAATACCCAGCGCGGGTATGAATAATAGAATGAACCTTGCATGTGCAGACCCTATTAGGACTATAGTTTACTACAGTATAGTGGAAGGGGGAGATCGGTGACGGAGTCGTCGAAAGTCTCGCCGACGACCGGTTTCGCAGTGCTTGTATGATGCGGCGATGATGACACGGAGCAGACGAGGGTGGCGTTTGACATTGGACATTGGACAGGGACAACGGTAGATCGAGGGTTTAGTTTTTCCGGACCAGCGCTTGGCTCGGGTGGATCGGTTTGGAAAGGGAATTGGCAGGATTGACAGGATTGACAGGGAGAGTCAGGGAGTAAGTATATAGGAAAAGCAATCTATTTCACGAGGACAAGGGAAAAAAGGAATGTTTGCGTGATTTTCTTGGACAGAAGTGTTTCCTCAACGACCCCGGTGTCGGGCATGAGAATGTAAGTGAATCAGAAAAGAACTCTATGAGGCACTTTTTCGGATGTGTACACGAATACACGAAAACCGTCTGACTGGGATGGAGGGTACGTTGTCAGCGTAATCTGGTGTTATTTGCTGTAATTCTGTGTAATAACCATACCGCTAAACCCGAACGGGCGTGACTGATCCGTGGCTTCCTTCTTTTTTTTTTTTTTTTTTTTTCCTTTTTTTCCAGTTCCCAAGCAGTTACTCGTTCCCAACTCCACTTCGGGTTCCCTCTTTTCGCCATTGCCCACCCCCAAAAATCCAAAAATCCAAAAAAGACTCACTGGCGGACGTGACTAAATTTAAATCTTTATCTACCCCCTTCCTCCTCCCCCCACCATCTAAAAACTCACCCTCTTCCCCTCCCTTGGGATTTCCCATCCATCGAACCGTACTTCTTCCACTCTCTTCCTTCGGGAATCACCTCGTCCTTTTCATCCTTTGAGAAGTTTTGCTTGCTTGCAAGCCTCACCTGGTTTTCAACCTCACACATACCCCATAATCATTCATTATGGTACGTTTCTCATGATCCTCGTTGCCGGGCTGATTGCCGGGTGACTCATTTTTCGCCGCTGGACTCAACGCCAGACTTGGCAAGAGATCATACAGAATTGCTAACTGTTCTGTTTCTTCTTTACAGGCTGCCGATTCAACTGTCGTCTCCAACACGGAGAATGTGCGTTTGATTCTCGATGCATTGGATTTCCACAATGGCCGTTGAGCCAGAGAGGAAATACATATACTGACTTGCCATGGGGTCGAACAGCTCCTGAAGTACATGTCCCTCGACCAGCGCGGTCGCGTCCAGGCTGAGTACGTATGGATTGATGCCTGCGGTGGCACTCGCTCCAAGACCAAGGTATGCCTGCATCATCTTGTTTGCTTTTTCTCTTGCTCTTTCCCGGGAATGCCCTGTCTCTTGCTTTTGCCTGTTTTCTCTGTGATGTGGGATGTGGTTGCCCCGTGCGTATCAGCCATCGCGATAAGCCATCGCGATAAGCCCTGCGCACGGGGTTTGTCTCTTTCTCGCCGCACGCGACGGGCCTGCAACCATCCGCACATCACGTGAGAGAGAGAGGAGGGCATTCTTGACCATGGGGAGATGGACTACTTGATCTGGAGAGACCGTTGCTAACATGACCGTGTGTCTTCCCCACTCTAGACCCTCTCCAAGCCCTGCAAGTCTGTTGAGGAGCTCCCCGAATGGAACTTCGACGGTTCCTCTACCGGCCAGGCCCCCGGTGACAACTCCGACGTCTACCTGCGCCCCGTCGCTATCTTCCCCGATCCCTTCCGCCAGGGTGACAACATCCTCGTTCTCTGCGAGACCTGGGATGCTGATGGCAGCCCCAACAAGTTCAACTACCGCCACGATGCCGCCCGCCTGATGGAGACCCACGCCAAGGAGGAGTTCTGGTTCGGTCTCGAGCAGGAGTACACTCTCCTCGGTACCGATGGCTGGCCCTACGGCTGGCCCCGTGGTGGTTTCCCCGGTGCCCAGGGTCCTTACTACTGTGGTGTTGGTACCGGCCGGGTCTACTGCCGTGACATCGTCGAGGCCCACTACCGTGCCTGCCTGTACGCCGGTATCAACATCTCCGGTATCAACGCTGAGGTCATGCCCTCCCAATGGGAGTACCAGGTTGGCCCCTGCCCCGGCATTGACAGTAAGTTTCTCCCTTCTCAACCCGATGAAGTTATATCCCCTGCCGCGGAAATTCAGCATTCTAACATCCTCTTACAGTGGGTGACCACCTCTGGATGTCCCGCTTCATCCTCCACCGTGTCGCTGAGGAGTTCGGTGTCCGCATCTCCTTCGAGCCCAAGCCCATCGAGGGTGACTGGAACGGTGCCGGTCTGCACTCCAACGTCTCCACTCTCGCTACCCGTGCTGAGGGTGGTATGAAGGCCATCGAGGCCGCCATGAAGAAGTTCGAGGCCCGCCACCAGGAGCACATTGCCGTCTACGGCGAGGGCAACGACAAGCGTCTGACCGGTCGCCACGAGACTGGCAACATCGACAAGTTCTCCTACGGTGTCGCTGACCGTGGTGGCTCCATCCGTATCCCCCGCCAGGTCGCCAAGGACGGCAAGGGTTACTTCGAGGATCGCCGCCCTGCCTCCAACGCCGATCCTTACCAGATCACTGGTATTATCGTTGAGACCATGTGCGGTGGTCTCTAATTGGAATATTTGATCTTAGCGCTCCGATACCCTCCGGCATCAACTGGGAGTTCGGACCATGAGAGCGGCCTGACTGCGTGAGGGAGCCCTTCCGTCCATAGAATCCTTTTTTGACCTCCTGCCCGTGTTGTTGTCTTTCTACTTTCTTCCCCTCTACCTTCTCTCTACCGTCGCGTCTAATATAGTTGATGCACCCTATCTATCCTTCCTGTCTCTCGGCGCCCAGGGTCCGCCGCCTCTTGCGTTCTTTTGCCCTCCCTCAGTTGCACTTGCCGAGATCTCTTGTTTTGTTTCTTTCTGGAAACCCCCCACTAAAGTGGGTTATGTGTGACGTACAATAGCATAGAATCATTACATGGATGGAAAATCAACCCATCGTTTGAGCATCACATTCTTATTTCCTGGTCTCCACTGTGGCTGTCAAAGACATCGTCCTTTGATGTTTCTAGAGGTATCCACTCTCAATGAGTTTTTTGCTTCTTTCGATGTAACCCTATACCTTAATTGAACATCACGAATCCTGCCGCCACGTAACGTATACTCGGCAATTCGAAAGCCGCTGCCGAGTTTGGCATACCCACCCCACCCATGTAGTCAGGTCTGGGGATGTCCGCCTCCCCCGCAAGTTTGGAGGTAGAACTCAACCGTAGTTCGCAAGAGCAGCAGACCACGGTGGTATGTTGATGCAGTCTCCAAATAGTTCAACCCCTTTCACTAGTCAAAAGTGGCCGATTGGGGGGCCGAATCTTCTTGCGTTTGGGAACTCTCAGTACCTGAGATCGAGAACGACGCTCATTAGTTGACCCAGTTTCACCCTGATTGCATCCAGGGGTCCAATTGATCTCCAGGATTCTCACTACCGTTCGTGCGCAACGGTCAGAGACTCGCTGAATCACCGTTCGGAGGCAAGACAAGAATTGGGGCACGTCGTCCTTTTCTATAGCGCTCAGTTGTATAATAAAATATATAACCCTGAGTGAGCAGAGAATCTCGGCAAGTATTCCGCAGTAGTGTTCCTCAGAATGGGCGTGAAGGAAGCGATTGATATCCAGATCAGGGCTATTGTCACCCTTGAGGCAATTGACAGAGATCGTAGCTTGCTGAATGAGACTTTTCAAAGCATCTATAAAAGAATGGGTTTCTTATCGGGGTCTCAAAATCCAGAGACTGGTAATTCCAGCTTGCAGAAGTTGTTGAATGGCATTGGTGCAGAAATCCTGAGCAGACTGTCTATCGGCGATACGGACCTTAAGCAGGAATAAGGAAGAAATTGGAGACTTGTTCCAGGCTTGGAGATCACGAGACTTCCAGAACGGCGTTGATTTGAGAGATCTCCGTCGATCGCGGTGAGTTTTTGATGTCTGTAAGCTTGCTTCATAGTCAATGAGGCACTGAGAAGCCAGGACATGAAGAATTTGAGTTGACTTCACGTCACAAATAGATCGGTAGATCTGTGCTCGCTCAGTCTGGGCCACAATTTGTCCAGAATGGACGTCGATCTTTAATCCCCGGACCAGATCTAGAAGATCCTGCAACATCTTTCGCTGGTCTTTGTGCTCAGGTAGATTCGTACTGCTGGCTACTTCGACAGTATTCCGGATTGCAGTGATTTCGGTGTGCATATCGCGCTGCTCGGCTTGGTTGCCAGCCGTTGCCTCGGCCATGATATTACTCGTGATGCGAGAAATTTCCTCCAGGATGTCATAGGCTTCATCCCAACGCCTTCCTTCCTGATAGGAACCGACACAAAAAGATGCAGCAACGCATAAGTGCAAAGAATATCAACGATCAGGACGGCATATCTCAGTTTCTGCTACCACCTTGTATCAAAGGGTTTAATATGAGACACAAGAAGTGGTATAAGATTTCAGCCGATGGTACATCGGATGTTAAATGGAACCGAGAAGCGTTTCAAAGCCTTGTCATTGAACGAAAATCAAAAGACTTGATTCAAGCTTTAGTTACTAGTCAACTCGAGGCTGAGAAAGCGACTGATCTGATTTCTGGCAAAACCGGCAAGACCCTCACTGCTGAGGGTGTGGCTGAAATCACCGAGAAGCCGCTGTACCGCGTTACCTGTGGTGACGTAGTAAGTTTTAGGAGTAATTATATATGATCGGGTCGGTTTAGCTAGGATATCTGTAGGATCATGTAGGATTATATAGGCCTCTACCCATCACCAACTCCAATAAGCAAGCTGTTAGATAAGCTATCAAATCAAATAAAGGCTTATCAAGCTAATGTAAAGAACTGAAAGCAGAGTGTATTTCTTTGTATATCAATTAATTATAAAGACCGCCGTTAGCAGACAAGCAAGAGCCAGCGGTCCATCTGGCATCATCACTGCAAAGGAATGCAACCAGCGGCGCAATGTCATCAACTTCACCAACTCGAGGGGCAGCGGGCGTTTCATTGATCATGGCCTCCATATCCTTGATAAACTGGGGGTCACTTTGGAACCATTGATCTGAATGAGAATCGAATGAGCGAGAATATTCATTTTGTCAATGGGGACAAATGTCTTACCTGTTGCAACAGGCCCAGGATTAACACAGTTAACAGTAATACCGTGAGAATGACCTAGTTCTTTTGCCCACACACGGACCAAGGCCTCGTTTGCTGCCTTGGTTGGCCCATACACAGTGTGTCCCGCGACACCAAGACGGGCGGCAGCGGAAGAAATGAAGACGATGCGTCCTCCACGAGGCAGGTGAGGAAGGGCTTCCTTTGTCAGGAAAATTGGGCCGCGAACATTGCAGTCAAAATGGGTTGTATACAATTCGAGCGACGTATCAACCAAATTCGCCTCTAAACCAAGAGCGGCGCTAATGTAGACCCATGTCAGCATGATCGACGGCTAGATTTGAGCGAAACATACTTATGAATCAGGATCTCAATCTTTCCAGTCTCGCTAATCTTCAAAGCAGCTTCAATCAATCTTGGAATCTCATCAAGCTTCATGACGCTGGCTTGGCAGAGTATAGCTTTGGTTCCAATTTTGGTAATTTGATTAACAACTTCTTGGGCCCTATCTTTGCTTCCCTCGGAGACATAGTTCACTACGACATTTGCACCTCTCTTAGCAAGCTGAAGGGCAATGCCTGCACCGATGCCCCTGATATGCTATCAGCTGATTGGTCTGACGGAATGGAAGACATCATGTTACCGAGAGGATCCTGTGACGATGGCCGTCTTGCCCTTGAGTGAAACACCAGTGAAGTCGGACATTGTCTATACTTGTGGATGAGGCTCGTGATGATGGAGTTGGAGGAGGGGGAATTAGAATAATAGTTGTTAAACTCTACAAAATATGCCTACGCATACCGCCTATATATAGAGATCAAAGTGGCTATCTTCTGAATAACCCCCCTCCTCAATGGGTAGATGTAGCTCTACATTTGCGGGGCTTCCTACTGAACAAGGCAGGCGATTACCGATATTGGTGTATCGGGGCAGGCACTTTCTGTAGGTAGCCCTAGCGGCTAGCTTACCGAGGCTGTTGCTTCGAAGATTGTCATAGGCCGCTGTAGTCCCACTTCGTCCGCCGCAGTCCCACCTTCCAGATCAGGTAAAAGAGGACAGGTCCGTTGTCGTAGAAAACGATCACACTTACCACATTACAATGTTGCCAAATCAATCGCTTGCGAGGCTAAACCTTGGGTAAATGAAATTCCCCGGAATAACCCCGACGGTTTCATATGAACTATTTGGCCTTTCCAGAGCTCGGAAACACTCTTTGGCTATATGCTCCTTATTATTATGTTCGAAGAGATGTCTGAAAGGTTCTAGACGTTGGAATATCGATCAAGCAGTTCCCACTTTCTAAGAGGCAGTGACATAGTCTAAGATGTACGTACATGATAGATTCATTGCCAATGCAGCAACAGACGAGCGATGGACGCCATGTACAAGATTCTACTCGGAGAAGGAAGGTTGACATAGTGGGAGCCTGCCATGCATGCCAAATGAAATAGACTTGAAGTTTTAATAAGGAAGTTTAGCCGCCCTGCTACCAACACTGCATCGAGGGTTTGTTGTACTTTCACCTAGGTTTTTGGAGTGATAACGAACACAATTCAAATTCTTGATACACCGCTCAAGAAGGTAGAAGTACTATCACAAAACTACAGATTGAATAACGTCGTCGTATATTATTTTCTCCACACACTCAGAACATCCCAGCACTTCAAGATCTGCACGCATGGGAATTTAGCACGTTGAATCTCTGACAGGGGATTAAATGCACATACCACCGTATGGTAATATTTGAGAGGCGATGATTCCGCCAATTCCATTTTCACGGTCTGCAAACCAAAAAAGATTGGCGAGTCCTTCCCACGAGCCCGAGCCCGCTGCTCTCCCAGTCGCGCTCTTGGTATGACTCAGGGAGAAAGACAGACCCCACCCTTCGGTGAGATCGTCCGCACATGGTATCAAGGGACAAGGGTTGGCAAGTTCAGGTTTACCCGATGGTGTACTCACGTTGCAATATCGAGGGAAGGTTGGAATTTGGTCCGTGAACATCTCTAAATATAAAATGAGTGATAGAGGACGTTGACTAAGATTGCAAACCACATACCTTTCACAGTCTCAGGTTTTAGAATTCTGACGCCTGTATTTGGGCTGAGCCCGCCGTTCAATATAGTTGCGATGATCCCTTTAATTCTTGTTAGCATATCAAACCGACGCGTAGAGCGTGCAGCATCGACGCACGGCAATATTCGACTGGCTTCCCAAAACAGCCAGCTCCGCCCATACAAAAATGGTACTCTTGGGGATTATATGGTAGCAACGGATATCTATAAAGGTGATCTCGAATGCTTAACGTTCCATCGGCTGTACGAGAGTGCATGTAGGCCACCGTCGCCTTTGATTCCTTGCAAGGAAAGAAAGTAATGCTTTTGATATCCAGCGGTCGCAGGATGAAAGTTTGGAAATACTCTTCCAGGCTAAGGCCAGTGACACGTTCGACTAGTGTTCCAACCCAGTCCAGACCTACTCCATATTGAAACTTTGTTCCTGGCTGGCTGACCAAAGGTCCGTGTAAGACATCATTCGGGTTCCCAGAGAAGTCGTCAATGCCAACGGGCCGTGACCAATCTCGTAATTTTATATCCTCAAACGCGTAGCCAAACCCAGCTATAATTGGTCGAACGTGGAATTTTAGTGTCAAGGTAAAGTGACACGAGGGATTGGGAGTTTTCTTACAAGTGTGATTCAACAGCATTCGGAGGGTGATGCTTCTCTCCTTCCGATTCAAACGAAACCCGTTATTCTCATCGCGTTCAAGGACTCTGACCCGTTTCAGCTCCGGTGCAAGTAATTCTAATTGCACGCTATCATCTAGAGCAAGCTTTCCTTGCTCAACAAGTTGCATGCACGCAATGCTCGTGATCAGCTTCGTGCAAGAGGCTAGCCAGAAAGTCGTGTCCATGGTCATGGGCGGCTTCTGATTTAGGCCTGTCTGGCCCGAGGCATGTTGAAAAACGATGTTGCCAGTTTTATCGACTGCGCAGTAAACAATGCCTGGGATTTGAGGCGATGACCCGCTGGTGCGCCTGTCAATCGCCAGGCGCGCTGCAGCATCCGCAGTGACCGACAGCCGCAGGGCCATTGTGAGGGTAATTGATTTCCAGCGAGATGTAATGGAGAAAGCAGGATGACTATGGTCTGCGAATAATCCCATCTAGGTTATGTATATATTTCGTTAAGCCTGACCATGTGGAGCTTGGCCCTCATCGGAACAAAATGACCTAACCTTCCCGATTAGGAAGGTGAAATATCAGGCATGAGCGATTGGTCTCGAAAGTTGTATAGCGAATATGGAAAGAAGCCAAGATGTGCCATTGGGAGACAGAATCTGGTGGAGACTCGAGAGCAACGATCTATCCATCTAGAAAGGGAAGCGCCGCATAGGGGGTTTCTGCTCCACGCGAGACGGGAGGCGAGGCTGGGCACAAAAGATCACCATTCGCCAGTATATTTACTATACTTGGCTTTGGGATATCTGAACTTTTTTTCACTTAAAATTTCCTGCTCGTCAAATTGCCCAGTCTGACTCTTCACCATCGCGATACCTACGCGACAACTGTTCGATAGTTGCAGATTTCACCGCACGGATATGTATGTTTCTCTGAGATCGTGTTACAATTATGATTGGACTCTTTAGCTAAGGGTATACAGAACCAACACCGATCGATATGAGCGAGGATACTATTTCTGTCCCGGCCCAGTGGCGAGCGCAGCACCCTACAACGCCGCACATCGTGAGCTTGCTCGATTACCATGCACTTTACAACGAATCAATTCAAAACCCCTCCGCCTTCTGGTCAAAACAGGCCAAGGAATTACTTTCTTTTACGCGGGACTTTCATACCACCAATACGGGCTCCCTGGAGAATGGAGACAACGCGTGGTTCGTGGGGGGAGGGCTGAACGCGTGCTTTAACTGTGTGGACCGACACGCAATCCAAGATCCGCACCGTGCTGCCATCATATACGAGCCCGACAATCCCGCCGATGAAAGCCGAGTCATTACATACAGTGAACTGCTTCGACATGTCTCGCAGCTAGTGGGATTCCTTCGTGAACGAGGAGTAAGAAAGGGAAACATCGTTACCATTTACATGCCGATGATTCCAGAGGCAGTCGTTGCAGTTCTTGCGTGTGCCAGAATTGGGGCAATTCATTCTGTTGTTTTCGCCGGCTTCTCAGCCGAGGCTCTTCGTGATCGCATCCAGGATGCAAAGTCCACTGTCGTGATTACTACTGATGAGGGCCGTCGGGGTGGAAAGACCATCTCGACGAAGCGTGTTGTGGATGAAGCAGCTCGGGAATGTCCTGAGATCACAACATTGTTAGTCTATAAGCGAACAGGGGCCGACATTCCCTGGATGGCGGGAAGAGACGTCTGGTGGGATGAGGAGTTGAAGCGTTATCCCGCGTACACCCCCCGGAAGTCATGGATTCAGAGGACTACCTGTTCTTACTTTACACATCCGGATCGACTGGAAAGCCGAAAGGAGTGTTTCATAGCACAGCCGGATATCTTCTAGGCGCAGCAGTTACAGGCAAGTACGTTTTTGATATCCACCCAGAAGATCGCTTTTTCTGCAGCGGTGATATTGGCTGGATCACTGGACACACCTACGTGGTTTACGCTCCACTTGCACTAGGTTGCACGACTGTAATCTTTGAAGGAACACCAACCTATCCCAGTCACACTCGATTTTGGGAGATCATTCAGAGACATGCCTGTACACACTTTTACGGCGCTCCAACTGCCTTCCGACTATTGAAAAGGTCCATTGAAAAGAAAGACCTCCAGAACATTGATAACAGCCAATTACGTGTACTTGGCTCGGTAGGGGAGCCCATTGCCCCCGAGATTTGGAAGTGGTACTATGAATTCATGGGAAATGAGAATGCAGCGGTAACCGACGTACGGTTGAGTTTTGACGGCACTGGTGCAAATTTTGGGATGTTCCATACGCTGACTCGCTTCCTTCGCAGACCTATTGGCAGACAGAGACTGGCTCACACATCATTGCTGCCTATGCAGGGGTTACGCCAATGAAACCGGGAAGTGCAACTCTGCCATGCCTCGGTATTGATCTTGCCATCATTGACCCAGTGAGTGACGAAGAGTTAAAAGGCAATTTGGTCGAGGGCGTGCTGGCTATCAAACAGCCATGGCCTTCGATGGCACGTACCATACGTGGAAATCACGATCGTTACATGGACAGTTATTTCAATGTCTACAAAGGCTACTACGTATGATAGGCTTCAAAATGGATGTGATGGATATTCCTGGCTGACAAGTCATATTTAGTTCACTGGCGACGGGGCCTTCCGCGATCAAGACGGGTACTATTGGATTCGAGGGAGAGTGGATGACGTGATAAATGTTTCTGGTCACCGGCTCTCGACTTCAGAGATCGAAAGTGCCCTTATTGAGCACGGTGAGCCCTTCTCTATGGGATAGATTGCGGCTGTACTATGACTGCATACTGACAGCCACGAAGCGAGTGTTGCCGAAGCCGCGGTTATTGGTGTGCCAGATGAACTGACTGGTCAAGCGATTAATGCAATTGTTTCTCTGAAGAATAATCACATGACCGAGACAATTGAAAGGGATTTGGTTGTTCAGATACGCACGACAATTGGGCCATTCGCTGCCCCAAAGAAGGTCTTGGTCGTCCAGGATCTTCCCAAAACCAGAAGTGGGAAGATTGTCCGGCGTATCTTAAGGAAAATGCTGACTGGTGAAACTGAATTCGGTGATACTTCTACGGCAAGTCATGCCCCTGGCGCTTTGTATTGAGAACTTGCTGACATGAAAATAGCTAGCCGACCCTAGTGTCTTGGGTGAAATCCTGAAGGTCATCTCATGTGTCTAGCTCGCAAGCAGTTATAGAATGTAATCTGCAGATGGTCGACTCGGTCTTGGATATATCAAGTGAAGAAATTCAGAATCCAATTAATATATTCGTTGAAAACGTTCAATGATCCAAAGTAACGAAAGGAAATTTCAATCGACCCTCTGCTAGTGATATAGAAATCTATAAGCTGAGAGTTGGAAATGTTCAGTGATATCAAAACCGGAATTTAGAACTAACACCTAGTTTGATTTGGAGGGATACAGACCAAGATAGCATCGCATTAAGATTCTTGATGTCAGGAGAATATAGACAATTTAACTATGGAATATCACACCCTCTGCGGCTACTTCGGCTCGCATTTTTGGCGCTACTATTTCCTTAACCACCACGCTCGTCCAAGTAGGCGTGTGGCCAGGGAACTTCCTTTGAAAAACTTGCATCATAATTGCTTCATCCCCAGAGTCAACCAAGTATGCCACAAGCTTGTACGCCTGTCTTAAGCCATTCGAAACTCCGGCGTCCTTCAACGCCGCATCAAGGCAGTCAAAGACAGCTTCGAATTCGGCCTCAGCGGAGTGGTTGACTAGATCTCCTGTTGTCAAGTTGAGGCCAATATGACCGGTGGTGAAGATGAGTGAGACTGTGGGAGAAATTGGGACTGTAGCAGTGGTCGCAAGAGAGGCCGGTTTGAGGCAATCTCCCACTGGCCCAGGAAGGTTTTTGTAGGTGATCGATGGCATTTTCTGGTCTTAGTTAGAGCTCTGAAATTGATACTGGGGTCCGAGGAATGCGAAATACTAACAGCTGAGGTAAACAGTTTTGGGGTTTAATAGAATTTGGTATTTTCTTGTGATTAATGGAATGTTGGACAATTCGATTACAATCTGATTAGACAAGGAGGCATCTCTTTATCTGGTTCAGTTCAGGAACTTAAGGCTGAGTTTCATGCAATACAAGCGCGGCAGTCAAACTCACCTGCCGTTTGGGGCAAATTTACACTGGCGGAAACTCCCCACGCAATGACATTCAAGTATAAATCTAGGTCAGCGAGTTGGTGCTATTTGCAATTCCATAGAATTGAGCTTTCCTGATCTCATTAACAACTCCGATAACTCAACTTGCTATCCAAAAATGGTTCCTATGTCCAAGAAAACACAAGACGGCTACTCTTGGACGGGCGCTACCGGAGTGCGCAGGGGCGGGCTGCGTTGCAGAGGTGTTATTGAACCGAGCCAAAAGATCACAGTGCCGATGGGACACAACTACGATGCAATTGTCATTGGGGCAGGCTATGCCGGTTTAATGGCCGCTCGTGAAATGACAGATCAGGGTAGGTGATCTCATGGAAAGAAGGGCAAGCGGTAGCTTCTGCTTACTTGGTTATGTCTAGGGCTCTCGGTTCTCTTACTTGAGGCTCGCGATCGGGTGGGCGGCCGAACTTACACCGTCGAAGCTGATGGTAAGTTTCTCCCTTTCTAGTTTATCAATACATAACTCACTCAACGAAGGCATTCTCTATGAGATGGGAGGGACTTGGGTTACTCATCACATGGCCTTCCTGTTCAAAGAAATGATCCGTTATGGTATGGATCGTGACCTCATAACTACGCATCATAGTGGATATGAGAACGACTATTACACACTGAATATTCTGGGTATAGTACACGTCATTGGATTTCGACTTGCGCGACTACTCACAATAAGATCCTAGGTGCAACTCCGAGAAAATTGTCCCATGAAGAAGCTGGAAAAATCGCGGCAAGGGGCTGGGACATCTTTGTCAATGTTGACGGAGAGAGCTGTCGAAGAATCTGTCCACTTCCACATGCACAGCTCGAAAACATTCTCACTGACAGAAACGAAGTGGAGAGATACGACAAGATCTCATGTCTGGAACGATTTGAAGCTATCAAGAACTTGCTTACAGTTGAAGAGGCTGGTGTGCTTGTTGCTTTACTGCTTCACATCTCAGGCGGAACCTTGGAGAATTCCAGTCTATGGGACATGATCCGCTCCCATGCCCTTATGTCGTATAGCTCGGACAATTTCGGCCCTATCTGGACTACTTTCAAACTCCGAGAAGGGCAGTCCGAGCTTGCGAGTCGGATGTTCCAAGATGCAGCAGATCGCGGTCTGCATTATGCTTTTAAGACCCCGATCAAAAGTATCAATGACCGCTCCAATGGAAAAGTCCAGTTGGTTGAGGTCAAAACAAGTTCCGAGGCAGTTTATAGGGCACGCCACGTTGTGAGCACAGTTCCTCTCAATGTTTTGCACACCATTCAGTTCCAGCCCCCTCTTTCTTCCCGACGTCAAGAAGCAATTGAGATTGGCCATGTTAATTTCATGACCAAGGTTCACGCAGAAGTAGAGGGATCAGGACTGGCTTCGTGGAATGGAGTCAAGTATCCTAATCTCCTTATGTTCGGCTATGGAGATGGGCTCACGGAGAATGGCAATGCTCATATCGTTGGCTTCGGAAAAGATGAGAGAGGTACCTACGTGCCTGAGCGCCATCCAGAACAAACAATTGATGCGTTTGAGAAGTTGCATCCGATGAAAGTCAAGAAAATGGTATTTCACCTGTCCACTTTCGAGATAAAACTAGCTAACTGTGGCTAGGTATTTCATAACTGGGTTACAGACCCTTGGTCCCAAGGTGGTCCAGCCTGGTGGATGCCAGAGTATATGACAAAATATCAGGATGAACTGCAAAGCCCGCATGGTAATGTTCATTTTGCTTCTGCAGATTGGGCTAATGGCTGGCGAGCTGCGATCGATGGTGCATTGGAACAAGGCTTTCTTACATCCCGGAACATTACCAAGGATATCAGACAGACCGCCCAACCAAGCTTCACTGCCAAGATCTAGTTCGAAAAGACGATCGTAGTATTTCAGGGTTCATGTATCTATCATGAAAGCTCTGCTACCTATTAATTCGGAGAAAATTATGTCCGTCCTTCAATTGACTGGCGTAAGATATAGCGAGTCATTCATCTTCAGATCCATTCTCCTAAATCATTAGTCTCCAAGCCTTGCACTTCCTCTTTCGTGCAGAGGGCCATTAAAACGAATCTCGCCTTCGATGGCCTCTCCAGATGGGGTCTGAGAAATTACCAAACTGGACTCCGGGCCCTCTTAAACGAGACTATTCTCAATACGTTGGTACTACTGACTCGATTCTTTACATGGATCCGGTAAGTTTGGTTCTTTCATGCCTTCATATTCGTACCACTGTACTTATTCCTAGATAACTAGCGCACACCCTACCTGCTCGGAGCTTTAGAGGTAGATTCCGGCCCGCGGCGCTACACAAATATAGCCGTAGAGCTGCACATGACTAGCTGAGGCGGCCCATCAGAAGTCGAAAACAATATATTTCATAGTTGAATAGGAAAGTAAATCGGACGCTACGGGGAAGTTCTCCGTTCTGCTGCTGTAACTACCACTTTTGGTAACTAAGAAGGCCCCACTTGTATCCTTGAATAAGAAGGCGAGGCCGCAGGGTGGGTCACTCCTCAGAGCAAAGATACGGAGAAACCTCGGGGCTGGCAATGCTACTTGATTCGGAAGTTGATTTCACTGCCAGCACGGCTGGCGCTAGAGTGTTCGGCAAATTATCGCTATAACTATGGCAAAGGTGGAACTGTCTGGAATAACTGGAGTACCTCTGTACTCTATTTATTCTTCAATTGCTCGCCAATACTGGGTCAACGACAATTTGAAAGCATTAGCATCCTTAACCACAATGGCTGCAACCGGGAAGCGTCCCGAGATCATTGAGCTTTCCCGCGATCTCCGTGGTATCCCGCAATGCGGGGACTACGAACGTATGATTTCAGGAATGATGTACGTATAATCCCCACCAAATGCCAAAATTTAGACGAAAATCAATGCTGATGGAATAAAGGTATAATCCCAACACGCCGATGTTGCTCGAGGCGCGGCACCACTGCCGCGGCTTGACTAGGGACTACAACGACCTAGATACGAAGACCATTCCATACGACCAAGTTTTTGAAAAACGACTCGAGTTACTGCGTAATCTCTGCGGTAAAGTCGGAGATGGTACCTTCGTGGAACCGCCATTTAGGCCAGACTATGGCTGCAATATGATTATCGGAAGCAATTGCTTCATTAACTGGAAGTGGGTGCCCCACTTCGCGGACGCAAAAACTCCCATACTAATTTCAATACTAGCTTGACTGTTTTGGACACAAGTCTTGTGGTTATTGGTGACAGGGTTCAAATTGGCACCGGCGTGAGCCTTTTGACTGCGGGGCACGATACAAGTATACTTTCGCGTCAGAAGTTCGTTGAGTTCGGTCACCCAATCTTCATTGAAGACGACTGCTGGATTGGCGCCAATGTGGTTATCTTACCCGGTGTTCGAATTGGAAAAGGCAGCACAATTGGAGCCGGATCGGTTGTCACTAAAGACATTCCTCCATTCTCGGTTGCAATTGGCACTCCCTGTCGTGTGAGGAAGACTATTCAATCAGCAGAGGAGGAGGAGCGAGACCCTGAGAATCCCTACCGGGACCTATCGCGCGAGCACTAGATCAAATATCACGAGTATGGTACTTCGGATACATAGACTGGCAAACTTATTACTGAAAAGAGATTTCGGGTCGTAAATGCACCGATGCACCCGGGAAGAGCCTCCGCAGTCTTGCCCCACTATCCATCTACAGACCCATAGAGTTTCTGGAGGCAAGGTGGCGCTAGCCTGGCAGGGATCACTAGAGATATGGCGGGGCCTTTGCTCAGCTCCAAGTAATTAATATTGCTTATCAATGGCGAGTTCCAATCAGGCACACCACTTTTTATATAAGACCTAATTGAGCAAGAGAGCATCATCCGCTTTTTTCCCCCTAGTGGTAACTCGAGAGATGTCAACGCACTCAGCCACCTCTATTCCGGCAATGGAGACGTCCAAAGCACCTGCCTTCAAAGGAAAAAGAACAAACTCTCTTGCGTTTGCTCAGACTGACTGCCATACTTGTGCACTCGTGGGTGATCAGTGCGACCGCCGCCGGCCACAATGCACAACATGTCTTGATCAAGGTCGCAAGTGTGGAGGCTTTGCAACATCACTCTCTTGGGATCCGAAACGCATGTTGTCTACCAACTCATCTTCGAAGAATAATCAAGTGGCTGAAGAGCCATCTACTGTTGCAGATGTTGTATCGCATTCTCCTACCAGACCAGTTGCTACCATGGCCTCTGATAGACCAGGCCCACCACTTCGCTTTCGATTCGCCGGCGATCGTTCCAGATCAAAGAAGCGTCGCACTACACATACCTGTGAGGATGATGAGACGGCACAGTACGGGTCAGAAGTACAAGAGAGTAGTGTCGATTGTACAGACAGGCTAGTGCCTATTACGGAAGGTGAGAATGTCGGGACGCAGGCAGGACATGAAGAGGACGACATAGGTATGTTCTTTTTGCGCTCATTACTGGCCCGTGATCTTTTTCTAAGATAGGACAATGAGCCATTAACAATTGACATCCTAGGGGCTGGTGACTTGCTCATCCCAAATGACTTTGACCTATATTCCACTATACCATCCATATTCGGCTCTGTTTCCTGGCTTGATTTTGGGGTCCCCGAGCCCCCTCTCTTAGACCCTCCAGGCTTGATCCCATTGCTAAGATCAACGCCATCGGCACTAGAGAGAGCAACTGAGTTCACAATTGCTGAAGATTTGCAAGAAGACCCACCGATGAATGGATTTGATCCTATCTTCTCCGGCGTTTCGCAAAGTGACATCATGTCCAGCACTGTGAACACAGTACCGAGCCCGGCTTTCCTCACCACCACGGCAATTCGCGATGTATCTTCGAAAGATCATGATTGGCTTTTTGAGATGTGTAAGTATTTTCGCAATCTCAATTCTATTACCATAACACTTCAAGCTAATAGACACTCAGATGATTCTGAGTTCTGTGTCCTGCCACTGACGTCGGACACTGCGATAAATCCTTTCCGTTGCAAGCCCCAGACATTGCATGGATCACGCCTTCTTTTCCATGCAGTTCTGGCACTGTGTTATCGGCACTTGAATAGCATGACCTCGAATTGGTCCGAAGAGATGACCAAGCATCGTGGCAAGGCTGCTCAACTGTTAGAGACTGCATTGGCAAATATAAAATCACGGGATTGCTTACAATTGCTGGAGCCAATATTGATTTTGTTTACTTTGGATGTAAGTGTCAATGGAGCTTTCGGTCATTCTCAAATTCTGTGTCTCCCGCGTTACTAAACTTTCCAGTGTACTCTTTCTGCTACAGGACATTGGACCAGTCACTTAGAGCGTGCGCATACCATGCTTCAGCTTTGTGGAGGCCCTAGCTCTCTGAGTGCACCTCGGCAACGATCGCAAGTTGGGATGTTAGTGTGGTAAGTTATTTCTTCGCCCGTCACGGAAGTCATCTCTGATACATGTGTTCTAGGTGGGATGCAACTATTGCCTTGATCTCTCGACGATGTCCTGTCATGGACCGATCATATCTAGATTACCTGATACGATGGGAGAAGCATGATAAGTGGTCTTTTTTTGACCTGACTGGCTGCCCACGGGACTTGATTGCCTATCTCTATAATCTGGCTGAACTGGCTCGCCAAAGTGAGATTGCTTCATCAATGAAGTGGCTGACCTTCAACTTGGCTCCCATTATCGAAGCTGAAAAGGGCTTGAATCATTGGAAAAATGAACTAGATCCTGCGCAACAGGAGCAGAGCCCCGGGCTTTCCGAGAATGACGCGGCCAGGCAGCTCCATGACCAACAGGATCGATTTCACTGTGCTGAGGCATGGAGATGTGCTTTACTTCTCTATATTGAGTCTGTTTTCAAGCGCGACATGGAGAAACGCTCATTTACACTGAACTGGCTCGTCCGCAGAACGCTAGACCATATCCGATGCTGCCGGCGAACATCACAAATACAAAAGCAACTTCTGCTTCCTATTTTCTTGGCCGGAAGTGAAACTTCAGATGAAGGTATGCGCAGCTTTACAAGGGAGTATTGTGCCTATTGGACACAAAAGAGTCGATATAGCATGTTTAATTCAGTTCCAACAATACTGGACGAGATCTGGACGAGTGGAAAGTGGTGGGGAACTGTTATCGACAATAAGGGTAAATCTACGTCTTCTGGACTAGAATGGTCTGCAACACAATTGTTGTTTGGTTAAATGAAATGATTTCTCTTTTTATGAAAATTTTGATCTGAAAGCATCACATTCAAAATTTCCGACTTGTTCTCGCCTGCTAAATTTCTTTGAGTCGAGCATTCGAATTCATAGAAATCCTCGACCATCAAACGCAAAGTATGCTTGACATATTTCCCAAAGAAAGTCTCACGGAAAGATAGTAGGCTATTACTGCTAATGAGCAACTGTTTGAGCCATGTTGAGGAGATCCCAGTCAATGGCGGGGCCACAAAACTTCTTCCGCCGCTCCACCCAACAAACGAGCACTACGACGAATATTCCCAAAATGACTGCAGCATTGCTAGAAATTAGTGTTAGAGAGCGAATAAAATGGGTTATTATTTATGGAACGGGACTCACTAATTCATGTTAGCCAAAGTTGGAGGGTTGGTTGTTGGGAAGCAAAAGAGTACACCGCTCAGAATGAGCCATAGTACCGAAAATATATGCACAGAATACCCATATTTGCCCAGGTCAAAGTAACGAGGTGGAAGCATGTCCCTTCCTCGGATGGCTAATAGAGCCTGGGGCACAGTATACGTAATATTGAGCATCAGAACGGCGGTATTAATGATGGAATTGAAGGCCTGCGTGCTGGCAATGTAGAGCAACCCGTAAATGACACAAAATGCAGCGGAAAGGAGAGTGGCTCGAACGGGAATGTTGCGTTTTGAGTCAATTTCTGACCAATAGTCAGAGAAAGGTAGACCATTCTTCGAAAAAGTCAGACTATTTATGATAAAAGACAAGTATTGGAGATTACTCACGTCGCGGGAGAAAGCCCATGTCATTCGACTACTGGTAATCCATTGACTGGGAACACAAGCTGAAGCGTACTTAGCAGAGGGAAAAATAAAAGGAGAAATGAAAGCGTACTGTAATATAGGATTGTTAAATAGGTCTGGAGGGAAGCGGCTGCAGCTTTGCTGCCTGTGGCTTGGTAAAATAACTCAAGACTTGGAAGGAAGGCGCTCTGCACTGCGTCCATATCTTGAATGACCGACGTCATGGCAATAATCCAAGGCACGAGGGTAAGGACACCCAGTATAATGGTCAAGTTACTGTAAGATGTCAGACATGGTAAAGAGACGGGGTATACAGGGGGCAGTCGTAAAGGGAAACGCACATCACGAGCGGTATTCTGCGAGCGGGGCTTGGAATTTCCTCCGCAATATGCACACATGCTCCAGCAGCCGCGAATGCGTACTCTCCATTTCCAATCCCAAGCAGCCAGCCTACCCCGGGTCCCCAGCCACTTGTTGATCGGTACTCAACTAGAGCGCTGGGATGGTAGGTTCCTTTGCCCATGACGAGACAGACAATCACCACTAACACAAACCCTATTATCGAAAGTAACATTGCAGTTTTTGTCATATTCTCGATACGTTGTTGGGGAATGATGGCAATCGGAAGTACTGTGAATGATCAGATAATGACTTGTGTCCGCGAACGAAAGGGCTTCTACAAGTGAGAATAATGACAAGCAGATAACACAGATACACCTGCCACTGGGTTCCTACAAACCCAGCAACTAAGAACTCACATATCCCGAAGGCAGATATGGCTGTGTATATGGTGCCTGAAGCGGTATTTACCCACCAAGCAATGACATTGATTGTCCCAACGAGATAAGCTGAGAATGCCTTATAACCATCCGGAGCAACGATGTACGTGAAATGATATTGTCCCTGTTATTGTTCTGGTTAGAATGTTGCCAATTGTATTTGTTCCGCTTCACTTACTCCAGATGAGGGAAATGCAGAGGAAAGCTCAGCAACTCCCATGAGCATGACCCATTGAACCAGCGCTGAGAGTATCGGGCTGAAAATGGCCACCAGCCCTCCCCCATAGCTATATGCCACTCCAAAGCATGAAGCATAGGTCAACCACGAATTGACAATGCTAAAACATTATCAGCAAGAATTCTGGCTGCAGTTGAACTAATGCAAACCTGAAAGCAAGCCCAAGAGCACCCATCCATGAGAATGATCGCTCAAGCTGCACCTCGTGTCCTTGAGCACGCAAAACCGTATCGTCCAAGTCGAATGTCTCACCCACACCCTTTGCCTCGAGTTGAGAGGCAGCATCGCCGTGTCTCTTGTTGTTAGTCATGATGTGGGTAGCTCGTGAAAAAAGGAATTTGGAATGCAGTGAGAGAGCAGCAGGCGGGTATTTTAGCATATCCAAAAGTTCTTTATCATAAGAGCCCGGGGTAGGAACTATTATATTACTTGAACCAGGCCAATCATATTTCTTGGAGAGAGATTCAGAATTATGCAGGTCAACGAAAGATTGTGGTCAAGATAAGCCGTGATCTAGCCCCTTTCTTGCAAATGCAGCTGTGGTAGTAATCGAGACAGGTGCAATCACGGACGAATGGACACAGAAGATCCACCATGATCTAACTTCTTTGCCGAGAATGCGGGGTCGCTATACTAGATAACTACGGCTTCACTGCCGAACGCAATTTCGGCTTTTTCATAACCTTATCTCTCCTGCTATTTTGGGAGATCTAAGGTTTAACCCCGCCTTCCTGCTCCGACGAAACTTGAAGTTTGCCTCTCTTCTTCTTGTTTGTTGTTAGACTTGTCAAATTTGTATTCTATTTGGCCAGATGCGATATCAGCATCATGGGATATGAGATCGGTCCCGGATTCTGAGTTACAATCGCATTTCAAGATTCATATCTGGGGCTACTAGAGCACTATCCAGTCCATGGTAAATTTATTGAGATAAACTCTAATCCACTTTTCATCTCACTCTATCTCACTGTCTCTCAATAGAGATAAAATCATATTCATTTTAGTTGAACACAACTCATTTCACAGATGCGAGACGCCGGGTGTTGAATTGAGCCAAGCAGCTGAAATCACACTCAAACCATTCCGAAGCCATGGAGTATTCAGGGTGGCATCCGAATCGAATCCATGATCACCGTCCTGAACGTGAAGTTGGACCAGTCCGTCGGGGAAGTTTTGGCGTAATAAAGAGGCAAATCGATGGGATCCATCAACAGGAACTGCCGAGTCTTGTTTTCCATGAAATATGAAAAATGGAGGTATCTTTGATTTACCCGAAGCTGCAAGACGCCTCGCTCTTTCCATCGGAAACAAATCTGGAGTATCAGTGCCGAAGAATTCCAGGAAGCGGCCATTTTGCACGATAGAAAATGCCAACTCCAGGCGATCCGGTGGATTCGCGGTCGTGACTACCCTCGGCATGCTCCCAGACTCATTGGCCTGGAGATGTTCATTTATCACACTGTTCGGTATATTTGGAACACCAACAATCGGTTTCTCATATCGTCGTGTGTAGAATTGTGATCGGAGATCCAGCATCGGGTAGGCAGCGACAACACCTGAAACCGTGGACGGATACTTTAGAGCCAACTGAACAGCCAAGTAACCACCTGGAAATTTTGTAATATTTAGCCAATTTTGCAAATATATAAGCTATCTGGGCGTACTGACCGGCACTTTCCCCAATTAGTAGCACTCTATAAAGATCGGGGGTAATATTGGAGTGGCCTGTGTCATGCAAAGACTGTGAAAGTCCATTTCCGCGCAGCCAATCCCAGAAAGCGTCAATATCCTCCAGAATTTCTGTCCCACTTGCTTCAGGAAGTAGGCGGTAGTTTGGAGATATAATGATCGCATTGCTTTTTGAAGCGTAATCTAGAATCCAATTTGAAAACCAGGGGGCATAACGGCTTGACCCAGTGACCTGTATTCATACGTCAGGTCTCGCGTGGCATTGAACAATTCCGCAATGGAGAAGCACATACTAGAAATCCACCATGAATCCGAACCAGAATTGGGATTTGAGAGCGTTCATGGTCAGGAGAACCCAGCAGAGTTTTGGGGATGAGTATGTCTGTGGAGATTGCAACATTGCCGCCATGACTGGCCTTCAAGATTCTGTATTCTGTAGTCAACACTTTGAAAGCTTTGAACTTATCGACATCCAACGAAGAAAGCGCATCCATAAGCGTAAAGAATTGACTCGGTGGTGGCATTTTGACTCGATTGAATCGCCAAATTTGGTTTTGTGAGAGAATTTTGGTCAAACAGGGGTCATGAGGCGACTTTATCTTTAGATCTCAGACCCACAATGCTGAAGCTATTTGGAGACACGTTCGAAATACGTTCAGAAAGAACTTTCAAAGAGAGAAAGGGGCATGTTATCATGCAGGAACCTTTTTTCTGATTTCTAGGCTTAGAATTTTCAGCTGTTACTGTAGTTGTTGTCTTTACCTCTCGCCACTATGACCTAATATCATGGCCCTGTGCTTTTTGGTAGTTGCACCACTAATTAGTCGCCGCAGAACCTTCGTGGAAGGTCACGCTGGAAATATTGTCTTGCTTCTTATCGTGACTCAACCCGCAGAATCCCTGTCGTAGGAATAGCCCTCCGAGATGAAAGTATGGAGGGGGAGACGGGTCCTTGGATCCCCCTGCGGACGATGTCGGGGTAGAAGAATAATTACCCAATGGGGAAACCGAGTTCTGCATATCCGCAGCGCGCTTCAGCAATCCCAACCAAATGACCCGATCGGACCCACATACCAGATTGAGAGATCACTAGTTACATCTCTGGCCAATTGATAAGGAACGATATGACAGCTTATCCATCCAGACCATTATCGACTGGGTAACCATAACAAGAGATCTTTCCACTTATTCGGAGGCTTACAACGAGTCGCTAATCTGCTGGGTACTGTATACCATTCGTGAAATCTCTGATCGGAAGATCTTGGCTTAGGAGTCTTGAGATTAGTAGGTTTCGACTATTCCTCTGCATGACTGGGAACTCTCGTAGACGTCTCCCACGTTTGATGATGTATTGGGTTCAGATATCTAAGGACATGATGGAATCCTCTCAACGTGTCACTTGAACCTAAAGGTTGAGTAAGGTCATAGCCTTGCCCGAATCCCACAAGCTTCCTCGATCAAATTCACAGCAGCCTTTGCGCAGCCATAGGATGACTGATACCCAGCGCCCGCAGCACCATAATTGTGGACTACCCACATCCCATCGATTTTCTCCTTCTCGATGCGGGTCCCTCCCCTCGCGAACAGGTCGCAGTCCAACACCGTGTCGGATGACATCCAAATGTTCAATACCCTTGCCATCTGTTAGAGCAGGACACATAGCCACAGCCCGCTTCATGATCCGAATCGCAAGGCTAGGATCAGGCTGCGATTCCCAGTTGCCCTTTTGGTACGACCCACCGAGGATCGTGCCTCCCCCAGCAGCTCTTGTCATGACATAACACGCTTCATCTTCTCCATCATCTGTGCCAGACACATCAAGCATTTTACCTGCTTCATTGCGGACGACTACAATCTGACCACGTGCCGGAACGACAGATCTGTCCTCAACTCCACCAAGCTTGGAGGCCATGAGACCAGTGCAGTTAACGACCAGATCAACCTGGCCTGATGGATGAACATCAGAGGCTGACGCATCACGAATATGCTTAAACGTAGCGCGTTTGAAGACTACCCCGTTGCCGAGACACTGAGAAACCAGCCAGGGGAGATAGATAGCGGTGTTGATGCATACCGACGTGAAAACCGTGGCAGAATCAATACCGGGGCCCAGTGCTTCCTTCGGCAGCGAGCGAAACTAGAAACGTATATTTAGTAATAAATGATGTAATTTCCGATATGGAGAATGCTGACATTTGGGACAGTTTTCGAAAACCAGGGAGTTGGTGACAGTAGCTCGGAAAACCAGCTTGCTGTTGCAGAACCAACGTCTTTCGCGCGACTGTGTATCTCACAATCTTGTGAAAATATTAGTTATCGTATCAGTGCATCAGTCCCAATGGAATCATTTTTTTACCTTGGAAATGGACTCCAGCCTCGGGATAATTTTGGGCAAGTTCTGCCAATGGCCCCCAGGTGTCTTCATCCCATTTCGCAGCTTCAGTTCCACCTACCGAGACACTATACAAGCATTAGGCAAGATTTGTAGAAACTGAGATCTAAAGATCATTGATGGTATAGCTACGGCATATAGTTTGCGCCGGCCCATGGCGATGCATATTCAATATCGTAATCGCCGGGCATATGCTTAGCTGCAACAACTATCTTGTAACCTGACTTTCTAGACAGTAGCAAGGCAGTCGTTAAGCCGGCTACGCCAGCCCTGTCTTAACTTTTAGCTCGCGCTGATTTTCGATGAATGGAAAGCTTTCAACACACACCCAATGATGACTATGTTCTTCTGAGGCATGGTTAATCACAATTCATGCAATTTTGAGGCGACAGAAAGGTAAAAGAAAAATTCGCAGAACCTGACCAAAGGACAGGGCTCCAGGTATTTTAATCAACTGAAATTAGTATAGGGTATCTTTTGTCTTACATACCTTCATTGATATCATGTAACCTTCATTGCCGTACCTAGTAATCCTGTCCCAAGAGCTTGGCCGTCGTCAACAAAATTACCGGATTAGGAAGGTGAGATTTTATTCGATTGCTCCAGACAACTCGGAATCGTCACACTTCCTTCTTTGGCATTTACTACAAACGAAAAATTCCTTCGTAGCCATGATGCTGATAATCTCAACAGGATACTTAAGTGTGCATGCGACAACACCCTCGTCAAACCCATCGAATTCACATTTGTTCATCTATTCAACACAAACATGGCTACCATGCAGAAGTTCATTGCAGCCTACGATGCTCGGCAGGCGGTTCTTGCTGTGAGCACCAATCCTTTCGCTAAAGGCATTGCTTGGGTAGACGGAGAACTCGTTCCTCTACATGAAGCACATATCCCTCTCCTCGACCAGGGCTTCATGCATAGCGACCTTACATACGATGTCCCTTCCGTCTGGGATGGCCGCTTCTTCCGCCTCGATGATCATATTACTCGGCTCGAAGCTAGCTGCGTCAAACTACGCTTGAAGCTTCCACTGCCTCGCGAGGAAGTCAAGCAGACCTTGATCGACATGGTTGCCAAAAGCGGTATCCGGGACGCGTTCGTGGAAATCATCGTGACCCGCGGCCTGAAGGGAGTTCGCGGTACTGATCCCAAGGACATCGTCAACCGCATTTATATGTTCGTTCAGCCGTATGTATGGGTTATGGAGCCTGAAGTACAGCCCATCGGCGGTACAGCGATTGTCGCACGTACTGTTCGTCGCGTTCCTCCCGGTTCTATGGACCCAACTGTTAAGAACCTCCAATGGGGCGATCTGACTCGCGGGCTCCACGAAGCTGCCGATCGTGGAGCAACCTATCCTTTCCTGACCGACGGCGACACCAATCTCACCGAAGGCTCTGGTTTCAATATCGTTCTTGTCAAAGACGGTGTCTTATATACGCCTCAGCTCGGTGTTCTTGAGGGTGTCACACGCAAGAGTGTCATCGACGTTGCGCGAATGAACGGTCTGGAGATTCGTGTGGAGCTCGTGCCTGTGCAGAAGACCTATGAGGCCGATGAGATTTTCATGTGTACCACCGCTGGCGGTATCATGCCTATCACAAGTCTCGATGGTAATCCAGTTAACGGTGGCGAGGTTGGTCCGATTACGAAGAGGATCTGGGATGGGTATTGGGATATTCATTACGATGAAGGGTTCAGCTTCGAGATTGAATATAACGATGGGAATAGGAACACTTCAAGTGGCCCCGGTCTGTAGATCTATGGGCATGTGACATTCATTAGCTTTCGTTTAAAAAGAAACTCAACAAATCTGTCCGTCTATCATTTTCCCTAGTAAGCAAAGCAATATTCAAACCCAGAGAGCAAGTCATTAAGTGAGCGATTATCGCGGCATGAAAGCCATTCTATCGTTCAGCCATTCACCGTACCATGTGCCATCGTACACCAAGTTCGTCAATACCTTTTATTTGCCGTCAACCTTCCCGCGTCCAAACCACCGTCTGGCCCCCAAACCCAGTCCCTGCAGACCACGCTGCTGCACCTCACGACGCGCCGCTCCATCAACCGCACTGCCATCAGCTTCCTCCTCGGTGTGATTGTGTCGACCATCCACAAACCGAAGCAAAATCTGCATCAGTATCGCAGCAAGAATACTGGCAATGAGAATCCCGACCATGACCAAGTTACTCTTCCGGTACTTCTGCCTTCCAGGTGCCTCATAGTCACTCTTCCATCCTGAATAAAGGGCATAGGTAGTCAGGATACTGCCCAAATTACCCCACCCTGAGACCACGGCAGAGGCAGCTGCCACACCGACCTCTCCATGTCGTGGTTGGAAGATCTCTGCAGTCCACGTCATGGTGATGGGCACAGTTGGACCGAGTCCAAACCCGACGATCAAGAGGCCACCGTACCGCGGCCAAGGGTTATCTTCAGTACCGGCATAGCTGGTCAGCAGTAATCCAAGAATCTGTAACAGGACAGGGATCGAGAAGAACAGAGCGCGGTGGCGGTGGAAACGATCCGAGAAGGGGGTAACAAGGAGAATAGCGATGAGATCCATCTAGAGAGAGAAATGATTAGCCAGTGAAACGGAAAATTTATGACACTCGGAGAACCTACAATCCAGATAGGCGCTGTGAGCAAGCTTAAATCAACTCCGTTCAAAGAGGGGTTGATCGCCTTGATGATCACGTTCGCATACAGCTGAACACCAATGCCAACACCCACAACGCCAAAGTACATGACCAACAGCGGCCAAAGTCTCCAGTCCATGAAAACGTAGAGCAAATCTCGAAGATTCCACTTTGAGCTATGGTACACACGTTTCATATCGTGATAGTGAATCACGGAATCGCGGCCTGTCAAAGCAGGTCGGCTTTGCGGCAACCAGCGCAGCAACCGATGACGCTCAGGAGCCGACGCACCAGGCGCAACAGGTCGGTCGGGCAACCACCATAGCTGGGCAAATCCCAAGGCGATAGTGATGACGCCGTAGATCAGGAACATCCACTGGAATCCAACGTAGCCTTGTGCACCATCCATCTCTTGGAAACCGGCAGAGACGAGGCCGACCACCGCTGCAGAGACCTGTGCAGCAGTGAAGTACTGACCAATACGCTTCCCAATCCGCGAAGGTGGGTAGAAGAGCGTAAGATAGTAGGTCATACCGGGCCATAAGCCAGCTTCGACGATACCGAGAAGTAGACGAAGCAGACTGTAGATCATTAGCACAAAAGGTTGCTATGGTCGACAAAGAAATAGATATGGACATACTAGAAGCTCCAGGCTGCTTTCATCGCTGTCATACAAGTACCAATCAGCCCAACGCTGACCACGATACGGCTCATCCACACATGCGGACTAAGACGGGTCATGACCAAGTTTGAAGGCAGATCAAAGACAACATAACAAACATAGAACAAGGCCAGGCCTGTCGATATCTGGTGGGGATTCAGATGGAGCACCTCGGCGAGGTCGTGGCCAGAGTCTGCGTTCATTGTTTGTGCCAAACCGACGTTGGAGCGGATGGCCGAGCACATGAAGTAGAGAACCCAGAAGGCGGGAATAATGCGCCAGTCCAGTTTGCTATTCCACGAGGTTAGGCCTTTCACAACTAGAGCCAAATGCATAGAGAGATGCAACTGACCTATAGATGCGTTCAATGTTCTCGACGCTGAATTCTTCAGGCTCGAGGTCGTCCATGTCTGTCGATTCTGAGAGAGCCCGTGGTGGCTCGTAGACATCATCAGAAGGGAAATTCTTCTTTGTGCCGAGAGCGGCCTCCGCTGCCTCGACAGACATTTTCGTGATGGTGTGTAGTCCTGCTATTTCTTTTGCCGGCCTTGCTTTTCGAACGAGCCTATTGCCAGCGTCGACTGGACCTTCTCACAGGAACAAGTCAAAAGATTTGACCATAGGAGACTGCAATCCAAGGTGGATATAGCAAATGGGCTGAGTATATAAAGCTGTGCCGGAAAATCAGTGACTCGGTTTTCGAAGGGTTTTCTCTTTTGCGTAGCCGAGGTCTAGCCAATGACTCCCACTATGAAATGATGGATCTAGAGGGGAAAAATAAGAGTCGCATCCACCTACCTAGAATAAGAGCTTATACTCGGTGGTCCCCGGTCCGCTCCGTCCGAGAAAACTATCAAGCTCGCGACAAAGTTGACGCGAGCGGAGAAAAAAAAGTGCGAGGCGGAGAAGCTCAGCCGCTTTCAGATCTGATAATGCGTGGTGGAGGGGTTCTTGGTCTTGGCAGTACAATGCAAGCCTGATGCTTTATCGTTTGCTTAGCCACGGTGAGTAAATCTTTGAATAAATAGAGTCGAAAAAGGAGAAATGCTTGTTGACTCACAGTATCTGCTTAATAAAAATAAAAGCAAGGCTGTTGAGCTTGTTGAGGTTGAGTGGGAAATTTCCTTCCGACTCTCGGCGCTCCGCGATTGACGGGAAAGGCTCTCCCCCAACAGCAAACATCGTCGCTCACCGAGGATAACCTTAAATGCGTCTGACTCATGGCTGCCGCGTGGATGCACTTCGCATGGCATCGGAATGACTTTAATTTCTATCAGGCCATATTTTTACAAATGTTTTTGCTCGCACGCATCAATAGTAATGCCAAGAGAACTTGACCGGGAGGCTTCCCAGTCGATATTTTCCCTTCTGCTCGATCAGGCAAGCTATTCCAGGCTGATATGTACCACGTTTTCCGATTTAAATCGGCCAAATGCCTGGCTCTACGCGTTTCCTCGTCTTTTTCATCCGAGCTTGGTCAGTTAGTGCAATTGAACTATTTTGGCTTCGGCAACTGAGACTGGTCACGCAGTTGTTTTCAAAACCAAAGCTGCTGGTTTCGGTCCGATCACGTGATTCGAGATCAATCTAAGCCATCGAGATGAGGATAAGGTCACTGTTGCAGCAGGATAACGGCATTCCACAAAGACAATAAATCCTTGCGTGTGCGATTCTCAAAGAGAATAACCGTCTTTAGAGGGGTGCAAGAGAAGGTTTCTAGACCGTTGACCTATGACCTATCGCCCGTAAATTTCTAGGCTTGGAATGGGACCTACGAGACATGAACTTCAAAAAATGGACCAGTTTGGTCGGACTTACGCCTATCTTATTAGCTGGGAACTTCATCCGCAGGCATCATTTCGAGTGGGGCCCCGGAGTGTTCAGACGTCCCCTCATACCTCCTGTACCGTCAGGGCCTGAAAGTCTCCTCCTCCCTGGCAAAAGTACAGTACAAGCAAAGGTTCCTCCAAATTTCATCTTTATAAACGAGACACATAGGTATAGGATGCATGATTTAAATTTTTGGGGTAGTAAGAAAAGACAAGACAAGAGCCACAAGGATAAGGGCATCTCGCTGTGGGCTGCCGCGGAATAGCATTTGATCTCCACACATATGTACATCGGTCGGAATAGATGCAAGACTTGATAGTATCAAAATGTGAATCAATTAGTAAATTTCACTCTTAGTTGTAAGTATAAATTCTGATATGTTCTGCGTATGTATTGCATCTCGGTCACTCGGCTGCTACCTAGTTGACTCAGGCTTGCCATGAAATTCGCTGAATTTGGAGAAAACACTGTAGAATCGTTTCCAAACACAGTATGGACGGGCTTCCCTTGATTGCTCCTTCTTGCACACTGGAATATTTGGGTTATATAAGTGACTAACGGTCGGTGGTGTAAGATTTCGAAGTGTTCGTATCTAGTGACTCTGTTCCCGAGTTAAATCTGCTAATTCTTGGGGAGCCATATCATGGCGTGAGATTGTACCTTGAGAGGAAATTCCTTTGAGAGAATCTCTTGAATTGTGATCATTTTGTCGATGAGAATGGTCGTGGGGATCATGCGTGCCTCGATTCTTTGAAAGTTAGCTACTACATAAACGTTGAAGATTTGAAAAGTAATACTTTTGGACTAAGTGAGCCCTCAGATGGTAACCTCTCGTACTTGCTGAAATATGACTTCTCCTCCTCGGACATTGGCTTAGAAAATCATTAGTGTATTTGCCGATGATAGTAGAAACCGGACAGGAGGCACACACCTCAGGGTGCGACGCTATACTTTTAGGCTCCATGGTGGTACGAATGACATGCTGAATAAAATATGTGCCGATGACTTGTTTCGAAAATGAACTAATCCTGTCTTATATAATTCGCGACTTTACACCTTTATCTATGACGCATTCCCCACAGTTTGAATCGTTGCGCTGGTTGGATGGGATGATACCCGTTCGGCGCTGTTGATAAATTGGATGACATCAGAAATCCGACCTATATCCGTGGGTAAGTTCAATTGACCCTTGCGGGAAGACCCAACCAGGTCCTATCAAATATGAGAGCGGTAATCGCGTACTTCATGCTCTTTTTGACATAGCAATCTGGCAGAAAAAGTGGGTCAACATGGTTAAAATATGCATGTAAGTCATACTTGCTTTGAGTGTTCGGTATTCGGTCCACTTGCGACAGGATATACTCTAATTTTAAAGGAGCGTGGAGGAAAGTTTGCGGCAGCATTCCTGTCAATGCCGAAGATTCCACAGTTAAACTCAAGCCGAGCGGTACCTCCATACAGAGTGAATGGCGTTGAGAAAGTGGAACTCGGCAAAAAGGCGCCTAAAGAAGGTTATCCGAGAGGTTCGACAGTAAACGACATGAGTGAATACATAGGTCAAGTGGATGTCAAACATGCCGAGTGGAGGATTTCCGATCTCCATTTTCTCCGGAATAATAGCGAAGCTAGTTGTCAAATGATAACTGCGTTCAATTTCGATATCAACTTTGCTAAGGTACCCCGATCCCAATAGAGATTCCAAAGTCAGCCTCGTATTCGCAACTGATTCAACTTCTAAATCAAATAACCGCAACAGGAAGGTCAGGATTCTCTTTACGCATAGACTAGTTGCTCAGGGCGAGTTGACCGCACGGCTCACAATTTAGCGATTGGTCAAAACGGCCTTGAAATAAGGGAAGATTGTGCCTAAGCTCGTATTTGGGATTTTGCCCAATTGTGCCCTGGAAATGCCCCGCCCGCGATCGTACTCGCGGTCCCGGAGATAAAAGAGGATGCCTATTGACGTGAAGGGCTATAAGGATGTTATCTTCTGGTTATCACTCCTCTCGCGTCTACAAACCAGTCCATGAAGATGCTAGAATACACCCACCCTCCCACCTACCACAGACTCTGTCCGTCGATGCTCAACAATCAGCCTCGGGTCCTGGAGGACCCTGCTGGGCTAACAAGCGGCTCGAGAGTGCGCCAAGCATCCTGCTCGTATTCCTCCAGCACCTTTGCCCTCCACAGGATGAACTGACCCAGCCCAGGCTTGGCGCAAATGCTAGCGCCTCAACCTAAATCCTTGGCCTAGCCGCAATCTTTCTTTTGTTTGGGCTAGCTAAAACTGTCAATGGTCCTATTTAAAGCCATGATCGTCCCTCAGTCCGCAGAGGCCCGGCTCTTCCTGCGCTGGATTACTTGTGTGGCAGAAAGCTCATATTCGGCATTACCGAAGACTTTCTGGTTCAAAACCACCAGCTAGGAACGATGGTGAAGTTCGCAAAACAATTGGGAGTTTCCCTCCTTCTCCTCTTCTCCGCTGTTGTTGCTGAAGAAGCAACCCGGGATGAGCCGCAGCAGTTCTGGAATGCATCCATGCGCATCACCCAAACGGGCGTCATGAACCCTCGCGATCTGTTTGGCTTGGAGCCCAGAGCCTACGAATGCAACCCAGGATACTCGGAGTGTGCATACGATACCTCGCGCTGCTGCCCTACCGGTACAAGCTGCTGCGGAACTGGCTACTGCGCTGATCCTGGCGATACCTGCTGTACTACAGGCGGCACCTGCCCTAGCGGTTGGAACTGCTGCGGCGACGCATGCTCGCCTGTTGGTGGAGAGTGCTGCAACGGTGGGTACTATTGCAATGCTGGCAAGCACTGCCGTATCTGGAATGGCGAGAAGGTGTGCTGCCCCTCGTCTGGCTGCTCCGGGGAGTCTGATACAGGCAGCTTGGGAGGCACCGTCACGGCCGGTGTTACTGTGACTGCAACCACGACTTTGAGGTCCACTTCTACCTCTTCGCGTACTTATGCGGACTATGAGTACTACTCTACGACTTATTACTGGTGAGTTTAATTTGTTAGGAAGCGCTCAGTCAGTCGACTAACTCATGGCTAGGACTTTTTGGTTCTACTTCTGGACCTCGTACGCCCCCTACACCGTCCAGACTGTCACCTCGACTCGCACTACAACCACAACTATCATCTCTGTCTACGTAACCGATCTTGCCGATGCCAGGTCTAGTTTCTCAAGCAGCATCAGCTCCCTGACCTCATATCCTCCCTACTCCGCAACCTCCCTGAAGAGTTCGACAAGCCCAGTTCCACTTAACACCGGAGTATCTGCCCCTACTTCCGGTGGTTCTTCGTCCAATCAAGGAGCCGGCCCTGGTGCCAACGCTGCCAGTAGCTTGCCTATCGATATCAATGTAATCATCATGGGTACTGCTTTGGCGGCTTTGTTTGGTGGCCTGGCTCTTGGGCTGTGACAGGTACCATACGGCTGACTGTCTCGGACTGGGAGCAGACCATGATATAACAATCGATTTCTTAATGCTTTACATGTCTGATGGACTATAACAATTTGTTCAATAAACCTTTACCTCAATCTGTCTTTTTCTGAGAATAGCAATCCGAGTAGAATTCTTTAGACCTACGTAGCCACGGTGATCCCATCTGTTTCGAAAGATGTGCCAGGTTAATGTTGAATAGAGTAGACACAAGCCATTTATGAATTCATGAACACGGGTATAAAATAGGATTCTCGAGAGAAACGCAAGAAAACCAAGACATTCATAAGACAAGCCGTCTCGGCATGCCAGGGCCAGCAGACATCTGGGCAGGTTGACAGTCTCATATTATCAGAATCTATTGGCTCCGGGTCAACAACACACTAGCATCGTGGAACTATCAACGTAAATAATAAGTTCGTAAAAAATCACTGAAGAGGCATCCAATTTGATGGGACACCAACGCCCCACATATACAAGGTGAAAGTAGTCATTTGGAAATGCGAAACAGGCTCGGACTTTAGCTGCTGTCCGAGAAGCTACCGTTGTTCTCGACATGCGTGCCCTTGCCAGCCTCCAGATCTGAGCCCGAAGAGAGAGCCTTTATCTGCTTTTCAGAAACATGGCTGGCACGGCGCAGATGCTCCTCGGTGTCTTGGTAGTTGATGAGAAGCTCGCCATTCTTGCCGAAGCGGTGGGGCTCATTGCGGGCAACGGAAACAACATTGAAGATACTGGTACTCTTCTGGAAGATAGTATCCATTTCCTCGAGGGACCGGTAGGCAGTCTCGGGGTAGAAGAAGTAGACGACAGGAAAGATGAAAGCGTTGCTATTGGGGTCGTTAGCGCCAGATATAAACATGGGAACGCTGGAACTTACATGACTGCGAAAATGATGTAAGTCTTATATCCAATTGAGTCGAATGCGACAGGTGTGATCATGACGACCATGAAGTTGAAAATCCAGTTCCCGGAGGTAGCCAGGGCATTGGCAGGAGCACGAATACGTAGGGGAACCTGGTAAAGATAAGAATCACTATTCCCAAGGTAACAGCACAAGGAGATACTCACAATCTCGGCTGGGTACAACCAGGTCATACCAAGCCATCCCCAAGCAAAGAATGTATTGAAGACGAACAGAAATACAGCAGCGGCGATACCAGGCTTACTCTGACCGACAAAGCTGGTGGTGATAGCGAGCACAGCCATAGAAATCGACATGCCAGCAGCACCGACAAGCATCAGCGTGCGACGTCCAATCTTGTCAATGACGAAGATAGGGATCAGTGAGGCGAGGAAGTACTCCGTTCCGTTGCAAGCAGCCAGGATTCGAGACATCAGCCCATCCATGCCAATCGATTTCTCGTAAATCGTAGCAGCGTAGTACGTAATAAGGTTGATACCGGAGATTTGCTGGAACATCTGGTTGACGTAGGCGAGGACGACACGGTGGAAGTGACGGTTTTCATCCATTGTCAGCAAGTCGCGGAAACTGACACTCGAAGCGGCCAGTACGGCGTCCTTGATAGCGGCGAATTCAGAATGCACATACGGGTCGTGCTCCGGCATATCAAGTATAGCAGATAGCACCTCCAGAGCCTCCTCTTCCCGGCCCTTGAGGATTAACCAGCGGGGGGACTCGGGCAGAGGCAGGACAAAGATCATAATCACCAGAGCGAAGACGTTCTGGAAGGCAATAGGGAAGCGCCAAGCCACGGGGCTAGGGTCGAGGAAGGAAAACCCAAGGTCGATCCAGTAGCTAATCGTGATTCCACCAGCAATCAAGGCACCTTCTAGCATGACGAGCCGGCCACGGTGGTGTGACTTGCTGCACTCGGACTGCCATGTGGCTGTATCAAGAAGTCAATTTAGCTCATAAGGACGACACATAGAGCATGAACCAGAATGTAATATACTTACGGACGGTAGAAGTGTTCATGCCATTGCCAAGACCAGTCACAATACGGCCAACAATCAGATGAGGGAGTGAGTACGCGCACGATTGCAGCGTCGCACCAATAACCATGATGATGGAGCCGACAAAGATTGTCTTGCGACGGCCGAGATAGTTTCCAATCCAGATGCAGAAGATAGCCCCGAAGAAGCATCCCAGGTTATACGAAGCCGTGGTGATACCCTGCACGGTAGAACGCTGGCTCTGCTCAGACCGGCTGAGGCCAAGCAAGCCGGCTTTGGTGGTGTCGATATCTGGGAAAGTAGTAACGAATGAGTTGAGTGTTAATAGACCACCCATGACCCCCCTATTGTATCGTTAGAAGTCACGTCAATCACCGGTTTGGATTGTGTTCAATGTCAACATACTGGTCATAACCGAAGAGCCTGGAAAACAAGTGAGTCAACATGTCACCCTATATCTCAAGGAGATGTGCTGTGCACATACAAGAAATCAAGGCCGGCAATGATACTGATCATGATGTTGAGGGCAGTGCCCCTCAACCCGAAATAAGGCTTCATAGCGGCGAGAGGTAACCGTGATGGTATCCGTAGATATTCACTCAGAGGCGTACAACAAGCTGTTTAGAATGAAATCAAGTCCAACTGTTGTACAACAACAAAAGAAAACGACAAGTTCAATTCCAATAGGGCGCCTAAGGTTGTCGATGGAATGGGATGCTGAAGAATGGTGGCTGAGTATACGGGGAGACCCGACTGGGTCTGAGGAAGTCTTTGGAGACTTTAAAAGGCCGGTGAAACGAGGGCAGACCTGGGAGGTATCCACCGTAGGCACGATGATGGAAGCCATCGACGGTGGCCATTGAAAACGAAACATTGATGCTTGGCCAGGGGGACCCACGAGACAATGTCGCATTACTGTCTATACATTGCCGGATCGGGTGATGGACAGACAAGGCCTCGGTATCGGCCCGGTATTATTGGGTCACGGACCTGGCCAGACTAACAATACCGACATTGTTGCTGCGGTCGGAACAAGCGACTGTTTTCAGAAACTAAACAATCGGCATGGGCAAACAATTGATGACCACATCGATGATGCTCGTACTCCCTCGTGGCTCGCGTGGTCGCGAGATATGATTCGGTTCCTACATTAGGAAACCAGTGCAACGCGCATTCAATGGGGTGTATGTATCGTTGGGGACTGATGGACCTCCCCAGAGCTCTCTCCATCTTTTGTCTCCGCGATTCTCCACATTCCTTCTCGCCCATCGACTGCGCCATGCGAAATATAATCGTTGACAGTGCCTCAATCTACAACAATATCCTTCAAGTTGCATTTAACAACGACATCAATGATCCTGGTTTGATACGATACCAAGGAGAAGCAACGCACGGGATGGTGATTACCCCCGTCGGCGAACCAGAGCGCCGGCTTCTGACGGGAAGTCCAACCGGTGCCATGGTCGCTTCCGAGGCTCTGCCAGGGACCCAACGTCATCCCGAACTGCAGTAATAATATCTCGGCCGGAGCTTGTTCATATGCCGTTTCATTAACTAATGGAAACCCGCGAGTAAGTCCACAAAGGAAGAACTGGGCTGGTATTGAGTACGATGACATCATTGTCAGGGCTTTCACGAACGCAGTGGGACCTCGTTAGCCTACTGCACAACTACACCCTTTTCATCAAGGGAACGCGAATATTTCGGTCAGTTTCCGATACACTCGTGTGGACGGATTCTGAACATTTAGCCGCCAGCCTACAACGACAATATGTACTTAGTTCGCAATATCCTCGTTCGCCAGACGTCTGTAGACTCTGTAGCACCAAGCGAGGAAGATATCCCGGCTCGGCTGGGGCCGAATGCTAGGGTTCAGCCAGATGGATTTTCACGTTCAATCTCTCGGCCACGCTACTACTGTATCCTAAAAAAGTACTGTCACATACCTCTATTTCAGGTACCATCTTGTCAAAATGCTCACGAGTACCATGTCTCCGTGGTCGAATATCGCCTTCCCTTCCAGAATGCAGTAGCGCGTCAAGGCTTGCCTGATCAGGAGAACCCGTTTCGCGCACACGGTGGGGCGTGGTCTACCTCGTCCTACTTTGGAAACTACACGAAGGACAGACCAGCAGGACAGTACAGGATAGGACTACAATACAAAGAAGGGGATATACACAGCTCACTCGAGTTTAACATTGTATTCAAGGTAAGCTTAGATCACACTCCCGCCTTTGGCACTGTTTCCTTGACGAGTCATGTCAATGCCCCCAAAGAGGACCGAAAGCTTAAATTGTCCCACACAATACATTCAACATGGCATTTAGCCTAAACACTGTTCTTTCCAGACAGTTTGGTTAAACCTCAAAGATGAAGTGTAGATATAAGTAGGGCGAGAGCAACACATTTCCGATAGGAATGGAATTTCCGGTGGCAAGGGACGAAGATAGCCTGCCATCGCGAGTACTAACTCCTTTCAAGCTGACAGCCTACGTACAAAGCCCCTCCTTCTCATCCACAGCCAGTGCTCTTCACTCGTATGATCAAATTTACTGTCGGTCATTGGAGCGCAGGCTCGTGAGCTCCGCATTCAGCGACGGCCCACAATAATACCTGAAATACTTGGGGTCGTTATAACGGTGTATTACTGCCTCCCAGCACTAAATGCGATAGATAGTCGCCGAGTACCCAATCAAAGGGTCTTCGTGAACAGTTCGTTTCGAATCATACCATATGCATCCCTTCATTCGAGAGAATGGGGTAGGTCGACGAATATCCATATCGATATCTGAGTATGCTCGCATAGAATGATGTCATTGGACATTAGTCCAGCGGACAGATATGGCGCCAATCTTTCCCGAATAAGAACTGAACTCAACATGGAAAGGAATACCTGGAAGACTTTTGAGATTGGTTGTTATCTTGATTATTTACTTCAGAATCGGCGCGCTAATGATAGGGATACCGGCCGGCGGAATAGACTGCTGATACCGGGATCGCGGTTATATGGTGCTGGTGGGCATACATCCAGTGAATGCTGTCATCACTGTTTTCCCTACAAGCACGGCAAAATCAACCAGCCCATATCGGCTCGATCTCTTTCCCAGAGATATCAATCTAACAATCTAGGCTTGTCTCTAATGTAGTGGACTAGACGCAACAAATGTAAATCTCAATTGAGTAGAGAAAACAAATATGGTGCTATCATAATGAGTCTCTCCATCATCTCGAAACATTTCCTAATCTCACAAAAGAAAATAATACATGGGAAAGAAAAGATACCGGTAGACTGCCAGTCCCGTCATAGAAAGGCACCGCAATGTCAACCATGTACAACAAGAACGCATCGTCAGTGCGCAGGTTCCTTCAATGAAGCGTCCCAGCAAGATCGTTGTCCGATCAGCCGCCTGTACATACACGATCACCACAAATGCGTAGTTGCCCCTCCATAGCTAGACCGAGGTCCATCCACCGAATCAGAGTTTCCCTTTTTCTAACATCGTCGAAATATCCGAATTACCAGGCGCTGTGCTCCATGCGCTGGCGCACGTCCTCAACCTCGTCTCCCTGACCATAATCAGCCTGTCCGTAGGATGGTTCCTCGCCACCGAATGCCTCGAATTCGTTCTCTTCAGGCTGGGGGCAGCGCTTCACAGTGTGGCCCACTGTTTCATGATCAGTCACAACGGTGGATTACGAAGAATCAGGATATCAACTCACTTTCTCCGCAACGGTTGCACTTGACCTTCGACCAGTCCTTGGGCTCGGGGCAGTCTCGAGCAGCGTGCCCAGCTATAATTGTCCTTATCAGCATCTCTTCTCAACTTCAGTCAAACAGACTCTGGCAGAGAATGTGCCATTACTTACTCTTTTCACAGTTGCGGCAAACCATGAGATCGGGGTTGGGAGGCTGGTCACAGTCACGCGCGATGTGGTCCTCAGAACTGCACTCATGTTAGCAAGAAGGGGATCTTCTTTCAATAATTGTCCATTCACTCTGCGGTGACTATATACTTACCCGCAGTTCCGGCAGGTACGAGGGGCACGCTCAGTCTGGTTGGGGCAATCCTTCGCAAAGTGGCCGACTGGACAGAGTTAAGCATGTCATTCTTTCACCGTTATCCGGAGCTTCTAGCGCTATGGACAATACCTTCATTGCAGCGACGGCACTCAACATCACCTGCAGCTCGCGGCTCAGGGCAATCACGAGCCTCGTGACCCTCCGCGCTAGACATCGTTAGGACGGTGGCCCTCATGATCAGGGGAGGAGCAAAACTCACCCACAGTTGCGGCATCCGTACTGGCTGCGCCGGGGCTCGGTGCAGTCCCGAACACGATGACCCGGGGTACCGCAGTTGGTGCACTTAATTTCGAGTTTTTCAACCTCCGGCCGCTCCTGCTTGCAAGCACGGGAGCCGTGGCCCAATTCTGTGCATGTGTGAGATGACCATTGTAAATTTGGAACATGATTCAGGTCGACTTACCGCCGCAGTTTCGGCACTTGATGATCTGACGATCATAAGGCAGCCCAGCATTTGCCAAGCGTTCAATATTGTCATCGGCATCACTAGGCCAACGCTGCTCCAGGTTGGCACGCATTGGCTTGTCGGAGAAGAAGTAGCCAACAACGAATTCGCGGTCCAGTTGACCCTGGAGGTCAATAAGGCTGATGACATCCTCACGCTCCTTCTCCTATACATAATAATAGTTGTCATTATGAAGTCTATTCTTGTTCACAAACCAGGTGTGAGCGTACCAGAGCGATGAGGAAGATCTTGAATCCCTCCTCGCGCATTTTCTTTTCGATGTCAACGTAGGTGGCATCTGGAACTGCCTTGGTGTAGATTTGAATTGCCTTGAGAGAATGGACATTAGTACATATGCCATCTGCACGGGACGCACAGTCAATACCTCGCGGAAGTCATCCATATCCTTCTCGTTACTCGCTTTCTTCATCATTTCCCAGGCCTCCTCCGGAAGCCGGTCGGCAATGTGGCCCAAGTCAAATTTGCGATTTTCCTTGCATTCATGGGCGAGGTGGCCTATCAATAGAATGAATCAGTTTAGTTATGCTCATTGAGACCAGTCTCAAGATGGCTGACCTTCTCCGCGGCAGTTCTTGCAGATATCGGCTGGCTTCTCGGGGCAAGCAGAGGCTGGATGGCCTTCCTGCGAGCAGATACGGCATGCTCCCTTGAAGACACGAGGCTTAGGGCAATCGGCTTTGTTGTGTCTGAGAGAACGTGTAAGCAGTCGGAATATAGTATTCTTGGTGGCCCATCTTTGTCTTTGGGTACTGACCCTTCCTCGCCACAGTTGAAGCAAGCCCGGGGCTTCTCGGGATTTGGACATTCCGCCTTGTTATGACTATCACCCATCACAATTAGCGCAGGCTCCTCGTCCACGTCATTCAAGGCTAGACTCACCCTTCCTCGCCACAGTTGAAGCACTTTTGGGCCTCAGCATTGGGGCACTGGCGAGCAAAATGGCCAGTCTCGCCGCAACTTGTTTGTATCTTGTTAGCGAAACGAGTATTGGTGGCCCAATATGATGGAAACACTTACTTGCGGCAGGCGAAGTCTTGATCCTCGCCAGGGGCGGCGGGACGCTCAGCGCCGTGCTCCGATGAGTGAGGGTCAACATTCTCTTGGTTGTCGTTATCTGAGCAATAGTCAGTTTTTCAAAATAGCAGAATGCTGGAAGAAGCAAAAATGTCCAAGGAAACGGGAAACCAGTCTATTGATGGTTGTTTACAACACGGAAGAAGTGAAAAGAAGTGACATACCTTGGGCAGTGGAAGGCCAGCCATAAGCGTCAGCATTGGAAGTCCAACCTTGATCATCGCCATCAGCTTCCTCTGGACCATCGTTGTCCTGCTTTTCCCACTCGGCGTCCCCCGAGGCGGGTGCTTCCCAGACGGAAGACATCGTGCGGGCTAAAGGATGTCTGTCAGTTTCATACCATCAGCATCATGTTCCCAAGACGTCAAAGTGGTTCAGAGAATCATTAGGACTAATTTCGTTGACGTGTTACTCGCAAGACACACGTGGAAGAGATAGTAGAGACATGTGGACAGGGACCAGGAGGGGACCAGAAAAGTGAAACTCGCGGCTGTTGTCACAAGAATCACCTGCGAACACGTCCACACTCTCCGTATGTCCGAGAATAGCAGTTCTCAAGGGATCAGTACTACTTACTGAGGGTGTTGAAGCTTTGTTCAGTGGTATGTGGAAGGAAATGAAGTATCGTAAACAAAGAAGATGGGGAAGATGGGCGAGGGAGAGAAAAGGAAAAGGAAATGAAAAGAGCAGCAGGATGATAAACAATGGGCAGCTCCAGGCATTCGCTCCTGCCAGTTGCTATGCCAGTTACTCCTGCCAGAAATGGAAACTACGTCAAACGCAGTAGCGGGCAAACCTAGAGGACCGGAAACGAGGCAATCAATCCAATTCAGATACATTGAGCTTATCAAGACACTATCAGTAAGAGAATACACATTGCGGGACAGTCGCGCATCACTGTAAGCCAGCTTAAAATTCAAAATGCAAATAGGAACCCATGTCCCCCAGTTCTACCGGAAGAACCTGCCCAGCAGGCCACCTGCAAGATTATTCACAATCCCACCACCAAGAGCCCGGTTGGCAAATGTGGATGCCTGGCTGAACTTGTCGCACCGGGAGAAAGCCACCGTGTTTGTAATGGTCAGAATAAGGGCAATTCCTGAATGATCTCAGTCAGTACAAAGAGTCTCCTAGATAGATTGCTATAATCATCGAGCACAATGAACACTTACCAACAAGACTTAGCCAGATAACACCAACCAAGCGCACAATAGCCAGAATAGCCAATCCCACCCACAAAGCCGGTGTGAGATACAAACTCAGCCAGAAGAATCGCTTGTCGGTGGCAGTGATCGTCCGGACATTGGGGTCAGAGGATTCAAAGACCCAGTGCGAGTCGCCCGAGTTTATGTTTACTTCGTTCCACCACCGAAGGCCAACAAGTCGACGCCCAGCAATGTTCTTGAGGTAGTAAAAGTCGGCAGAGAGGAGGAGGAGGGTCAGGATGAAGACCAGAATGCTAGATAGCTTCGTCAGCGGGGTGAAGCTTCGCAGCCTAGCGGGAGGAGACCACAAGGGCCCAAGGGCTCCTTACAAGTTGTCAATGAACAGCACACCAAAGAGGTACATCAGCAAAGCACCTATCGGTAACACATGTCAGTTCAAAATGTTTCTTGCCGGAGAGGTCAGGTAAAGCAACCACGTACCAATGCGGATTCCCAAGAAGACAAGTAGCGTGATCGGGTGCGCGCTGAGGCGCCAGTTCAGCTCCCCTTGCTGTGTTTGATCCATGATGAACAACGAAGAACCAATGGTTCTATATTTTCATAGAGCAGCCGCTAACCGAGGAAGGCCACAACCGCCTTTGTTAAAAGAGAGCTTGTTATGATTCAAGATGTCCAGTGTCCACGTTAGCAACGAGGCACCTCCCCGGCGGTGGATTGTGGCAGAATACACGCCCCTTAACCCTCACTGGCTATTGAGTATGCCAGCAGCTCCACCTTCAACCGTGCGGCGTCATCTGTAAAGCAACGCCCCATTCCGGGCTTGTCCCGAGTAGGTTTTGGGGTATCTCGAGGATGAACATAGTCATGGACAGCTTGTATTAGACAAATTTCATTAGCTCAGGCGAATGTGGTCGTACTCATCGGTGTGCCCGATCATTTAGGGTATTTTTGTCGCGGTATATACTCTTCAACCAACGGGGAACAATCTTACAACTCGCCTGCTGAACCTCACACACACCAGCGTCAACTGCAGTTGACACTTGAGCCTACATAGCTTGACCCTCAAAAGCTAGCATAACCAAGGAGAGACTACAAGAAACCAGCAAAAAAATTCTTCAGAAACCTTCTTCTAGAGATCTATTTCTTAAGCATGCTGGTAATAGGAGAGCTTCATCATGCAAATGCGATCGGTATCGTGACACATCATGTAATCCCAGATTACACCAAAAAGGTCATGAGTTCTTCATTTCTAGATCCTCGCGTCGGAGTAATTGAATCTTGCCTATCGTGAGAGGCGGCTGGCCTCCGTCAGCCGGTACATCATCACTCTCTGCCAGGGCCTTGGCAAGAGACTTGTCATAGCTGGACGGGTCAATGCCCAGGATACCACCAACATAGCCACCCCGCTCACCGGGCACGCTGAATTCGCGGAAGAGATAGCGCCACTCGTTCAGCCAGGCCTTGACAGCCTTGCCGATCTTGTCCTTTCCGTTCTTCGAGTGATGGCCTGTGCCGGTGATGGCGTATACAACTGGGAGGCCTTCCCGAGCGTGCTTGAGTAGGATTTTCTCAAGGTACTCGATCGCTTCTTCGGGGTGGAGACCGTGCAGATCAACATAGAGCTCTTCTGAAGCTCCATCCAGGCCTGCCTGGAGCAAATGTTGATTGCGTTCTTCATACAGCTGGCGTGCTGCTTCTCGGTGGCAGCGGCGCATCGCATCGTTCTCTGCTTGACCGCGAAGGGAAAGTGCTTTGGCAGCCCGTGCATCGCTTCGGTTCCATGCTTGAGCAGCACTAGAAAGACCATTAGTTACTTTTCGATTATGCGAAAGAAAGAGAGGAGGAGCTATTCCTAATTACTCACCTTTGCAGGAACTTGTTGCGCACTGTCCCGTGGCGAATAGCTTCGGTGCGATACTTGATGTATTGCTGATTCGCCCTCGCGCCAGTCTCGAGCCAAGGAATATTCTGCGGCGCATGAATTGCCATAGCTGCGGCACTGTTCTCACGGCCCTTGGTCTCCTTGGCATTTTTAGGAGCATTTTTGCCTTTGTTGGGACCAGGCGAGGGTGACATGCGGACAACATCAGCAAGTGATGAGGGTACAATTTCTTTGGCCCCATTATGGGCCCCTCGTTTCCCATGGTGCTTCTTGGCTGCATTCTTTGCGCTGACAGCGGCAAGGGTTGGGAAAGCATCTGGGTCGTCAACAGACAAAGCAGTAGGGTTGAGCTCCGGTCGGTTCTGGTGACGACTGGTTGGACGAGAGGTTGGACGTCCAAGATGGGTCATGCTGCCATTGCGTCTACCCATGCCAGGGTGAAGACCTGGGGGAATAGCTTTTGCTTGGGATCCGAGGCCAGGGTAGCGGTTATTGTATGGGTTGGCCCATTGATCCTCCATCCCCGTTGATGAGAGCGGGGGGAAAGCATCTGAGTTGCTGTCAACCTGAAACAGAGAACTCGGCGCCGGTGAGACTGGGCGACTGTTGCTTGAGACGCTGAGATTGGAAATAAGGGCCGAAGGGTCATGAGAGAATGGGCAGCCATCTCCTGCCAGGCAGTTTCCCATCACCCAGTATCTACACGAAAGATGATTAGTTCTATGCTTAAACCTACCAGTCAAGCCATAGTGCCAGGGCAGCAACGAAACCACTTACTTGCAAACATGGCTAGTGAGGTCATGGCTGAATCGACAGTCAGCCCTTAGGCACTGACCAGTAGACAGCCAGTACTTGCAAACCACCGGACTGCGACCGTTGCCCGAGGGCGTCACCGGACGAATTTGCTCCATCGCCATAGATTTACCAACCAGCACTCGCGCATCCTCGGTTTGCTTCAACACGGTCTCTGCCTCCGAGTCTTGTGAGAGCGCGGCGATAGTGGCACCGAGATCGTAGCTGTTCGCTTCCAGGGCAGTTTCAATTTCCTCATTCGTTCGTTTGTCTCCCAGTACAGTGCGTAAGATGTCATGTGGACTCATATCCGGGACAAACTCTGCAGCAGTCGCGCTCAAGGATCCAGGGAAACTGAGCCCACCAGTAGACGAGGTAGTACTATTCGCATCGTCACCGACCAGCCAGTCCACATTGCTATCACCGCCCAAATCATCGTAAAAGTTGGCAAGTTGGCTTTGATCAGAAAATTCATATGCATTCAAGTTTGGAGAGTGTGGAATAGGCTGCGCAAGCGCAAGGCGGGGCGATGGTCGCGGAGAGGTAAACGGGGAGACGGTTGAGGAACGTGGAGCTCGGGCGAATGCCCCGCGCGAGTTCTGCACCCACGAGGTACTCCCCGGACTGGTTCCTAGTGTTGGTGGCTGAGGGGAGAGCGGTGTTGAAGCGCGTGTCATCTGCCATGGTGCAGGCGATGACCGACGAATAACCGTATGGCGAGCTGGGGGTGGGGAGGAGTCCGGCAGCGTGCGATTGCGATGCCGCCATAAGATGTCCAAGACGGCATTCTCCAAGGACGGACCTGACAACGAGGAGTTGGCGCGCAAGAAGTCTTCAACCTTCTCCGCCTGCTCTTCTTCGTCCAGGGCCTGGTCCTGGAGGATGTCTAGCGACTTCTCGAGAAGCTCTTCGGACACCATGACGAAAGATTGATGCGAAGGTTGGACGCGCGGCGACAAGGGGAGGGAAGTAAACCACGCAGGAGGGCAAGAAGGAGAGGAGCAGGGCGCGACCGAAGATTAGAGGGGGATCGAAGGCTCTTCGTATCGATATGAGAGGGAACGAAAGTATCTATGACTGAGACAAGAATGGGTCAAAGTTGGGTGGGACTCATCGATCTGGTTGTCAAAGGTCGCGATCCATGATTCCTGATCAAGTTGAATGGGCCGAATGAGGGTGATCAGGGGGTGGAAATCCCCTAGAAATTCCAGGCAATGTGTCGCGGGGAAACTAGCAGTAGTTACATCGAATCGCCGACGCCGAAAGAGCTATGTAAGAGCAGGAGTTCCACGATTCAAGAAGTGAATTTACCCAAAAAGAGGGTTGGGTGTGGAGGAGGGATCCGATGCAAACAAAGGAGGGGGAGGCAGCAAAAGGCGGAGAAAGGAGATCACCATCCGAAATCAACCTACCGTGGGACACTCATCGACGGAGGAAAGGGTCAGCTCACTAAGACTGATTCCAGGACCGGGATGGGTTCCGATCGCATCCCTGGCCGATTCAAGCACAGCAGACGATAGGTTAATAGACGATATGGACTAGTCCATTACAATGGATTTGATTCGAGCGTGGCATTCTGCTTATTCTCGGGATCTCGATGGCCCAGGCACTTGTACCCCTAACCGTGTACGACGACACCTCAGGATACGGCGAGGTACTTGACCCAGCTTGAACGATACATTGCTGGAGGTCATTGTATCCTGTTGGTTCTATTGCCGTCAATAATAGCGTGATAGCTTCTCGTCAGCCAAGCCAAACCCTAATGATAACAAACTCCAACAAAGTTTCCAGGGTCCATCAATCTGGGGTTGTCGATCCAGAAGAGTAAACACCGAAAGCTCCGGCGGATCCGCTTTTGAAGTTGAGACCTGAAGGACCAAAGGGACCGTCGCCGACCGAGGCGCCTTGGCTTGGACTCAGCCCCCCAAATCCTCGAACCCTGATTTTCAGGGCCTCTGATTGCTGCCTCCACGCTGACACACCCTTCTACACTAACGTTACGATCTGTCGGTCGGATGAACTGGCTACCTGTTCCCTCTTGAAGTTCCTTCAATTCCTTAGGGGCTAACAGAGTCCTTCTTGGGTCTCTCCCTTCGTGCCCAACCTTCCGTGCCGATCGCGCTCAAGGAGACTCCCAGCCCCAGATCTGATCCCTGTCTACCGTTCATCTTGATCCTCCGCCCACGATGCCCGCGGACTACGAGTCCACGGCACGGGCATTGGCGCTCTCGACCTCGCCGCCAGAGCCGCTCGCAGATTCTCCCAGCGACGAGGAGCAGCCTATATGGAGTCGGTCGGGGAGGCGCGACTCGTCAGCGCGCTGGTCGGGCGAGCAGGCAACCAGTTTTCGCGACCGAATGATCGACAAAGCGAAGCAGCTGTATCGGATGGCCAACGACCGGTATGAGCAGATGACGTTATGGCAGAAGATTGGATTCTATGCCGCATCGTTCGGTGCTGCGGCTGTGGGTATTGGGCTCATGGTCTTGACGGGCAAGCTGTTCATCTGGCTGGGGCCGGTCGCGGAGAAGTGGGAGAAGTCCTGGCTGGTCGCGTTTGTGCTATGGATATGTATCTTTTTCATTTCATTCCCACCATTGGTGGGCTGGTCGACTTTGGGAACGGTGACAGGATTCATCTTTGGCTGGTGGAAAGGGTAAGTGGCTTCTTCAGCCTTCGGGTTTTGGCCCGTTCTCAAGGCATTGAATATCCAGAGCGGACTATACTAACGGATCTTGACAATAGATGGATATTATATACCACTGCGACCGTCGTCGGATCTACAGTCTCATTTTATGTTTCGCGCACCGTGCTCTCCAAATTTGTCAATCGCCTGATGGAACGCGATAAGCGATTTGCCGCGCTAGCGCTAACGCTGAAGTACGATGGGCTGAAGCTTCTCTGCATGATTCGTCTGTGTCCATTGCCATATTCGATTTGCAATGGTGCAGTATCTACATTTCCGACGGTGCAGCCTTTGATGTATGGGCTGGCTACTGCAATCATCTGCCCGAAATTGTTGGTCCCTGCGTTCATTGGGAGTCGCCTACGGTTGCTCTCCGAGAAGGGCGAGGAGATGAGTGCAGGCTCCAAGGCCATCAACATCATTAGTATTATTGTCACCGTCAGTATTGGAATTTTTACGGGTTATTACATCTACAACCGGTGAGTATCTTCTTTCTGGTTACCTGATTGACTTATAAAATACACGATTGCTAATCATGGAATATCCCATTCAATACAGAACTTTGGCTCGTGCGAAAGAACTCGAGGCCAAGGAACGCGCCGAAATCCGGCAATCTCTCCAGGCCGACCATGCCGCTCATCGGCCTCACCGCAGATTCTCTGACGACGATGATGTCAATGCGGCTGCCACCATGCTTGCTCGGGATGAAGAGGAGCGCATCGGATTCGATGATCTGGACGATGACAATGTCGATCTGGACCTGGATGATGATAGCGACCATGATCCTGCAGGTCGATGGAAGAATAAGAAGGGCCGACGGTCATATCATGATGACTTTACGGATAATGACTCGGATGACTTCCCGAACGATGGACACGAGGCCTATGGGCTGCATAGCCATGTGCAACACGAGACGTGAAGGGACCTGTAAATACGGTGTGGAAGCCCGCGCTGTGAGACCCTGTAGCCGGCGTGCTTTATAGAGTGAAGAATAGCAATGATAATATGGCCGTCTCGTTTTCTGAACGATCGACCTATTGCTACGAATACGATCATAAATATTGGCTGAGCGATAACTATATAACTATGACTTGTCTTCATTCAGGTGTTGGTCTTCAATCCAAATCTTATACTCCGGGCATGTCGTAGTCCACTTGGCGGGCGGACTGAGAAATACGCTCCGTCCCGAGGAATCAAGGCACAACGGATCTTCTACTCAACTTCGAGTCCCGCTACGCTCCCCTCCCTTCCACGCATACTCGTCGCAATTGTTCCTCGATTGATGCCGGCCCAGTTGCAAATTACTACGGGTTGGGTTCGCGGGGAGGTGGGTTACTTGAATGTATGTGGTGATCCCTAACCTCCGCCCCCGGTTCTTCAGCCACATCTACTACATCTGCATGCACCGGAAAATTTCAAAGCATAGAAACCACCCGATATACATGATATCTAACTGGAACGCAGGTTCATCCATCTCGTTTGTCCTGCTAGTACCACCATACTCATACATTCTTGAGAACGATGCGATCTACTGTCGAAGTAGACATGTTTCGAACTTTGGCCGCTTGATAATCCTGGTGATCCGGTGGTCCTGTCATCCTGATACAACGAGGTGGGGGGCAAAAGGGCTTCGTCTCGACGACTAAGCGTCGTCGCCTTTCCTCCTCCTCTCTTTCTCTCTTCAGAAACTAGCCCTCGGCTTGCACATTTGAGCATTGTGGAAACGAAGTCACAGACACCAGGTGTTCCTTCCGTTTCAACATGCACGCTACTACATCCTCCATGATGATCCCACCCCTCGCGGGTATCCCTCCGAACCAACATCCCTTCATCAATCAAGTTGCTTCGAATGGGGTCTCAAATACTGCAAGACCTGAAACTATGGATACTTCAATCCTGGAATCATCTGAACCGCCCGTGAAGAGGCTTCGAACAGAGAATGGCCCCGTTGCCGCCTTTGCTTATCCTCCTCCTTCTGTTCCCCCGGAATATCAGCACAATCCCGCTGGAACTCAAGCTCTTTCAAAGCCAATTTTCTCTAATCTCATTCATGAGATGCATAATCATCCTTTGGGTTCTTACATGGGTGGAGACACACTTATTCGCAACATCTCAACTACCTCCACTTCAATCACATCCTCTCTCGAACCGAGAAAATCCTCCACTCCCCCATCTACCCCTTCACAGTCATTACCCACACCATCAGCTGTCTCAGGCGTCAGTGTGCTGGAGAGTAACAAGGTTGATTTATCCAAATGTCGACCGCGGTCATCCATCCCATCCAAGCTGACGCCATCCGTTTATGGCCAACAATGCGTGGCAGCTGCCTATGCATCTCGGCTTGATCCATATGCATTGCACGTGAAGGAGCAGGAGATGTTACAAGACCATCTCTGCCACATGCATGTCACTACGTATTTGAACATCCGCAATGGAATTTTGCGTCTGTGGACCCGAAACCCGATGGTCAGCGTCAGCAGAGAAGAGGCTCTGGGATGTGCCAAAGACTACCGTTGGATGAACCTGGCGTCTTTGGCATATGACTGGCTGGCGCGTCATGGATACATCAACTTCGGCTGTGTTGAGGTCCCCATCCCTCCGGTGCCTCCCCGAAGAGGACGCCGCAAAGAAGGGCCCGTCATTCTCGTTGTTGGAGCCGGCGTGGGAGGACTTGGTTGTGCTCGACAGCTTGAGGGTCTTTTCAGGCACTATCGCGATTCAGACACAGAGCCACGAGTCGTTGTTATTGAAGGACGGCCACGGATCGGTGGCCGCGTTTATTCCCACCCCCTACACAGTCTCCAGTCTGATATGTTGCCCGAGGGCCTTGTTCCCAAAGCTGAAATGGGCGCCCAGATTATCATCGGTTTCGATCATGGTAATCCTCTCGATCCGATTATCCGCGGTCAGTTGGCGCTTCACCACCATCTGCTTCACGACCTTTCCACAATTTACGACTTTGATGGCTCCCCCGTTCCCAACGCGCAGGATGAAATGGCCAACAAACTGTATGAAGATATCTCAGAACGGGCCTTTGCCTATCGCCACAAGAAGCTTGTCAGACAAACAGCCGAGGGTGACCACGAGATGATTGACTACGGGAAAGAGACTACGGTTGACGATGGTATTACAATACGACAATGGGAAGAAGCTCGAGCAGCGGGCACGACAGATTCCCTGGTTCCTACCAAACGAGTCCGTCGACGCCGAGGAGTAGGGCACAAGACTGGAGATGCCGGAGCAGCCAATGCCGCGGCACCAAAACTGGAGGGCGACACTGAAGACCACCCAGCTGCCTTGACAGCCCAAACTGCGGGATGGAAATTAAGCGCGGGGTATACTGCAACCGACACCCTGGAGCTGGATCGCGTTGCCCACGCGAAGGAAGCACAGACCCTCGGTGCCGTTATGGATGAGGGAGTCAAGCAGTACCAAGATATGCTGCCACTGACACCTCAGGAAATGCGGCTCCTGAACTGGCATTTTGCGAATCTCGAATACTCCTTTGCCGCGAATCCCAAGAAGCTCAGTCTGACCTTGGCGGATCAGGACTCTGGTAATGAATTCGAAGGATTGCACTCTATGGTGGTTGGAGGTTACAACCAGTTGCCCTATGGCTTGTACTCGGTTCCTGATAAACTCAACGTCCACACCAACAAAACGGTCACGAAGATTGCTTACAATGCAAATGGGGCTGGCAATCGAAAGGCGGTTGTCTACTGTAAAAATGGCGAGAAGTTCGTGGGCGACCACGTCGTCTACACCGGCTCTCTTGGCACGCTCCAGCATCGCAGCGTCGAATTCGACCCTCCCCTTCCTGATTGGAAACAGTGTGCAATCAATCGCCTAGGCTTTGGTCTCCTGAACAAGGTTGTCTTGGTCTTCGATGAGCCATTCTGGGATACCGAGCGTGATTTCTTTGGTCTTCTCCGCGCACCTGACAATTCTGAAAGTATGGTCCAGGAGGAGTATGCGGCGAACCGCGGTCGTTTCTACCTGTTCTGGAACTGCATCAGAACAACTGGCCTACCCGTCCTGGTTGGTCTCATGGCGGGAGATGCCGCGCACCAGGCTGAGCAGACGTCAGATGCTGAGATTGTCGCGGAAGTCACCACGCAGCTGCGAAATGTCTTCAAACACGCTGTCGTCCCTGATCCTCTCGAGACGATTGTCACTCGCTGGGCGTCAGACCCATTCACTCGCGGCAGCTACTCCTTTGTAGCTGCGGGTGCTCATCCAGAAGATTACGATCTTATGGCGCGACAGGTTGGCAATCTCCATTTTGCCGGCGAAGCCACTTGCGGAACACACCCAGCCACCGTCCATGGCGCCTACCTATCTGGTTTGCGTGCTGCGGCAGAAGTCATCGAGGCTACTATCGGCCCCATTGAGATCCCTATGCCCCTGGTCCCGGAGAAGCCCGCTGCTGCCAATGGGGCCACGCCTCCGACGGCTAGTACTGTTGCGGGCACGCCCAAACGTCCAGCGCCGGCGACGTCCTCGAGGAGTCCCAACGTCGCAGCTGATAAACGGCGCCGGGACACGTACGAGCAGGCCATGTGGACGGCCATCTACGCCGAGCTGGGGCCAACACCCACACCCCCAGCCAAGGCGGGGCGCAACCCTTTCCTCTTGTACCAGAAGGACTTCTGGGCCAAGTGCAAGGACCAGTGCGACGAGGCTCGCCGGGCAGCGTCCAACAACCCGAATGCCAAGGCCTCACGAGATGACATTCGAGCGGCCCTTGGTCTGATGTGGCGCAATGCTCCACACGCGGAGAAGCAGCCGTACATCGACCAAGTCGTGGCCAATCGGATTGCCAATGAGGAGGCATTCGAGAAGTTCAAGGTGGTGGCTGCGGAGTGGAACCGGCGCTCGTTCGAGGTCAAGGATAAGTGGTGCGCAGAGAATCCCTTTGAGGATTGGCATGTTCCGTCGGGCTCGACGGTGGCCAGTTAAGTTGCTTTTACCCTGTTTGAGTAGTTCCCATATTATTAAATAAAGCAATCTGACTCTGAGTTCAAGAGTTGCAGCTCTTACTTTCGCTTCGTCTGTTGTGACATCAAGTATCAGAACTCCATGAAGTTTTAGTCAAATTCGTTAATGTTCTTCATCTCAGATAGTCTGAGATGGTGGTCTGCGTAGATGCATGGTTATTACTCTCTAGGGCTGTGTGCTGTAATCACTCCTCAAACTAAGTTTATGAAAGCCGAAATATGCCCGTGGTGTTGTCACTTATATTCCTCTCGGGTGGTATAATTCTAATTAATGAATGGAGCTGTTTCCTCTAACATTCCCATGGTCATGGAGACACGATCAAACCACGTTTCAAAATCCTCACGTTGTTGGGGCCCAGGTGCTTGCCCAGAACGCCTCCCTGCAGCAATGGACCGTGATATTGACGAGTAATCAAGAGCGTCCCATGCATTTTTCCCCGGTCGATGCTCTCGCTGTCCTGATCCTGATCTCACCGTTACAACCATGCGCCGGGACCGATCAGCTTGCAGAACAGTCAAAAGCTGCTCTACTATCGCGATGGCTGCATTCACGCCTTGCATTGAGTAATCCCACAATGGGCCCACGAGATCTGCAGATATGACCCCGGCGAAATCAGGCTCTTGTGACTGTTGACTCGCAGTGACGCCGGCGGTCATCTCAGCCTGATATTGATATAATGTATTTTGACACTCCGTGATAGAATTGACCAAGGATTTCCGTTCGTCGTCGCTAGCATCAGCGTTTGCAACGAGAGACCGTGTGCGTTTCACAAAGCCAGGACAGCGTGCTATCTCGTAGCCTGCGTAGTCGATCAAAGCTCCGAAGCGACTAACCTTTCCACGCCGCTTTTCGTCCTCGATCATCTGCGGGATGATCTGTTTCCATTCGTCATCTTCAAGAAAACACCTTTCCCCATTCAAAAGGGCCTCGTAGACGAGAAATCCCTGAAACGATAACAAAAGCGTTCGACCCATACCCCCGACATGAGCCTGAGCACCGCGAATCTGATAAAGATGCGAAATACCACGAGAATGAAGCATCCAAGCTTTCTTCCCGGTGACATTGGCCATTTCATACCCGCCAATGAGAATTGCCGCGGCCAGGGTGGTGTCAGCCGTGACCAGGGCGGGATGATTCAATGTTCGAGCGAGGTGGTATAAAGCACGACCATACATCTCGCGGCTAGCATGAACGAGTCGGTAATCTTGCAGCGCACGTCCCATCTGCAAGGCGCCTACGCTGCGGAGACCCCAGTTAAACGCCTCGGCGGCGGAATATTGATTGCTGCGAACCATGTCGAACCATGTCACGCGGAGGCGACAGCTGTGTCCGTAGTACTGGTAGCGATACTTTGTGTCGAGGAAGGTGCAGAACCCCTCGCGACATTGTAGATCTATGTTCTTAGCGGCCAGACTGGGCGCTACGGCCTGGTCCATCGATGATGTGGCGGTAAGATCTTTGGGTGTGGATTGCGATGGACGAATAGTTGGTTTTGTTGTTTCTTCACCCTGGTCGACTGAGGCCTTTTTGGAGTAGGCGTAGAACTTGCGGTCCTTCACATATCCAGGGCATGAGAGCCCTCTCCTCTGGCAACGCTGGCATTCTGGTTGTGCTTCGTCGCACTAGCGTGAGGTTGATGAGATCAGGAATTCCGCGGCCGTGCGTGGCATTAAGTAAGAAGCAAGCGTACCTTGACTCTTCGCCGTATACACGTCTGGCAGCCAGTACTTCGGGGGACACCTACCATCGTACGACAGGGTTGTATACTCTTCGGGGGTTATCGCATAGAGAGGAGCCCGGTGCTACTCTTCTGGTGGGGAGGGAGGGTCAGAGAAAGAATAAATCCGGTTGCAAAGGGCGAATACGAGGGGTCTTTGGGCGCCTCGAAACGATCAGGCCACCCGTTTTAAACCGATCGCCGATCCACGTTTTGAATGGATGATGGATCACTTCTGGCCCCAACGGCGATCTCGGCTGGAATAAGGTTGGCAGCCGATGGAAAATGTTGGTGTCCACTATAGTATACCCCTCGATGTTCAGTCGAAAGGTGAGAATTGTCTTAAGGACCACCTCTTTCTTTGATGGCTGATCTCGAGTCTAATAAAGTTTTCGCCAAGGTCACAAAAGCAACTAAGCTTTCCACATCCTACAAATGCAACGACGACCCCAGCTTTCAGTTAGGCCATAAGCTTAACCCATGTACTCCGTGCTACAAGGTGCCATCGTACCTTTCAGGCTACACTCATCCAGGAAGCAAAACCGTCCCTACAAGAACAGACAGGTATTAGACCAACTTCTGTGGCTCAGGCGGCTCCTAAAGACATGAGTCGCAAGGCGTTCCAGGGGCCAACGTGGAATACGAGGCAATCCTTTAGAGGCACCAATAGGCTGGATAAAGGACAATTCTCGTTGCAGGTTATGTCAGACAGGAATGAAGCCGCGTGTCCAAACATCGAATTTGGCCCCAGTCCATATATATCTACTAATGGACATGTTCAAACATATAAAAAGGCTGGACTGTGATTTAAATGCTCGCCAATACTTGACGATGTGCTAGGAGGGAGTCTTGCGACTGTTAAGAACCCAAACTAAATCACGCGCGAGCCATACTGTTGAAGATACGCCCCAGCCAACTTTGACCAGAATTTGATAACGATCGGCGAGCACCTCCCCAGGCTTCGCAGGGTAGAAGTACTTAGAATTGTATACTGGACAGATCTCTTCATCAACGAGAATGCCGGGCAGTAGAGGTGGCCCGGGAGAAGGCAGGGGCAACGCTTTCTTACGTAGCAAGGCAGAGAAACGAGGGATAAGTGGCCTTGTTGTGCTCATTACAGATATACTCCGCGTACGCCGACGGGAGAACGTAATGTCAACGGTTGTTGAAGAAGAAGATCATCGAGAAGGGGCCTGGACGCGACTGGTGAAAGGGATCACGTGGCATGCCTGGGGATTGAAATATGAGATCAGCCAGCGTGGATAACTAACTAGTGGAAACCTTCGTCTTACGCCCAACTGCGAAGTATACACATAGCACGCTTCTTCGATACCAACGGATCCCGGAATATATAAGAAGATTGAGAATTTCTATTCACCATATTTGATATTCCTTATCGACTTCATGCTTTCTCCACCATATTTGGCTTAATGGGGCTCACTAGATCGAGAATATGAGCAAATCAGGTGACGAACAGGGTTGTTTATGCGCTTGGGGCCAAGCCAAGCCGCAAGCGCGGGGATGAATCCCAACTTCCTCGATTCGATTTGGCTCGTTTGATGTCCCGGTAGAGATTACTGTGGAGCGGACTAGGACATGAGATGGCCATGCTACCCGATCTAGTTCGAGACTCCAAACTTTCAACACATTTTCTCGGGGCAGAAACGATTCATACATACCAAGAATCCGACCCAACCTCAGGAAAACGCCTGATTTCTAGAACGGAACACTGGCGGCGACATGAAAAGATCGGAAGTGGAGCGTATGGCAGTGTCTGGCTGGAGAAATGTACCAAAGGCCATCGAGACGGCGCTCGAGTCCGAGCCGTGAAACAGAGTCATCTCGATTCTCGGTCGGGGCCAGTCGACTATACCCGCGAGTTGGAGGTTATTGCCAAGTTCTCGAGCTCAAATGTGAGTGCTTGAAATATCAGCAGCACAGCGTGATATTTAAGCTAATTCATATAGTATGCGCGGTGCTTTGTCAAGTCCTTTGGCTGGTATGAGAATTCGGGGAACATTTGCATTGCTATGGAGTATCTTGAAAAGGGCGATCTTCGGGATTACTTGGATCATTCCCGATCGCCTCTCTCAGAGGATGAGACAAGCGAAATCACGTTTCAGGTTCTTGAAGGTCTAGATATGATGCACCAAAATAGCTTTGCTCATCGTGATCTGAAACCCCATGTGGGTATTTTCTCCCAGTCCCATGAACCATGAAGACTGACTACGCTGCTACAGAACATCCTTATCCAATCACACCCACCAAGTACATGGTGGGTCAAGCTGGCCGACTTTGGAATCAGCAAACGTATTGAGGAAGCATCTGGAGGTTCAACTCTACATGGAACTCCGGAGTACATAGCTCCCGAAATATGGAAATTGACTGGTCGGGGTAGCCCGTATGCCCCCGATATATGGGCTCTTGGGGAGACTATATTCCAGCTTCTCACCAAAGAACCCGCTTTTCCGAATATAGCATTGCTTGTCTCCTATGTGTCCGATCCAGACACATTCCCGGTCAAACCATTCAAAAAGTCTGAGACCTCCCGGCTAGGCATTGAATTTGTCCGCGGGCTTCTCCATCCTCTTCCATCCAGCCGACCAACTGCTCCAGAGGCAATCTCACACAAATGGGTCAAAATAAAAGTATCTGAAACACCAGATCCTCAGTCCTCACAGATCAATCACGCCGGTCTTGTGACCTATTCCAGATCTTTTGCTTCGATGACCGAAGAGTTTGCGTCGTTGAACACAAGAATATCCATCCCTGAAGGGGTAAACCCCTCGGCAAAGGCTCGTCCATTTATGGGGACATTGATAGAGCGAGATGCTGAGTCCAATGGGGCTGAGTGCAATGATGCCGAGCCCAATGACGCAGAATCCGATGGTGATGAGTCTAATGAAACGACCAAATTCAAGCTTGCGCTTCGAGAGCGCTCCCACGGGAGCAGCTCATCGTTCGGTAAACTATACCGGCGTGACGAGCTTCAGACAGGCGACGAGGAATGGGCGTCGTATATCGATTTTTCTCCGGACGGGGAAACCCTAGTAGTCGGATCGGGCAACACGATCAGGCTATGGACTGTTGGGTCTCCCACCAAGAGAATAGGGAGATCTATACAGGGCAAAGCTGTGCACAAGTTTGCCTTTTCGCCAGACGGCAAGTATCTTGCTTCTGGCTCCGAAGGTGGTGCTTCATCTGGCCTCCTCCTTCATATTTCCCTGTGGGATCTCTCTTCTCTCCCACGGATAGCACTTTTCAAACGGATAGAAGTGTTCACAGGATATGGCTCAATATCTAAAATGCGCACAATACATCTATGCTTCTCCCCCAACGGCAAGCTTCTGGCAAGCGGAGACTCCACGGGCACTGTTCAATTGTGGAAGGTCGATGATCTCGACTTTCCGCAGTATAAAAGATATTGCAAGAACCTACTAGGGGTCACATTCTTACCAGATGGGAAGTTGTTGTTCGTTGATTCCTCTGGCATCAATACCTGGCGTGATACCGAGGACTTCGCCCGCAGAACCAAATTCCCCCACACAATCAGCGCAGGAAAGGTCATTTTCTCTTCCGACAGAAAATACTTTATCTATCACGTTTCCGCTACTCGAAAAATCGAGTTTCGTTTCACTGCCACTGGAGAATTGTTCCGATCTATAAATTGCAACATCCACGACCAGATTCTTTCCATGGATCTTTCTCCCAATGGACACATCATCGCAGCTACTGTCTACAATAGGAAGCACAAAGGGTCCCAAATGATCATTCTGGATACTACTGACGGGACAGAGCTTCAGGTCGTAACAAATGCTCATAAGAGTGAGGCCACGGCGTTAGCGTTTTCTCCTAACAGCCAGTTACTTGCAACTGCCTGCCATGGCGGAGTGATTCGAACCTGGGCAAACAAGAAGGAGACAGAAATAAGATCGGGCCGACGAATAGATATGGGAGAAGAGATGTTAAATCGCAGGGCAAAGATCATGACTCTTTTCGTGGAGTGAAGGGGAAATTCCATCAGCGCCTCCATTTATGTGTTCTGTGTTTTTCCTTTCAGATATCTTGCTCCTCGGAAATAGATACGTAATCTGGAATATGCAGGGAAATCGTTTATTTTCTATCTCTATCGGTAACGATCAATCCCAAGCAAACAAGCCCGAACCTGATCTACCGACCAGAAGAACGATAGACCAAGTAACCCAGACCAAAAAAAAGCGACGAGCCATAAACAAGGAGATATAGAAAAAAGGGAAATCCGTTGACCATTAGACAAGATGTGGAGGGAAAGAGGTATGCATTGGGGAATTGAGAATAGAACATTTCAGATCGCAGAACACAGACATGTCTAGAAATGTGCATGCACGCAAGCAATTCTAAACGCTATGCGCCGAAAATGATCGGGATCATGAGAGGAGGTAAGAGAGAAAATGAGGATTGGCGTAGGCGTGTATAGAGGTCAGGGTGGATAGGATATTTAGAGGACGGGGGCGGCCTTGACGCCGTTAACCTGTGGAGTGGAAGGCTCGCTCTCGGAGAGGAACTTCTCGGCCTCGAGGGCAGCGACACAGCCGGAGCCTGGATGAGTGGGTTAGTGAAAGTTCGTTTTAGGGTTTCCAGGTTGCAAAAGGCAGTGGTAGACTTACCGGCACTGGTGATAGCCTGGCGGTAGCGCTTGTCCTGGACATCGCCGCAAGCAAAGACACCCTCAATGCTGGTGAAGCTGGTACCAGGTTGGGTGATGATGTAGCCATCCTCATCGAGCTTGAGCTGGCCCTTGACCAGGGCGTTGGCGGGGTCGTGACCAACAGCGTAGAATAGACCATTAGCCTCGACAATCTCCTCCTGCTCGTTGGCGGTGCTCTTGACGCGGAGGTGGGTCATGAGGCCGTTAGGCTTGCTGTCACCGATAACCTCGGTGGCGACGGTGTTGAAGCGGACAGTGCACTTGGGGTGGTTGAGCAGACGATCGGCCATCACCTTGGAGGCACGCAGCTTGTCACGGCGGACCAGCACGGTGACATGGCTGCCGTACTTGGCCAGGAACATGGCCTCCTCGGCGGCAGAGTCACCGCCACCAATGACGTACAGGGGCTTGTTGCGGAAGATGGGCACCGCACCGTCGCAGACGGCGCAGGCACTGATACCATTCTGCCAGAACTTCTCCTCGCCGGGAAGGTTCAGGCGGCGGGCATTGGCACCGGTAGCGATAATAACGGCGTCAGCGGTGTGAGCGGGCTCGCTGTCGGGACCGTCGTTCCACTCGGTCCACATCTTGAAGGGCCGCTGGGACAGGTCCAACTTGGAGATAGTCTCAGTAATGATCTTGGTACCGAAACGCTCAGACTGAGCGCGCATCTTGTCCATCAGCTCGGCGCCGCCGACACCGTCGGGGAAGCCGGGGAAGTTCTCGACATCGGTGGTGGTGGTAAGCTGGCCACCGGCGGCGGTGCCGTTGGCGAGCATACCCTCGTACAGAACGGGATCAAGTTCAGCGCGCGAGAGGTAGATGGCGGCAGTGTGGGCGCCAGGGCCTGAACCGATAACTGTGAAAGAAAAAAAAAGCACCCGTTAGCACCATCATAACTTTCCCCAAACCAGTCAATTCCCGCCATAACACGTACTAACTACTTTGGAGTGCACCATTCTGGCGGTATTGAGAGAATTGACGCGCGCGGGCGTCGATAAGGGCTGCTTAAGGACCGAAGCTGGAGGGGGAGACTGTTGGTGAAGCGTAGTTGAGGCCGCGGCGGCAGTGAACCCGAGAGACCGGAGGGCGGAAGGGAAACGGCGGAACGTGGAGGAAAACAGCTTGAAGGTGGTTTCGAGAAAAGAGAAGAAAGTTAAGAATGGTCGAGTCGGTTTTTTTTAATCGGGTCTGGAAGGGGAGGGGGGCGTTCGGGTGGGCTGGTGGGGTCTTGATGATGAGATCAAAACGAGCAGAACATTTCTGCGTTGTTCTGCCAAATCCATCAAATTAATCATTTGCCCGCGTCGAGGCCCCTGGCTTTCTAAGCATGCGGGCACGTGACACGGTCTCGACCGGGTGGCGAAGGGGCATGGAAGGGGAACAACCACCATCAAAGGGGCATCACATCACGCATTTACTGGTGATCCCGTCTTCCGAACGTCCCGATCCTCTAGAGCTGAGCTAGATCTGATCCGATTGATAAGAGAAGCTCTAGGCACTGCTCTAGAGATGACGTCGGACAAGGTCTAGCCATCACTAGTTCTCACTATCTCGTCGTCTAAACATATCTTATCTAAGCAGCCTTATCGTCTTATCGTCGGGGTTGACTCGGTGCGATCACGCCATTTTGACATTTGCCCGTTTCCCGAAAGGCGGTCAACCACCGAAGCCGGGGAACGATATCAAGTGCAAGACTACTTACGAGTTCCAGATTGCTCCGAACAGGTCAATCATCAAACCTTTATGAGCCTCACCACGGGGAAAAAAAGAGTATGTGAAAGAAATCGAAATGCATATCGCTCAGATCAGGATTCAAAACAATCATCAAAGCCCCAAGGAAATCAAATACCTAATGACACCACCATAAATCATCATAATATACATCAAATCAAATCACACCAATCCAAACCACTTCTTCCGTCTCCGACTAGGCTCCTCATCCTCATAGTCCTCATCATCTTCAAAAGCCTCATCAGCCTTTGGCTGGGGAGGCACTCGTTGCGGCACGGATGCATCTTCTTCATCCTCCTCGCTTCCTGGGTATTCATCATAGTGCGGGTGTGTTGCAGCGGCATTCGCGCGGGTATTATTGATAGTGTCATGGTCTTCGTAATCATCAGCATCCTCGTCGTCGTATTCAGCGCCGTGAGGATCCTCCTCGTTCTTCTTCCGGCGCGGCATGCGTAGCCACTTGCGCCAGCCCTTGACCACGGGTGTGGGCTCGGGGTCGAATGCTGTCCCGTCGTAGCGGAGTACCGGCACGAGGAGCTTGTAGGGTACGGTGATGCCGGCGGGGTCGTGCGGGCTAATCTCCAGGTTCAGAGTGATGGCTAGGCCTCCTTCGAGATCCACGAGAGCACCAGCCCCGTCGTCGCCCTGTTGTTTTGCTGCTTTCTTACCTGCCTTTAGGCTGAGGTTGGTTGGTCGGCGGTGGAATTGTCCCGGTCGAGGAGGCTCCTGCGGGTCCTTAGGGAAGTAGCTGTCTGCGCTTTCGTGGGGTCGAGGGAAAGGGGCGTCGACGCTGGCTCGTCGAGCAGATACACCTGCCTCGCGTCCGATACTCATGGTTCGGGTTGGAGGTCCACGTCGGGTTGAAAGTCGTCGCAAAAGGCCTCCGGGTTTACTGCCAGGTCCCTTGTCTCCACGTCCCAGCGACAAGGTTCGCTGAAGTTTGCCGGGACGGGGCTCGGGAGTTGGTGTCATTTCGGATTCGGGAGTGCCAGGGGGTGTAGAGCCGGGACGGTATTCCCGGATAGAGCACCAATTGCGCCGGGGGAGGAGACGTTTATTGTTCCGGGGCTTGCCATCGACATCTTGTGTGAAAATGGGGATGACATCTTCGTCCGTATTCGAGTCAATATGGTGGACTGTGTTGCGCTTGTTAAGCATGTCCGAGATGATCTCGGTCTCGGGCATGTTGGCAATAGCAGAGGAGATCACATTCGGCATGTATCGGTAATCTCGATCTTTGGCGATATCCAACTTGGGATTGGAATAGAATTGCCCAATGGCGGCCAGATGAACATCACCGCTGAAGCTATGATTAGTATATAGATTCTGCAACCACAAAAGTATAAAACGTTACTTACCTGAGAATTGTGACGCGGACAGATTTTTCCGCGGCAAGATCTTGCAGGTCCTCAACTAGCCACGTGCGTTCAGACTTGAGGTGCTTTCCAGCCCAATGGTCATCAAACACTTCAACGTTACCACCAGAGCGGTTAACAAGACCACCGATCATGCCAGCTTTGCCGAGGGACTTGCGGCTATTCATGTAGTTCTTGAGCATGGCCTTTTGAGGTGTCCGAGTCAGCTTTGAGTGGGGAGATGGGTCCAGCCGGCTACGTACCACGCGAGGATAGGCAATGGGTATGCTAGAAAGGACTATCAGATGCTTCGTCTTTCCTTTGACGATTTCACGATGGCATCTATCCCAGATCAGCTCAGAGGTTTCTGGGCTGAGGACCTCGTTGCTCTGTAAGAACGAATCAGCGTGTCAATCATTGAATATTAAGCGTGGCTGAAAATCTCACCTGTCGTTCAGTTCGGCAGTCCAGGCCCAAGAAGGCCACATCGCTGCCCAGTGACATGAACAAATTTCGGCTTCTTTGCTCAATGTACGGGCCTGGTCTGGCACCAAGGAGCCAGCTAGACTCGTCCACTTCTGTTTCATCGGGCACGCTGTGGTGTTGGAACAAGAGGTAATACTTGAACGCGATCTTGCCCAGGCCGGAGATAACAGCACTTTGCATGAACTCTTCATTGTAGGATCCGAACCCTTCAAAGATTTCATGATCGTTCCAAATGTTCACCATTGGGATCTGGGAGTTAGCCAGGGAGAAAAGCCCCTGTGAGAACCATGAAGCGTAGCGCTCGAGGTAGAACTTCTCGAGTTCTGCGCGGAACTCGGGAGTGAGTGGTGCACCGTACCGATCTGCGGCATTCTTGATCTTGATCCATTCCTGGAACATAGCAAGGTCTGTGATAACACCGTCATTGAATATCTGGTCACCTCCTCCAATCATCACATGGAATGGCTGGGTCTGATGTTCATTCAGAATGTCTCGCCAAAGTGGATCGGGTCCGCACAGAGGGTTGGAATCGACGTTAGGGCCGAAGCCGTTGCCGCTATGGAACATAATATTCATAGGCTTGCTCATAGCTGGGACCCAGAAGCCCAGGGCGGGGCCTTGATTGATGCGGTATGCAATTCGCTGTTGCGTTGCACTGAGCTCGATCTCGAGATTGAATCTCCAGAATGTCACATCTCTGGCAGCATCGGCGTACAAGCGCACTCCAGTAATGTCTCGGTGCAGCCCTGCAGTCTCGCCATCAACGGGGTGAATCCTGTTCGAGGGAATTGGTTGCTTGGATCCCTCAGCGCTATAATCAATCATGCTAGGAGATAGCTCATAGATTCCGTCATCAGTTTCCACGGCAGACAGATCGACCTCTTCCTCCAGGTGGTCCACTGGCTTGACATAAAGTGGACGTCCATCTCGGCCAACCTTCATAAGACCGGCTGTAGGGTCGACATATTCAGGTGCCAAAGCTCCGTTCTCACCACTAACCTCTGCTGGTGGAGGAGGTAAGAGATCCATTGGCTGAGAGAAAAGTCTCAGGGTGGGCGGGACGTCGTAAGAAGAGCGGGAATCTTTCGTAACTATCATGATAGAGCCTCTCCAGAATTCCTTTTCGACGGGCCCATGGGTTCCATCGATATTTTCTTTCTTCATGCCAGTGTATCGAAGGAGAGGTCCGCATCTTAAGAATAACTTGGGCTGGAAGTTCTTGTGCTCGGTGACTCCTATAGAAAGTTAGATCTCTTCCGGCCCAACTTTGCTCTCTCTAAACTGAGATTGGTATCTCTTACCTGTGACTTTCTGGGCCGCAGTTTGATAGTTCTTGGGGGAGGGCCCTGCTCTTCCTGCGATCGGCTGAGGTGCCACCTTCCCACCATGCTTTGCTTCGATCAATATCCAGATGTTGGAAGTCAAAGTCGGCGGCTCCAAGTCGAGCAATAGGAGCATCTCTCCATTCAAAAATGGGCGGAGGCGTCGGTGGGGGTACATCGAACGACACTGTTTGTCTTGGTTTTGACCTCGGCAGCGACGCACCAGATAGAGACTTCGCCGTAGAAGAGGTCTCGATTCTCTCCGCGCTAGAGACAGCAACAACAGGCTGCATCGTCTTCGGAGGCCCTTGCTGAGATACTGAGCGAGTGTGCATAGGTCTCTCGATCGGTCCTTCCCTTGCGCCGTGTTCGCGCACTGTAACTGATCTTCGGGGAACACTACCCATCTTTACTGGCGAGGGTTTGACATTTTCAGCGCCGGCATATTGCGCATCTTCGGGTTGACGGATTGCCGGGTACTGGGCGTTCATTGAGACCGCTCTGTTGTGGCGGACAGCGGTGCCTCCCGGTGGTCGAGCCACAGGTGGTGCAGCCCGAGCAAGCTCTTCCCTCTGTATAGATCTTCTGGTGGAAGCAGGAGTCCCACGATCTTCCGAGTACGCGCTCTGCTTCGAATTAGGCCGAGGGGCACTCGCAGTGCTAACCGCCGCCGCCGCAGCAGCAGCTTCGGCCTTCTCCTTTTCAATCTTCTGTCGAGCAAGGCGTTCCCGTAGTCGCATCTCAGCTTCTTGTACGCGGGCTCGCTTCTCCTCTTTGCTGATTCCGTTGAGAGTCACTTCGAGCTTCTGTAATGGCGAGCGGTCCGAGGCCCAATCCCGCTTGGTACTCGTCCCACTCGTCGAGCGCATAGTGTTCGATCTAGTTGGTGGAGAGGGCAAACTCGGAGCAGCAGGAACCTCCGGAGGAGGCTGCGCCTCTTCACTCCTTGAGATGGCTGCATTGGTGCCCTGAAGATACTCGGCAGGGGGAAGGCCTCGTGGAGTAGTGGATTCTTCATTCAGCCCTGGAGGAGCCACTGGCGCAGGCTTGCGCGTAGTGTAGTTAAGATTGGCGGCTGCTCTGGCTGAAAATGACCGACTTGGCGCTCCTGATCCCCTGGGCCCTGACGAAGCTTTGGGCGCCGATTGTGGATAGGAACCCTCTGCCGCAAATGGAGCATAATCTGTTTCTTCGTCATAGCTGGTCACACTTGGGACAGTTGTGCTATGCCTGCGACTCTCCGAAGCTCTGCGAGCTCCCTTTACCGGCCGTGGGGTTGGTTGGCCATTCGCCGGATCGGCCGATTCGCGCATCGCGGCTGTCGCCATTTTAAGCCGTTTTGCGACGATATGCGTGGAAGAACAGCGCAAGCAATGGGGGTTACCCCTATCGGATTGAATTGATCAATGTCAGTCGTTCGGTCCCGAGCTGAAACGATTCTCGTCAATGCATGCTCATGAGGACGGCTGTTTGCGACACGAGACATTTAAATGCCGAGCAGATGGGGACTTGACATACCAGACGCTATTTTCACTCACTGAATCACAGTCAAGCTACGTCCGATGCCTGACGCAGGCTTACCACATCCTCGCCTGAATTGGATCAGGTTGCGCCAGGCCGTCAGGTACTTGCTTGGGTGGGATGACGGCGGTGACACGGTCGATCGTAGCACAAAGTTCCCTTGGGGTACGCAATCGAAGGTGCAGAAGAATGAATGAAATGACTAGAGAGTTGAGATCGGAGAACAAGAGAGGAGGTAGGAATGGAATGGAAGAGGAGAAAATTCGGTGGAGGCAGCAGGGCAGGATGAGCTTGCGCCGCCCTGCTCTATACTTCGCCATTATCCGGTGGCTGGTATTTTTCTCGCCCCAGCCTTCGCGCGGGGCAGGGCTTTATTGGCCAATAAATGCCCCCTCGTGGGTGACATGTCCTTGAATGGAATTAATTCAATTTTGTTCCTTGATTCCTGTCTGTTCTGCAGGACTTTCTATTATTTTTGGGTTCACGGGATGTTGAATACTGCATGTTTGACTTGGTGCCTCTCCGGAGTAGAGAGTGGGGTTCAACCCCATGGTTCATTTTATGGTTAAATGTGTAACCGGTTCACGATCTCAGTAACTTCTTCCTCGGATGGATAAATACTACAAAGGAGAATGATGAATTGTAGGTTCCGCTTCACTGCCCAAGAAGCCTGTACAAGGTCCATGGTATGCCTCATTTAGCATTCCCAGGAGACATATAATGCGGACATTGAACCAGGTAGTTCATCAGAGAATGCCTGTTTGAGGGGCACACCTTGGAAGCATCTTCCAAATACAAATCCAAGGAGACTTTAATATCTCTACCTAACAACAGACACTTTATACTCTGCATTAATCAAATTAGTCCTAACTAGCTGACCTGTCCCTCGTTCGTATGCAAGGAATCCAAGGGACTATGAGACAGACTATCAGGGACGTGCCGCGGTCGACTAAGCAGATAAGTTACTCAATATCTAACTATTTGGTCTTCTTATGGAAGAATCAGGAGGGTTGGTCTAAACCAAAAGAATCTAGTCTGTATTTTGCAACTGTTAGTTTAGTGATCCTCGTAGGATATGGTGGTGCCTAGTCATCCATCAAGACGGAGTCCAGCCTCGAGAGTCGAGCCTTCTTGGGTGTGGCAGTACGTAAGCGTCAGCCATTGAACTAGTTAACACTCACAGCCCTTTGGACTGCAGAAGCAACCGTGGTCTTTCATGAAAGAAACAGTATCAGAACAGACCAAGAGAGCACACTGTCTGCAATTCAAAGGCGGCTCAGACCCTCTTTTCTCCGCCACAAACCACACCCCCCGAGTGGGCTGCCCGCTGAATTCGGCACTCAATAAGGTCCCGTGTTATTCTCTCACCCCCGACGATCCTCCTATTCTACGAATCCTCTCGCCACCTCTCCTTTCCCATTCTTACCCTCGCCCTAAACTTTCAACCCTTTCCACTCTTCATATCCCTTAAGCTACGGAAATAAGGTCTGGCACCTTTCATGGCAGCAGCGCGATCTATTCTCCGTCCCTTACCCTGAGAGCAAGCGCGCTACCTTGCCTCGAACCGCCGACCGGCCACCCCATCCATCATGCGTGTCGCTGGCGGCATTGCTGTCGCCCTCAGCTTAGTAGGCGCAGCCTCCGCATCCCTCCATCCTCGCTCCCATGAATCTCGCGACTATTTCGCCCTTCACCTCGATGATGCCACTCCTCCGGCCGACGTTGCACGAATGCTAGGTGCTCGACATGAGGGACAGATCGGGGAGCTTGCCGGCCATCACACCTTCTCACTGCCTCGAGAGCAGAGCCCAGACTTCAATGCCGCATTGGATAGCTTGAAATCTAGGCGAAAGCTCCGTCGCCGATCGGGTGAGGGGGTTGCATCCAGGAGTACAGATCCGCTGGAGGGAATTCTATGGTCACAGAAGCTGGAGCCGCCTCGACAAAGGCTGCAGAAGCGGGCGCCTCCCGTTTCTTCCAAGCACTTGGTTGAGAGAATCAGCCCAAGAGCGGATCCAAAAGCGCTGGAGGAACAGACTAAGATGATGTCAACTTTAGGAATCACCGACCCGATCTTCAAAGACCAATGGCATCTATATAACGTCCAGCAGCCCGGTCACGATCTCAATGTGACGGGTGTCTGGCTGGAGGGAATCACTGGCCATGGAGTGGCGACGGCTGTCGTTGACGATGGATTGGATATGTACAGCAACGACTTGAAGCCCAATTACTTTGCCCAGGGCTCGTGGGATTTCAACGAACATGGACCCGAGCCGCGACCTCTCTTGTACGACGACAAGCACGGTACGCGGTGCTCGGGCGAAATCGCAGCGGCCAAAAATGATGTGTGTGGTGTGGGTGTTGCTTACGACAGCAAGGTGTCGGGTATTCGGATTCTATCCAAGGCGATTGACGATATCGACGAAGCAGCTGCCATCAACTTTGCCTTCCAAGATAACGATATCTACTCCTGCTCGTGGGGTCCTCCCGACGATGGTGCAACCATGGATGCGCCAGGTCTTTTGATCAAGCGGGCGATGGTCAACGGTGTGCAGCAGGGACGAGGTGGAAAGGGCTCGATCTTCGTGTTTGCCGCCGGTAACGGCGCCCTCTTTGGCGACAACTGCAACTTCGACGGATACACCAACAGCATTTATAGTGTAACCGTCGGGGCTATTGACCGACAAGGAAACCACCCGACCTACTCCGAGTCCTGCTCCGCGCAGCTGGTTGTCGCATACAGCAGTGGATCTGGGGATGCAATTCACACGACTGATGTGGGTACGGACAAGTGCTATTCACAGCACGGTGGTACTTCGGCGGCAGGCCCGCTTGCCGCCGGCTCGATTGCCCTTGCGCTCAGTACTCGACCGGAACTCACCTGGCGTGACATTCAATATTTGATGATTGAAACAGCGGTGCCGGTCAACGAGAATGATGGAAGCTGGGTGGATCTTCCTTCTGGGAAGAAATTCAGCCATGACTGGGGTTTTGGCAAGGTCGATACGTATGCTTTGGTTCACAAGGCCCAGACTTGGGATCTGGTGAAGCCCCAGGCGTGGTTTAATTCTCCCTGGCTGCGAGTACACAACAGCATTCCCCAGGGCGCTCAAGGTCTTCTGAGCCGCTATGTGGTGAAGGACGAGCAGCTGAAGGGTGCAAATTTCGGCAAGTTGGAGCATGTTACGGTGACAATGAACATCAACCACACTCGCCGTGGTGATCTCAGCGTGGAACTGCGTAGTCCGAAGGGCATCGTCAGTCATCTCAGTGTCGCTCGTCAGGGCGACGATGAAAAAGCAGGTTATGTTGATTGGACCTTTATGTCTGTTGCTCACTGGTATGTGCGAATCGTTCTGATCTTCTACCACGTCTTCTTGTGCAATTCGTATGCTAACTTCAAGTCAGGGGCGAATCACCCGCGGGAGAGTGGACTGTGATTGTCAAGGATACCCAAGTCAACGAGTTTACTGGCGATTTCATTGATTGGAGACTCAACCTCTGGGGTGAATCCATCGACGGTACCAACCAATCTCTTCACCCACTTCCCGAAGAGAACGATGATGATCACCCGTACGAGGAAGCGCACGTAGCCACCACTACTGTTGAAGCTGTGCCTATAAAGACCGCCACCCCTACCAACCCTGATGACCATCACGACCGGCCAGTCAATCAGAAGCCCAGTGACTCGGCCGCGACCGGACTACCTACTGAAGAATTAGACACCACCGTCACCGGTGCTCCCACCAGTGCCGCTTCTCCTACCTCGACCTCTTCTTCGGACCATCTGTCCAGCTACCTTCCCTCTTTTGGCGCTTCGAAGCGCACTCAAGTTTGGATCTACGCATCTCTGGCGATGATTATCATGTTCTTCATTGGCTTGGGTGTCTACTTCCAGCTTCAGCGTCTGAAGCGTCGCCGCACCAGCCCTAATGATGATTATGAGTTCGAAATGATCGAGGACGAGGATGAGATGCACCCCATGACTGGTGCAGGTGGCCGGACTCAACGTCGGGGCGGTGAGTTATACAATGCCTTTGCTGGTGAGAGCGACGAGGAGATCTTCAGTGACGATGAGGGCCCGTACCGGGACCAACTGGGTTACGTTCCTGAAAAGGACGGCGAGGACGACTCCAACGATCGCTTGTTGTCTGAAAAGCGGTGATTCATGTTATAAGAGTTGTGTGCTTTTTCTCTTCTTGCATTGGGTGCGGTTATCATCATACGTGCTAGCTACTATATTGGGGACTAGGTCTATTTTGGAGTCGCGCATAGAAAGGGCGAGGCTGCCTGGAGTTTCTGTAAATCTACCACCTTCTTACAACCAAAGATGTTAAAACAACACTTTTGTATCAAATTTAGTAAATCCTGACAAGAAGCAATTTGTGTATATTGGAACACAGAGGCAGTGCCGATCATTTACACCATAAGATCAATAGGAAAGCGGCCTCTGCCCACGCGCGACCGAAAGCGATGACGACGTTGCCGCCTTTGGGGGGAACTCCGCCTTTTGGGGAAAGGACGATCATCTGAATCCAACTGGCCCAGCTCCTCAGCTTCCCATCTTCCCAGCTTCCTCCCGCCTCAGCCACCCCATTTTCAGTTATTCGCACCTCTCTGCGCGTTCCATATTTGTCGCATCAGGTTTCTTTGATCTTCGGTCATTTCTCGGCCCCCACAACTGTGCTCTAGCAACGAAGCACCATTCCGCCGGGATACCACGGGTGAGACCGACCACCCCTCCCCGCCATGGATGAACACGACGACTTCGACAACGTCTCTTGGAGGAACGACCCAGAAAGTGACGCTTCTCGACCGACCACCTCGGGTACAGAAGCCGAGGAGCCCCATAGACATGATCAAGACACCAATGGCAAGCGGAGGATGAGCTCCGCGCACGAGGAACCCCAGGCTGGCTCGCTGGCCGATGCTGTAGACCTGGCTGGTATCGGCGATGGCGTGCTGGAATGCCGTGTCGACTCGCCCCTGAAGGAGAACGACGGTACAAAAGATGCATATATCTCCTATCTTGTTACAACGAATGTGAGCGTTCCCTTTGGAGCTTCCTGGCGAAGTTGTTTCGTTACTACGGCTGCCTGCCGCATCCTCGGAAGCTCTCCATATCCACCTCTATTGCTACGACCAAATCGCTAACACACAGGCCTTTTAGACCGACTTCAAGTCGTTCCAGAAAGCAGAATTTAGCGTACGGCGACGATTCACCGACTTCTATTTCCTGTACAAGACGCTCTATCGCGAATATCCCGCTTGCGCGGTACCGCCCCTTCCGGATAAGCACAAGATGGAGTACGTACGAGGAGACCGGTTTGGACCAGAGTTCACCACGCGGCGATCATGGTCGCTGCATCGGTTTCTGAAGCGCCTGACGCTCCATCCGGTCCTCCGCCGTGCACCACTCCTCATCATTTTCCTGGAGTCGCCGGACTGGAATGCGCATGTGCGGTTACACTCGACCCGAGGCTCGACCAGTACCTCGTCTGACAACGCCGGGACGGGAATCTTTGATAATTTCACAGATACCTTTGTCAACGCCTTCACCAAAGTACACAAGCCTGACCGGCGGTTTATCGAGGTGAAGGAGAAGGCAGATAAGCTGGACGAGGATCTGTCGCATGTCGAGAAGACAGTGGCACGGGTTGCGCGACGGGAAGCTGATCTAGAAACGGATTACACGGACCTGGCAATGCAGTTCCGCAAGCTTGTTCCGCTCGAGCCAGCAGTCGAGATGCCCTTACAGGTGTTTGCAGCCTCTGTGGAGGAAACTGCACGCGGGGTGCATGATTTGAAGGACCACACAGATCAAAACTACCTCGGCTCGCTGCGCGATATGGAAGCATACATTCTTTCCGTGAAAGCGCTGTTGAAGACTCGTGAACAGAAACAACTAGACTTTGAAGCCCTCGTCGATTATCGCAACAAGGCCGTCGCCGAGCGCGACTCGCTCGCTGCTAATCCCGCCGCCTATTATGCCTCTAACCCGCTTACATCCTCCCCAGCCTCCTTCATCCGCTCCAAGATGGAGGACATGCGCGGTGTCGACCACGAACAGTCCCGCCGCGAGCGTGTCCGCAAGCTTGAGCTGCGCATTGACGAACTCACCCGTGAGGTCGAGTCCGCCAAGACTACTTCCGAGATGTTCGACGAAGAAGTCGTTCGCGAAGTAGCAGACTTTGAGCGCATCAAGGCGGTCGAGTTTCGTGATTCTCTCGGCGCCCTTGCCGAGGCTCATATCGACTTCTACCAGGGTGTCTTGTCTACCTGGGAGCGGTTCGTTGCAGAAATGGAGGGTGATGCTGAGGGTGGTCTTGAGGCTGATTCTCACGCTGCTGGATCGCGGTAGGCTAGACATGGATGTACTTTGGGTGGAGAAGGGATGGGATTTGTCTATGAAGTCAGATATTTTTCGTATAGCTGTTCATGGGCCGACTTTCTTACCTAGCTTGTTTCTACCATTTCATACCCGTAATACCATCACGTTTCTTCCATGCTAGCGTCAAGGTCTCCCCGTAGTACTTTGCTAAATTGTCATCCTGTGAGACAAGGAAGAAGCGTTTACAGAACCATCGCCAGTACGACTTCTAGAGACGATCAGCATCAACGGAATGTAGAGTGAACATGGGTTATACCCCCAGTATTGGTATTCCAGTCACTCTCCCCCCTCATATGGCCTAGTGGTCTATTGACCTTTGGGTGTGCCCTGGAAAGGGCAAACATGTGATGGGAATAGGTACAGCCTCCAGTGTCGAGTATAACTCCACGGGATGGTCGGGCACATCCCTAGGCGGGGAGAGTGGGCGGGTGGGCATGCGAGGTGGTGGCAGCACCTCCTCGCGGATAAAGATCTTTTTTGAATTTTTTTTGGATTCTCCTACATTTAGTACTTCTTAAATTAAGCTTATATTTTATTTTAATTATTTAAGGGCTTTCGAAGATATTGCGCGGCTATAAAATAGTCCTGTGTATCGGGTGTGCTGTCGTGGCTGACTCTAGATGATGTACTTCGGCATCGTGAGATGGCGATGGAGCATCGCCATAATGTATATAGGGAATCAGAAGGTAGAGGGTTCAATTCGCGGAGGTAGAGACTTGCCCATTTCTATTTTGGGGAGGTCTTAGATATGACTAGTTGGATATGGCTCGAATATCAATAGGGACCGTTCAGAAGCAACCGTTGTTATGTTTGACATCTTGATATAACTTGATGTTCATCGAACATAGAGCTTTCAGAGCATTCACTGGACATGCAAATCCAGGGTAGACGACTACTGTTTTTCCTTAAGAGGGCGTAAATGAACTCCTTCGAGAAATACCTTAATTGGGGAAGCTCTTCTTTTTTACTCTTCTTACACTGGACTGGCCGGCTGGAACGATTGAATATTGGGCTGTGCTCGTTTCTGACCCGTTTCTCAAAATCGTTCCACGAAGTCTGCTTGAACTCCAGGCTTGGTTGTCCATGCAAGTTCCAGGATTATGTGGTGGATAAAAGGATTCCTAATTAGCATTAGTATGTAGTACAATAAACGTTTGTGTAGTGCCATTAACTGAGTTCCAGGTTTATCCAAAGTGGAAGTAGGGCTGTTTGTCTTGTTTGCAATGGGCATCTCGGCGCGGAGCGTTTCCTGATCATTCGATTCCCCGCGCAAATCCAATTCCTCAAACACAATGCGTCCAATTCCGCGAGCCGCATTGCGGTCATATGTCTGTCCATCATGCCGACATGGCATTAGCGCTGGCCGGCGACGGTTCGGTACCAAGTCTGACCAAAAGCCCGACATCTACGATGTGGTCTGTGTCGGAGGTGGCCCGGCGGGTCTAGGACTTCTGGCTGCTCTGCGTGAGTAATAATACCGCCAAAGACAAGAGAGGTGGGCAATATGCTAATGCTGGACCATTGCAGGAGCTTCCCCCGTTACTTCAAAGCTCAAGGTCGCCCTCATTGAAAGCCAGGATCTCAACAAGGCGCGGTCCTGGAACATGGACTCGACACAGTTCTCCAACCGAGTCAGCAGCTTGACACCCTCGTCTAAGGCGTTCCTGCAGAAAATTGGTGCATGGGAGCACTTGGATACGCAGCGTGTGCAGGACTATCAGGAGATGCAGGTGTGGGATGGCGAGAGCGGATCCCGAATATCATTTGACTGGTCCATGGATACGCCGGATTTCGAGGATCCGCGCACCGTGGCGACGATGACGGAGAATTCAAATCTGGTGCGCGGTCTTCTACGGAGAATTGCGGCATCTGGGGACGAGAATCTGACGCTCTTCTCGAATACCACCGTTGCTGGTATCGAGAACGGAACGGATCTTCGGACTGAGGGCCCAGACCTCTCAGCTTGGCCTGTCTTGTCTATCAAGCCAACAGGAGCCAGTACAGAGACTCAATCCTCCTCCCGGATTGCGGCAAGGCTTTTGGTGGGTGCGGACGGGATCAACAGCCCTGTGCGCTCGTTCGCAGACATTCCTACCCACGGCTGGGACTATAACCGACACGGCATCGTGGCTACTCTTTCCCTCGCGGACCCCGACACTCCTCCATTCCCAGACTACATGCGCACAGCTTACCAGCGCTTCCTCCCTGCACTCGGTGGTCCAATTGCCCTCCTCCCTCTACCAAGTAACCACGCCACCCTTGTCTGGTCTACAACTCCCCAAAACGCCGCATACCTCAAATCCCTCCCCGCACCCGCCTTCCTAGCCATGGTCAACGCAGCCTTCCGCCTGTCCATGACAGACCTCAAGTACATGATGGGCATGGCGCAACCGGCGCAACCATCTTCAGAAGCTACCTCCCACGAGGACGAGCTCTCCTGGCGTCTCCAGCACACCCCGCTCCCTGCACACACCCCACCTACCGCGACGGGCGTGCAAACGGGCACCGTCGCATCATTCCCACTGCGCTTCCGCCACGCAGCACAGTACATTTCTCCACGGGTTGCTCTTGTCGGTGACGCAGCACACGTCATTCACCCGCTGGCCGGTCAGGGTCTGAACTTGGGTCTTGCAGACGTTGCTGCGCTCTCGCGGACGATCGAGTATGCGGTCTCGCACGGTATGGATATCGGTGATCTGCTGACGCTGGAGCGGTACTCGTCGGAGCGGTATCTGCCTAATGCTAAGATCGGGGGTGCTTGCGATCTGTTGCATAAGATGTACAATATCCCGGGTCAGGGTCCTGTCACCTGGGCGCGGAGCCTGGGGTTGGATGTGATTGATAAGCTGCCGTTTGTGAAGTCGTTCTTGATGAAGAATGCTGAGGGGTATTAGGCGTGTTGGACGATGCCAGTCTTTTTGTATTTCTACCTGTATATCTAGTTGCCTTTCTTACAATGTTGGAATATTGTTCAGCCTTCGCTTTGTCACTTCTTGAATTTGGGTGTAGTTTCAGGATTCAGTACTTGATATTCGGGTGCTTCAGGTTGTCCCCTACTATGGTATCGAGGCACCATCAGAGTGTATATAACAGCCACTGCTCGCAAAAATGAGCATACAAGGCATTGGGTATCGGTTATGCCCAAGGTATGTTAAGGCCATGCAAAACCCCAAGTCTTTCCAAAGTCAGAAACAGAAGTACCCGATGACCCGGGCACATGCAAAGAAAGAGGTAGGTAGAATCTATATTTTAAAAAGGAAATGGGGGAGGAGAAGATGCTAAGCTGCCGGATGGGGTAACAAAGAGATAACAAAGGAAAAGAAGAAAATCAAAACGCCCGATCATTCACTTTTTGTGTAATGGAAAAATGCAGGGAATCAAACCTGCACCCCCTGCAGCTGCTGCGCCAAGCTAATGACAGAGCCACCGTGTTTCTTAGCAAGGCGGGCCTGCAGCTCGGGGATGAGCGAGGCCAGTTCGACTTCGACACCCTCCTTCTCGGGGTGGTCCTTGTCCAGACCCATCTCCTTGATCTTGACCTTACCGGCGGCCAGCTCGTCCTCGCCGATGATAATACCAAATGGAATGCCGCCGTCCTCGGCAGCCTTGAATTGCTGCTGGGGCTTGGGCTTGGCCTTGTAGGAGAACTCAGCCTAGAGATAGGCGTTAGCACGTATTATGAAATAAAGAGTGAATGTTGTGTCTTACCTTGATACCGGCACTCCACAGCTTCTGGCAGATGTCCATACGCTCCTTGAGCATACCAGTGAAGCCCTTGCCACCAAAGGCCATAACCAAAACGTCGACCTCGCTATTACGCAGGGTCTTGGCTTTGTGCTCACGTTCGAGGCGAGCCTTGGTGATAGAGAAGATACGGTCGACACCGAACGAGATACCCACGCAGGGAATCTGGGCCTTGGGCAGGAACATGCCCACAAGATTATCATAGCGTCCACCGGCGGCAACACTGCCAACACCAAGGGTAGGGTCATCGGACCGGTCCTCGTCCTCGGGGTTCTTGGACTTGCCCTTCTTGCTGGCCTTCTTCAGCTGTTCGGCCTCGGGGGCATCAGACTGCACAGCGGGGGCAGATCCCTCGGTGATAACCTCGTAGATAACACCAGTGTAATAATCCAATCCACGGGCCAGAGACATATCGAAGGAGATCTTATCCAGGACGTTGAATGCCTCCAGGTAGTCCATCATCAGGGCCATGTCGTCCAGACCAGCCTTGGCAGAGGCGTTGGAAGTGAGCCTCTCATCCTGGAGCAACTTCTCCAACAACTCACGGCCACCCTTGTTCATAACATATGTCTCAATAAGATCAGCCGCGGCACCATCAAGGCCCTTCTGTTCAACCATCTCCTTGCGCACTTCCGCCCAAGACATCTTATCCAACTTATCAACGGCACTAGAGATAGGCCGGATCTTGTCCTCCGGGACACCGCAGACCTGGAACACACCGTCCAGAATCTTACGGTGGTTGATCTTGATCGTGTACCGGCCGTTCCAGCCCAGCTCCTCAAACACCTCGCTCACAATACGCATGACCTCGGCATCGGGAATCATAGCGTCGAAAGTACCGGCGATGTCGAAGTCACACTGGTAGAACTCGCGCATGCGGCCCTTACTAACGGCAGGCTGGTCTCGGCGGTACACTTTGGCAATGTGATAGCGCTTGATGCTGCGGACATCCGGGTTCATGGCCAGCCAACGCGCAAAGGGGACCGTCAGATCATAACGCAGCGAGCAGATCTCACCACCCTGGTCCTGCAGGTCGTAGATGAGCTTCGAGTCCTCACCATATTTGCCGGCCAGAATCTCGCGGAGTTCGAAGACGGGGGTATCGAGGGCAGTGCCGCCGTGGCGCTTGAAAACGTCGGCGATGGTGGTGAAAATACGGTCCCGGAGGATGGCGTCGGACCCGCACCAGTCCTTGGTGCCCTTGGGGGTCTTGAGGTTAAACGTGGGACCCTTATCCTTGCCCATTGTGTCGATCTGCGCGGCGAGACGAGGGATTGAGGAAAAAGAATGAGTGCGGCGGGGGAGGGATGAGTGGTGGGGGATGGTGGGGGCTCGGAGACAAATTTGATTCGAGGCGGCGGCGCGCTGCCGTTGCGCTGGCAAATGAGTCACGCGAATGAGAGAGGCCGCACTGAAAGAGTCGCCAATTGCTCGTCGTGCAGAGCGTAGTGAAGCAGGAAAGCACGTCATAAAAGCGTCTCGAGCTTTGGGCGATTAAATTTGGGTTGCCAGATTTGGTCGGCCGGGCCTTCTTCCTGCTTCGGGGGAGTTTTTCCGCGAGTTTTTCCGGGTCACTCACGAAGTATAAAGCATTGTCTGTGCTGTTTTGAACCTTTACAACGTGAGCTTTGGTTTTGATCTGATATAGAATCTCCTGATATCAGTCCTAGCAGACTTATAGGATAATATTGGCAGACTTTGACCCTCTTTCCGACCGACTCCCGTACACAATAAGACCTTTCTATAGACCGGGGTGGTCAACTCAAAACTTCGAACAATAAAAATCCCTTCATGCTTTTAATGAATTCACGCATTCAATGAATGAGTTTATATCTAAGCTAATCAATCAGCCATTGATAGAAGGGGAATAATTTATCTAAGCCAAAAAATTCCACATGATCCATCCATGTGCGGAGGAAGGCTAGCTGAAATTGACCCGACCTCCTGAGGCGACATTGACGATGTGCTATTTCACCTTATGCTCCCAGCCTACTTCTCAAAAAGACTCTTGATTTCACTTTGCTGCCATAGAACAATTTCTGATCAATCATTCTAGGTGTAGACACATACCTCAGCACTTTGCAGCAATGTCCAATCTATCCACTAATTTGGAGAGGATTCGTAAGACCCATCCGCAACGGATGCAGATTGGTTGGTATCCTTCTAGAGCTAACTCAATGAAGAAAGCCGACTTGTGCTTTGGCATTACGGTCTATGTTTCCTTCCTTGAACAGAATGTGGGGGATCTCTTCCACCCCGAAGACTCGCCTTGTCAGCCAGTCTCTGGGAGTAATGCATCTTGCTTGATACCTCGCCTATGTATGAACATAGTCGGTGTAAGGAGTAGGTCAGCCGCACAAAAGAGAAACATTGGATCCTCCAACTTGGATTAAGAGTCAGTTCAAGGGTTAGGCAATTACTGTAGTAGTAAGTACTGTAGTGTACTAAGTTTGTGGCAACTCCACGAGCGAGGGATGTGTAAGCTTCATTAAGGCTAACTAAGCCTTCCCCAGCAGGTGCATGTCGAATATGTACCCCGCTGAGCCAAACTACGAAGTCCAGGTCCAATCAGCCGCCATAGCTTACGGTAATGTTCTACTCCGTGTTGGGCACAAGAATAGATTAAAGACTACCCGTCCCGCGAATCAGATGGCACAGCCATGAAATGGCCTTTAAACCACGACCAAAGCAATTGGTAAAAAGGGATTTTGCAACTAATCAGGCTGATCAGTAGCTGAGCTGAAGTCAGCCTATACGATAGTCCATCTGATAATTTGGATGAGAGGGAAAGCTGCCGTGCTTCATATCCAATTGAGGATCATTGGCAAGCATCCAAGCTGACTGCCTTCAGCTTTCAAGCGTTCATCTCACGGGCGCCAAGGGCGATTACTGATTCGGTTAACTTTTTCGGGTTTGCCAAGAAGAAAACCAAATTGGCGCACAGGGACAGTCTTGGTTGTTTGTCTTGTTCTTGCATAGGTCCAATCTCACATGTCCAATGCGGATGTAACAGGTGATGTTTCTTCACACCGAATGGACAATAATAGTACTACATACTAACGATTACGGTTAAATCATTCGATATGCTCTGGGCAGCTGGCGGATTGGCCCCCCCCTATGTTGTACTGTACATGCATCTCGGGCAAGAAAGACGCGGCTTGGCTTTCAGCCGTGGTATCGAGTGATAGTATGGACCAGCCTCCAGCCTTGGCCCGCCGCCTTGTTCATGCTGTAGCTGTATTAGCTCTAAGCTCCCTACTGACCATTTCCAATCATACTGTGATCGATGAGGTCCCCAGACTGCGGGAGCATAGACACAGCCTGTGGCGTGTTTGGACCCCAATAATAGAAGGTTATGAGAGGGTCTCTCCCATCGTAAACTACTTCCAGAAGCATGCACGTACATACATTGGGTGGCCAGTGTCGATGATGTATCTAGCGCACTGGACCCCCACCAAGGAAGCCTATTATTGACTCGCAGCGTTGCTGCAAGTGGGCACCTGTATACTTTCCTGGGGGAAGGGATAGCTGTGCTTTGCTCGGAACGTTGCCGCCCATCGGAGTGTGGGAGGAGACCTAGCATTGGAGCGTCAATTGTGCCCGGGCCGCGCGGCGGCAGGGATTGGAGAGGACTCTCGTGTAGGTGTGCACTCCGTATCGGAGGATCATAGGATGGATGGCCTTTGTGACTCTAGCCTCCTTGCATTGGGGGCGATCTGATGATGTAGATGTTGGGTTTTCGCCCCCGCGTTGCGCCCTGGTCAGAGTCCATAAGTAGTAGTACTCAGATACTCCGTCCTCCGTACTGTGTACTCTGCTGTCTGCTGTAGCCCAGCGCAGTCTAGTCAGAAGAGGACCCCCGCCACTTTCCCCATGGCAGCGACGATCATTGGCCGTTCCGGCACGCCATGCGAGGGGCGGACACATGGCCCGTGAGCCAAACAGCGAGAGTCAAGCCAATCAGCGATCATCAATCAAGAGGGGGTTGCCAGAGTTTGTGGACCAGCGCGAAAAAAGGAGGAGGTTTCCATGGCCGTGGGGGAGGGGGGCTCCGCTGGGGAAACGAAAAATGCATCTGGCCGACCGAAGAAAGGCAGACAAGGAAAAACGAGGCCCATGACATAACGGGCCTTGTTATCTCCTCCACTGGGCAACCCACTCTGTCCTCCGGTATATCCGACGGAGGCGCGAAAGATCGAAATTCTGCTCGAGTCGTTGCAGGCAGAGAACCAGAAAAATCGGCGATTGGCTCAGTACCTGCCTTAGGGACTCCACGTGGCTCAAGCGTGTCGCGGCACTTCAGACAGTTAGACTTGGGGGATTTCTGGTAGCAAGACCGAATGGGGATGGTCTGGCTCGGCTGACAGAACTAGGCCAGAAAGCAGTTTAGCCGGAGACGGATCCTTGGAGGTGGACGCCTGCGGTCCACCGCTGGAGAGGGCAAAGTTAGTCGAGTGACCGCCCAAATCGGGGCGTTTCTGGACGTGGACTGCGCGAAATACGATGGCCATCAGTCATCAAGATAAGCGGTTGGTCAACGAGTTAATCAACTAGCGTAAGTGAACTAGTTGACTATCTGAGGTATTGGGGTTCTTATTCTTATTATATTCAGAAGAGGATACAGAACAAGGATGCCTAGACTCGAATACCAAGTATACTACAGTACTTAGGCCTCCAGGAATGACAATAACGGCGGTATCTGTATCCTATACATAACATGGTTTCCATCCTATCATGACTACTACTGTACTCGGTCTTCCTCCAAGCTTGACCCCCCAGTGATTATCAATCGAGGCTACTACTGATTCTAGTAACTCCTGTCACTAACTCGGTCGGTGCGTGTCCCGACAGCCTGGCCTTTGGACTCGACCACTCTTTCTCTGGTTCCGTCCATTTTAACTCCGCTCCGCCGTCATCTTCGTCCTGTCACTGTCTGGTCCTCATCCCTCTTTTCCTACTCTTCTCCTCTTCAGGAACGGCGCCACCAACCTACCGACTCTTCTCTACCGACTCTTCTCATCCTGCCTTGACCCTCTTTCCACCCCCTCATTGTTCGTTCACCTTTCCCCCTCCTTCGTGGGTTCCCGTTCAGTGTCGGCTTCTGGACGCTTCCGCCGTGGCTTTCCCCGGACCGCTCTCTCCGCGACTCAACGTTCCTGATCTCGTTCCCCGATTTACCCCAACCTGAACCCTCCACGACCCTTCCCTCGTCCTCATCTCTTTCCGCCCTCACTGGTTTCATCTCCTTTTTGACTCTCATCTCTTTTCTTCGCCCATGTGCCTCCTTGGTTGCGACCGATAAACTTCGTTCTCGCCTCTCCATGCAGCTGAGCGCGACCGAGGAGAACACACATCGATCATGAAGGGGCTCTTCTCCCCTCGCCGGAGCATTGGGGTAAGCGATTCAATTTCAACCAGCATCGTCCATTCCTGGCGGTCGTGCAGCAGCCGAGAGTACCCCCGGTCACCGGTTGCTGCTCGTGAGACCATTTCGTTTGGAACCCGGTACTGACGCTTCCCCTCGTACAGGCTCCAACCAACCCTTCGCCCGCGCCGCCGCCCAAGAAAGATCCCCAAACACCACAGGTGTCCCCGCTAGAGAAGCGACTGAAGGATATGGGGCCGATTCGTGGCGATGGTAGCGACAAGTTTTTTGGCATGGAAAACGTGAGCCCTTCCCCCTCCCCCAACTCGGGTCTCTTTTGCGCGAGAGGCCGATGGATCGACACTGTTGAGACTGACCCAGTGATACATGCGCCTACAGTATGGAAACACCTGCTATTGCAATTCGATTCTGCAATGCCTTTACTACTCTGTTCCCTTCCGCGAGGCTGTGATCAACTACCCGCAGCGCACGCCCGTTGAGAGCCTCGAGGCCGCCCTCGCTCAGAACCTCCGATATCAGAACCCTAATGCGCATTTAGAGGCCGAGGCACAGGCAGCCAAGCAGAAGGCTGCTGCCCCGTCGCCATCAGCGCGCCAGGCGGGTGTGCCTCCCAACCAACCACAGAAGCCCGAAGATAAGGACTCGCCCGAATACAAGAAGAAGGTTGCACTCCAGACGCTTCCATTGATGGAGACGAAGAACAATGCTGCCAGTTACGGCATGTCGGAATCTCTTTTCACGTCCCTGAAGGATATCTTCGAGTCTCTGGTGGGTAGCCAGTCCCGGATTGGAGTGATCCGGCCACATCAATTCTTGGATGTGTTGCGGCGGGAGCATGAGATGTTTCGCACGGCCATGCATCAGGATGCCCATGAGTTTTTGAATCTCCTGCTGAATGAGGTGGTGTCAAATGTCGAAGCGGAAGCTACGAAACAATCATTCACGGAAAAGACCCTTCCTTCGCCCCCTCTGATAGCGCAGAATCATTGGGAATGATGACTAACAGCACAGGCTCAAAGTCTCCAAACACCACCAGATGGGTGCATGAACTGTTTGAAGGAATTTTGACTTCGGAGACCAAGTGCTTGACTTGCGAAAAGGTCTCCCAGCGCGATGAGGTGTTCCTGGATCTTTCGGTCGACCTGGAGCAGCATTCATCCGTAACCGCTTGTCTTCGAAAATTCTCGGCGGAGGAGATGCTTTGCGAGCGGAACAAATTCCACTGTGACAACTGCGGTGGCCTCCAAGAGGCTGAGAAGCGTATGAAGATCAAGCGCCTCCCCAGAGTGTTGGCCTTACACCTCAAGCGCTTCAAGTACACGGAGGACTTGCAACGACTACAGAAGCTCTTCCACCGGGTCGTCTACCCATACCATCTCCGCCTGTTCAACACGACTGACGACGCCGAGGACCCGGATCGGCTTTACGAGTTGTACGCCGTTGTCGTTCATATCGGAGGTGGGCCTTATCATGGCCATTACGTTGCGATTATTAAAACTGAGGATCGTGGCTGGTTACTGTTTGATGACGAGCTGGTAGAACCAGTCGACAAAAACTACGTCCGGAACTTCTTCGGTGATCGACCCGGTTTGGCCTGTGCGTACGTTTTGTTCTACCAGGAGACCACGCTCGAGGCTGTGATGCGAGAGCAAGCTCAGGAGGACGCGGCAAATAGCGCGGCCGCAGCCGAGGCCAGCGACCTTGGGAAGACTAACGGATACTCGACATCGCCAAACAATTTGGTCCAAGTGCACAGCGCCAGTTTCGTTCCTTCGGAGGAACAGCATCGGTTTACTCCCATCAGCAAAATGACCACCGCCCCTCAGCTGGAGCCTCATTACGAACAGCCCGAGTCCGATTCGTCCTCGCAACAACAGCCCGTTCAACCCGCACAGCCTCAACCTCCATTGCCATCAATCCCTGATGAGCAGCCCCCGGTTCTGAGCGCGAAGAAGAGTGACGTGCAGTCAAAGAAGGAGAAGGCTCGTGAGGAGAAGGAGCGTCGCGCAGCGGAGAAAGACCGGGAGAAGAACGAAAAGGCTCGCCGCAGAGAGCTCGAGCTGCAGCACCAAATGGAGGCCAGACGTGAAGCCGAGGAACTCCGAAGGGCGATCGAGGCCAGCAAGGCGGATGCTGATCTCGGCCCCGAGAATGGGTCACCTAGAAAATCCTCCAGCTTCAGTTTCCTTCGCCGCAGCAGTCGCAGCCTGAGCCATCGCCTCGGCAAGGACAAAGAGCCCCGAGTGTCAACTTCGGATCTGGTGCCCACACTGGTTCCCGAGGCCCCGGTCCAGGAAGCAGCAGATCTTGAACAGTTCGGGGTATCGCCAAAGGATACGTCTCCTCTTTCCAATCCCAAGTTGGCCTCGCGAGTTCCTGTGCCTCCACCGGCACCCAAGGACACCAAGGAATTCAAGAACGAAAAGACTGGCCACACTCACCGATGGAGGTCTCTCAGCTTCAAGAAGACAGCATGAAAGCCCGGTCATGGTATTTTCAGGGAGCATTTCGTTTTTCTTGCATCTGCAGTTGCGTTTCACGGAGATACCCCCTCACCCTTTCTAACACAATCAACCCCATCATCATCATGCACATATAAGCGCGATTTGCTTCTTGCACATAGCTTTCCGTGGATGTATCAACACTATTTATGTCATTGTGCCATTTCTTGTCCTTCCATCTCATTCTCTTGTTGGACGGCATGCTCGACACGTCTCTCAGAGCTGTCTTCCGCGTCTGGCCTCTCCTAGGCCTTTCCTACAGATATGTCTTTCTAGACTACCTTACTCTCCGTTTATGGCTTGTCCTTCCTCTCTTGCTGCTGCTGCTGCTGCGTTGCTAGTCTCTGTAACATGTACGGCGGCATAATACCTGTGCCGGCGGGGTCCGTCTCTCCCCATGCTGGCGTGAAAAGGGAGGCGTTTTCCATTTATGCCATGACTTTTGGGATTGCAAATGCTGGTCAGCATTGGATTTGGTCTTTGTTGATTCTTGACTGGCGTTTTCTCCTTTCCCCCTCTTGTGTTCTTGTCTTTTCCTTTCCGATCAGCGAGCGAGTCCTTTTAGTCTTATTTGCATGCTTGTATCTACTTATGCTGTGCTTTTCCTCAGTCGCCATTTTCCTGCAAATGTGGTCAAATAGCTTATGAATTTTTTGATGATATGATCTCCACCTTGCTTTAGTCACTGAGACTCTATTGTATCATTCAGTTGAAATGCAGGTGTTCTATGTTTTTGAATAAGTAGTTCTTTTTGTTTTTGTGTTGATTGATTCATGGGTATATACAAGTCGATGGCTGAAAAGGCGAATCAAAAAGACAACCAAACCAAGGAGCCTTCGCAGTTCAGTTCGCATAGAAAAAAGAAACGAGGAACAGAGCCATCCTTGGGAATATCGATCTGTTAATTCCACTAGAAACACCACAGCCCACCATTTATTCCTCCAATTTTCCCTTTAAGAATCTTGTTCACTCGTATACATCGTGCTGCGTTGATTTTGTGGCAGAGAAGAAAAAAAGAGTGCCAGGCTATGTAGCCCGACTCCGCTGGAACGAAACAGGGTAGGTGCCGCGATACTGGGGAATGGGGAGAGGTAGGATCATGCGTGGGGTTCTGCTCCTGTCTTTCGTGTATGACGGTACTGCATAGAAGCTAGGTGGAACAGGATATCAACCGAGGATGAGCTCATAGGCGATAATAATCATATTGATGACGATGAGTGGTACTGTGGTGAACAATGCGCGTTAGCTGGGATGTGGCCCTGACCATTTTTGCTGGCTGCCTGTTTTTCCCTCGAGCGTGGGAGTAGCAATGCACACGGTCCCGCGTCGAGGGTGGATTTCAGGACTCGGATTGTAAACTAGAAAATGATTGGAATGGCCACATACTCCGCATCACTGTCCGTACACTGGCGATCAAGTTGACCGATTTCGCCTTCACGCTGGTGCTGTCGTAGGTTGCGCCGAAGCCGGGCTCAGCTTGTGTGCGGCCCCATCCAACTGTTCAGTTCGAGATTTGTTAGCTATATAGCTCAAGTATAGTGTTCACGATGGTGTGTGTGGTCGGCGCGGTGTTAAGGGAGGGAGGAACGCACTGCGAGCGAGGAAGCGGTCCTCGGAGAGGACGGCGATGGCGTTGATGATGAGGACAATAACTGGGGAGGGATGTTAGTTTGAGAACACCAGGCATAGCTAGATTGATAATCTGACTCACCGTAGACTAGCTTCCCAAGGCCGAAGAGCAGCATCTTGTTGCGCGTTGGGGATGCGGTGGGTTAGTGTCGGAGAGGGAGTGACGGAGTTGATAAGGTGAGCTTGAGGTGCGGCGGAAGCGCCAGATCTCCGGATTAAACATTGAACATCCACCCAACATTGAACAACCCTCACACTCGACCTCGCCAATGCCGCCACCATGAGACATGGTCAGTTAGTACCAGACTTTCTAGATGTTAAAGTGATTGATAGCTAACATGTTACAGCATGGATTGGACTCGTGTTCCTGCTGGCGGGTTTAATCCTGCTGCACCTCTTTGTCGCACCGTATACCAAGGTCGAGGAGTCGTTCCATGTCCAAGCTACACATGACATCCTCACACACGGATTCCCGTTCGGCGACGACATTGACCGCAGTAATTATGACCATTTCGAGTTTCCCGGTGCCGTTCCTAGGACTGCGGTCGGAGCGACTATTCTCGCCGGCTTGTCGCAGCCAGTAACCGCTGTATGGGCGGGAGTCAACCGGCAAATTCTGGGTAAGAAGCTATTTCTGCTGCTATACTTGAATTATCATGTCTGATGAATCTAACTGATACCTGACATGTCTAGCTCGCGCTATCCTCGGCTTGTATAATGCCGCTGCTTTGGGTATTTTCGCCCAAGGCTTGCGGAATAGCTTTGGCCAGACTGTAGCTGTGTGGTACCTCCTGTTCCAGGGGAGTCAATTCCACCTGATCTACTATGCCTCGAGACCACTATCGAATATGTTTGCCTTTGGGCTGACTACCATCGCCATGCGATATCTCTTGCCGGACTGGTCGTCTAAACCAGGAGTTCGTGATGGCTCCCTGAGGATGAAGTTGGCCTTGTGCCTTCTTACGATGGCAGGCGTAATTTTCCGTGCCGAATTGGCAATTTTAGTCGCCTTTACAGCACTGTTTCTCCTTGCCACTCGCGGGATGCGCATCCTCTCGGATATTATTGTGGCTGGCGCTGTGGGACTTTCAAATGGGTTCATTCTCACGGTCTGCATTGACAGGATGTTCTGGAAGGAACCTGTGTGGCCGGAATTGAACGCATTCCTGTTCAACGTTATCGAGGGGCAATCTTCAGCATGGGGTACGGAGCCATTTTACTTCTACTTTGTGAATGCGCTGCCTAGACTCCTGTTGAACCCGCTAGTCTACCTAATCGCCATTCCTGTTGCGCTAGGCCATCCTGCTCTCCGTCGGCCGATCCTTCCGCTACTTGCGCCGTCGATGTGCTTTGTGGCACTGTACAGCGTCCAGCCTCACAAGGAGTGGCGCTTCATCATCTACGTCGTTCCAGTTCTCACTGCTACGGCTGCTCTGGGAGCGGGATATCTGTGGAACCGCCGAGACAAATCGGTCTTTGCACGTATCGCATCTCACCTGCTAATACTATCCACCGCTGCATCCTTCCTTTTGTCCAACCTCGTGCTTCTGCCCGCGTCGGCGGCCAATTACCCTGGTGCCAGCGCGTTAAACGCACTTCACAAGCATCATTTCCAGCAATCATTGACAAGTGGCGGAGCTTCGGTCTACCTTGGAAACCTTGCCTGCCAAACAGGAGTCACACGCTTCCTTCAGCAACCCTCAGAGCAGGGCTGGCGGTACGACAAGACGGAAGATGAGGACATGAAGTCCACCAGGGAATTCTGGGACAAGTTCGACTACGTCGTCGTTGAAGCTTCTACAGATGCAGAAGCCAAGGATGCCGATGAAACCCAGTTGCACCATGCACTGCCCTTGTCAAACTGGGAGACAGCTACAGTCATTGATGGCTTTTCTGGTATTTCTATCTTGAGGCCAGGTACTCCTGCAACTGGTCTCGTCGAGCGACGGATACTGTCAAAGGTGGCGGGCGAATCTCTATATAATGCGTACGCCGGGGTTAGAGATTCCGCTAGGAAGCTTGTCCTGCGTGGGTGGTGGGTGGAACTGAAGATGAGCCCGAGAGTCAAGGTCCTTAAGCGCATACGAGACAACTAGTCACGGCTTTCCGGCTACTAATATACCACCGCGTATCAAAGGTGTTCTTGTTCTGCGGAAACTGATTACCTGGCTGTCTATCATTCCATTCCCAGTCATATGTGTAATGCGAATATAACCGAAGTACCTGGAAACAATTCGTTGACAGCCCGCATCGCAAAGAATCACCTTATTCTCGGTGATTTCAACTGCCAGGGCCGAAAAATTAGATCGAATCCCCGAGACCAGGGCCACCAGTCCCGAAGTTCTGTGGAAAAGAGCTCATCGAACTCCCATCTCATACAAAACTATGCTGTGTTTCTCCTGCGCAGTCTTGGCTTGGAAACAGTCAAGGTTGGTATATCGTTCTAGCTTGAGATTATGCAGTATCCCAACATCCTTCTGAGATGTGGAGGTACTTGTGTGCTTCAAGGGGGACCTGAGAAGTAGGACCTATTGGCGAGGGGTAGGCTAGCTAGTACCTACATGCTCCTGCATCAACGACAAAACTCTAGAAATGGAGGCGAACCTCCTTGATATTATGTCCAAGAAATCCATTGTACACTCATTCAGTGGTGAATAGACTATGCAGCCACGAATTTTGACAAGAATTATCAACAGAAGGCTATCTTGACCCCACCCAAGGCACCAGGCGCTTAGAGCTGAACAAAACAAATGCAACAGGGTATTATGCATCATGATAGATCTGCATCCTTACCAGGAGCAGACCAAAGTAAAACCAGACTTCAATCATCTACAGACCACCAGGAGGGCCTTCCAGACGGGCCATACGAGACTCCAGATCTCGCACCCAGGGTTCAACAGTCTCGACGTTTGAGCGCAGAGATGCCTCGCCTTGTTTCATCTTCTCTTCAACGGCCGTGAGACCCTCGCGCCATTGCCCAATCTCAGTGGCCATCTCTGCATGCCGTTTCTCAAGCTCGTTGAGAGATTCGGCAGCGTGAGCGGCACCGGCATGACAAGCACGTAGGGAGCGAAGACGTTCCAGCACACTCGGTAGTAAAGGATGCAGGGACTGAATGGTTGGGAGGGTGGCGTAGAGCGCTTGAATCTTGGCGATTTGTTCGTCGTCCACAGCACCAGAGCCTTCTGCTGCAGTCACAGCGTCTCCATCGGAGCCTGAAGCAATTCGCGCGGTCTGGGCAGCCTTGGCTGCGTCAGCTGCACGCTTGCGAGCAGAGGCAAGTGCCTCAGCATCGGTGGTTAACTTGCGGACTCGCGTGGACAAAGATTCCAATTGTGTAGTGGTCAATCCAGGGACTGCGCCTGGACCGCCAGAGGTGGGGTTTGCGCCAACGAGTAGACCGGTGAGTGCCGAGAGGCGGGAGGTCATTTGTTCCAGTGCAGGGAGCACGGGTTGCAAAGCCGGCTCACTGAGGCCATCGCCGACGAATGGGTTCGAAGAGCTCGAAATTCCCATCGACGCTTCGAGGAGAGCCAGGCGTCCTTCAAACGCAGCTGCATGAGAGAGCAGTCCCGCAGATGGAGGGGCAGCGGCGGTCTGGGATGGTACGGGTGTAACGGCCGCTGTTGCGGACTCGCTGGTTGGGTTAGGTTGCTTTTGGGCGTCTGCACTGGGTGTCGGAGCACTCTGGGACCCAGTGTCAAGCTTCTTTGCGAGCAACGTCGCGGCCGAATATGAAGCAGCCTGGCCGCCACGAGAGGAGGCATGCAAATTGTCCAATGCTCGACTCAGCTCCACGACACCGTCACCCAGTGTATTCTCTCCCGACCTGTCAGCTGCAGATGTAGCCTGATTCACGCCAGTCTCTAACCCGTCATTTGCCCCAGAGCTAGACCGGTTCTCCATTTCCACTTTCAAGTCCTCAACTTCGCGCCGCAGACGTGCCAGCTTTCGCTCGAGCGACTCGTCTTCGCTGTCACTCAAATCACCGACCTCCTCAGTTCCATCCTCACGTCTCCGCCGCCTCCGGTTGCTTTTATCTTTGCTACGATATGCTTGGCGCTTTGAAGAAATGCTGTCGGAGAAATTGGCGTCGCGCGCGTCGACCGCCGCACCCATGAAATGCAGACGCGCCTGGTCGGCATTGACGCCCTCGCGGTCAATGTCGGAGTTGAAACCGGCATCATCATGGTCGGAGTCTGTGCGAAGAGTTGCAGTCTGGATTATTAGATACAATTGTTAGTTTGGACCCATGCGATTCTCGTAGCAGGGAATGGGGGGACTCACGGGGACGGTGGAGGCTTCGTCGGTCAGGTCAGGGGTTTCGTAAATGTCCGGGGCTGGATCCTGAAAGACAGGGTCAGTAGTACTCGCATAGAATATCGTACTGGAGACTCACCAGGTCAGGTAGACCGGCGTACTTCTTGTTGAATGCCATGGCGATTGTGTGTGGGGGGGGAGTGAGTGGCCGTCAACAATGAATTCCACCTTTTGGGGAACTATACCCACTCCGAGGGTCGGTCTTGGCAACCTCAGGCAGTCAGGCATCGAGGCACCAAAAACCAGGCCCCACCAACGACATCATCGCCCTTTCCCAATTTGGCGCCGCTGAATCAGCGCGCACGTGTCAGCCTCGGGAGAAACACATGCGATGAAGGCAACCTTGAACCAGGGCAGGGTATATAATAGGGGAACTCGAGCGACTAGTGTCTACGTAGTCTCTGACATTCTCCCTCGTGGTCTCTCCTGATTCCAAGTGTGCTCTTTCCAATTCCAACTTTCAGTCTGCACAGTCGCGTTTGTTGCGATCAACTCGATAACATCTACACCGTCTTATCCCCCACCTCCCCGCATTCTTAGCTCTCCTACACCAAAATGGCTGCCCCCGCCGATACCACGATCAAGAACCTCAATGGATCATGGGTTATGGTATGTTAATGCGGAAACAATACCTGGAAGTGAAAGTGAACCCCCTTGAACTGACAATGACTCTGTGTAACAGGACTCAAGCCTGTCCGACCCTGCTGACCCCATCCTGGCTCTGGTATGAACTCCTTCCTTGCCCCTGCCCTTTCCAATCCCAGTGCCTAGGGCTCCACAAGCTCAGCTTCATACATGAACACTGCTAACACCCACCACAGCAAGGCATGAGCTGGTTCCTCCGCAAGGCCCTCCCCTATGCCACCGTCACCCTGCACGTGAACGAGTACCCCGACTCCGCCAACCCGCAAGTCTACCACATCGACATCGACCAGGTCATCACCGGCGGCATTACGGGTAGCAAGGAGGCGCGCCAGCTCGACTGGCAAGAGCGCGAACACGTCGACAACATCTTCGGCACTCTGCGCGGCAAGTCGCGCTTCTTCCGCGGCTCCAAGGCTGATGACGGCAAGGTCCGCCCCGCCGTCGACTTCCAGACCAAGGTCGGTGAGGCGGAGCAGGATGCCAAGGTGCAGCGGTTCCTGCGCGGTGAGGTCCTCCTCGATGGCTCTGCTGCGGAGGGATTTGTCGTTGACGATGAGGGTGCCGAGTTTGGCGAGGGTGAGGGTCTCTGGATGCAGAGCTTTGTGGTGAATGAGCAGAATGGCTGGACTGCTGAGCAGGTACGTTGATTCCTTTCCTCGGGGGGATGGGATTGCAATTACAGGTCCCTTGGTTTTTCCCCTGATTTCCGACTCTTCCGTCATTCCGTTTTCATGTGATGAGTTTACATGTGATATCGCGGGTGCTAATCCCCACTTTTTTGGTTTTTAGATCTGGGGCTTCGAGGTTATTGACGGCCAGCGCCGCCACACCCGCCGCGTTGCTGTGACCAAGGGTACTCAGGTCGAGCGGGCTCGTCTGGTGTACAACTTTGAGGGCCCAAAAGCGGCGTGAATGGTTTTGGCAATGAATTGAGATGATATGATTTTTGCATAGGGTCTGTGAGACCCATTTGTTGTTATACACTCTCGTATGAAGTAGACAACCCAATTGTTATGCAAGATGGTATTCAAGTACAATTCATCACAGTAGGGAGTAAGTATAGTTCGTATCATTAATCAAGTATTTAGTGTTTGATTACTCGAGCCTTCAAAACTATATGGTAAAACTTGACCCACTACATAGTGTCAGACCACGAAGATGCCGCGCTCACTTGTGATCCAATTTCCCACTCATAGATCTTCAATCTAATCAGGTTTATTTTGAGAGATTCCGTCTTCGATAAGTTTCTACTGAGCTAAAGATGAACAAAATAGGTGGAAGGTAATGGAAACCCATTATGAGGCGAAGTAACATTCATTGCTGGCAAGGCCAAAGCCCGTAGGCCAATATTTTGAAGAGCCCAAAAAATGCGTTAAGGATACATGATCATGAATAGTAAGAGAGGAAAACAAGTCCAAACAGAACAATTTATAATGTATCAACATTCCCTTACGAGTGGGTAGGCATCACAACACTAGCCTTAGTGCTGACCGCATCCTCGGCCTTCCACAAGCTAGTCACAGTCTTCTGCTGGGTATAGAACTGCAGACCAGGCTTGCCGTAGAAAGTGTTGGCACCGCCGCCGGCGATACTCTTCTTGTTACCGGTGAAGGAGAACATGGGCAGTGGCACGGGAATGGGCACGTTGATACCCAGCTGGCCGGCCTCGATGTCCTTCTGGAAGCGCGAGGCGGTGGAGCCGGAGCGGGTGAAGATGGCGGCGCCGTTGCCATACTCGTTGGCGTTGATCAGGTCGATGGCGTCGTCGAGGGTTTCGACGTTCAGACAGACGAGGACGGGTCCAAAGATCTCCTCCTTGTAGCACTTCATGTCGGGGGTAACGTTGGTGATAATAGTGGGGCCGATCTATTTCAGGGAAGTGTTAGTGTCAAGGCTTGCGATCAATAGGCAAGGGCCAAGGTGGGGGTGTTCTTACAAAGTTGCCGTTGGGGTACTTCGCAGGCTTGTAGTTGCGGCCGTCAAGGAGGATTGTGGCACCCTCAGCCTCAGCACTGGCAATAAGATCCTCAATACGCTTCTTGCTCTCGGGGCTGATGACGGGGCCGAGATCGGCACCCTCCTCGAAGCCACCGTCCACCTTGAGAGCCTTAGCACGCTCGGCAATCTCGGGGAGCCACTCCTTAGTCTCGCCAACCATGACAGTAGTGCTCAGAGCCATGCAGCGCTGACCGGCAGCACCAAAGGCAGCACCAACAATAGCGTTAAGAGTGTGGTTCTTGTTGCAGTCGGGCAGGACGGCAGCGTGGTTCTTAGCACCCAGGTTGGCCTGGACACGCTTGCCGTTGGCAGAGCCGCGGGTAAAGATGTACTCGCCAGCACGGTTGCTACCAACGAAGCTGATAGCCTTGATGGCGGGCTCGTCAAGGATAAAGTCGACAGTGCGGGCAGCACCGTGAACGATGTTGATAACACCGGGAGGGAAACCGGCCTCCCGGGCCAGCTCGGCCAGGATCATAGCAGCACCGGGATCACGCTCGGAGGGCTTCATGACCAAGCAGTTACCAGTAACGGTGGCGATAGGAATGCACCAAAGGGGAATCATAGCGGGGAAGTCTTATCACCGGTCAGTGGGTCTGATAGGAAAGATAACAAGGCTCAGAGTACTTACTGAAGGGGCAGATAGCAGCCACAACACCCAGAGGCTCACGATAGCTACGGGTCTCCATATCCTTGGCCACCTCGAGCACCTCACCGGTCATCTGAGTAGTGATACCACAGGCGGTCTCAGCAACCTGCAGACCGCGGAGAACATCGCCCTTGGCATCGGCAAAGGTCTTGCCCTGCTCCAGAGTAATGGAAGCAGCCAGACGGTCCCAGTTCTCACGGATCAGGTTGGTGAACTTGAAGAGAATCTGCTGCTTTGCCATGATGCTGGTTGCCCGCCACGCGGGGAAGGCCTTCTCGGCCGACTGGACGGCGGCCTTGAGCTCTTCATCGGTACTCTGGGGCACACGGGTCACGAGGTTGTTAGTGGCCGGATCATGGAGGTCAATCCAAGTGGAAGCCTTGGAAGGGACAAACTCGTTGTCAATGAAGTTGGCGGTGTCGATGGGGTTGGGAATGGGCTGGTGGTCCGTCGGGTACTCGGTAGCGGTGCTAGCAGCCGAGGTGGTTGCGGGGGTAAGCTGCTTTGCAGTGGCGTGCAATCGGCGCGCAGCAGACATGGCTCCAGGAGTAGAGACGGATTGTTGAGCAGACAGACGGGCAATTGGTGTTGTGGCGGTAGTCAGGGACCGGGCACTGAAGGCAGGACTGGCGATGAGAGGCGTGCGGGGAGCGGAGCGGAGAGCGGGGATGGTTCGGGCCAAAGACCGACGGGCGGCCATGATGAAAGGAAGAGGCAAGGAAAAGAGGAGGGAAGGGGGGTTTTGTAAAGAAAAGGAGGTGAAGAAAGACGCAGGCCAAGGATGCAGTGTTACGTGGCGAGAGGAAGTATATAAAAGGAAGGGCGGGCTTATCCAACGGAAAGGCGGATCCATCGCTGGTTACCCCAGGCCCGAGGTCAACCGCCGGTCTGGCCTACCGCCTTTTGCATCGGCTACTTCCCCGTACAAACGGAGGCTGCCCGGGGGAGCTGATAAGCTGACCTCGGCGATTGGGACCAATCACCGTCTCGAGTGATAAGCCTGTATCGCCGAGGCTGCCCGCCCGTCGCACCAAATCGTCCAAGTCCAGTCTCCTTTGGAGCTCCTTCAGGCAGGGCCTTCCGCGGAATAGAACCCCTCAATGGTTCCAAAATGCAATCCACTGGCCCCATAGAAACAGTTTAGGAAACGTGGTGACTATAGATCTCAAACTATAACCAATCTAGGTCAATGGACGCACATAGTGGAGTAGTCAGCTGTTGGACCCGCCGTCCCACTGCTGGTCGAGGATTGATAATAAGGTCACCGTCGCAAGGAAAAGAGAAGCAAAGAATTGTATACCGAGTTCTGGATTTTGGAGTGGATCTCACACTACCTAAAGGTACTAGTACTACATATGCCAATAGCACACACTTGGATAATTGGGGGGAATAAGGAAAAACAACACGCGGAGGGAAAAAAAAGAAGATAAAACGACAATGCGGGCTCGATTGTTTGAGTTTATGGGGTAATGCTTCCTTTTGGTCTTTTCGCCATTTACTCCGCAGAGGAGCGGGTGGCGCGCTTGGTAGCACCGCCCTTGCCAGTGTCGGCAGAGGAACTGGTGGCCTCGCCAGCCTTCTCCTTGGAGCCAGCGGCGGGAGCCTTGCCCTTCTTCTGGGCAGGAGCCGGAGTGCTGGAGCCAATGGCGCCGACGATGATCAGGATGGAGGTGAGCAGAAGAGCAACCAGACCGCCAGCAACCTCGGGAACGGTCTTGACAGCGTTGATAGGGTCCTCCTTGGCCAGGCCAACAAAGTAATCAACCTTCTGGCGAACGAAAGTGACGGGGTCCTCCTGGAAGGTGACGGTGGTACCAGCGGCGGGAGGAGTCTCGGGCTTGGGCTTGCTGGCCTCCTCCTCAGCCTCCTCAATGGGGAACTTGACATCGAAGGTTTCCTGGCGGAGCTTCTCAGCCTCCTCGACGGAGTGACCGATATAGATGTTGTCGAACAGGATGTCGTTCTGCATGGTCCAGATCTCGAAACCAATCTATGGAAATCAATTAGTATTCGGGGGTGCTATCACAACGAACAGATAGACAGGGGGAAACTTACGGCGCCCATGGGCTCCAGGTTGGAGGGAGTCTTGTCCTCAAAGTAGGCGGGGTTGGCAATCTTGCGAGGGGCCCAGGGACCCTTGTAGGCAGGGTTGTCAATCAAGGGAGCGGACCACTTGCCCTTGTACTCAGGGTTCTTGATCATGGGGCGAGTCCACTCGCCGCAGCCAGAGACCTCGGCGCACTTGGGGTTGGGAACGGTGGGAGCGAGCCAGTCACCATCCTCCTCATCATCCCAGTCTTCGGGCTTCGCGGCCTCGGGGTCAGGAACGCTAGTAGGCTCGTCATCCAGCCAGTCGGCAGGCTTCTCAGCCTCCTCGTCGGTGATCTCGAAGGGAGCCTCCTCATCCCAGTCATCAGGCTTGGTGGCCTCGGGGTCGGGAATCTGGACCTCGTCAACCCAGTCGGTGGGCTTCTTGTCCTTGGGGTCGTCAATCTCCTTCTCAGGGTTGACGGAGGGAGTGAAGTCCTCCAGGAGGCTGCCAGACTTGACAGACTCGCCATTGATGAGGATCTCAAAGGTCTGGTCAGGCTTGATGACCAGAGTGTAGAGGGAAGTGACCTTGGAGGTACGGGCGACGGGGGGAGACTTGAGGTGCTTCTCCTCGTACTCGCCGGTCTTGGGGTTCTTGTGACGGAAGATGAAGTGGACCTAGAATGGGAAGGGGTGGGTCAGTACTTGGAGTTCTGTATATTCACAGCGTTGGGAGTTCGGCACATACCTTGTTGGTGGCACCGCACTTGTCGGGACCGAACATGATCACGTAGGGAGTGGCGTTGGAGAACTCCTCCTGGTGGAGCTTCTTGTTCTCCTGGAGGAGCTTGAGGTAGGCACCACCGCACACCAGGGAGTTCTGAGGCTTGACCTCATACTGGACTACCAGGGTCTTGCCCTTGTTGTCAATCTTCTTGGGGAACTTGGCCGAGATGGCGTGGTGCGCAGCCGCGTTCTTCACGACGAGACCCTTGTCACCCTCCATTCCCTTGAAGACGGAGGGCTCCTCAACAGCCCACTCGCCAACGAAGGCCCAGTCCTCATCGGACTTGGGGTCGTCCTTCTTCGCGTGCGAGAGCTTCCACCGGGACTGCCAGTCGTCCGTGAACTGCTCCAGGAAGGGAGCCTTGAGAGTAGTAGGCTAGACAATGGGAGTTAGAAGGATGAGAGGAGATTCAATTGCACAGTGGGTCTCCAACGTACAGTGAAGGTGGGCTTCTCAATGGCAGTGGCGGCATCAGGCACAGCTTCAGCTTCCTCGGCATGAGCGTAGCCCATGAGAGTGGCCGAGGTAGCCAGAGCCGTGACGGCGGTATTGAAGCGCATGATGGAAGGACAAAGGTCGAAAAGAAGGGAAGCGCACAGCACCTGGGGGGAGGACCAAGGAGGAGTGTGGGGGAGACAAAGACAGGCTTCGGGAAGAGGACAGAGGACAGAAGTGGAGGTTATATACAGCAACGCGGACTGGCGAAGGTCCAGGTGGCCTCTTCATGGCAGCTCCCCAATCGGGACTAGCGTGACAGTGAGGTACCGCCAGTCCGCCACCCCTTCGATCTCCTTCGATGCGAGGGCTTACTTATTACTGGATGAAGAAAACTATACTACGAGAATAATGGAAATCAATTAGCCGATTTAATGCAAATCCCGGATCAATTGCCTAGTGGGTGTAGACTCTAAACAGAGTAATCATTCTACCCACCAAAAAGAGGCCACAATGTTTTCCCTCAATTCCATCCAGTCGGCTCTGTAGTTGGTGCTTTGATGAGGTGGGCTCCGAACGGCGCGGAGCTGCAGATTCCACCCCGCCCGGGATGATTTATTGGATTAAATTGGATTACGCCCGTTACACCAGTGCTGCTCCATATCCCCGACAACCACTTAGCTAACGCTGTTGGTGTCTCATAGTAAGTGGAAATTGGTCGCCAGATCTGGACAGACCCAATGATTTTACCTTGTCCTCCCCTCTACGTCAAGCGCTGACCAAACTCTCTCCCTCAGCCCACCATGTCCTCCACTGAAGACAAGGCCGTCGCGGCCACCACCACCAACAACGACCATCTCGTACGGTCGGATGACCCCGAGCACCCCGCGAACCTCATTCCGGAGCTGTGCCGCAAATTCTACAACTGGGGATGGGTCACTGGCACCGGCGGAGGTGTAAGTCTTTCCTTCGCGCGGGGGCGGGGCAGCGCAAAGTACCACACCCGCTGACAAGAAGCAGACCTCCATTCGCCATGGCGATCACATCTTCATTGCTCCTTCTGGCGTCCAGAAGGAGCTCATGAAGTCTGAGAACATCTTCGTCCTTCAATGGCCCACCAAGAAGTACCCTGCCGAAGAGCGCAACTATATTCGCCGCCCCCTTAAGCTGAACCCCTCTGCCTGCACCCCCTTATTCCTCACAGCCTTCGAGAACGGTGCTGGCTGCTGTATCCACACCCACTCCCAATGGGCTGTCCTGGTGACCCTGTTGGTGGAGCGTGAGAAGGGTCCCGATGCCTGCTTTGAGATCAGCACCATCGAGCAGATCAAGGGGATTCCCCGTGGCAAGGGGAAGGGCATGTTGGGATACTACGACACTCTCAGCATCCCGATTATTGAGAACACTGCCTTCGAGGAGGACCTGACCAGCGGTCTGGAGGCGGCCATGAAGAAGTACCCGGACACCTATGCGGTGCTGGTCCGGAGGCACGGAATGTAAGAGTGATCCCGCAATTGGACCGTCGGTTTTTATGATGATTTGAATCCGCTGACTGTGATTCTTATAGCTATGTCTGGGGTGACAACGTTGCCAAGGCGAAGACTCAGTGCGAGAGTCTGGACTATTTGTTCCAATTGGCCGTCGAGATGCACAAGCTGGGCCTTCCTTGGGTCAAATAGACGGCAGATCTAGCGCTTGAATATGCGAGGGAATGGTGCAGGACTGCTATCGATTTCACAATCCCTGTAGATCGGTCGGTTGTGAGGAGTATAGTGGGGTTCTAGAAGTTTGAAACCCCGACAACCCTTTAAAATCATCTTAGCCACCACGAGCTGACGATAACCCAAGAGATGATGCCTTAGTAAGTGGGAAAGACGATTCAAAATATATTTAGAAAGACCTGCAGAAAGTCCTTTCCGAAGAGAGGAAGGTGCGGCCTTTCCTACGGACTGCCACTGTATTCCAAGATTCCAGGTCAGATGTGTGACGTATATATAGTCTTCGAAGCCATTTAGTCCTGTTAGGAGAACGTATTCCGGATCATGAAATATGAGCATCATGGGATACATATAGAATCATTGCAAGGCACAGCAGAACTAAAATACTCAAGAGTTCAATGCGATGAGTGATAAAAGCATAAGACTGTCAGCCGCCTCGGACCTTGGGGGTTTGCTGGAGATCCCGTGAGTGACTAAGAGGCGCGGATCATCCTCCACTCCACCTCAACTGCCAGCTTCCAGCTTCCAACCTCCCCAGTCCCCCAGGCCTTGGAGCTTCTGTTGAACCAGCCTTGGGCGCATGATATTTGACTCAATCGCTTGATACCTCTTTCACTCCCTTCACTGTACTTGCTAGGGAACAATGGACCTTGACACTGGAGATTCCCCGTGGGGCGGTAGGCAGTCATGATACTACAGCTCTTTGAATTGCGATCTAATTAGGCTACAGATGAGCCGTCGCGGTCGGTGACTAGCCATGCCGCAGCGAAGCAGGATACCCACGATAATGGTGTGTTCGGCCCTTCAAATCCCTCCATAAACGTTTACCCCTCACTAACCATGGCGTTGTCTCTCCTTGCAGCTCCCGGCCAGGCCACGCCATCAGCTGGAAGCCCCGAAGTCCGGACACCCGGAAGACGAGTGCCACGAGGAACGCGAAAGATCAGCGCGCAAGCGACACGATTGGAAGCCGTCGACAACACCGTTGACCCTCTGGGCCCGCTCGGGGAATCGACCCCCGATATAACCGCAACTCCTACTGAGGAAGCCCCAGCCCCTCCGCAGAAAGAAGCGCTTGCCGCTAGAAGCCCGCAACCGCCCTCGACTTTCGCCCAGATACCAGGCGCTACTGGCCTTGCCGACTCGGTACAACTTGAAGAAGATGGCGCCGGTTTCCGTGGCCCTCCGCCTGTACAGCCTCCCGCCGATGTCGACGGACCTAAGCGGCAGACGCAGCCAAGCATGAGCATTGAGCAAGCTGCGAAGCCCACATTTGATATTAGCGTTGGAGACCCACACAAAGTCGGAGATCTGACGAGCAGTCACATTGTCTATCAAGTTCGGACCAAGGTATTAATGTCTCCCGGCGTGTAGGATGATGATTTTTGAAGAGTTAAAGCTGATCACAGATGAAATACTAGACGACATCCAAGGCATACCGTCAGCCTGAGTTCGCGGTTAGCCGTCGGTATCGTGACTTCTTATGGCTATACAACTCCCTTCACAACAACAACCCCGGTGTGGTCGTTGCTCCTCCGCCCGAGAAGCAAGCCGTGGGGCGGTTCGATACAAATTTCGTCGAGTCGCGACGAGCAGCGCTCGAACGCATGCTGAACAAGATTGCTGCCCACCCGATTCTCCAGCATGACGGCGACTTGAAGATCTTTCTTGAAAGTGAAGCCTTTAACGTGGACATTAAGAATAAGGAGAACCGGGAGCCTGATCTTGGACAGAGCAAGGGCATGTTTAGTGGCTTCGGTATCTCGGTTGGTGGAGGCGGCAAGTTTGTTGAGCATGACGACGTAAGTAACCTCCATTGACACTACTGGGCAAGTTTACTCATATTCTGACTCTACACAGTGGTTCCATGACCGAAAGATCTACTTGGACGCGCTTGAGAATCAGCTCAAGGCACTCTTGAAATCCGTGGACACGGTGGTCGCGCAACGCAAAGGACTCTCTGAGGCTGCAGGCGATTTCTCAAGCTCGCTTCACGCCCTGGCTGCCGTTGAGCTTTCCCCCGCGTTGGCATCTCCCTTGGACGGTCTATCCGAGCTTCAATTCCGAATTAAAGAACTCTACGAACGTCAAGCTCAGCAGGATGTGTTGACTTTGGGAATTACAATTGATGAATACATTCGTCTGATTGGTAGCGTCAAGACCGCTTTCTCCCAACGACAAAAGGCCTTCCACAGCTGGCACGCTGCAGAGTCGGATCTGCAGAAGCGCAAAAACACCCAGGAAAAGCTCCTTCGTCAGGGCAAGTCTCAGCAAGATCGATTGAACCAGGCCAACGCCGATGTTGCCGATGCAGAGCGCAAGGTACACCAAACCAGACTTTTGTTCGAAGATATGGGTCGCTTGATGCGGAACGAGCTGCAAAGATTTGAGAAGGAGAAGGTGGAGGACTTCAAGTCCGGTGTGGAGACGTTCCTGGAGAGTGCCGTTGAGGCTCAAAAGGAGGTAAGAACGATTGCACGTTTCCAACGACGTGGATCTGCAACTGACCCCATTTCTATAGTTGATTGAGCTCTGGGAAACCTTCCTCATCCGTCTAGACGCTGGGGAGGACGGTCTACCATATTACGTGCCTGAGTCTGGGCCCGGTGAGACTGGCGAGGCACCCGTGCCCGAGTCAACGACATCCGCCGCTGAGCCTGCAGCAGCGCCTGAAGACCAAGACGAAGAATGATGATACTGTCTTCGCTCGCGGACGCCTTATACCAAATCAATCCTATGAGCTGGAATGTACATTATCCAGCCCGATCTGTATTCACTGAGGAATGACTTTCTTCGCCCTATCCTCTCTTCCTTTCCAAAGTACAACCCAACGATTGTTTTCAGCCAGCTCTTTCCCCTTATCTCTTCTTTGTCTTGTTGATTCCGAAAGTCCATTCAAATACCACTATTCACGTATTGTAACAGATACCACAATTGTGTTTCAGATGATAATTGAAAGATCCACTTTATCCAAATATCCAGGCAAGATACAGTATGGCCCGGGTGGAGATGCACTGAGGCTTCGGCAATACATTTCCTGGCCTTTTGAGCATTAATACTAACTCCTGACCATGTCTTTTACCAAGAGTCTTGGGCTAGTGAGCGAGAGCCCTAATTTCGTTAGGAATGCATTTGTACGTATCGTTCTAGTCGCCTCTTTATTATGTTTCTAGCCCTGGTCTGAATCCCAAGCATTACTATCTGCAAGGCCAATTCCTCTCAACTATCACCACCACGGAAATCTATGAGCCGAGCTCATACAACGATAAAAAAGGGCCCTGGAACTTCAATATGTCGAGCTACGAGGTGACGAAATAGAACATCCAAACGGTGGCTGGCTTTATTGGAGGTAAAATCAGTGACTAGGGTATTAACAGGGTACAATTCCCGGGTATCAACGTGCTTTCTAAAGCCCGCGGTCTGACAAGATTTCAACTCTTTCCATGAACTGGGATAGACCTTTCCGAAAAAGTCACACTTGATCCCATAAGGCGCTGGTGGGAGGTCGAGGTCAACAAGCCACGGTGGTTGTATCGGACGATTACCGCGTCCCTTGATAGCTGCATTTATAAATAGAGTCTGCATACCCTGTTTCAGAGTCTTCTGAGGCTGCGTGTTCACCGAGCTATTGTTCGTCGCAGCAAGTTCCGGCCACGGTATTCTCCCTTAAAGTGTAGAAAGCTTTTCTATCACATGAGAATCCTGGTTATAGATATCCGTCAAGTGGGAAGGCTTCGGGCTCATCTTTGGTCGCCATGTGATAAACTTCCCACCCCAGCCTTCATGGATATGCCCAAAACAGTGCATCAGCGGTCGCGCTCGAGCAACAGCCTCAAATAGGAAGGGGCAACCGGCGTGTGCTTCGGAGTAACTGTTATCCAGAATGCCCTTTGGCGGACCGTGTGTCATCACGACGTCGACATTGCGGATGGAAAAGTCATGGCCCCGATCTGGGGTATACTGGAATCCTCCATCGCCCAATGATGGGGTATATGGACTGGCGTAGATCTTTAAAAGCGCCCCGTTTCTCAGGCGAAATGTGTGGGTGCCTTCATCCAGGAATGTGATGCCTTTTTCCTCGCTGAATAGTCGTCTTGCCTCTCCGTCTGAGCCGTAGGTTTCTTCAACAAGGCCAGAACCCAAGGGCGGGTTGGCCTCTTTCACTCTCTGACGAAAGGCTGGGATGTCCATAGTGAACTCATGATTGCCGGCTATTATGAGCTTGAGCGGGGCGTTCATGGCCTGAAGGGACTGAATGGTGTATTTGAACTCGTTTAGTTTGGATTTCCTGGTAAAGTCTCCGCAGTGAAGCACGACGTCTGCGTAGTTTCTCGAGAAGCCGTCCAATACGTGGTTCATTCTATGGGTATCAGAAAAGATCATGAATCGTGTTGGAATGTGCGGTTGATCGGGTATATCCGCCATTTCGTTGACCTCGTTTAGCTTGTTCATTATTGGTCTATAGATCGTGATAAATGAAGTAGCGTATGGGTGTTCAGGAAAGACCAAAGGTTCTCGTCTACAATGATTCGTGTCTTGAGGGAAGCGACCATTTACATCACAGTGATCGTCCGCCGTCAAGAAGGACTTCGACTTGACTTTAATTAGCATGGCCAGCAACAAACCACCCGTATCACCTCGAAACTTAAATGAAACACTCCCTCCACGGTTTCGGTGTAGTATCTCTATAGATTCTTGCCACGTTAGGACTATAGACGGCCCTCAAATCAGAGTCGTGCGAAAGTCAGAGAACATATCGGCTGTTTTACAATTAGTCAAAGGCACGCTAGCTGGCCAGAAACACTTACAAAGTCAAGTTCTCTCGGTCGGTCAGATCCATCTGGCTATTGTCCACGACTCGCGCTACTAAAGCCCCGTCTGCGTCGGTTGTCTCAATAATCCCATTTCCATTCACCTGGTCGGTTGCCTCGAGCTTATCTCGGCGTTTGTTCTCTCGACTCAAGTACACTCGAAGTGTTATGATGACAATCGATGGCAAAATTGCAGCAACCTTCAGAAAGTTTAGTGACGCTTCCTCTCGAAGCAGACGTTCAAACTCACCACAAGTAGAATAATCCAAGTAGGCCGATACCGAGGCTTGTCACTCGTCAGTTTCATAGCAGAAGCCGTCGGGCTGAGTTGGAAGCTTACCTTCCAGCGAGGTTGGAATAGCTGGGGCGAAATGATATTTCCCAACCCATAGCCAATATGGTATAGAGCAATCACGGTGGTTTTCTTCGTATGTCCTGCGGAGGCATTGGCGGCCCAAATCATTACCACCGCATAGGGTATCCCAGTCGTGGATCGTATCCAGACCCCGCTGATGAGACCCCATCGGTTTGACCAGGGTAGAGCTGAGAGAAGAGTTAGTTCGAGTTGGGCGTTTCTTGGCAAAAGAACAAACCTAGTAGAAGAATGCTCGACAATGCACCTGGGATATATGCAATGAGCGATATCCAGGCCCGGCAATTCTAGATCATCAGTTCAGCCTATTCTCAACACATTTAGTGGGATCTTACCTTGGTGTGATATAGTGCAATCGCAGCGGATGCCAAGGAAAAGAAAGATACAACCCCGGTCACAGTGCCCAGCAAGGTTGTCTGAAGCACAGTAAACCCGAAGGAATTGATGATCAGAGAATACTGATTGGTTATTCCATTGGCCATTTCTTGAGACCATGCATGAAGGAAGAACATCCACGTCTTCGGATCGCGGATAGCCTCAATGAATCTATACATTTCGATTAGTGTGAGCCTTTTTTGCTGATGCAAGAAGGGTGGCTATTACTGGTATCTCTTGAAAAGCTTTTGCTCGATGCCAGAATGATTTTCTTTGATTCGTAGAATGGCCTTTGCACGCTCTTCGTACGTCAAGAAATCAGCGTGGAGAGGACTGTCTGGGAATAGCCAGTAAACAAAGAAACCGAAGATAATGGTGAGAACGCCGGTGATAACTAGAAACTGTGAGCAGTCCGGTCTAAGATTTGCGTTGAGGAAATCACAAACCCATGAACCATTTCCAGGGCGAAAAGCTTCCAGTATTGATCCATAGAACACCATAAGACAATAGACCTGATGTGATAGGGCTTGCATTGCCAATGGACCACATAATAGGCATCATCACGGCCTGTTCGCCGTAGGTGAAGAACATTGACATGGAAAGCAGAAACGCTGGGACAATTGATGCCTCCGCTAGCCCTAGAAAGAAGCGCACAACGAACAGAGAGGCAAAGCTATTACACGGAATGTGTAAGAGAGTGATACCGCCCCTGTTGATATTGTTAGTCAGTACTCTAGTGGAAGGGTAGTTAAATGCAGATATACCAAACGATCAAATTTCCAGCCAACCATTTGCCCACTGGAAACCTCTGCAAAGCCCAATTCTGAGGCCATTCTGCCAGGAGATAACCAAAGTAGAATATCGATGAGAGCCAGTTGTACTGGTTTGAATTCAGATGTGCATCCTTCATAATACCAAGGATGGCAGAACTCCCTAACTAATGGACTATGAGTTTCCAGTCATCCTATTCAAGAGAGGGAGTCACATACTGTTTGCTTATCTACATACATCAGATGATATCCGATACAGAGGAAAGGTAAGATCCGCCATAGACACTTCTTTCTGATCTGATAGCCTTCTTCGGGTGTAGGGTCCGTGACTTGGATCTTGGAGAACAGCTTGAAACTCTCGTCTGCAAATTGATCAGGGACTTTGGGTGCATTAGTGAAATCGGTTACATCCTCATCACTCCTAGCTTGCGCAGTAGCTGCTATATTTGACTTTGTTGGATGAAGCGTCATGATTCTAGTCTCATGTATTGACTAGGGGAAGAAAAGTCTGTCGAAGGCCGATAATAAATAGATGAATATACCTATACTTATGACTACGAACTATCTCCGCTGTCGTCCAAGCGACAAATATTACGCAATTTCTCAAGATTCCATCGTCTTTGATGCGTGTCGGGACTTACCCGACGCAATGGGATAAGCCAAGATGCTAAAAGTCCACACTACTGTATAAGTGCGCACTTTTTTCTTCTCCTAGAATAAAGGACAAGAAAACGGCATACCACTTCCCGAGTATTAGATTCCGGCGAGTGTGTTAGGGCTGGGAGATGCGTCAGTCGATGTCAAAAGCACGCTTGAAGTCGCCATCGCGGGGTTTGGTTAACCTTAACCTGCATTACTGACGTGCTTCCTACCGAGGGTCGCGATAACGAGTTGGGCGCCTGATTTAGATACAAGGTGGCTAGCCATCAAATCAATTGAGACTCTTTTGCCCTTTCAACATCCTTTTACGACTGAATCCTGTGTTTAAACCTCTATCAAAATGGCCGACCAAGACAATACCCTTCGAGTGTTGATTGCCGGCGCTGGTATTGCAGGGCTAGCAACAGCAATCTCGTTACGGCGCATCTCTGGCCTGTCTAACGTGGACGTCCAGATTTATGAGCAGGCCCCGGAGCTTCTAGAAATTGGAGCCAGTATTGCCCTCAGTCCGAATGTATGACTCGTTTGAGCATTCTCGCTGTCCTAGTGTCCTTCTAATAAGTTGGCTGCTTGAACAGGGCATGCGAACCTTGGAGAAGCTCGGCGTGAATAGTGCTCTGACAGATGAGGTGGGATTTAGGGGACCCAGTGGTATTCCACAGATCTTCCGGTATGTCTATCAGTGGCGCATTCAGATACATGCTCACAGATGATTCTCCTAGTCACTGGAAGACAGATCAAGTCATCTCCGTTGATACACACACTGATGTTCCCGATCCCCGTCATCATACCACCCGCTTTCACCGCGGCCATTTACATGCTGCTCTCCTAGAGCATGTTCCACGAAATATTATCCACTTAAATAAAAGAGTTAAACGGGCAGAAGCTACTCATGACGGTGTATCTTTGCACTTCGAAGATGGGAGTAGTGCCCACGGTCATGTATTGATCGGAGCAGATGGGATTCGATCGGTTAGTTGTGACTGGTTAAGATCTGTTTGAAGATTGCTAATTCCAGTTAAAGCCCGTGAGACAATCTTTCATTCCGGACTATAAGCTTCGATTCAGCGGGAAGGTGTTTATGAGAGCAACATTCGATGCATCTCTAGTAGAGGGCAAGATCCCTGACCTTCCTCTTGACTCAATGCATTGGGTATGATATCCTGACATAAGTGTTTCGAAAGTATACTCACAGTCACGCAGTGGGGGCCGCGAGACAATTTTTTTGCCTCTCGACTTGGTACGTTGAGACCACGCATATATCCAGCACCCATATTAATCTTATAATCTGCAGGCAAGGGCCAATATACCACCGTGGGTGCCTATGATGATCCACGCACCGCAGAAGAGATTGAGCGGAGCATTTCTTGGAACTCAAAAGGCAATGTGGAATTTCTGCGAGAGAGATACAAGGTACGTCCTCTTTGAGACTTCCGCCAATCGAGGCACATGAACTAATGATTCTTAGAACTGGAACCCAACCGTCTGGGCCCTCACCCAGCATACTCCTTCGACCAATCTATATCCCAATTTTGCAGGAGATGCTCTTCCGACTTGGGTCTTTGGCTCTCGTGTTACTCTTATAGGTGACGCAGCACATGCCCATGGTGGTGCGTTCGCTGCCGGTGGCTCGTTGGCGCTGGACGACGCTCTTGCCCTTGGCCTTGCTTTTAAGCATGTGATCAACTCATCAACAGGACTGGAGTACTCACTTGAGAAGATCAGAAGGGCGTTAGCCCTGTATAGTAAGACGAGACAGCCGCACACGGCACGTCTATTGCGTATCGTGCATAACCAGATTGAACAGCGGACGTCAACAGCTACGTCGTTTGAAGAAGAGGATGCGGCACTTGTTGCTAGAATGAAGAAACGCCCTAACACGGAGTGGCTATCAGAGCACGACGTCGAGGCTGCGTTCAAGGCTGCACTTAACGAATCCGAGACTGAAGAGCATCTTGAGCAGACTTTGAGCTTGGGAGATGGGAGCAAGGCAGAAGCCCCTTTTGAGGAAACTCTCCAGCTCCGCCGGAGCAAGATTTGAAAAGGAAGCATGTATTTCTTTTGGCATAGATCAATAGAATGGAGATCTGACTTCGGGTGCAAGTCAATCTCCTACGATTGAGAACTCAATCAATCCTTGGGGTCTCTAGAAAGCAAAAGCCCTCATCAAAGCTAGTCCTTCCCATCTGAGTGAGACACAAGTATTTTCCAAGCACAATACCCAATGGCTCATATCAGTCGTGATACATTGTCCGCCAGTCTGTCCAATCATTCGCCTTCCAATCTTACCCAAGCTAGCATGACGCGATCCCCCTGCAGTACACGTTATTCGGCTTTCTTCCGAGGAAGATGCTGGTACATTCAAAATTCTCTCAAATGGATCCGAGCTCATGTCTGCTAGTATCTAAGCAGCGGGGACCGAGATTCGTGCTTTTGCATGGCAATGGCAGCATACTGCTGAGAGGGGTTTCCGAGAAAGGTATAAATCGATCCATTAGTGTTACAGCCATAGAATAGACACAGTACTGTATTCCCTCACTAGATATTGAAACTTCCATCAATCACACATAACACTGATTGCTCAATTCGAATTCATCAACATGACCGCCGACAACCCCACCCCAAAACGACGAATCTATCTCAACGGCTTTGACATGTTCACAGTCGGCCATCTGTCATTCGGTCAATGGAAGAACCCTACCGACCGATCGGCGACAAAGCGACGAGATCTTTCATACTGGACTGACCTAGCCAAGATTCTGGAGAAAGGAGATTTCAATGCCTTATTTCTCGCCGATACTTTCGGTCTCTATGACACTTACAAGGGAAGTGCAGAGCCGGCTATTCGTAACGCAGCTCAATATCCAATGGGAGATCCTGCAATTGTATGATGAGCAAGACCTACTCAAGAATTCGAGAGTTGTGAATGTTTGATTGCTAACGGTTGTCTCCAGCCAATCTCTGCCATGGCATCAGTGACCAAGAACCTTGGGTTTGCTATTACCACGTCTACATCCTATGAAGCTCCATATGTTGTCGCAAAGAGATTTTCAACTTTGGATCACCTTACGAACGGTCGATTTGGATGGAATATTGTAACTTCATGGAAAGCTTCTGCTTCGAAAGCTGTAAGTTCTGTATGGCTTTGACACACGACACTCTTATACTAAAGACTTCAGGTTGGATTGCCCCTCATTGATCACGACAGACGCTATGAGATTGCGGATGAGTACCTGACAGTGCTTTACAAGTAAGTTCACACCAAAACGTCTTGGGTTTCACAGTTGCTCATTCATTCCCTTGGGTAGACTCTGGGAAGGAAGTTGGGCAGATGACGCCCTCAAGGAAGATGCAAAGACAGGCATCTACACAGATCCCAGTCGAATCAAATACGTTCATCACCACGGGGATCACTTCTCAGTCGATGGTCCACACATTCTAGATCCATCCCCTCAACGCACTCCGTTCCTATTCCAAGCGGGTACTTCTCCAGCCGGCGTCGCATTCGGGGCAAAACACGCCGAGGGTGTGTTTGTATCAGCTCCATCTCCACACATTCTCGCTCCTCGAATCCAGGCAATTCGCGAGGAAGCAGCCAAGTCCGGGCGTGATCCAAGATCTGTCAAGGTCTTTGCCATTCTGACTCCAATCATTGGCCGAACAGAGGAGGAAGCTCAGGCAAAATACCGCGAGGCACTTGATAACGCCAGTGAAGAGGCTGGTCTCGCTTTCTTTTCCGGTGGAAGTGGCATTGATCTCAGCCGTTTTGATCTAGACACGCCTATCAAGCCATCTGACGTTCATGTTGACGCACGGGTTCATTCAACCATCAACACGCTCTCGTATCAGAGCCCAGATGTGCCTGAATGGACGCCACGAAACATTGGGAAGCACATCTCCATCGGTGGTGCTGGACCTGTTCCAGTTGGAACTGCGAGCACCGTTGCAGACTTTCTCGAAGAATGGGTTCGGGTTGCTGATCTAGATGGCTTCAATATCGGGTACGTGCAAACTCCGGGGACATTTGAAGATGTGGTGGAGCTTTTGGTGCCCGAATTACGTCGAAGGGGTATATATGCCCCCAAGGGAGAGAGCGGAACTATGCGCGAGAGGATATATGGACCTGGCCAAAAGCTGCTGAGGGACGACCATGTCGCAACACAGTACCGCTATGATGTTTATGATGGTAAATAGTCGAAGCAAGCCATCCATGCCCAGTGAAAAGAAAATATATGTGTATTGTACAAGATAAATGAGACAAAAATCAAAATCCCAACTCCCGGTTTAAGTACAACGAAGGAAGAAAGCCCCTTCGCTTGTGACAATTCAATCACCTCCAGGCTCATATGCAGGCATTTATTTCTTCTTCTTTCCAGAGAGCTGAGGCTCATCCTGGCCAAACGAGCTGATCAAATCCAGCAAGTTATCTTCCTCCTCCTGATCGGCCTTAGCCTGAGCCTGAGCAGCCTCTTGCTCAGCCTTCTGAGTCGCAGCGTCCTTCTTTGCATCTCCGCTAGGCGCAGCTTCGGCGACTGGGGCGTTAGCATCCCAGCTTCGACCGAAGCGCGCACGGAAAGCAGCCAGGCGTCCAGCCTCGTCCTCCTCGACGTTCATCAGCTTGCTGCTGGATGGGTTCCAGAGGAGCGAGTTGCGAGTGTCGCGCGTGGAACGGTAGACGGGGGCGGGCGAGGTGGTGCGGTGGACGAAGGCGCTACCATCGGAGAGGGTGACGAGCTGGGTGAAAGTGTAGGGCCGCTTAGGACGGCGGAGGAGTGTGGCGTGACGGCATTGCGAGCAGACGAAGGTTGTGGTCTTGATTTGAGAGGATGGCAGCCGGGTAGGGAGGATGGTTGATGTTGAGCTGGATATCGTGGCCGCGGAGCGACGCAGAGACGTGTGCATTGACATTGTGCACAGGGAAGCGCGGACCGCAATGAATGTATCTGAGAGATGGGAGAGACTACAGCCCTTGGATGAATGTCAGGCGGGCTGGAGTGGGGAGGTTGCGGAGAGCAGAACTGAGTTGATGCTATCCAACTCTTCTGGCGCAGAGAAACTTTTGGGAATTATCGCGGATTATGTAAGCCCCCGGGCATTTTCTCGGGCGGCCTTCCTTGAAATGTGAACGCATGCTTGGTTTGCGCGGACTCGGGTCTCTACTCCAGAGAACGAAAATAACACTTGAATCTGTGCAGGCCAACTTATTGGGTTTATCTTCCGAGTACTAGCGAGTGCTCCGGCCCGTCAAGACCGGCAGCATGAAGCTATCACTCCCGCGACTTGCGGCCCGGCAAGGCCTCGGAGGTGAGTCTCTCAAGACGTTTACAGGATACTTTGTGCTGCAATTCTGACTGATATCCTTTAGAGCCATTGTCACACCGGGTATCTAGTAGCAAATCCTTCAATTCCTCCATTCAATCCTTATCTACGCCATACCACTTACGGCACCTGCAACATATCAGCAATGTCGCATCTCCTCTGAAACAAGAAAACGCAAATAGTAGCGACCACCTGCCCTCCCGCAAAAACCACACTCCACCACCATCTACAAAACCTTCGCAATCCTCCTCCGCATCATCAATATCAGAACACGTCCGCCTCCTCATGCGCCGAGTCCCCTACCCCGTCGCCGTCATAACAGCCACCGATCCAACCGGTCCCGTAGACACCACATCCTTCCGCGGAATGACCGTCTCCTCGTTCAACACAGTCACTCTCACTCCAGAACCAGTCATATCATTCAACGTCCGCCGACCCTCCGAAACACTCAACGCGCTACTCGCCTCAGGCCGATTCCTAGTGCATCTCCTCGCGCCAAGTCCGGCAACCGCAACTCTAGCTAGAGATTTCTCCAAGGGAAACACCACCCTTGCATCGATGTTGAGTGGACATGGAGAATTCGAATTTGGCGCTTGGACCGCTGAGCAGAGGCTCGGCGGAGAAGACGAGAGGCCTCTTCCTATCCTGAGGCGACGAGGGTCAGACATGGAGAAGCGTTTGGATTTCCCGTTTGTGTTTGAGTGCAGGCTTCATCCGCAGAAGATTGATGTGCATGATCACTCAATCGTGCTTGGCACAGTGCTACGAGCTATTGAAAGCTCGGGGAACTTGCCCCCTGGCCAGAGCTGTGTGGCAGAGTCACCAGATGAGCATTCACCGGAACATCTGTGTCTCACTTATGCCAATACCAAATTCTGGAAGATGGGTGGTGAAATTTGAGCTGAACACTCTATAAAGGGCTTAGCAACGGCAGTGGCTTTTGGAGCGGACTGCATTGCATTGTACATATACCATACACGGTGCTGGCGTTTTGGACATACATTTAGCTTTCTGTATAGATATCCAAAGATATTGCCGTCTTTTGACTGTGCCTTACTTTCCGTTTGCCACGAGATCGACACTCTTCATCGGTGGAACGATACCTGTGCGAGGTTCTACGTTATGGCAAAATATGAATTTACAGGGATGCCTACGAGAACGATATACAGCAACCGAAATAGTATAGAACAAGCTTTTTGGTCTCTAAGAACAGAACTGCGATTCATCTCACTTCAACCCGACTATACAACGTCGTCAACTCACCGCGAGGGATTGTCCGACTCGCAATGGTCAGAGAATACTTTCGAAGACCGTCTCGATGCGACCCGGTAAGGATAGGTGAATTGTAAAGAACGGACAGAGTTTGGGTGCTAATGAACGATGATCCAACCGAACAGAGTGCAAAGCACAGGCACAAACGACTCAGACGAGCCACTTGGTAGGACGTGCGAGCCCAGACATCGACACACGAGATCAAGTTCAGCATGAGACTATGGAAAGCCATCTCATGTGAGACGTAAAATTTGGAGACCTCGAGATATCCTACTCACGTGTCGATCTGGGACTGCCACTTCCGCTGCCGCTGCCGCTGCCACTACCAGCTCCGCTAACGCGACTCGCGGCACGCTGGAAAGGGCTCAGAACAGGACGACCCCCGTGCTGCAGAAAACCGTTGCCATCCGACCCGAAGCGTTGCTGCTTCTCGGAAAGAATGTCGGACAGCTCAATCTGAAGCGCGGGTAGTCGATGCGACTCAAAGAAATCCGAGCCATATTGACTGCTGCGAGCGGAGCGATTGGAGAACGAACGATCCCGGCTGCTGAGGTCAGTGACGAAGTAAGAACCGGCGTTGCCGAGAGGAGACGCCGGAAACTGAGGCACGAAAGTGGAATCCTGCACAGGACTGGTTGGATGCGACGACGAAGCACGAACAGGCGAAGATGAAGTCTGGAGTGGACTAGACTTGAGAGGAGGGAAGCTGAGGCCCAACAACGCTCGTCCAGTAGTCGTTGTAGATTCGATGACGGGATTGGTGCCCGGCAAATTGCCCTCGGGAGTCAGAGGACCAGAATCTTGGAGCATCTGCTGTTGTTGCTGTTGGATGGACTGTTCAATGGCCGAAGCTTGCTGCCAGAGTTGACTTGTGCGAAGTTGGAAGTCCTGCACAGACTGGCTAATGCTTGCAAACTGCTCGTGGAAATTGGTTTCCATCTTGGCGTGGTCTTGCTCCCGGGCAAATTGTTCGGCCGCGCGGCGCTCTCTTTCGTTCAGCCCTTGAGCATTGGCCGATATGATGCGCTCATATTGTTCGTTGACGCGGACACGACGGCTCTGAAGACGCTCACGCTTCTGCACCACCACATTCAACTCCTGTTCCAAGGTTGCCACTTGCTGGGCCGAGGCAAGGCGAGCTTCGGCAACCTCTTCCTTGATCTGGTTGAAAAGCTCCAATTCCCGATCGAATTCGGCTTTTTGCGCAGTCCATTCCTCCATCTCCTCTTCTGGCACGTTCTCCATGTTGTCTAGTTGCTCCTCCAACACCGCAGTTGCCTCCTCTGTTTGCCGAATATTTCGCTCGAGCTGGAGCGAACGCTGCTTTTGCCTATTCTCGTCCGTTCCACTTGAAAGTCGATGGTTATAATTGTCTAGCTCCCTCCGAATTTTCGAGATGAGAAGTTTGTGGTCGTTCTTCGCCTTCTTCAACCGAGAGCGTTTCTCGTTCAGTTTGGCTTCGGCATTGATAACAGAATTCTTCAGCGTAGTCGTAGGGGACGAGGGTCGATAAGTTGGCTGTGGGGGTGTCGGAACCGAGGAAACGGCTACCAAATTGATGAGTTTCATGAACGCGGGACCCAATGTCTGGCATGAGGGAAATCTTACCTTGTTCCATGTCAGTCGTCGCGGGGGTTTTGACACTCATGGCACAAATTTCCTCATCGGTATCGCTGCGCACGAAAGAGCAGGTATAAGCACAGTTAGGGGCGAGACCGGAGATCTCTCCCTTCCAGTGGACTATACTAGATCCCTTGGAGGAATCGGAAGCCCTGCAAATCGTCGCTGTTGCCCACAATGCCCCATTGACACAAACATAGAACGGTTCAAACTCCGAATCTATATGGTCGCCGTCACACGAGCTTGGCGTCACGGAGTCATCGGCAAGGTCACCGGCGGCAAACTTGATCGTAGAACTATCCACATCTGTAATCCAGACCGATCCATCATCGACAGAGACACCCTGCAAGTCATCCTCAGTCAATCCACGTCCCGTTTTCGATAAGACCCGAGAATGTTCGTATTCTCGCATGACTGTAACCTTGGTACTGGCGAGTGCGGCCCAAAATGGTTGACGACTTCGAACTTGGTTGGCTTGCCTCCTGCGTTTCTTGGCCGAAGTAAGACGATCCTTTCCATCCTTGACTAATTGACCATCCGGCCCCACGAAAGACGACGAAAGACTAGCGGCAGACTCCAGAGCAGAATCGGCTTGGCCCTGTGAACCTGCCGACGCTTCTGTATCTCCACGCTTGCCGGTCCGCGAGGGTGTCGGTGATCGATTCCTGGCCATTGACCTCCTCGCCATCGCTGTTCCGGCTTGTGCTAAGATGTGAATGGCGAGCAGACTCCGTAACCAACTTGGCGAGGATTGCGACTCGGATCGACGGAGTTCGGCGGGTAGAATATTCGAGTACTGCGACAGAAGATCAGGGCTAATGAGTTTGGCAGATACAAGATGCCCTGTCACAAATTCTTGTATGCCTTTGCTGCGGACGATATGAAGAAGCAGAACAATCCCGACACAGAGAGCATTGACCCCACCGTTTTTCCCGGAGCCTCCGCCGCCCAAAGTAATGGCGACCTGAACGTGGGCGAGATCAATTGCAAAGTTTTGAGCCCACGTCCACATGAAGAGACCCCAGAAAAGCAGGCAGAACCCGTCCATGGCGATCATAGTGCCCATCGAGGGCGTTCCAGCCGGGCCCTGAAAGATGTCGAAATTCGACGACAGGGAGCCGGCGGCACCGCCACTCGGAGGCATGAACGTCAAAGACGCGAACAGGAATTGCACACAAGTCAGAACCATCGGCGGAAGTTGTAGCAGAAAAATCAAAATGGCAATCGTGTCGTACATGGGACACGATTTGAGAATTGTGGACGCGAGGTGAAGCGGATTGATGGTAGAGTTGGAAACCGATCGTTTCGTAGTGCCATTGCGAGAAGCCGACCCAGCCATGCCGTTATTATGCGGCGTGGCGCCGTTCACTTCGCCGTTCGCCATGTCCACACCTCGATGTCCATTCACCGGGCCATGCCCATTGCCAGCAACCTTGGTCCCGTCCACACCCTTACACGCGGCAGTCGAAGAGTTGACGGCGGAGTCACTGGTGGAACGAGACGAGGGAAGATCGAACGGTGCGGCGGCGCCCGAGCTGGTAGCGTTGCCGTTGCCGGGCGAGCCGTTGAGATGGCCACTGGACTTCTGCTTGGTTACCTTCTTGCCGGGACCGACGAGGCCATTCTCGTGTCGATTGTTCTGGTTCTTCCTGCCCGCAGCGGATGAGCGTGGCATGGACGAGGGGAGCCCGAAACCCAGGTCCGAGTCAGCTTGGCGGGATGAGGCCAAGGACTGGGACCAGGCTGGAAGGGGCGAAGAAGAAGAAGGAGGAGGAGGAGGGAGGAGGGGCGAAAGGTGGGAGATGAGTGAGAACCCCAAGATTCGTCCAAAAGGAATGTAGATGAAAAGGACGAGGAGATGTTGGTGGAGAGTGAATCAAAAGAAGAGAGGGGGGGGGGAAGGAAAAAAGCGAGAGAGAAGAAGATCGAAGTGGTAATACGAGTAGGGGAAGAAGGAAAAGTCACAGGTGGAACTGCTGGCAAGTAACGGGAGGATCGGGTTGGCTGAGAAGAAACTGAATCGGCGTATCGTATGGTAACGCCGCCGTCGATCATTCAGGGTGTCCTCTTCTGGGCAGGCGGTACCGCCCGCTTGAGAGGTAAATTGGGCCGTCTTTTTGGCTGCAGGATTGTTTGGTCCGTATGGACGGAGTACGACTGCATACGGACGTATGTACTGTATGGTGTGTAGTTGCGGTATGGCCTCGTCTAAAATGCTTGACACGGACTACTTTGGATTGAGACGAACCTCTATCAGATGATTATCATCTCCAATCGATATACCGAATGATGAATAATGGGATGGATTGCTTCATCTGGCAATCAGTGGTCGACTTCAGAGCATGCAAAAGGTCGTCGATCTCTACCATGGACTTTCCCCATTCGTCTCCAAGTCACCTGGTTGCTGCACTCTTTCGGATAGCGACAACTTCTCGCCCAATCCTCAACGGGAAACGGAACACGGCCTAGAGGACTCTCACACACACTCGCCTCAAAATCCGTGGCGCACCGTCCAAGACGCAATGCCAGTCTCGGACTTCGTCCCGTTGCTGCATTGGAATGCGTATAAATACCCCTCCCCATCGGCAGCGAACCCTATCTATGTCTATGATATCTACGATCGCCATTGACTCCAAGGCAAACCAGCGACGATCAAACCGTTCTTGAGCCTGTCTCCTGCGGGGTCATCCTAGCACCAACCTTGGGACATGCATGGCGACACGAGTCCCTTTAGGTCGCGCAGTATCCAATTGGGGGGAGATTTCCTCGCTGATGAGCGCAGCTGCAGAGAGACCACGCAAACATACCGACCCGATGGGAGGCCCTAGCCGACTCTACAGTACCACTACTGTACAGCAATCGCTGAATCATGCCATCCTTTATGGCAATTTGGCGGCCAGTTTCTTCACATGCTCGGCTATCTCGTACCCTAGAGAGAGGCGCCGCTAAGCAATGGCCAACATGCGATCCACACCCCCCCTTGTGCAACCCTTTTATGGATGAATATGGAAAGCAACGCAGTTCTCCAAGTGACGGATAGTCATACAGTCAATCTTTCGACGACCGATCGCAGAGAGATGCATCTTTCCATAATTCCAGGCAGGCAAGCTGCTGGCCGATTGACCCAGCAACCCCTCCCTCACTTCCGTCTACAAGTGCTAAGTCGACTTGGCATCACAAGGTTTCGTCGTAGATCAGCCACTAAATTAGTAAGGATCGACACCCGCAGCCCAATCTGCCCTCTTTTTGTATGGAACTGGTAGACCATCCAGACCCTGACTTTTCTTCCATCCCGCTCGAGCGAAGAGCATTATTATTATTCTTCTTCTTCTTCTTCTTCTTCTTCTACAATCATGGCAATCATTTGCGTGACGGGAATATCCATGCTGACCGTGAAACTTTCCCTGCAATTTGGACGGTATACATACTTGCCTCGGTCGCGCCCAATCCCGAATGGGAAGCCGGAATTTTCCTTGGGTCCGATAAACGGTTCAACAAGGTTACGGCGCCGATCTCTTCGCCCGTTCTGCTCGTTCCAGTCCCTTTTGATCCCCCCTCCCGGCCCTTTTCCGGTAAGGTCTCCAAGCGCAGGTCTGGCCTGGACTGAGCGGCACTTGATGTTTTATAGATGGATGGAAAATTCAAACAACAGGTGCAATACACCCGTACGGATCTTCAGCACAAAAGCATACTATAATTTATTCTCTGTGGCGTCCTCTGCTAGCCACATTCCACGACAAGACCGCCTTTCTTACAGACTTGAAATAGCGTGGCGGTGAATTGTCCAAGTAAGCTACGGGGACGCTCCTCGCGTTAACTTAGGCGTGTAACCATGGTGATCTGCAACTGTCTACTCTCATGCTTTGACTATTGATTTGATGCCAAGGATTTTACATCTAGAGTATAGGGATCTGTCAAATCGACGCCGACAACTCAACCACGCGCGCTGCCTATACTCAACCAGCACTACGTAAATATCATTGGCAAAGCGTTTGCCTGAGTGTAGACTCCAAATAGTTGCAGTTATCAGTCAATCTGACTGGGCCTGAGGTTTGGAAATAACGCTTTATCAGCCATACGAGTGCTGTTGGGGACGAAAATCTTTCCACCACCAAATCGAGATATTCGTGCACCAGAACAATTTCTGCTAGGAAATCATCCCAACCCCACCTGCCAGATCCCCTCGACTGAAGCCATCCAAGGCTGTCAGACTGTACCTTAGCAGGAGAACTGCTCTGCACGTCTTAGTACGTTTTTTGGGGGGGGGGGGGAAAGACTAATAGGGAGGGCATGCGAAGGAGAACTTGTACATAGACAAGGGTGTCAGCTAGTAGGCCTGTAATTCCAAAATTTCTCTTCAACAATTATTACATAGCTGCGTCTCCGTAAGGCTGTCAATTCTTGGGTTGTAGGGAGACACTTCCAGTTGTAGGCTTTGGTCGCGCGCTTCCTGACTAGCGTGTTGGGATTTATATCGACGAACGCACAATCTGAGTTGGATGAGGAGAGGCCGGAATGTTGCCGCCGACGACGCCATAAGAGCTATCCCAACTTCCAGCTCCGACCAAATTATCAAGCCGTGATTGTAGAACAGGTTCCTGGGGTCACGATAATCCCCAATATACGTAAATCTCACCACTGTCGCAATGCTTGCACTGTTGAACCCAAGGGAAGAAAAATTAGCTTGCCACTAAGGAACGTATTATAGTTAATCAAAAGGTATGACGCAAAACATACCAAGAGCCAAAGGCTAGGACAATGGCTATGTAAACTTTCGTATGCAAGCTCAAATGCAAACGCCAGACGATAAAAACGGGAATGATACCCAGTATCCAGTCCACAGCACTGTTTATCGCCGAATGGATATAGACAGATACCACTGTGCCTTGTGCATCGCAATTGCCATGAAGAGAAGGGGAAATGGCTTGCTCCCAAAAAGCAGCTAAAGGGCGACACTGAAAGAGAAGAAACAGGAGTATGAATGTACCAAAGCATGAGATAAGTAAAAGGACAGCATAGATAATTCTCTTGTAGAGATTTTCGACGCAGAACCTGAGGAGAAATATCCCAACAGAAATTTTGACAAAAGTGGTGGCTGCGACGTATGAAGTCTCACATAACAAGAGAAGCTAGAATTACCTGTCAGCATAAAATGTACACTTATCAGTCAGTTGATTGAGGTACTAACCCTTAGTCCCACGCGGAGATTGTCTGGCTGTATATTCGTCCAAGCATGCTCAAAAACACCGATTCCAGCGGCTATGAATATAGGAACCGAGCTTAGGATAAAGAAGACCTGAGATGCATTTAGATAATATTCTCCCAATTCCTGACTTCCACCGTAGAGACAAATGGGCAAAACAGCGGGAGACATACGAGAGACACCACAGAGAATGCATCATCCATACCAAAACAACGTGTCAAATAGAGCTGCACGAAGCATCGCAAACCCACTATAATTAATGAGAGACCGAGGAATATTGCCACAATGACAACAAGCTCCAGACCTCGGTCCAACATAGACGGCAATGTAAATATAAGATCAATTCTCGAGCCAATTCAGACATCGTCTCATATTTATCACCAACGTATTGTCTCCGTTATTGCAGGTATGGGAGTGCATACCCATCCTGAAATCTGGCCATCATGATTTGAAAAGGGGGAGTTTGGGGTTTGGGGGATTTACGTCATAACATCCAATATCTGAAAGCGGTAAGAAAGAGAGGTAGCGGGGAGATACAGTGGCACCGCAAAAGTCTGTGACCCCTAAAGTATCGCACTAATATTCTGCCGGCAACTAGCATCTGCACCACTAAAAAACTGTTATTATTGCACGGTATGTCCCTTATAAAGAGGCGGTAAAGAAAGGTACATTAGGGGGTCACAGACTTTTGCGGTGCCACTGTAGTTCAAACTGTAAAATTTAGACAAAAAAACATTCGTGAATCCATTTTCTATTTCCTAAACCCCTTCCCCCGCCTATTTTTACCCTTTTCCCTTAGCGCTGGGTCTGGGGAGGAAGGACCCCGTGTGACAAACATTGCGTTAGAATAATATGTGAATTGGAAATCGGGCTAATTGCGATGTCAGTCATAGTGTAACGACAACTAGAAGTACAGCGAACCGTACTGCAAAAAATGCGATGCCAATCAAAAAATTACAGTGCGTCCGAAGTACGTGCAAGGTGAAAAAGTGCAAGGCTTCTACGCCCAGTCATGTAGGAGCTCTCCTGATCCGATATCCGATCTCCAAGGCAGTCCCGGGGTATCATTGCAAAAAAGCTGGCTCCAGATGATATCGTCATCCTCAGAACGGAGATGATTTGTGAACTCCGATGACTGTAGCCGGTCCAATTCATGCGGTTCTTCGATTCCCGTGCCAGTATCCCGGCCAGGAGGCACATTCTGTGGAGAGGGTAGTGCAGAAGACAACGAATGAACCCCACTGAGGGAAGGTGTCACGTCACCAAATAGGCCTTCTACAAGAGATCTTTGATGCTTGAGTCGACGTTCACATCTTCGTTTCACGAATTCATCACAAGCATTACGGAGACCTTGCACAATATGAAGGCTCCATCTTGCCAGTGCATCGCTGGCCTGGAAACAGTCCAGTAGCTCCTCAGCCAAGCGCATTGCATCGGGAAAGACTCATCCACGGGAATGAATTCAACTGGCAGAGAGACTAGCTTGTTATATCTACATGTAATTTCTATTGACAGTGAGACCGTCTAATACATCTCCAGAATAACAGAAAACCCATTTGCGGCATCAGGTCTGGATTTCAGAAAACAAAGCCACTGACATTGTTCTCTTTTTCCAGATTCCATGCTCTTTCAATCAACTGATTAACCTTGCCAGTGTCCATAAATCCACCATAAGCAGCGAGGGTATGCGCCTTTCTCTCGATTTCGTCTCTATTGACCCAATACCTATTAGTCTAAGATAAACCAACCATCAATTATTAATACACATACCTCGTCAACGGGAGTTCCGGGTCTCCCTTCGCAAACTCGACCGACTCAGTGATTGTCTTTCCAGACTTTGTATTCACAATGACAGTCCCCTGCCACTTCTCAGGGAAAGCTCGGTCAATCTCCGGGTCCAACTCCATTTTCACACGCTGCTGGAACTCCCGCAGTGATGCATCCTCCAAATCATCTTCTGTAAAATCAGTAATCATAGCTTGGCCCTTTTTAGCGATAATGGCGAGAACAAATCCCATTGAGAATTTGCTCTGGTGTACTGTTTCTCCTCTTCCAGTCATGCCGAGTACATTGATGGCAGCCTGGTAAGTTCTAGAGATCACAGACTCAATATCCTCAAAAGCAACACCGTTCTTCTCCATGAGTTTCAGAAGTGCATCGGCGCTAGGGTGGGTATGACGACAAGATGCGTGCCATTTAAAGCTGGACCGGAGGACTTCATAATCGGTGCCGAGATTTTGATCAATAGCCTCGGGATTCGTGGTGCCCGGAACCAGTGCAGCTCCCATTGCGCGGGGTCCCTCAAGAATATCTTTAGTGCCGAGAAGCCCATCACGAGCTGTATACGCAGCGAATATTCCATCAAAGCAGGCTTTGCCGGTATGGACTTGCTTTGAGTGTGTTGCGTCCATTAAGAACTGCCAAAGACCCGCTGCTTGAGTGCCGGCCGTTCCAATGGCAGACAATGTCTGAGCGGCATCAAGTTTCAAGAGGTGCGCTGTAGCAGCGGCCACTCCGATGACTCCACCGGTTGCTGTGGAATGGAAACGCTGGCTAGGTTTCAGTTCAAGCCTCAAAATATGAATGTGTCCCCACCGAACATACCTCGTAGTGACTTTTGCCCAGAAATTCTCCAACTCGGCAACCCACTTCATAGCCGACAACACAAGCTGCAATGAATTCTTGACCAGTGGCACCTACATCTTGCGCTACAGCAAGGGCGGCTGGATATATGACTGTTGCCTATGAACTATTCAGCTTCATCCAAGTCAAATTCTGCGCTTTGGGAAATCAATCAGCTTGCTGAGACTTACCGGATGCATGATACTTCGGTTATGAAGATCATCTTGCTCGACAACATGAGAGGATGCACCATTTACCAGACTAGCGAAAGCCGGACTGGTAGTGAAATTCAAGGAACCATCGACCAATTCGCTTTTCCCACTGGAAGGACCCATCTGCGATGCAAATCTTGCGATTGCCGAGACGGCTGGATGATGACGGCCTGCGATTGTACATCCCAGCCAGTCCACGAAGAAATCTTTAGTTTTCTGGATAACGTCTTCTGGGAGATCAGAAAATTTGAGGTTAGCAGCCCAGCTTGCTAAACGCTCAGTTCGTGTTTCGCCCGATAAAATCGAAGTAGTTGGTTGAGTCATTGTGGTAATGAAGATGTGATAGACCCCAAACGGCTAGTCTATACGCACTGACGATGCAGAATCTGTATGATGAAGCTTTGGGCGCTCTATATGATGAGAGTCGTCGACGTTTGTCAGTTACATGATCGAGGATATCCCAGCCCACCTTCCGGCCGAGGTAAGTCTGAGTAGGCGACTTTGGTGGGGCAAAAATGGTCGCTTTCAATTAGGAAGGCTCAATTTTGGAGAGCTAACTGGCCCAGGGGCCATGCCATATAGCCGACCCAATGTGGGGTAACCGTGTGGGGTAATGTTCGATCAAAGATGATTCACGCTGTCAATTGACAACATCTCTCCGTTTGGAGAATTCTCTTATTTGGGTAGTATTTCGAGTCCTCGTTCATTCTTTAAGGTCGTGGCACAATTGGGTTCTTTGAGATATCTGAAGCGCCATGCGAAAACATTTTCAAAGGCGCCAACTGAACCTTCCCGGAATCAATACGTACAGAAATTTAGAGACCACTAATCAGAACAAACTACCGAGAATTTGAGTCTTGTGGTTTTTCTGTATGAGATTTGGTCCACAGGCCAAAAGACTAAGGACCACCGACATCTCAACATTCCCCCAATCTGACATGTAATCAAAGTATCTCTTGACGTGGTATCTACATACTGTTACTTATATTTCACTTGGAGTTGATGATAATGCGGTGTTTGGTTGATTTCCTTACGTCCACTGTAAAGAATCCATGCAAGGTCAATGCAGCCTTGAAGGAAAGCACCTACTTCTTCGGTGATATTGCTCCCTTGACCAAGGGCATTGAGCTGGCCTTCCAGTGACCAGAATTTCCTGTAAGAGACTTTGATCATTTCGACTGCGTAATCGGTCACTTCTTGTGCTGTAAGTCCCTTATTATAAATTATCAAGGGGATTATGTTATCAATGTGGCCTGACTTCTGTGACAACGCGGTCAGCCTGTGGTACACTTTCGTAGAGCTTGGATCAAAATCTCACTATTTCATGACGAGCAGGCACAATTTCCTTGTACTTGACTGAGTAGGGAGTTTACTAAGTCTGCCTCTAACAAACCTATCGAAAACTACTCTGAAATTATGATGTTCATTAAAAGGAGGCCCTCCTTGACAAGTTCATGAGACAAGAGCCAAGCCGGTAGTTCTATATGAGAGGTCAACCTTCCAATGTATGCTGTGGTCAGTACGAATCAGATTCTCACATCTTCAGGGGCCCATACAGATACATTAATACGAATGACGAGGTTTTGCAAAGCTTCTGGGAAGAAGGAAAGGCGGTTGAGGGCTGAATTGATCGAGAGCAGATTGACCCAGGTCAAAAATTTCATTACGATACCTAGGGTCTAATCTAACAGGACGCACCATTCAGGGCTTCTAGAGTGAGAATACTGTAAGCTATAGGCCCTAGCACGAAATATTGGTGTGATATACGGACAGGATTCGAAGACTATTGCAGGGATTTCGTACAGACTGGCGGCTTCTCAATCCGAGTCAAGACGGTTCCTTGAGACCTTCCTTTGGCCTTTGCAAGTAGGTAGGTCCCTTGAAGCCTGTTGACGAAGGACATATTGCAACAGTTTGCGTCCGAATGCTCCATTGCACAGTGAGCAAGGGAGGCCCTCCCCCGTCCAAGTTCCGGCCAATGGAGACGGTGGATTTCATCGTATTTTCATCGCAGCATTTGGTGTATGCTCTTACCGTCATCACCTTATGGGAAAGTGCTACAAGTAAGCGTCATAACTTGATGCCAGTGATCTGAATAGGGAACAATCTGGTGGACTCAGTCTACAAGGTTGATCGTTCTCAGGTTAGTTTGTTGAGAGCGTCAAATAGAATTGATGTACATATAACCTCTAGATATATTCAATGCACTTGAATCACTCTTTATCAAAGTGCCTTTCTTCTTATGCTGATCCTGTATCCTCTACCGCATCTGCCCGATCCCAGCTCTCAACCTCGAGAGTCCGCACTTGGTTTTCAATCTCCAAAATACGGTCTTGCCAATCCTTCTTTGCCTTTTCTTGTAGTTCCCAAATAGTCTTGAACTGCTCAAAGATAAATGGCGGCAGTTCGGAGGTCTTCCGATTCTTCTTATAGTCATAAGTGACAATATCCTCATGACAACGCGCTGCGGGGCGCTGGCGGGCCTCTGATAAAATCATGACTTGCAGGTGAAATGCAGAATGCGAGGATCCAGCTGATGATGGATCATGAACCAGTTTCTGGTACACTGTTATCTTGTCCGGCCAAGTCATGGGCTGCAGTGAAGGTCAGTACTAGTATGGGTGCTAGGAGATTCTGGTCTCATGGTCACGCACAAACTTGTAGTCAACTTTAATACTTCGAAGAATCAGGCCAATACCCGTTGAATTAAGCAGGTTAGTCCATTTGTCCTTGTTAGCAGGGTCAATGTGCAAGCCAATATTGCGTGTCCAATTCACTCGCGCGGATTCGGCGTATCGGACGTAGGTGACATTGTTGACGTGGCCCATTATATCCTGAACAGACGAGTATCAGCCCCACGCTCTCATCTTCCATGCAAGCGCACATTCCCAGTGATCATGGGTCATACCATCTCTCCCCACACCACGTTATGCCGATACAAGCTCCGCCTCTTCTCGTCGGTCAAGAATCCCTCACTGCCGGCAATCAATTCGCGCCAATCCCGCGCCAATTGCTGGAGGATCTTGCCTGCATCGTCAATCTGCGCTGGCTTGAGACCAAACATCATGCACCGCCCGATTCGTCGCTTCATCATGGTGAGCCATCGCGGATCGATTCCATGGGGTCGTGCCGGGGGGTTCTCTGGGGCCGAGGCACAAGGATTGTGTACGGGGACGGTCGTGGAGAGAGAGCGAGAGGGCAGGGCTTGGATATGTCCAATTGAGCCAACCAGTGGCTTTCGTAGAGCAGCTGATCGGGGGATCATGGTGGGAGGTGTGGAGAGGAAAGATGCCTCCGGGAATCGTAAGCCAGGCGCATTCCTGAAGCTTGGGCCAGAGGGCTCGGGCAGAACCCCGCGAGTAGCCGTGACGTGCTCAAGCCAAGAGAGCAGTCCGCTATATTTATTGCCTTGAGGATACGGAAGCTAGACCCTCATGACAGACTACTGGAGGTTCAATTTTTTTTTCTAGAGTTTCAACGATACCCAGCTTTTCCTTTGCAGATTACTTAGCTTCCCTCTGCGTGGTGCTCTTACAGCCGATAAACAACGGGCCGACATCTCCGCACTGTCCGACGTCACCGATAACCGCCGGGCGTTTCTCCAACTCCCTTTCCACCTTCCATACACAACAAGTACCTCCAAGGGCGCGCCCCAGTCGCACAAGTAAGAGTCCAGGATATCAATTAAGATCAAAGTGGACAACGGATGTACCAACCATGGTCAACGTCGAGCTGCGTCGGCAGGTCATCAACGTCTACAAAGGTACCACACACAACTACGATCAGCATCAGCAGAATCATTCCAAGCACTAATGCCGAGATCAAACTCACAGAGTTACTGTGGTTAGGACGCGAGTATCCCCTTGGTTATCAGTACTTCAGGGATCGGCTCCATCGTGCGTTTGCGGGCCAAGCACATCTTACGGACGAGGATCAAATTCGAAAGGGGATCGCTCGAGCTGAATTTGTGAAGAAAGGTAAAATTTCTGGGTTGTACAAGTAAATATACGCCAGCATATTGGTTTACTAACGTCCTTCTTAGAGGTCGAAGCATTGTAAGATCAAGACTCTTAAACCCCTCCACAACACCGCACATCCAAACTCTTATGAGACACTCTACATTGGACAAGGACCAAAATCATTCATCGAGGGTCATATGTCATTTTTTTTTCTATATATGCCCCCTGGGCAGCACTTAACTGGACGCACTTCCCCGATTCACAAATAGTGTCATACATCATAGCATCATGCGAACGCACCTTTTCCCTCCCTCGACACAGACATTTTGAACATGGACACTGACGATAGAAAACCAAACTCCAGATACTACTTGAAGCGGTACCGCACGCTCAAAAAGCGGTATGAGAGTGGCTGAAGCTCCAATCACCAAGGGCCTCGAGCTTGAGCATTCCGCACAAGAAGTTTCCCAGTCCATATGCATCCTTTGAAAGAAAAGAACCGGGAAGAAACCCTCCCAAGAGAAATCGAAATCGAAAATATAAAGAAAACAATAAAAGAAAACCACAGATTCGGGGGTATCACCAATATATATGAAGCGCACTCAATGATCACTGTTTCTTTATGCGCCCACCAAAAACACCGGAATTGACTCATGGACCTGGCTGCGAAGGAGGGGGATCTTTATCTCTTTTGACCCCACCAGGCACTCACTTCGAGACACTCGCCGCTGGCGAGACCCCCCTTTTGGAAAAAGTCAGTGGTCATCGCTGCCCACCATCGGTCCCACTCGTCGCGACCTTTCCCACTGGCCTCCATCAGCATGGGTTCCATGCCTTCAATCATTTGGACCACGGTGAGGAGAGCCGTTCGCCGAATGGCTATTTGTTCGGGGGTCAATGCCTTCCGGGCACGTCCCTTGGAGACTTTGCCTTGACCTTCTCGCTCCCAGCGCAGATCCCCCAATGGGATTGCGATGCGGCGGCTGTCGACATTCTCCAACACATCCACCTCGGCGTTGAAGGCCAGTCCGATAGTGGCGCATGGTAAGGCTGTGAGTTTGCGCCGGTCGAAGGATTTCGCGACCCAGGAGTTGTAATCGACCAGATATTGGTTTTGTGCTTGGGTGAATGGCGTGGCGGGGGAGAATGTATAGGTTGCGGTTGAATCGGCCGTCTCTTGGGCATGCACCGAGGCTTTCCTGGCCGGGGCCGGATTAGGGAGCAGTGAGCGGAATACCCAGTCAGAATCCCAGACTTCTAATATCCCACCCGATTTCAGAACTCGAAGTGGTTCTTCCAAACCCGAGGCTTGTTGTGCTGGACTGGACGGGCACATGCCCGCATCCTTAATAAAGACGAGGTCAAAGTAATCATCGGGAAAGGGCAGGCGGGGTCTTCGCAGATCATGTCGTTTAAATTGCCAGTTCATGCCCTTCTTGCGCAGGTCCGGAGCCAGCGAGACAAAGTCAATGCCAACAAAGGCGACGTTGGGGTGTCCACGACGGGTAAAGTACTCGTGACACAAGCCGGACCACAGACCCGATCCGCAGGCGATCTCCAGGACGCGTTTCGGTGGGCGATTGGCCAGGTGAGGGTTGCAAAACGGGCCGCCAAAGACGCGCAGCAGCATCGTCGTGCGCAAGCTTTGACGGTGGATCTCGGGCAAGTCGCATGGCAGTGGATAGAGGTTTTCGGGGTCGCGGAGGTAAGTACGCTCGCCATATCGCGCGAGGGGGTAGTTGTTGTAGTCCGTGAGGGATCCCAAGGACGAGGAGGAGGTTGCGGCAAAGGTCGAGCTTAGATTGGAGTGAATGTCCGAGCCGGACGCCGTAGCGGCCACAAATGAAGCCATGCCTGCCGACATCATGTCCATCACTTCAGGCGCATCGATCCCAGGCTGTTGTTCTTAATGGGGTTTGCGGGTCGGTCGCATTCTCGGCGCGCAACTTGTTGATCATGAGCTGGGAGTCATGCTTTGAGTTCGGTCCGGTTGAAAATAGAATCGAGATTGAGAGTTATTCGAGGTATATACTTCCGGTTCAAGGGTTCCAGTATCGAACGATGTATAGTGGTTATTTCAAAGGTAGGCAAAGGAATTGGCTCAAAAAAAGAGAAGAGAGAGCAGGGAAGTAGAAAAGCCAGCGGGACCTTAGCGGCTCGGAAAATATTCCTTTCAGTGTATGTCGGGCGCAAAGGTTAAAGAATTTTCGATGATGACTGATTTAGATCATCTCCTCTGGAACAATTGATGTCATTCGAGGGATCTTTCGGCACACCACAAACCGCCTTCAATCGCACTGGAGGATTTCACGACACAAATTCCACGAGAAGGTGGGAGGAGGGGAAGGTCGAGGAAAAAGGGCAAAGGCAATGGGAACGAGAAGGCCGCGGCCTGGTCCCGACCCCTGGATCGAAGTGGCATTGAACCACTTCGAGGGCTCCACTGGAGTCCAGAGGGAGCTAGTTCACGTAACGAATAACCGCAGTAATATTGATTGGATACAGTACAGTGGAATACCAAGCATGAATGGAATCCATGTACATCAGATACACGAGATACCTAGTGTCCGCTCCTACGGCGGAGTTGACTGGAAACGTTGGAACAGACTAACGTTCACTATCTCGTCTTGTGCAGGGCTAAAATGGGAGAATTTGGGGTCAGAAGAGGGTTCTCCCGCCAATGACAAACATTGCTACTGTTTCGGCTATTTAGTTAGCGACTGCGGCGGAAGAACTCGAGCGGGAAGAATCAACTCTTCGTGTCATCATCATTGTCATGACTATATAGAGGAGTATAGACGAGGAGAGGTAGAAGAAAATCCTTCGAGCAGGGGGCACGCGACGCCGGCTTGCCTGCTTTCCGGTTCTCACGAAGGGATTGACCAATTGTACAATGTACATACAAAGCAGAATGGAGACCCGAACGGGGCTTGCCAGCCGGCTGGGCCAGGTGTCTTGTATTACCGGGAGGCGCTGTGGATTCCTTCAGAAGCGACGGAGTAATTACCTGGGTCGTATGTAGCATCATCATAAAAATGTCATAGCTATATAAACAATGCAGAATAATATCTCTGTCATGAAGCATTGCTATCTCTGGATAGTAAAGCAAAGTTGAGGTTGAATACACATGTTGATAACTATTCAGTAGTGGTTGACATCATGAGTCGGTTCGGTACCACGGCCCGCTAGACCCCATGAATCATTTGTTACTAACTATTCTTGTTCCAGCGATTATTATTATCATTATTATCCCTTTTCTCATGATACTAATGCCGGATCAGCCAAGCGGCCTGGTTCGTCTTTTCGCGAACTAGACTTGGGGCATATTGATAGCAATGTTCGAACCCTCAACTACTGACCTCTCGGAACCAGCAATGCTACAGTAGACGGAGTACTGTCAAAGTCAATGCTTTTTTCCCCAAAAGGTTCCACATATTTTCATTTATGAAATCATATGTACTCTTTCCATATACGAGGAGGAGTGCTCTACTACAGTAGTACAGTAGAAGAGGGCATCACCCTTTCAGTCATTTCTTTTTCCTCGCCACTGCCCCTCCGGAAGGGCCACCCGGCGATCGCAAACACTGGGCACCCAACACTAGAGACCGTCTAAAATCCTTCCACCATGGGGGTCGCCAACTGGCGCGTGCGTAGCACACGTGCAGGCGGGCTTGACAAGGGGGTAAAAGACGGAGAGAAGGACCATGATACTTAGCGCCCGAAGGCGTGACTTCCAATGTCCTTCGGAGAATCCGGATTTCGCGGGCAGGATTCGCGATGCATCCACCGAACAAAAGTACTGTAACATTGAGGGTTGACTCTGGTAGGAAATCTACATGTCTCAGAAATTATATCGACTATATGTTTTTGTATGTGGCGTATAGCCAAGTCGAGAGACGGTATTTCTTCACGGCTGATACGGTACGCCCTCAATACTGTTCTCCATACTCTAGACTCCATCCGTCTCGCTGTACTCCGTACTCCGTACTCCGTACAGAGCAGCCGGAGATCCCTGCCCGCCATGTCCACCGTCCCAAGCGTCAGGTACTTGGGGCCAGGCTAGCAACGGCTGAGACTTTAGTCCCCGCCTTTCCGTTCCATCATTCTATCTGATACCGGCTTGCCCCGTGCCCCTTACATTCTTTCCCCCCCCCCGGCCCGCTGTACTTACTTGTCCTGGCGCTCTGACGCACGGCACTCGCGTTGTGGCTCAGGCCCAACTCAATGATGGGTATTCCAAAGATCCTTACGGGTTCCCTGCCCTCTGTCCTCGAACTTGGTACCTGCATCATTGATGGGGGACACGGGGATCGACATCATAGCGTCCTGCTTGGTACTTTGGCAACGAGGGATTCCCAGTGGAACGGTCACACTGAATACCCTAAATAGTGAATACTCGAGACTCATCAGATCTTTAACGGTCCTTTTGAGCTCCCGGGCTCTCGACTCAGACCAAATACGAGTCATTCGTGATGTCTCTGCTGGCAGGCTGCAGCTGACCAACGCCCATTGAGGGGATTCCAGGAGTGGCTTCATAGTGTGTCGCAGTAGCCATCGAAATATGTGGAGGCAACTATGCCAGGTGTCACAAGGAAGGTTTTGGTTTTGTCTTCAACTACTCCGTATGCAGCTCTGCAACGATGGCCTAGGTGGGGCTCTCGTTACGATCGACGTGGTCGCCGAAGCAGACCTTCAGTACTGGTATTATGTTATACCTAAATTTGAGTTTGGAGGAGGGGTCAGGTCAATAGCGCCGATTATTGATTAGTAGCTTGCATTTATGCTTCAACGGACTGAGCGGAGCGTTGTTAGTCTGAGCACATGATCTTGGGATTGGGTGGGCTTCCTAGGGCTTACTGGGCTTTCCAGCTCTTTGCCACCACTCAATACAGTAGTACAGTACGGTTGACTCCGATGCTATTTGATATCCGTGCCTTACTGCCCACCCAAACCGCGGAAGCGGTTTGGGTGGGCAGTAAGGCACGGATACGATGATTTCCTGGCTCCGTATCTCCCACTTAAGCTGAAAATCAGAGACATGATATGTTGGTAAAGGCTGGTTTGAAGAACAATTTGCAGGCCTCCTGAAGTCCATGTTCTCCGATGGGTATATATTGGCGAGGCACCGCGAGGCACTCGGCAGAGGAATCTCTTGGCGAACTAGACCAACCACCTTGGAGGGTCATTTCAAAGCTACGAAAACGCTAATTTTCCTTCAGTTAGTAGTATACATGATTGTCTAGTATCTCGGTATGTAATTCTGCCTCTCGCTTCTCTGGCTTTGTGGTTACTTATATACTACGGGGGCCTCTTTGCAAAAATTCTCTCTTATGTATCTCTAAGGCCTTCGGTAAAGTCCAAGGACAACTTCCAAGATCGTTGCTGAGCTTAGCTACGCAGATCCTGATAACTAGAATATGATTGGACAGGCCCAATGGGATTTGATTGATCATTCTATAGAGTCTAATATGCATTAAAGAGTGGAACTAAATAATGTTATAAAGCAGATTTGCAAGATATATCCTTTCGGGCTCTACGGAGAATAACTTCCAAACTTTGTATTAATACCTAGAGAGCCATGCAGAAGTACAGCGTGGACTGAACTATTCATAGAAGTATTTCTAGTGTAATCATGATGGCCATCTTTAGCACCTCTAATTTATTGCTACTGATGTGTTCATAAAGCGGAAATTAGCTCCTATGCGTCCTCTCTTTCTCATGAATGCCTTACCTCACACAATATATCCATTCAGCACAAGAATATGAATTCATTTAACACCGCTTCTATCCATTCTGTTTAGTATGAACCGGCTTTATTCAACACTCATAACCACAAACCTCCATTCAATTAGAACACGGATGATGTGGAAGATCAAGACAAAATTTGCACAGGTTTACAGAGACGACCCAGTGTCAAGAATCCTGTCTTTACCCTTTCTTTGTGAGTGACAACTGATACGAAAATGAAGTCGTTGACAGGAAACCAAAGTGCCATCCAGACTGTTCATCCCTGGCTAGTCTTCGATCTGATGGAAGAGCACCTAATATGATCATCTTATGTGAATAGGCAAGATTCGCCTTGGTTATCATATTTGCACTATCTAATTTCTGCCTCTATTCAATATTTTTATCTGACAGGAAACCGGAGGCTACACCAAGGCAGTCAATTCCCCTAGACTTGTCGAAGCTGGAGGAACCATGAAAGGGCTCAGGAAGTCTTGGCGTGAATCATATCCGGTTGGGCAATGTCACGTGACCAGAACTCCCGCCTTCGATGCAAACCACCCATCAAGACTGTCATCTCAACCCCAGCCGCTCTCTATCATTCTTCGAACTGGATATCTGTGCGATCTATCCCGACATTACCTCTACTACATTGGCTCTTCTCTAACTTGATTTTCTGCGACTAGCTAGATCGCCATCAAGAGTGCTCGTGACTCTTCCGCTCGGCCTCCGCCCTTAGGTATCGCTCGAACCCAACCAGTCCACGGAGAGTGCCACCTCTACCTCCCCACCCCACCACCGAATATTGCTCGTCGCACGAGGTCTTCTGTGGCCAAACCAAATCCCCACGCTCGCTCATATCGAAGGGGTGGTTCCGCTGCAGGACTTCATGTGGAAGAAGAGAAGAGACCGTACTCAATCCTCAACTCCTCTCCTCACCACCGCCTCCACCTCCCCCTCCGGCCCAAATCGCCAGTTGCTCGCCTGCCCCTCGGTGTTCTGCCAGGGAAATAAGCCACGGTCTCGTCTGCCCCGTTAGATGGCAGATGGTACCTACAGGTTCCAGCAGCCTGGGGCCGGGCAGTTCTACTTCCAAACACAACCGCAGCAACAACTCTCACACCAAAGGAACACCATTCAGAACGGGACCAATTCGCCGGGTCGACTGAAGTTCAACAACAACGCTCCCTCTCCTTCTCGATCGCCTCCTGTAAGCCAATCAGCCTCGTTGAACCCATTCAATATGTATGGCCAAAGTCACCAAGGTCAGCATGTCATGATGAATGGCGGTCAGACCCATCAGCGGTTTGCCATGCAGATGCCCAAGTTCCAGACGCAAAACCACCCTCATCACCATGCTCCGCAACCTACACACCATCACGCCCACCAACCTCATAACCAACATGGCCTCGCTCACCAGCAACATTTCCCCGCCGGCGCCCTTGCTACCACCACTCCTCATTTCACCTCAAACCACCTACAGAATGGGGCCTCAACCGCGGGCGAAGATGATATTGACGAATCGATGAACGAACATTGGCAGGAGCAACTTCAGCTCGCCGCCGAGTCGAGGCAGGCTACTTCCCCTCATCACTACGCCCGCATTATGGCCCAGCAGTCGAAGGGGATTCAGATCATGCCCAGCCAAGCCGACACACCAGATCAGAAAGCAGATGGACGGAATGGGACTGTTGCAAGCAAAGCGGCTTCTCGACAAGGCTGGAATGCGCTGGACTTTGGTGGACAGGGCCTTCGGGTCATGGCGACCTCCTTGTTCAACTACAACTTCCTTGAGAAGTTGTACCTCAATCACAACAAGCTCAAAGTCCTTCCTCCATCAATTGGCCAGCTGCGGAAATTGACCCACCTCGATCTTTCCGGCAATGAACTTAACGAGCTCCCTGAAGAGATTGGCATGCTCACGAATCTCAGGAAGCTCTACCTCTTCGATAACAACATCCGCACACTCCCATACGAATTGGGTTATCTTTACCGCTTGGAAACCTTGGGCATCGAGGGCTGCCCGCTCAATGAAGTCCTCAAGTCTCAGGTCATGAAGGAAGGAACCAAAGCTCTAATCAAGTACTTGAAGGAAGAGATGCCAGGTGAGTCATGGCTTCTTTTCAAACCAACGCAGTGGCACGGCTGTAGAACATTTATGGCTAATTGTTCTTTTTTTCCCCCACCACACAGTTCACTTGCCTCCTCCAGACAGAGATTGGGTCATCCTTGATGAGACCGCGAGCTCAGCCAACAGCCCTACTGAGAAAATCACCGTCCTTTCCTACAACACTCTGTGCGACTCCTCCGCTACCCAGTCACACTACGGCTACGCCCCCTCTCGTGTTCTCTCCTGGGAATTCCGTCGCGAACTCATCCTTAACGAATTACGATCCCACAGCTCGGACATTGTCTGTCTCCAGGAAGTTGATCAAGGAAGCTACAACAACTTCTACCGCGAGCAACTCGCCTACAATGATTACAAGGGTGTCTATTGGCCCCGAGGTCGAGCCATGGGCATGCAGGAAGAAGATGCCAAGTCCGTTGATGGTTGTGCGATCTTCTTCAAGGGCAGCAAGTACATCCTTCTCGACAAGCAGCTCATCAACTTTGGTCAGACTGCTGTCCGTCGTCCCGATGCCAAGGGCCAAGACGACATTTACAATCGTCTTTGGCAGAAAGATCACATTGCGGTTGTGGTCTTCCTGGAGAACCGACAGACTGGAGCCCGCTTTATGGTCGTGAACGCTCACCTGTACTGGGACCCGGCGTTCAAGGATGTCAAGCTCATTCAAACTGCCATTCTAATGGAGGAAATCACCAAGCTCTCTGACGGCTATGCCAAGTGGCCCGCGTGCACGGACAAGACCGCGTTCCGCTTCTCCGAGGCTGAAAGCGGTTCCGAGAACGCACCCGTGGTCGAACCCGCACCATCCATGGAGTACGCCAGTGGTGACCAGATCCCGCTCCTAATGTGCGGTGACTTCAACTCCAACCCCGGATCTGCAGCATACAAACTCATTGCCAACGGCCACTTGCCCGAAGAGCATCCCGATCTGGAGAAGCGTCTGTACGGTAACCTCAGTCGGGTCGGCATGACCCATCCGTTCAAGCTGAAGTCGGCCTATGGCTCCATCGGGGAACTGAGCTTTACCAACTACACGCCAGATTTCATCGACATTCTGGACTACGTGTGGTATTCATCCAACACGCTGCATGTCTCGGCCCTTTTGGGCGAGGTGGACAAGGAGTACCTCCGACGGGTACCCGGGTTCCCGAATTTCCATTTTCCTAGTGATCATATCGCATTGTTCGCGGAGTTTACCGTTAAAGGGAAGAAGGGTAAGGTGGTGGAGGCTGATTTTGGACCGCAACGGCACTGAGGGACTGGGACTGGTGCATTTCGAATCCTTCGAGATAGGTGTTTGTGTAGTCGGGTTTTGCTTTTTTATTGATGTTTTTCTCTTTCTTTTTTCCTTTCTTGTCTGTTATCTCGGAATCTTCGGGGTGGTGGGTGATTTAACTAGCCTGCTGTCTGTTTTGGTCCCTTCATGTTTCTTTCCTCATAGTATCTTTCCGTTTCTCTTTCATGTTCTTTGACCTTTCCTGTCACTGTGCTTATGAACGCGTCTCTCTATTTCTCCTTTCCATCTCTCTTGTCCGCCCGTCTTGCTTGACCCCCTCCCTCCTATCCTCTCCTCCTCTCCCTCGCTATTCGGAGCGCGTGTCTTTCCCAGTCGATCTTGCTCTCGCTTTCGACGATGTTCTTGGAAAGTAGTTCTTGGCGTGGCAGTTTCGCTTTTCTTCCTCTTGTCTACCGTCTCCTGTCCGCGTATCCCGTCTCTTTTCCGCTTCTCACCGTTCTCCCCTCCCTTTTTCTGCTGTTTTCCCTACTGCACTATATGTTGGGGGTGTCCTGATATCTCTCGGTTTCACATCTCACCTAAATCTCGAAACGTCAATTTGAGACGGCTTCACGACGCTTAGGACGGGTTGGTGTTCAGGTGGACCAGGTGGCCGAAGGGCTTTCGTATGCGGTTGCTTCTATTATGCTTTTTGCCAGGCGAAGGGAGTTTCTTTTTGAGCAAATGTACTTGTTCTGCCATGTCTTCAGATTCGATTGCGAATAGAGCATGGCTATTCGATCTTGCGCTTGTTTCTTGTAGAATTTTGTTGATCGTAGATCCGGGACGGAACTGTCTTTGGACCCTCCCCTCCCGCTTTAGGGCCCTCCAATCAAAAAATGGGGCTTTTGACTTGTGAACTCGATTCGAGGTGATATTCAAGGACACAGACATACCTTGACATTCTATCTCCAGAGTATCAGAAGTTATAGATAAATGATTCCAGTAGTTACGTGACAGGCTATCCCGAGATAGGCAGCCATACTCAGCGGAAACAAATCCAACACTGGCCGTGACTTGAACACCGTCGACTCCGCAACGTATCACATGCTGTCAGCTGCCTCAGCTCCCAAGTGCAGACCATCCCCCAACATTTTCATCTTTCACTTGTTGTACATCCTCTCCATCTGTACGGATACTACTGCCCATCATGACTATTGAAGAAGGCACCCACACTCTTCCCGACGGGACTCAGCTGTACACCAAGACATGGAAGGTTGGTCTATCTTCGGCATCGAACCGTGGAAAGGGGGTCATTCTGCTGACAACAATGTACAGCCAGACGGAACAACGAAGGCAGTGTTGGCCTTTGTCCATGGATTCAGTGATCACTGTAAGCTCCAAGTCGATAATCAGATTGGAGAAATCTTCTTCTAGGAGGGATTCTCACCATATTTTTACCAGGCAATGCCTACTACGAACTATTCCCAAACCTCGCATCCTCCGGTATCGAGGTTCGAGCCTTTGACCAACGGTAAGCAAACCCCAATAAGCTGGCTTTCTTTGTTGATTCCCTCGTCACCGAGATATCATGACTCCATTAATCGAATTAAAACAACAAAAACATCAATATTAACACATCAGTCCAGAGGCTGGGGTCGCACCGTCAAACGTCCCAAAGACCGAGGCAACGCTGGCGGCACCGCCCTCGTCCTCTCAGACATCCACTCATTCCTCCTCGGCGTAAGTCCCCCACCCAAGACCCCCCTCTTCCTCATGGGCCACAGCATGGGCGGCGGCGAAGTCCTAAACTACGTCCTCCACCCGGACTCCCCCTACACCACATCCAACACCCGCCCCCAACTCGCTGGCGTAATGGTCTACTCCCCCCTCATCGGCCTGGACCCAGCAACCCGCCCCTGGGCCATAACTGTCTTCCTGGGACGTCTGGTCGCCCGCATCATACCGCGAGCGCAGCGGCATTCGCCGCTAGACACGAAGCTAGTGTGTCGGGATGAGACGGTTGTGGCCGATTATATCGCGGACGAATTGTGCCATGACATGGGGACGTGGGAGCAGTTGGTGGGCATGTTGGATCGGGGGCTGTGGTTGGAGAATTTGCAGAGTGGGGATTTGACGGAGGGCAAACTTCTGCCCATGTGGCTTGGGCATGGGGATGCGGATCGGATTACTAGTTGGGCGGCGACGAAGAAGTTGAGTGGTGTTTTGGGGGTGAAGGGGGATGTTACTTTTGTGTCGTATGAGGGGGGTTATCACCGGGTACATATGGATCCTGGCGAGGTGAGGGTTCGGTTTGTGAAGGATGTGACGGATTGGGTGTTGAAGAAGGCTGAAGGTACTGAGGCTGCTGCTGAGTGAAGCATATATCGTTGGATTAATGGGTCAAATGGGTCCCGCTGAGGTTGGATGCTTGCAAATTGGGGTTTATATTACATGCTCCGGATATCTATGGTACAAGTCGATGCAAATATAATATATAGTACAGTGGGATGAGATCGTCATGCCGAAATGAAAAACCAAATAAGAACTAGATCACCGTCCAGAGGGATCTTCAATGCGCCGCCAGATGCCAACAAACCCGCCTCCCACGGTACGGATCCCCACCTTGGGTCGACAGACCATGACAGGCTCCTCCTCTTTGGCGGGCTCCTCAGGCACGATGATCTCATCCACGTTATGGGCAACTCTTGACCCTGTCACTTCCGCATCAGTAGCAGAGACCGAGTCTTCACCATCGGCCTCGGCAGACGAAGCCCAAGACGAAGGGTCCGCCCCAGACTTCTTATATGCAAGTCGAACATCCCAATGGCGACCACTTGTCATTCCAAGTCCCAGCTCGACCACTTTTTCCTGAACAAAAGGCAGCCGCTGCTTACGAATGATCTGCACGCAATCGCCAATCTGAGTGATGCTCGGCATAAAGACCACGAGATAGCCATCCCGCCTCAAGACCGGCGCAACGTGCGGAATGCGCAAGTGCGCCGATGGCATATCCAGAATGGCGTGAGACAAGAAAGGTTCCACCGCGGAGGACCCGGTCAACGAGGACAATATCCCGGTCTTCGTCCGTCGCTTGGTCTGCTCGGCGATCCAGTTCTCGACGGGACCCACGTAGAAATCAACGTCGCCAGCATAGATTCCCCGGCGGAACCCCTTAACATTTCGCTCGGCCAGGGCGGCGAACTTATGCGAGACGTCCACGGTGTGGATCACAGCGTTGCGCTCCGTTCGCCATGCATCCCATTCTAGCTGGGTCGTGTCGTCGGTCTGCGGGGTCTGGTTTCCGTCTACCTTTGCATCCTCGTCGCCTGGCCTGAGAGCCCGGTTCTCCACATATTGAATTTGTGATCGCGATGGGCGAGGCGGCGGAGTTGTGTTTGCGGCATGGATGGCACGGGCGAGGTGGAGGGTCAAGGAACCATGGCCGGTGCCAGATTCGAGGATTTCCAGCGGAGGCTGGGTCTCGCCCGTAGCAGGGGGGGTTGACATGGATATCAAGGAGGGAGACAATCAGGTTTCCATCATGCGAATAGATCTATCAGGCGTAAGTAGCTGCGCCGGAGGCCGTGGTTCATGATCGTATGCCCATACCGGGGTAACGAGACGAGGAGTCAATGCGACGTATTCTTCCAGAGTCGGGAGACTCAATCGTACATCTGGACCTGTGAGGGAGGCCTCTAGGTTAGCTATGCTGCGGCGAGGGAAGTCGTTGAGCGTGCCTTGCCTTTATGCGCCTGTACCGCGTCCCAGACCCGACTGCCAATGATGTTATCATGGGCGACGTGTCCGCGGCGCAAATGCGTCTTGTCACCCCTTTTCAATGGCTTCGTCAATTGCGGCTGCTTCTGGTGTAGCACGGCCCGATCGCCCTCTGCGCGTCCTGTCAGCCCTATCTCTCACGTCGCAAACCCTCCTCGATGAACGGCGCACCTCGGAAGATGGAGAAGTCGGTGTCGATGGATCGAGTCCGTAGACTACCAGCAGCAGAAGCGGTAGTCGTCGTCGACGACGTACTCAGCCCGAAGACTCGCCGCAAAGAATGCAGCAGACGAGCCATGGCAGCTGGAGTCCACGCAGCTCTGGGCTAAATAATCGAAAAAATATAATTTTGCTCCATCGGCGCCCAAAAATCCACTGGGGCCCTGGGCCAGACCCACTTGGGTCAATCTCTCCCCAGGTTCCATTCGCCGTTCACCGGAGAAGACCCCTCCATGCTTTGAGATCTTTTTTTTGAGGCTTTCTTCCCAAGTCCTTCTTCGACACAATTGTTCCACCACCGCATTGTTCATATTGGAAATACCTGCATTCATACTACACGTCATCCACTCTTTCAATCTCAACCGCAGTTTCTTCTGTCAAGATGGGGTCCACCGTTCTGCCGTACATGGAGACGATGCCGAAGATGATCTTCTTCACCGATTTCGACGGAACTATCACCGTCGATGACAGTGAGTGCTCACCCATTGTGTAAATGTCCCGGCCAAGTGCTAACGAGGAGAATAGGCAATGACTTCATGGTCCGCGAATTTCCCTTCCTGTCGCCATTGGCAACCCCCTCCCTGACTGAGCATCGCAGATTGACAACCTTGGCTTCGGTCGCGAGGAGCGACGAAAGTTGAACGATGAGGTTCTGGAGGAGCGCATGGGTTTCCGGTAGGAATTTCAATTTCCACGAATTCACTGGAACAACGTCTGACCATGCTATGCGTAAAATCAGTGACGCCTTCCGCCTCATGCTCGAGAGCATCAAGACCCCTTACGACGAGTGCATCGAGATCCTGAAGAAGAACATGAAGTTGGACCCATACTTTGAGGAATTCTATTACTGGGCCGAGAAGAACAACGTGCCCATTGTCATTCTGTCCTCCGGCATGCGCCCCATCATTAGTGCGCTGCTCGAAAAGTTCCTTGGCCACGAGCCCAAGAGCCACCTCACCATTGTCTGCAACGAGGTGATCCCTCGGGATGGCAAGGATATCAACAGCGAGGGCGGCTGGCAGATCAAGTACCACGATGAGAGGTGGGTGTCCTGAGTAGCCCCCTATGCGTTGAATTTCTGGTGTTGAATGAATTTGCTCACGGCTTCTGCGTTCTAGCCACTTCGGCCACGACAAGTCCCTCGAGATCAAGCCGTATGCGGCTCTGCCCGACGGCGAGCGCCCGATTCTGCTGTATGCTGGTGACGGTGTCTCTGATCTGTCGGCTGCTGCTGAGACCAACCTTCTGTTTGCCAAGGAGGGCAAGGGTAATCAATCACCGAACCACCGATCTGTTCCAGTGGACATTGGGAACTGACAAATATCCATAGATCTTGTCACTTTCTGCCAGCGCCGTGGCATGCCCTACACCACCTTCCAAGACTGGTCCACCATCCTCTCCACAAGCCAAGATATCCTCGCCGGCAAGAAGTCACCGAGCGAGGTCGCCGTCCGGGCGAAGAGCACTTAGATCGGATGAACGTATAGATTGAGGACTTGATTTTCTTGTTTTGGGCGGCTGGACATTGCGACAGTCATTTATGAGTATTTTAGTATTTAGATCTCCCGGTGACTTGTAATTTTTGCAAGCATCAATAGACATTACTCTTCTAGATTTTGATGAAATCCGTCTCGGGGCTTCAGTAGGCTTCAGCAGTCGAGACACGAGTGACCGCCTTCCGCCAGGGTCCAAGCGTCCGCCCCGAGGCTCTCCCTCGAAAACAACCATCTTTTGCCTCACCGATCACTTTCCTTATGGCTTTATGGCCTTGTGAGTGGACCTGATTCTGTTGGTCTTCTCCTGGGCTTTTCCGTGATCCTTTTCTTTCCCTTCTGTCATACGTGGCATCATGCGCCTGTGCGCCACCCTGCTCTTCTCCAAGACCTTGCCAGGGTGATTTCGACTTCATCATGGCTCGCCGGCTCGTACGCTTCGCATTCTTCGGCTTCAGGGTCGCATGGGGATCATTCGGCTAATTTGCGTGTGTCTCTTTAGGTCCGAACGGGCGTTCAGCTCGGCTTGTTAGTAACGTTTGCGCTCCTCCTAGTCCTCTTTCTCGACAACAAGTTCCGGGTCCTGCCAGCGTCCATCCATGGCCACCTTCCCATGCACTTTTCCGGCTACGTGATCACCGATGTGACCGTCACCCAATGTTCCTCACTCAATCCGTTCTCGAGCTGCAAGTTGGACCCGGAAGTATGGTTCCGCATTGAGAAGGATCTCTATCTACGCACTGGCTGGACCTCAACGGCGTATATTCAATTCCAACGAAAGAAGGAGGAAGAGTTGGGTCCCGATGACAAAGTGGTCATTGACCTGAAGATCAGTCGCCTGACCCCGCCCACCGAGTATACTCCCAAGGGAGACGATGAGGCGTGGGAGGCCCGGCCCGGTGGCATCTGGCTACGGCGGACGGCCTCGCGCCATGCTAGCGATTCTGAGAAAGCGATCACATATATCGATGTGCTCTTCGGCGCTGACGCTGTTGATCCTCGTCCCAACTGGGAGGTCAAAGATACACCCTTGTTGCTGAATGGGTGGACGGAGAAGCTGGAGACTCGTCTCAGCATTCGACGTGGCAACCCCCTGAAACTCAAGAAGCCTACTCCTCGGATCAACGAGAATGGAAAATTCAAAGTGATGCAGCTCGCAGATCTGCATCTGAGCACGGGTCTTGGTGCTTGCCGTGACCCTGTGCCCGCCGAATCGGCACCGGGACAAAAGTGTGAAGCCGATCCCCGAACATTGGAGTTTGTGGAGCGACTCCTCGACGAAGAGAAGCCAGATATGGTCGTTCTGAGTGGAGACCAGGTCAACGGAGAAACCGCTCCGGATGCTCAAAGCGCCGTGTTCAAGGGCGTGAAGCTTCTAGTCGACCGCAAGATTCCCTACGCTGTTATCTTTGGCAACCATGACGATGAAGGTGACCTCAACCGAGCCCAACTCATGTCCATCTATGAAGACCTACCCTACTCTCTTTCAACAGCCGGCCCGGAAGACATCGACGGAGTCGGCAACTATATTGTCGAAGTTCTCGACCGCGGCGGTGGTACACACTCGGCACTCACTTTCTACCTCCTTGACACCCACGCCTACTCGCCTGATGAGCGGCAGTTCCGAGGTTATGACTGGGTCAAGCCGAGTCAAATCCGCTGGTTCAAGAACACCGCCCAGAGCTTGAAGAGGAAACACCAGGAGTACTCTCACAGTCATATGAATATGGCTTTCATTCATATTCCCCTCCCCGAATACCGGAACAATGGCAAATACTTTAAGGGTGAGTGGCAGGAACCGCCAACTGCACCTGGATTCAACTCTGGTTTTAAAGACGCCCTAGAAGAAGAGGGCGTCTTGTTTGTAAGCTGTGGACAGTAAGTTGCTAAATCATCTTGACCCCTTATGACGGAGATACTTATGTTCTTTCTAGCGATCACGTCAACGACTACTGCATGCTCGAGCAAGATGCCAATGATAAACCCTCATTATGGATGTGCTACGGCGGCGGTGTCGGTCTGGGTGGTTATGGAGGTTATAACGACTACGTTCGGCGGGTGCGCTTCTTCGACTTCGACATGGGCCCTGGCCAAGTCAGGACCTACAAACGTCTTGAATGGGGACAAACAGAAACCAAGCTCGACGAGATGATCATTGTCGATGGAGGTTCTGTCAAGGGGCCGAACGAATAGACCTAACGAGAAGTGACTTTGCCTATCTCTATCATCTCATCCTTTTCTTTCTGTTTTCTTCTTTTCAACCTTTTCCATCATGAGAGCGCATGTGTTTCGGCTCTGTTTTACTGTCGTTTCCGTTGTTGGCGACTCCATCCCTCCTTCCGAGCTTCTACACTTCTGTACATATATTTTTCTTTCTCCCAGTCCTCTTACCTGCAAAAAGGTCGGCGTCCGTAGGGTGTCTATCTCTCACTGAATATCTCATCATTTTCTTCTCCTTCTATTCCCCTGTGATAAGCAAACATCCATCACTATACTTTTTAGTCTTCTAGTGTTTGAATCAAGAAGATTCCATCACCACCATTTCTCAAAGAACACTCGTTGCTCCCCGCCCTCTCCGAGAATACCTTTCAACAACTCGATCATTTCATCTGTCACCTGCGGCGGTCCACAGACGTATGCCACACTCTCTCGCGGGTCTAGCTTGCCATCCCCGCCGACAACGGCTGATAGAAGGTCATGTTTTTCAATTCTCTTTGAGTGGATGGTTAGGTCAGCCGGGGAGTTAGCTGGGGTGAGACGAGAAGCGTTCGAATCCGTGAGGAAGAGATCGAGAGAGATTCGGAGACGATGAGATTGTCCTTGGGAACGAATGATTTGGCGAATTCGTGGGAGGAAGAGGATTTGATTGAGCGATTCTTCTGGTGATGCTGTTTTGTGTCCTTGGGGCAGTCGACTCGAGTATAAGAAATGGATGTTCAAGGGCTGGGTGCGTTCAGTTTGGTTATTGAGGTGAGAGAGGATAGAGATGAGCGGACTTAAACGATTGTCAGCTTCCAATCCACGGAAGGCATGCTCGGCGTAGCCATGCATTAATGTCTAATTCACGTACTTGATTCCCACTCCCCCTGCAATGAAGACCACATTCTTAATTTTCTGTATGTCAACCCCCGTAGGTGGCCAGACAAAGCTCCCACCAACGCGGATATTCAATTCCTTCCCGAGAATCTCTGCCTTTGGTTTCCATAACCATGCAGCAGGTGGATTTCCGGGGGAGACTTGGACGGCCAACTCTACATAGGGCTCTCGTCCTTGGGAGGGGATAGATGAACCAGCTTCTTCGCCAAGGAGCGGTTCCGCTGGTGACTCGGGTGACGGCAGTGCCTGGGCGTCTGCGGGTGTTGACGTTATGGTGAACCCACCGGCTGTTGAGATGGTAGGGATGTGAACATCTAGCCATTGACCTGGGAGGAAAGTGAATGGTTGTTGGTATTTGTCATCCTGCAGAAGGAGTCATCAGCTGAGGTTCTTCGGTATAGTTGTGGTACTTTGCTCGTCTATATATATTCTCCAGGTTTACAGTAGCTTGGCCATTGGTTCGTGCCCAACATTCTATACGTATAGTTGGGTCTCCGATTAAAGAAGGCCGCATGGTTATAGCAAGATCAAGCCACACAGCTTCTTCTCAAAGCAAATTGGGACATACACTATTTTCTTGGTCCGGAATGGTAAACTGTAGCAAGCGGATAGAGGGGTTGACCTGCTCCACATGCGACAGGTGCACCGGGTAAAGTCTGTTCTGTCGAGGCTCCGCCGCGGTGCGAAGCTCATGTGGAATCGAGTCCTCGCGCTGGGAGCTCATCACGCCACGCAAGGATCTTGGTGGGATGGTGATGGGCTGTGAAGTTGGCAGGGGTCGGTGCAAGCTTCGGGTTGGAAGCGCGAATCGTGGGATTGGCTGGGAGAACGGTCGGAATCCCCTCATTAGATGACGCAGCTAATAATGGAGCGGTGGATGCAGCGGAGCGGGAGTCTAGATTTAATATTTCGTTGAGTAAGGAGACTTGGATGATTTGCATCGAATCATGTTTCATGTTCCAATGGATAACTGGAAGAATTGAGGTTGGAGGTGGGAGTTGTCCGACCACATGACTAGGAACTTCTGCTAATCCGTGGATGACCAGACTCGTTAGCTACATCTACATCTTCTTCTCATCCGTTACAGCCCAATTTTTAGGGTTACGCCTGTCACGGTCTGCAAATGGTTCAAGGTCCTTGGCGACTGACTGGTTCGACGCTAAAGTCCACAATGCCTGTCTTCGAGTGTGATAACGAGATGTGGATGCGTGGTGCGGAGTATACAAACGAACTCTCGAGTCGCACTGCAAAGCAAATAATATCACCACCAGCGACAAGGATGGCTAACCCCTCCCCACCACAGCGCTTCACCAACCTTCTCCCCACTAGGCAGGCCTCAAGGCCGAGTCTTCGTTCTGCAAGCTCACTGTGATGCGGAGCGCTCCCTCGTGCAGATCCGCTCTTCCATCACATTCGCTAGCGTGTGATGACCTGACAGGCAAACCTCGGTCTATCGCATATTATTGGTGCGACAGCCCTGCACTGGTGCTTTCCCAGGCGCTTTGCGGTCCACAGGTATTGGTCAGATGCACCTTCCGGAACAGTTGAGGTTGTGCTGCGCCTGAAAGTTCTCTGCTGATTCGTGGCCCTCTCGCCAGCCCAGTGATGGGCAACAACATGGAATGTCGGCGGTCCGGGAGGTGGGTTGCGAGCTCATATCTAACGCCCTCCCTCCGGATCGCCCAGATTTGATGCCTTTCTGATTCTCTTACTTATTCCCCCTTGAAGGCTTTCGGTCTCTGGCTTTTTTACATGCGAAGCACTGGATGTCGCAGCCAGCCGGCCTGGCCGAATCGCATTGTCTTCCATTAATATAGCGGTCGCATTTGGCTTCAGCTAAGCGGCGATCTTGGGGTACGACAATAAGAGCAGTCAGCCACGCCTGATTGCGCTTTCACTACGGTCACGATGCATTTCTTCTTCCCAAGGCGGCACCGTCACTATAAGCTCACCCTCTGGCTGATGGTAGCCGAGCTTCCGATCACGGTCGTTGTTCTGACTTTGACTGGTCTTGCTTCCCACAATACTTACCGGACGTTGCTATGGCAAGATGGCGCGGATAATGGTTTCAACAGCGCACCCAATGCGGCGCTATATGCTGCTGCTAACTACCGACCATATACGACTCCCATGATTTGGTCGTCGTTGTACGTCTCCATGTGTCTCATCAAGGATCTGATAGGGCAAGGCTGACTTCACGAGCACAGTATGACCAACTACAATCTCGTCATTGGAGTGCTCAGCGTCTTCTTATTGATCGTCAAATTCCCAGTTCACTCCATGCACCTATTCTTCCCTCCCATCGGGGCCTTCATCCAGGGTTCCATCATGGTGCTTTACATTGTTTCGGCCCGCTTCCAAGCTAGCAGCGACATGTCAGACCCGAAGCATCCGCAGTCGGGCCCACCTTGGTATATCACGAAGAGCTGCAGTGTTGCCGCGCACAAGTCAAACATTGGATACTGTGAACAAGCAAAGTCGCTATTTGCTGTCACAATTGTGATAATGTATGGAGAAAATCTCTACTGGATGGTTTCTAGAGAGTCTGGCATGCTAATACTCACCTCTATAGTTTCCTCTACTTTGTGGAATTCGTCATCGTCGTTCACTCGTGTTTCATCACCAAGGCAGAGCGTGATGAAATCTTGGAACAAAGAGAAGAGAAGCGCATCGAGAAGGAGTTTGAAGAAGAGATCATGAATTCACCCAGCATGATCCCCATGACGCCCGCCTTTGATCAAGTTATGATCCCCCGCACTCCCGGATACCCACCCATGGCTGCCACAAGTCCAGTAACACATGGAGGAATTCTCCATGCGCCGTTTACTCCACGGTCTTCTGTACGCACGCCGGGCTTTAATAGACTCGGTGGTGCAAGTACGTCTTCGGATCTTCCACTGCGGGATAACTCCAACATGTCCACACCCCAGCTACAGTCTCGACCAGTACAGGCGGTAGAGCCCCAGTCAAGACCTGAATCAGCGATGTACTTCCCACCGCCGCCGAAGAAAGCATCAAAGAAATAAAGTTGAGACCAAACTCACTCCTCGTTATCTTTCTTCACCAATTTCTCATGATACCATATTTTTATTTATGCAATTACTTTCATTTGCCCCGGGTTTAGGACGGATTTCCCCCCATTAATCCTTCCCTCGCTCCTCTCCCATGCCTTTGTGGCGAGTTCATCAAAATACACCAAGTACATATCATACCTCATCTACGGCGTTCTCCCATGGAAATCTGTTTCCCGCCACTATATAGGCGATTTTTCATCTAATATTGAAAAAATGATCCAACTTAAAAACGAAAAGACGCATGATCAATTTATTAAACCAATCCGTATGCTGATACATAGACTCGCAAAGTGGAAGACATCCATAAATCAAGAGTGGAGACCCGAGAAATGTCCAAATATGTACCGCAGAAGTATCCTAGATCACAAAGGGCTTGGACAAATGGTCATGAATTCATGAATCATGCCGAATGTTGAAGCATGTACAAAGACATCGACCCATTACACAAAAAAGCAAACACGCCGTTCGCAGGATTTGAAGAATCGAAAAGGGGAGAGTCAGTAATCACCCTCAAATTGGAATAGTAGGCTGACGGGGTATAATCGCTGAGCCAAGGAGAGAAGACCAATAGAAAAATTTATCCGTCGATCGAAGGAGACCACCAGTTCAGTAAAGAAAACTCAAGCAGACTCCTGACGCTTCTTTTCCTTCTTCGACCAGCGTACTATACGGATCAAGAAAGTGAGTCCGAGTTCGAGGTCATGAGAGAGCTTAGATTGGAATCAAAACTTACAGCCACAGGCATTGCACAACGTCTTAGGACCGCTTGGGCCCTTCCTCCACTCGGGTGAGTCGGCGGTTCCACAGTCACTGCAGACGTGCTGTCCCTTCAGCCTCTTGCGCCTGTCACCTTCCTGCATGTTGCGGGCTTGATCAACCGCCGTGGTGATATCGATGTCACAATGGATCAGTCGACCTCGGCGCAGACCAGTGCTGAGTCCCTGGGACCTCTCGCCATCACCGTAGTATAGACCGGTCATCACTTCGATGCCATCAATATGAGACAGACCCTCGGGGCCAGGGGCATTCTCGGAAAAGTAATCCCCCGTGGCCCCGTCAGATTCGTCAGAGTTAGGCGCAACGGTCTCAGTCGACTCTTGATCACTGCCACTTCCTTGAGCGGCTGCCTGGTTCTCAAGCATTTTCCCTTCAATCTTTGCGTAAGACAGTCGAGACAGGTTTGCCTCTTCGTCCTCTTCCTGCTTTAGCTTGGCAATTTGCTGGGCCAAGCGTGCATTCTCGATCTTGTGTTCCAGGAACGAGTCAAGAAGCAGCGAGTTCTTTGTGGGGTAGGGTCGGCACATAATGAAGAAGCCGGTGCAGCGATCCTGGATGATGTTCCTCCCCCGGGTCCCATTTTCGCTCGCAATATGTGGATGTCCGTAGGTTTCGACCAGGGAGTACGTGCTGTTCGACTTTTGCAACCGCACATGGGTTCGAAATGGTGTGTTCGTCGCCACCGCATCATCCATGTCTCTCAGGAAGATAGGCTTGTCGTCCTCGTGAATATACTGAGTGAATAGGCTGCCCTCGAGTTGTTTGGCTGCACGACCGGTGATCGACTTCGATGACGGCGACGCGTAAGTGATCCGACCCTGGGCGTTTAGCAAGAGGAGCAAGTCCTTCATCTCTTCCAAGACTCGCTGTGTCCAGCCTGGGTCGTTCTGCACATTTTGATAAGCCCCCTGTTGTTGCCCCTGCACGGCATAGTGTCCATAAGAACCCGTCATACTCTGCTGCTGTGACTGTTCAGCCAGGGCAGCCTGGTTCCCTTCGTTCGAGTCCGATCGTGACTGGGAAGACAGATCCATATTGTTATAGGTCATTTGAGTCATGGCCATGTCAAAGAGACTGTCCGTCCCTGCATCACCAGCAAAGACAGAATAGGGATCAAGCGCCTGGCGGGGTCGGACTTTGGTCGTCAATGCGTATCCGGGTTGTCAACGGTCCAGATTGGCCGGTGGGCGCATTCCCCAGAGATCGGGTCCGGGTAATAATATACTCGGTATGGTTTGACTTGATCTGACAATAATCATATCGGGGCCTGATGTCAGGCACAAAGTCTGTTCAGTGGAAACCAGCCAGATGGGAAAGCCCCTTCTTGCGCCGTCTCACACATCCGGCCAGGACTATTCCATTCAAACGAAGGGTCAGTGCTAAGGAAACAACCACCGGCCCGCTCTGGTGTGACAGACCGCATTCTGCTGATCCCCACTGGAGGTGGGGCGCATTTCTTACGTCAGCACTCTGCCATTAAAGCCACGTGACTTCGTGTCGCACTGGCGCGAAGTGGAGAAAGTCGGATGGATCACAAGCACTGGGCGATCTGAGCACTCACTCACTTCGATTACAACTGTACCAGAGCAAAAGGCCTGGGCTACCTCAAATCTTTTGGAGGTGCTCCGAATATTGAAAGAGAAATCAAGACTTCTCTTCTCAAAGTCATCGAGAGAAAGAACGGCTCTCGCTGGCCGCTACCGCAAGAATGTACGTACTGCGGATACTCCGCCTCAAGACCTGATGACGCTAACGGTTCGACAGGTGTAAGTGTTCGCAGCTCATTGGGTACTCAGAAAATATCTGACAATTACATATCTGACGTTAGCGAAGATTGACAAGCTCTCAATTCTGGGGTAGGTGCAACTGGGTTCCCGACGCGACTTGTCACAGGCGTGCCGTTTCCCCCGCGCTTTACTGACCGTGTCATCATCTTAGAGTTCGCTCCTTCGATAACACGCGCAGCGAGACCATACAATTTCACACTCCCCTCACATTAATCGTCGGTTACAATGGATCTGGAAAAACGGTATGCGCGGGGCAATTTAGAGCTGCCAGGAAGAGCTATGCGAGAGAAACTAACACATTCTAGACGATCATCGAGTGTCTCAAGTATGCCACCACCGGCGACCTCCCCCGAACAGCAAAGGTGGCGCTTTCATCCACGATCCCAAGCTATGTGGCGAGAAAGAGGTGCTCGCCCAAGTGAAGCTCTCGTTCACTGGAACATCCGGTGCCAAGATGGTCGCCACACGCAGCCTGCAGCTTACGGTCAAGAAGACGACCAGGCAACAGAAAACACTAGAGGGACAGCTAGTCATGGTCAAGAATGGCGAGCGCGCGTCTATTTCATCACGGGTGGCAGAGTTGGACCAGATCATGCCGCAGTACTTGGGTGTTTCCAAAGCTGTGTTGGACTCCGTGATATTCTGCCACCAAGACGAAAGCTTATGGCCAATGAGCGAGCCTTCAGCACTGAAAAAGAGATTCGATGAAATTTTTGAAGCGATGAAGTACACAAAGGCCATCGACAACATCAAAGCCTTGCGGAAAAAGCAGAATGAAGAGCTTGGGAAATTCAAGATTATGGAACAACACGCCAAGGAGGATAAAGACAAGGCGGATCGTGCAGAGAAACGGTCTATCAAGCTGCAAGATGAGATCGAGGCGCTGCGGGATGAGACTCAGCAAATGTCCAAGGAGCTACGACGCGTCGCCGAACTCGCCGACAAAGCCTGGAAGGAATCAGAAAGCTATGCCCAGGTGCTCGGTGCATTGGAGGAAAGCGCATCGAAGCGAAAAGTATTGAGAACACCATCGAAAACCTCAAGAGGCATCTGGTTGAGCTCGATGACTCGGATGAGTGGCTGCAGTCGAACCTCGAGCAGTTCGAAACGAAACAAATCGAGTATCAACAGCAGGAAGAGTCTCAGAAGGAGAACTACATGGAGCTTAAAGAGAGAATCGAGACAGCTCGGCACAGGTTGGGCTTAAAGCAGGCTGAGAATGGCAAATACGAGAACGACAAAGCCAATTTCGAGCGCCAGGTTCAAAGACGTCAGACTATGATTATCGAGGCTGCTCGCAACAACAATATCCGTGGAGTCAACGACAACATGGACCAGGCAGAAATTGACGACTTCATGCAGCAAATTCGGCGCGCTCTGCGGGAGCAAAACCAGTCCTTGGACCGTGTGAAACGCGAAGCCCAGCGTGATCTTCGCGAGGTGCAGGTCACTCTCAATGAGATTGGTCAGCGAAAGTCTGCCTTGCAGGAAACCAAAAATGCTGCAAAGAGACAAATCGGGGCAAATGACAAAGAGGCGGCAGCGTACCAGGGAAAGTTAAATGAGATTGACGTCGACGAGGGTGTCCAGGCTGCCCTAGAAGCTAAGATTGAAGACATTAATTCGAGTCTTGATCAAACTAAGGAACGGGCCAAGGCTGCCTCATGGGACCGAGAGATCCAAGACATCAACTCGCAGATCCAGCACCTTGAAGACGAGGCCTCGAAACTCAATGCCGAGCTGATTGAGTCCACAAAGAAAGCAGGCGACCTGGCTCGCTTGGACCATCTCAAGAAGGAGCTCAAGGACAGGGAACGCAGTCTACAGACTATGAAGAGTGCTCATGGAGACCGTCTCGTGAAGGTTGTCGGTGCCGAATGGCAGCCCGAGAGCCTGGAAAAGGATTTCCAACGAGCCGTGGACACGGAGTCCAAGCAGGTCGCCGATGCTGAGCGGATCCGTGACGGGGTTCACCGAGAACTCGAGCAAGTTGAATACAAACTGAACAACGCAAAGAAGAACTTGAAGCAGCGTCGCATCGAACTCAACGACTGCGCAGAGGAGATTCGTCAAGCGATTAATGCCGAACCAGCTGATTACCCTGAAGTTGTAAAAGACCGCCAAGCCCAATACGAGCTGGCCCGCAAGGATGCTGATCAATTTGCTGGCATGGGAGAATACCTCAGCAAGTGTCTTGATGCGGCAAAACGCACCAAAATGTGCCGCACTTGCCAGCGATCATTCAAGAACGAAACTGAGCTTCAAACCTTTACCAGGAAGCTGGAGGCTCTGGTGAAAAAAGCTGGCTTGGATGCAGAGGACGAAGGCTTGCAAGGCCTGGAAACCGATCTCGCAGCCGCTCGTGCAGCCAACGGATTCTACGAACAGTGGGCTCGTCTTTCTGAGACTGATATACCCGAGCTGGAGAAGGAAGAGCAAGAATGCGAATCCCAGCGAGATCAGCTTTTGGACAAACTCGAATCTCACGATCGAACTGTCAGCGATAAGCAGGAAGCCAAGAGAGATGTTGAGACACTTATCAAAACAGTAACCACCATCTCGAGGTACGACGCTGAAATCAAGAACATCACGTCTCAAATCCAGGAGCTTTCCGCGAAGCAGCAGGACACTTCCCTCGGCCGCACCTTGGAGGAGATCCAGGAAGAAATCTCGGCCTCCAATGAGAAGTCTCGGGACCTGAAGAAGACTCTCGCCAAGCTCACCCACGAGAAGGAGCAGGCGCGAAGTGAGATGAACAAGCTGGAGCTGCAGCTTAGAGACGTGCGGGAAAATCTCAACAATGCCAAGTTCCAGCTGGAGAAGAAAGCCGACCTACTTGTCCGGATGGAGGAGTATAAGAAGCTTAATGCCCAGCAAAGGGAGACAATCGAAAAAGCGGACCAGGATATCGAGAGCCTCACGCCCGAATTGCTTCAAGCCCAATCCAAATACGACGATATCACCCAAAAGACCGAAAGCCGCGAACGTGACTTGCAGCATGAGATCAACAGGTTGTCCGACAGTATTCATCAGCTCGACCTTGCCAATGAGGACATAAATTCGTACATAGAACGAGGAGGTCCGCACCAACTGGACCGGAGCAAGAAAGAAATTGCCGCCATCGAGATTGAGATTAGCCAATTCGAAACCGAACAAGGCGAGATAACGAGAGAGATCAACAAAATCTCAGCTCAGCTCAAGGATAGTGAAAACACGAAGCGACAGTACTCAGATAATCTGACGTATCGTCAAGCCACACGATCCTTGGGCAAAGTTCTTCAGGAAGTTGAGGAGCTGGAAGCCCAGAATGCCGAAGTTGACCGCAGCCGCTTCAAACAGGAGTCAGAGCGCTGGACTCGCGAGCACAATGCTTTGGCTGCAAAACAGGCCAGCAAGATGGGTGAAATGAAGTCCAAGGATGACCAGTTGATGCAGCTGCTGGCCGACTGGAACACGGACTACAAGGATGCAGCCTCCAAGTACAAGGAAGCACATATCAAAGTGGAGACCACCAAGGCTGCAGTGGAGGATCTCGCTCGCTATGGCGGTGCCCTGGACAAAGCGATCATGCGATACCACGGATTGAAAATGGAAGAAATCAATTCCATTATCGGTGAACTCTGGCAAAAGACCTACCGCGGAACGGATGTTGACGCGATCCTCATTCGTTCCGACAACGAAAATGCCAAAGGTAATCGATCCTACAACTACCGGGTTTGCATGGTCAAATCAGGTGTGGAGATGGATATGCGCGGCCGCTGCAGTGCTGGTCAGAAGGTTCTGGCCAGTATAATCATTCGCCTTGCTCTGGCAGAGTGTTTCGGCGTGAATTGTGGTCTTATCGCTCTTGACGAGCCGACGACCAACTTGGATCGTGACAACATTCGCTCGCTAGCAGAATCATTGCACGATATCATTCGGGCTCGCCAGCAGCAGGCGAATTTCCAGTTGATTGTCATCACCCACGATGAGGAGTTCTTGCGTCACATGCAGTGTGGTGACTTTAGCGATTATTATTATCGTGTCTCGCGGAATGAGAGACAAAAGTCGATCATTGAGAGGCAGTCCATTGCCGAGGTATGTGCCTAATTGTTAGGGTGGATGTCGACTTATGCTAACTAACATCCTTCTAGGTCATGTAATTCCCACGTCAAACGGTGGCAATTTCTACTGATGAGCACCAAAAAGCCTCACCGTTCGTATCTTTGCATTTCATTTTAGGCGTTCAGGAGATCTCCTTGCAGCTTATGTTTATTGATACCTCCAATGCATCTCACAAAATTGTTCACTGGATCTCAGAAAGTGTAAATACGTATACGGCTATTATTGGACACGAAGCAAGCAATTCCTATTATTCTTCAGTATCGAGTGCATCCATCTCAGCCTCTTCTTCATCAAGAAGCGGTACAAATCGAAAATCCACAAAACATCTTGGACCCGCCAGCGCCCTGACACCAGCACCAACGGATCTTCCAGTTGGTGTATTATCGTCAAGATCAACCATAAATTGGAAGCTTAGCACTCCCTGTCGGTCACCACGGATGCTAACTTTGTTAGCAACAGCCATGGCTCGGGCTGCCTTTCTGACGAGTGCAAATCGATAGCTTTGTCGAATCCGCTCCCCCATAGATGATGGCGGTGATACTTGGAATGTCTCTGTGACAGTGGGTGCTGCCTTGGCTCTGGTCGCACGTGGCCGCGAAGTTCCATCATCCGTTAGGACCTTGTGGGCTTGTGATGCGTGGTCCCCTTGTGTAGCACCACCAGTGATTTCGTTGTGTTGGTCGATGGAGAACTCGACCGTGGACTCACTGAAGGGACCGCCAGCACCTGTTAGAGCAAAGTACGGTTCCCGGTCGGCACAGGCGGACAGTTTGAGAATGGTGGGAGTTGACGAATCGAGCTCGGCAATGGCATTGTGCAGCCAGGCGGAGCGCATGATGATCTTCATAATTATAGCATCGCGTTGCAGTGGTATGTCGGTTTCAGCGTCTTCTGGCTCGTAAGTAACCAGCTCGCATGTCGTTTTCACACCCGCTTCAGTGATGGCAATACTAAGAGGAGCACCATGTTGTGTGTATTGGAGGGTGCATGAGCGGTCCATGAGCAGGGCTGGTGCACTGAATGCACTTGAAGCTGGATTGGTCTGAGGGAGATTGGTGTCTCGGGAGCCATTGGGCTCGGTCAAGTCATTGATCCCGAATATCTTCAGTGTCTCAAGAAGAGCGGAGAGCGAGACGAGAAAATGGGGATATTCCACTTCACCAGAAGACTCTGCATCTTCGTTGGACTCTCCGTGTTGAGGGTTGTGCTCTTTCGATGGCTTGAAGGTATAGCTGGTGAAGAGAGATTTGTCAAGGAATGCTAATCCTTGGATGACTCGGCCTTCTTCTGCTGAGAAACGTAGACCATCTGGGGTGATCTGAACCGTTGCCTTTGAGGCAAAGCCGATGCAGGAGAGCAAAGTGTAGAGGTGTCGGGCATTATTGGAGACCCCAGTGAACAGCGGCTCCATTGTCGAGGGAGTGCCGGCTAGACCCAGCCTTTTAGGGGGTAATTATGTGGTTCGGTAAAGAAGGAGGTAAGGACTTGATGTGTGTGAGATGATTTGGGAGCTTCTAGCAGTACAGGCCCCTTTGAATTCCCCACTTATGGTACATGGAGGGGACAGAATGTGGGTATCGCGTTAAACATAGACTCCGACCGCGCAGATTGTGAATACGGCACCGAAACTTGTCACCAAATTCAATCAGTATATTATATCTCTCATTGTGTATAATCATAGCAGTGCTCTCACTCACCCGAATGACAATGCCGCTGGGAGGCCGAGAGATGCAAGGCTCAGGAACGACCGGTCTGATAGCAGATGTTAGCTGTCGTTTCGTATAATTACAAACTGACAAGGACTTACTGAGACCAAAGAGCCCAGTGAAGATGAGAGCTATGTTAGACACAGTTAGCAGTGCGCAGTTGGAGCTATGGCAGCAAACCATCCTTACCAACCAGGAGCAAGGTGAAGCCGACGGTAAATTGGTTGTCTTTAGAGACAAGAGGGTGGAAAGGGGTTGCAGAGGCTGCCTCCCAGACTTCGTTCAGAGACATGAGTAAAAGATCTGTGAGTAATGAAAAGATCGGTTCGAAGGTAATGGGCCTGGGATCATCAGGAGAGTTGAGGGACTCAAGAAGTATACAACAAATGCACGACTGGTCGATCTGGCCGATACGGGGAAATGTTATTCCGGTCCCGATTCCGGGGAGCGTTATCTCGTCTCGAGAACGCGCAGCTTCCGACTACCACAAGCTTCACCTACTCCACCATGGCTGTTGAAACACCTCAAAGTGAGTGGTTCTTCTACTAGCAGCTGATGTATTTCCTAGTGATCAAATGCTGATGCTTTGCAGGTACCAAACGGAAAGCCTCGGAGGAGGCAGCTTCCCCGGATTCTCAGCAGCAAGCCAGCAAGAAAGCGCGAACCGATTCCCCAGACAAAGACGTGTGTCTCCCGACTGTTGTTGCGCGAGGATATAGATTGACATGATACAGGAGGATGGCCCGTTGCGAAAGCCCCCACTGCGCATTGTTCCATTCCCCGAAAAGGTGAGATTCCGCCCATCTTTTGCCCCTCTCTTTGCCAGACACGCAAAGAAAGATCGATCTAACTCTACATAGCCCGCTGTCCTAGAAGAGCGCCGAGGTGATATCGAGTTCCGAGTCGTCAACAATGACGGATCGCACGACAGCTTCATCGTCCTGACGGGCCTGAAGTGCATCTTCCAGAAACAGCTCCCAAAGATGCCCAAGGATTACATTGCGCGACTTGTTTATGATCGATCGCACTTGTCCATAGCCATTGTGAAACACCCGCTTGAGGTTGTTGGGTTAGTACAGCAAGCTTGGAGTCTCATTTTTGATGGCCACTGACGAACTACAAACAGAGGGATCACCTACCGACCATTCAACAGCCGCACATTTGCAGAAATTGTATTTTGTGCTATCTCCTCTGACCAGCAAGTTAAGGGATACGGTGCGCACTTGATGTCCCATCTCAAGGTAGGAGAACACCGTTGCAACTTGAGACCCCCCGGATCTAATGCGTTTTGCGACAGGACTATGTTAAAGCGACCTCTCCAATCATGCATTTTCTCACGTACGCCGATAATTACGCTATTGGATACTTCAAGAAACAAGGGTTCACCAAAGAAATCACCCTTGACAAGTCGATCTGGATGGGTTACATCAAGGATTACGAAGGCGGTACCATTATGCAGTGCACTATGCTACCCAAGATTCGGTACCTCGAGATGGGACGGATGCTCCTGAAACAAAAAGAGGCCGTTCAAGCTAAGATTCGTGCATTCAGCCGATCTCACATCATTCATCCTCCCCCAAAGGAGTGGAAGAATGGTGTCGTCAAGATTGATCCTCTCACCATTCCCGCAGTCAAGGAATCTGGATGGTCGCCTGATATGGATGAGCTGGCTCGCCAGCCTCGCCATGGTCCCAACTACAACCAACTATTGCATCTGCTGAATGACATGCAGAACCACAGTGCCGCCTGGCCATTCACCCAACCGGTGAATCGGGATGAAGTGCCAGATTACTACGAGGTGATCATGGAACCAATGGATTTGTCGACTATGGAAGAGAAGCACGAAAAGGATATGTATCCGACACCGCAGGATTTCATCAAGGATGCGATGTTGATCTTTGACAACTGCCGACGGTACAATAACGAGAGCACTCCGTACGCCAAGAGTGCAAATAAGCTCGAGAAGTTCATGTTCCAACAGATTCGGAACATTCCTGAGTGGTCGGTAAGTTTAATGCATAGAGACAGAGTGACCTGATACTGGAACTTCGACTAATCTATGTTTAACTAGCATCTTGCCGACGGACACTGAGTGTGCTTTTCCTGCGACGGTGTTTACATGGGACGGCGTTATGGAGGTGACTGGATTTACCAATACCCTGTGGATGATTAGTTTTAGCGGGAGGAGCACCTTCTTTACATGAGAATATGAATTGATGGCATTCGAACATCCAAATTCAATCAAACAAACCTTTGAACAATTCGAGAGTCCAATTCTTGGCTGATATTCAGACTCGAGATAACTTTAAACAGGGGTATGATGCAATGGCTACTTTTTGGGTTTTGGGGAAATGACAGATGGGTCCGCTCTCGGATAAATGTTATTGCGATGTTGTTTCAGGCCGTCTGCGAGAAAGCAGAGGCTGGCCCTCTCCCCTACGTGCCTTTCTTCAACCCTTACCTTCTCCTCTGGCTTCGTTCGTTTTAGTCCTGCCCTAGGCTATCTGTTCTGGGCTATCTGGGTTATCACAGTTGCTGCGGTGCAGCTGTCTGCTGATTTGTTGATCCGTTGCCGCGGTCGCCAAGGGGTATCCTTTCCCAGCAACCATTGTCTATCTCGCGACGACATCTTCAATTCGCTTCACATAATCCTCTCTTCAGTACTGAACGAAGTGCAATCCGCTCTTTTCGAATTCAATTGCGATCTGTCTCTTTATCGCAGGCCTATTGAGTTTATTCTGCTTGGGCTTACGCGACCCGCCACGCTCCCTACCCCTTTTAGCACCACCCCTCCTTCATTTCGACCTTGACCTTTTGGTGCTGGACAATTCACCGGTTGACAAACAACACAAACGACCGGACATAATGGCATCGCCAGACTCATTCCTGGATGTGGAGCAGCGGAATCGCTTGCCCACACTTTTTGAGGTCCTCAGTCGCCGTACCCTGGCTCCGGTTGATCTCTTCTCATTCTACATTTACATGCGCGACCAGCAACGCTCTGTGGATTATCTGGATTTCTGGTGAGTGATCTAACCCGTAAGTGAGTAGAATTACCTTGACTCCGTTCTAACGTCCCTTTTATCTGATCAGGCTCGATGTCTCCCAACATATGTCCCTGTGCCGTCACTATGTCCGAGAGCTTCGCCGTTCTGTCCTCGTTGCGACACCGGACCCGGAGAGGGCCGACAGCAAGCGCTCATCGGCAATGTTGGAGAACCTGGAGAACTTGGGCGACATTCCGCTAGTGGAGGCTGGTCCCTCCCGTCTGCGCCACAATGAAAAGGACCGCGATGCCGACCACCGCTTGTCTGCTTTCCTTCGCTCCGACGGTCACACTTCCTCGCACTCTCCGCAGAACAGCATCGGCTCCCAACAGTCTGCCCAGCGTACCTCGTCCAATGATCATCGGCCTAGCACCGGCAATGGAACTGGTGGCGATTCCAACTCCCCTGGACACACTGTGGGCCGCCATGACATCCGCGCCAGTGCTGAAAAGATTCTTTACACCTACCTCCTCCCCGGCTCTGAGCGAGAGATCATTCTGCCAGAGACCATGGTTTCCACGTGTATCAACTTGATTGAGGATGACGGCCGTGACGACCCCGAGGTATTCGACCCCGCAAAAGACTATGTCTTCCAGGCCATGGAGCGCGATGCCTTCCCCGGATTCTTGCAGGCCAAGGCTCTGGGTAACCTTGTGCCACTGAGCATCCTTGCCCGCCTGGCTTTTGCTCTCATCAGCTTTGGCGGAGGCTTCTGGGGTGCATTCTACGTGGTCCTGCGCAACAAGCCTCGGGACATCCGCTGCTGGGTCATCCTTCCATTCGCAGTTGCGGCGTACTTCATTGTCTCATATCAGTACCGGATTGACCCCGTCATGGCATTCCTCGGCTACAGCGAATACACATTCATGAACTGGGGTTTGATTCGCGAACCCTACGTCCGCAAGCTCTTGAACAAGCGCGCCCTGGTGACTGCTTTGGTCTCGTTCCTGACCGCTGCAGCTCTTAGCATATTGTTCATTTTCGTGCCTGGAACTATGCTCTAAATGTGCTTTTCGTCAATCTGTGCCGTGATGAAAACAACCCCGCCAAGATTTCTCTCAAAATCTCCCGCAGTGCTGTCAATCTTCATACGATCTGTCAGATATGTGTTTAGCCTGGCGTCCACCTACCTCTCTTCTCTTCTGCTTCTGTGAAGCATAATCCTTCGAAAGCTTTGGACTACGAGGGCAAGCCGACAGCCCATAATCCTGACGGGCTCAGTCTGCTTCCTTCGAATCCCCTTTTTCCCATCGTCTCTACCCTCCTCACTGACAATCCTGTCACTTTCCTTTTCCTTGCCGTGTCCATATTTCGCCCTGTCGACCTCTTTTTCATCTCGTCCGCGCTTTTCTTCTCTTCTACCAATACCCCGTTTGATTCTGGTCACTTGTATTGTACTTATGTTCTCCATGAGTCTTGCCATTAGGGCTTTACGAATGCAACCTGCTTAGGTGCTACCCCCGCGTGTATATCATGTCGTAGCTACCTCATGTAAGAAGTCTTGAATTCGGGATAAGATCGTGGTTTACTCGCTTCGTGTAGCTATCTAAGCAACATGATAAGATCGTGATATTCATAAGCACCCACTCGTCTAGGTCTTCCGTCCGACGACTCGCTTAGTCTGCCTGCTCCCTCCCCGACCTACACCAGCACCTTCGTCAATATCCATGCGGGACGCAGCCTCCCCATTATCACCTGACTGAAAACCATCATCCTCGTCAAAATCATCAGCTTCCCGTTTATTGCGCCCCAACCCAAACGGGACCCTCTCAACCCCCTCCCAAACCCAGACTTACCAGCTCGCCCATCCCCTCCTCCATTCCCACCCTCGCGCATAGTCTCAGCCTGGCGCCGCTGCACCGCTTCTTCCAAACGCTCCCGATACACCTGCTCCCTGTCATGGCGTTTCTGGGCATTGGCCTTGACCCGCGCGATCTCGGTTTCGAGATCCTTGACGACCTCGCCGCAGCGGGACTCCCATTCGGTAAGGAGGGTGACCATTTGGGGGGAGGGATTGGGGTTGCACGTCGCGCAGGGGTGCGACGGAGGTGACGTTGATGGTGGGTGGGGTGGATGCTGGGGAGAGGCGGGCGGAGATGAGGTTTGCGTAGATGGCGGTTGTGACGAGGCTTTCGAGGTCGGCTGTTGAGGGCAGGGAGAGGGATTGCATGAGAGTTTGGTAGGTGAGGGGTTTGGTGGTTGTTGCTAAAGTGAGAAGGGAGAGCAGGCGGAGTTTGAGGGTTTGTTCGGCGCTTAGTTTGGGGAGATTGGGGGTTGCTGGAGGTGTTGGTGATCGTGTTAGTGATATTATTCCACATGGAGTGTAGGTGATTTGGTAAAGTGGTGACTTGGAGCTGTGTGACTCTTTCATACCTTGGTATTCCTGCCATGTACCCCATGCAAAGATCTCGAGCAGCTTTAGGTACCTTTGATACTCAGCGGGGCAATCGGGGGAAGCAAGAGACTGGATGGTCGGTGTCTCCAGCAGCTCGGCGAAGACGTATGTTTGGGGCGCCGAGGTGGCATTTGTGACGATGTTGGCCACGAAGCGAGGTGATGTTGCGCTGTTGGAGATAGCTAGGGCGACGAAGGGCTGTAGAGCCTCTAGGGCCCGGGCGTGTGTTTGGTCCATGAGATGGATGCGGTCAATGAGGAGAGGTGGGGAAAGATGGAGGTCTTTGATCGACAAGTCAAGTTGGTGGCGTAGTTGATGGACCGAGATGGGTGTTGAAGCAATGTAATATGGAGCTCAACAGTAAAGACTCTGGGAGACAGTCTAGATCCGGAGATTACGGGGGAACGATGCCGATAGTCAATGCTCCAAGCCAACGGGTTCCGATGATGGAGTGGGTGGTTCGAGCTGGTTTGCAGACAATGCAAACACTCCCGCTGATTTGCCTGGTGATTAGAAGGCGGTGCATCAGGCGGTATAAGTTTTACTGTGCGGGACTTGGCAGGATGTTTAAAGCTCAGGTTGCAACAGACCAAGATCCACTTGTATTGGGGTCTATACTTGGCTAGCTTTGTACAGTATAGAATCAGACCTCTATAGTTCTCTCGGATCATGGTTCATCCTCGCACCAACTCGGGTGCATGTAGACGCCCTGGTCTTCAATCCTGGTCGTTTGTACAGGCCCATCCCAGCCATCCCAGCCATCCCAGTAGGCCCTGACCCAATATCGCGGGCGATCTGAAACGAATAATACGACCTTGCAGCTTTCTGACACTCCATTCGGCGTTTCAGAGTCATTCGAGATACTCCGCCTTTGACATCTGTATTGATGATGGGCGCCTGATAGGGCGTGTGATTATTGCGAAATTGCCTGCATGAGCACCAGGTGGAAGCCATACAATTTACCTGCAGGAGGTGGAGAGAAGGAGAGGGAGGGAGGGAGGGGACGGGGAGTGTCGCATTCGCATTCCTCAGCGTGGCTCGCTCCACTCCCTGCGTAATCTCCATCCACTACCCGCACCGCTCCAAAAGTATTTTGCATTCCTTGCTCCTTCAAATGAGCTCTTCCCCTCGACGTGGCCTTTTAGGCTCTTCAGTCTTGCTTTCCTGGTGCCCCTAGGCTTCTTTGCTTATTTTCACTTCCTCTCTACCTCAATCGGGGAATGATCTGACCAGTTTTTGTCGATCCGAGAGCATCCGTTGCGCATCACGCTATCCCCTCTACGCATTGCGCGTAAGCTGGCCCTCATCCCCGAATACATCCCCGACGAGATTCCCGAGCGCATCCCCGTCCTCCATGCGATAGCCACGTTTTCACCCATAGTCAGGGTTTATCGCCATGTCTGCAGAACCTCGCGGTGTGGACCCTGCATCCCCCGCCCACTCATTACCCGCCATGGCTACGACAACGATCAAAGTGGATGGAATGACCTGCGGAGCCTGTACATCTGCAGTTGAGGGCGCATTCAAGGGAGTAGAAGGGGCAGGCGATGTGTCCGTCAGTTTGATCATGGGTCGCGCCGCTGTTCAGCATGATCCGTCTATACTTTCGCCCGCGAAGGTTGCGGAGATGATTGAAGATTGTGGATTCGATGCCGCAGTTCTGTCCACTGAAGAACATGCCAAATCCAAGGATAACGGTGCGTCGGATGCTCCGGTAGTGCGATCCTCGACGACCACTCTCGCGATCGAAGGTATGACCTGCGGCGCATGTACTTCTGCGGTGGAAAGTGGACTCAAGGATGTCGCTGGAGTCAACTCGGTCACCGTATCGCTACTGTCAGAGCGCGCGGTAGTAGATCATGATGCTCGGACCATTACACCGGAGCAAATTGCGGACCTGATCGAGGATCGTGGCTTTGGCGCTCGCGTGGTAGAAACAAAGGCCTCATCTGTCGGCCAAGAGGATTCGTCCCAGCTCGCCAACCGGACGGAGAATCAGTCAGGGCATATGGTCACGACAATCGCCATCGGCGGTATGACCTGTGGAGCTTGCACATCCAGTGTCCAAAATGCTGTCGCCCATGTGGATGGCGTGACCCAGTTCAACATCAGTCTGCTAGCCGAGCGCGCCGTGATTGTACATGATCCGTCAATACTCCCAGCACAGAATCTTGTCACGATGGTGGAGGATGCTGGATTTGATGCGTCTATTGTGTCGTCTGAATCCCAGGAGCCGCTCTCAAGGAAGACCCAGCAGCTCAATCTGAGTATCCATGGTTTAAGGGACGCAGCGTCTGCTTCGGCCCTCGAGGAGGAGCTGCTCAGCCGACCAGGGATTCAGTCTGCGTTTGTCAAACTAGCAACTTCCCACGTCCTTGTTGCATTTGACACATCTGCCATCGGCATCCGATCTATATTCGAAATCATCGAGGGTGCCGGTTACAATGCATTGATTGCTGATACCGATGACACAAATGCACAGTTGGAGTCCTTGTCCAAAACGAAGGAAATCCAGGAATGGCGGCGCGCTTTCATAACCTCCGTCTCTTTCGCCGTTCCCGTGTTTCTCATCAACATGATTTTCCCAATGTATTTGCGCGCCATCGACTTTGGCAGATTCCAGTTAATTCCAGGTCTTTATCTGGGTGACTTGATCTGCTTCGGTCTTACGATACCTGTACAATTTGGCATTGGTCGACGGTTCTACGTCACCAGCTACAAATCACTCAAACACAAATCTCCCACTATGGACGTTCTTGTCATGTTGGGCACGTCTGCAGCTTTCTTCTATAGCTGCTTCACGATGGCTATGGCTGTCTTTGACGATCAACACAAACGGCCAAGCACTGTTTTCGATACCAGCACCATGCTCATCACTTTCATCACACTAGGAAGATGGTTAGAGAATCGGGCCAAGGGACAAACATCCGCTGCCCTGTCCCGTCTCATGTCTTTGGCCCCCTCCATGACCACCATTTACGAAGACCCTATTGCGGCTGAAAAGCTTGCCGATGGATGGACCTCGCAAGGGACACCGAACGAGTCGAAGCCCACATTACCAGAAGATACGTCGGTGAACCAAAAGGTTATCTCCACCGAATTGATCCAAGTCGGTGACATCGTCATCCTTCGTCCTGGTGATAAGGTCTCTGCGGATGGTGTTGTCATTCGTGGTGAAAGTTATGTCGACGAGAGCATGATCACAGGAGAAGCCTTGCCCATCCACAAGAAGAAGGGTAGTCATGTAGTCGCTGGCACCGTGAACGGAACGGGTTCAATCGACTTCAAGGTGATCCGTGCAGGCAAAGATACCCAGCTCAGCCAGATCGTCAAGCTCGTGCAGGATGCACAAACAAGTCGTGCTCCGATCCAGCGCATGGCCGATATTGTGGCTGGTTATTTCGTCCCAACAATCATCGGTCTTGGTTTGGTTACCTTCTTCGGATGGATGGTCCTTAGTCACATCCTGTCCAACCCGCCCCAGATCTTCCAGTCAGAGGATAGCGGTGGCCGAGTGATGGTTTGCCTGAAACTCTGTATTTCGGTCATCGTCTTCGCCTGTCCGTGTGCTCTTGGCCTCAGCACCCCGACTGCCGTCATGGTGGGAACTGGTGTTGGCGCTGAGCATGGTATCCTCGTCAAGGGTGGTGCTGTTCTCGAAGCCGCCACCAAGGTCAATCACGTTGTCTTTGACAAGACGGGTACCTTGACTACGGGCCGGATGAGTGTCGATCACGTCCGAATGGAGCCTCACTGGACGGTCAATGACTGGCGCCGCCAGCTGTGGTGGCTGATTGTCGGTCTCGCAGAGATGGGCAGTGAACACCCAATTGGCCGGGCTATTCTTACCGAGGCCAAGTCCGAATCTGGTCACCCAGGGGAAGACGGGTTACCTGGAAGCGTTGGCGATTTTGATGCATCCGTCGGAAAGGGTATTTCAGCTGTCGTTGAGCCCATGTCCAGCGCGGAGCGTGTCCGCTACCAGGTTCTTCTGGGCAACACAGATTTCCTACGATCGAGAGATGTCCCCGTGCCTGCAGCGGCTGACCCTGACTCCTCGGCAGCCGAAGAGGAAACGGGACAGATAGCACCCAAACCTACAAGTGCTGCGTCCGGGATCACACGTATCCATGTTGCCATCGACAACCGCTATGCAGGAACTATTTCCCTCCGCGACAGCGTTAAGGACACTGCGGTTGCCGCAGTTGCAGCCCTTCACCGTATGGGGATTTTCACCTCCATGGTCACCGGCGATACATTGTCGACTGCGCTCTCAATTGCCTCGGCCGTCGGCATTCCGGCATCCGCAGTCCACGCATCTGCCTCTCCGTCTGACAAGCGTGCCATCATCTCCTCGCTCCAGCTCAATGGCGAGCGCGTCGCCATGGTCGGTGACGGAATCAATGACTCCCCAGCGCTGGCAACTGCATCTGTGGGTATCGCTCTAGCCTCGGGCACCGACGTCGCCATGGAGGCAGCCGACATTGTCCTAATGCGTCCCGATGACCTGCTCTCCGTACCAGCCAGTCTATCACTCTCCCGCTCAGTCTTCAACCGCATCAAGCTCAACCTCGTTTGGGCCTGCCTCTACAACGTCATCGGCCTGCCCTTTGCCATGGGTCTATTCCTCCCCTTCACTGGCTTCATGCTCCCTCCCATGGCTGCCGGTGCCGCCATGGCAGCGTCTAGCGTCTCGGTCGTGGTGAGCAGCTTGCTTCTGAAACTCTGGCATCGTCCGTCCTGGATGAAGGTCGAGCGACTGGAGAAGGAACTTGGTTCGGGAGCTATCCCTGCCGATGGCGTCTTGCGCAAGGCTGGTTGGTGGGCTCCGGCTACCATTCTCTCAGACCATCGTCGTTCTATCCGCCGCTGGGTCGGTGATAGCGTGGCCTCCTTGTGGTTCACGGCTACTGGGAGGCGGACTGCTGTTCGCGAGGATGAAGGGTATGTCCCGCTGCAGACTGTTGAGCCTCCTGTCTAACCTGGAACGTTGGCTTGGACTCGAAATTACTGTCATGATTCCACACCCGGATGGAGTTGGTTTGGGAAATGGGATATGAATACTTATCTAGATATTGTGTCGGGAATGGCTTGGCTTATTTCAAGCCGGCCTCTCAATTGGCGGCGTTGCAATTGTGGGTTAAATTGTGTTTTTATTGTTGGATGCTCGATACCTCTTTTTCTACACATGCATTCATATGAATTTATTCATGAACTTATCAAACTCCTCTCGTACTATGTTCTGCTTAAGTCACTATTTCCTTCGTATTGCGCAGGTTAGACTCGCTCGATTATGTGTCATCTCACCATCAAATAACTATGAACCGACATCTCTGTGTGCAACATCCACACGGGTATAGTTCAAATTGGTCCTGCCTCCCAAAACTGATCATAGAGTAATGATATGGAATACTATCCTGATGATGCGCGAAGTCATCCCAAATGTTGAAGAGTAGGTTGACTATCTTGTGCAACATCCTGCTTACGCTTCAATGTCTAAGCTTGCATGTGCGTCGCACGCCTCAAGCAGCTTGATTTGGGTACCGGGCTCCTATGAAACGTCAACTAAGAATTCGAGCCGGGTATACGGGGACCATCTTATGTATCTTCATACCTTGGGCGTATGACCTGCATCCGGAATCCAGATCATTTTCGACTTGGGCAGGGCTTTGTGCAATTCCCACGCCGTCTGCGGGGGACAGACCATATCGTACCGTCCCTGGATAATAGTAGCTAAACCATTCAGAGTCAATATCAGATCTCCAAACTCAGGGTCATATATTGACATACCCGGAATATGTCTAATCTTCGCTAAATTCTCCTCCTTGAGAATCTGGCCATCCTCCAAGAAGAAATTATTCATCCCGTAATGCGCTTCCAAAACCGCATGAGGCACCGACCACCCCTCATCATCCAACTGTTTGAAATTCGACTCATCGGTCTTGAGTGAACCAATGCTCAAATCCCACCGATTCCACTCTCTCGCTGCTGCAACGCGAGTCGCGTGGTCGTCTGAGGTTAACCTCTTGTAATAGTTTCCCGTGAGATCGTCACGCTCCTCGGGCGGGAGGTAGTTGACAAAGGCTTCAAATGCCTCTGGGAAGACACTCGTGGCTCCAGTAGGTCCTCTGAACCAGTCTAGTTCCGATTTGCGAGTCGTGAATATTCCACACATGAGGAGGGAGCCTACGACGTCCGGATAGGCTTGTGCGTACAGCAGTGCTAGGGTGGATCCCCAGGAACCGCCGAAGACTAGGTGCCACTTGGGGATGTTCAAGTGGACTCGTAGCACCTCGATATCGGACACTAGATTGGGAGTGGTATTCTCCCGAATTTCCGGGGCGGGTTGGGACTTTCCTGTACCACGTTGGTCTAGGAGGACTACGCGGTAGATGGCCGGGTTGAAGTAGGAAGTATTGCTTTTCTGGGTGTGTCCTCCCGGACCACCGTGTAGATACACGACTGATGAAGATTAGTTGGACGTTGAGTGCATGAAAAGGTGGGATTTGCCTTGATAGAAGACTAACTTGGCTTTCCATCGGGCTTTCCGTACTGCTCATAGTGAAGCCGATGGATAGAGCTGACGGTGAGCATGCCCTGGTCAAAGGGGTCTGAATGCTCGTAGCTACTCATACTGGAGGACGACGATTGTTGAGCTACGCTTGGTTGATGGGCTGTACTAGCTTGGTCAGATTTGGAAAGGCCAAAAGCTATCACAGAGAGGGGTATGAGAGGGGAAAGGTTTCTCGAGTCTCGATCGACCAAATCTGAGTCATGCATCATCCCTGGTCTTACGTATCCGCCATTTCCATCTTCAAGGACAACCCCATCGCTTGGATCTTCGAATGGCCCACCAGCCACATATCATCCCATGAGATGTATTGGCTTCTAATTGATGTTGGTCATATGGGAAATCCAGCAAATGCCCCTGCAGATTCACAAGCCTACACCCTCGCGACAGCGAAGAACAAGGCGTGCCGTTGGCTAAGTTTACGCGAGCTTTTGGCCAGGTTATCGACGAGGTTGTAGAATGCGAGAGGGCCAAATATTCAAACTCATATAACCCTCCAGATGAAGATAAAGTGCCTCTGGAGGACGAAATAATAGAAAAGATTGAGGACGATGTTATCCAGTGGCGGGAAAGCCCTCGCGCTGTAGAAACGGGGGAGATGCGAACCCTCCTATTCCACCAGAAATGAGGATAACGTCTGCATTCTTCCTTGCCCAGCAGAATAATGACTGTGACCAATTTACAGATGTGAATGGAAAGGGCTTTTTCGATCTTGAAATTATCAAGCTCTTGATTCTTTACGACGAAATGGAACCTGTGCTACGTGAATGTGCCCATGAGGAAATGGGCATCGACACTTGAATGGTAAATCATGTGGACATTCATTCTTTGATCTTGCTGATTGCCTATATTGACAACTCGTGTATAGGCCATGGAATACGATGGCGGGTAGGACATGCTCTACAAGTATGCATCATGTGCCTATCTGTGTCTTAATGTAGCCTGCTGCTTCCCCGGATTATGGAATGCAGCAGCAGGCAAAACACCCGAGAAAGACTATCGTCACACAAGATCATATCAATCATTGTTGAGACAGTACACCGCTTCTGTAACGACCTCCGAGATCGTGTACAGTCGTCAACCGCTGGAACGACTACGCGCAAGGTAGACTCTCAAAATGATATCAATTCGAATCATTACTCTCTGATGAGCGTTTCAAGAAGTATAGCAGGTCATAACTCATGATGCCAATAATTGGCATGTAACGGTCCAACATAGGGAGCGACAGATTACGCTCTGGTCCTTCACTCTTCCTTCTCGGTCCGCGGAGCTGGACCAGAATCACCCGCTGTCTCGGATGTCTCATCGCCCATCTGGGGTGCTGCAGCTGTCGTATCTTCTGCTTTGGTGTTCGCCTTGGGTGTGGTATCGTCAAGTACGATATCACCATCCTTGTCGGCAGAACCTGATTCACCATCGGCTGGATTGGGGACCGTGGCAGATAGATCAGATGTCCCGTCCTGAGCAATTTCCTCGCCCAGGTTCATCTCAACGCCCATTCCATCCTGTAATCCTAGATCCTCTACACCCACAACCGGCGGACCCCGGGCATGGGGAATTTCCTCTGATGCATCTGCTGGCGGCGAAGCAGAAGCCGTTTTGGACTCTTCCTCGCCTTCAGCTGTCACCCTCGTTGCGGTTCCGACCTCTGGCGGCGGGATGATTGTCATTCCTTCTACGGAGCAGTCAGCCTGAAGCCCAAGACAAAAGTTTTGTCAGATATAGCGTAGCAACGTACGTTCATCCACTATACCACTGTCCACACCCTCTAAAGAAGCGCTGGTCAACCATGGAATTGGCGTAAGAAGAGCTCCTCCAAGAGACTCATCACTTCCCAATCCAGAAGTGTAGTCAGGTGTCAGATAGGCCCCGGCGCTATTGGTAGGATGTACGAGCCCGTTCGGCTGGGCAATGGCGCTAGAGGGAGCACTGAAAGGGAAGACATCGGCACCACTAGTCACAGACACTACGCGATCCACAGCTCGTAGATAAGCAGGCAATGTCTTATAGTGGGCAGTTGGCCGAAGAATGAGCTCCGCAAGTCTCTGGATCGTGTGTGGTGGCTTTGCCACAAAGAATGACTGGATGGACGAGCGTATAGATCTTAGGAGCAGCGCGAGCGGTGGGGGAAGAGCGTCGTGTGTCTGTGAAGAGGAAGGCTGGGGTTGGGAATCCGGCACACGCTCACTCGAGGGCGGCGAGCCAATTGTTGCCTCTGGTTGCTGGGGAGGTTGAGGGTCTTCAGGAGCAGTATTCTCCTTGTTGCTACTCTCTGGGACTGCGTTGGCCTCGGAGGGTGGGAGGAACGGCTGTGGGTTGTAGGAGCTTGGTGGCACCTTTGGCATGGGAAAGACATTGTAGACATTCTATAGAAAGATGTTAGAGACAGATAGATCCAAGTCGCATATGTGAGCCTTACATATTCCAACCGTTCCAGCAGCGGTGCGACTATCCCTGCCCACTTCTCTCTACATCATAGCATCAATCAGCCTCGCGTGATCCAGGGTGTCCTTGCTATCAAATATTCACACATACAGGTCGATCGAGCCGCCATTGGCGACTGCATCAAGGGCTTCTTCATCTGCAATGAATGGTCAGTCAGATACACCCTTCGAAATATGTAGGGGAGCTTCCTACCTAGCGACATGGTCGAGGTGTGGGAAGCTGCTCAAGATGGCGATTAAGTTACGAGCTTGGGCGGTGATGGCACGTGTTGCTGATTGGGCGACTGCAGAGCTTATCGATAAGGTCATGTGACTCTCCGCGAATTTTCGGCGGGGTAGCTGATGACTCTTTCCGTAACTTTTTACAGTTCACAGTTCGCAATTGCATATTTTTGACCGATCACGATGTGGAACTCTCGCAAGGTTGGAATCCTCGGTGGCGGACAGCTGGGCCGCATGCTGGTCGAGTCTTGCAACCGTTTGAACATCCAGGCCAATGTACTCGACGCCGAGAACTCCCCAGCCAAGCAGATCAGCTTCCACGATGGACATGTTACGGGCTCTTTCAACGAGCGTGAGGCGGTGCGACAATTGGCCAAGACTTGCGACGTCATGACCGCTGAGATTGAGCACGTCGACACCTATGCCCTCGAAGAGGTCGCCTCCGAGGTCCAAGTTGAGCCCAGCTGGCAGGCCATCCGGACCATTCAGAACAAGTTCAACCAGAAGGAGCACCTACGCAAATACGGAATTCCGATGGCTGATCACCGAGAGCTAGTCAAGAATGCACCCGAGGAATTGGCGGAGTTTGGAGAACAATTGGGTTACCCAATGATGTTGAAGTCTAAGACTATGGCATATGATGGACGGGGTGAGTGCTACGTTTCGGTAGCAGTGTAGGGCTTGGACTGCATACTGATTAATTTCAGGCAACTTCCGTGTGAACTCGAAAGAAGATATTCCCGAGGCTCTTGAGGCTCTCAAGGACCGGCCTTTGTATGTGGAGAAGTGGGCCTACTTCAAGATGGTTCGTGACTTGCCCGATCACTGGAATATTCTGTCGTCAATCCACATAACATCTGACTTGACGCTTCTATAGGAGCTGGCTGTTATGGTCATCAAGACCAAGGACGAGGTCCTTTCATACCCCACCGTGGAGACTGTCCAGGAGGACTCAGTATGCAAGCTGGTCTATGCGCCAGCCCGGAACGTGTCTGATAAGATCAACAAGGAAGCCCAGGCTCTCGCTCGCACGGCTGTTGCTGCATTTGAAGGCAAGGGTGCCTTTGGTGTCGAGATGTTCCTGCTCGAGGATGACAGCCTCATGCTGTGCGAGATTGCCAGCCGCATCCACAATTCTGGTCACTACACTATCGAAGGCTGTGCTTTGTCCCAGTTCGACAGCCACATTCGTGCCATTCTGGATCTCCCGATCCCTGTCAAGAGTCTCGAGATCCGCCAGCCCTCTATCATGCTCAACATAATCGGTGGCTCTGCCCCCGACACCCATCTCAAGGCTGCCGAGGCCGCTCTTTCGATCCCTAATGCGGCTATTCACCTGTACAGCAAGGGTGCTGCCAAGCCTGGCCGCAAGATGGGCCACATCACCGTGACTGCCGCGACAATGCATGAGGCGGAAACTATGATCCAGCCCTTGATCGACGTTGTTGACAACATCCGTGCTCAGCGGGCCGATATCAAAACCAAGGCTCAGCCTTCCGGACCTTCTAAGCCTGCTCCCCAGGTGGCCGTTGTTATGGGCTCTGACAGCGATCTGAAGACCCTGGTCCCCGGTCTCAAGTTGCTGGAGCACTACTTTGGTATCGAGCCTGCCGTTGAGATTACCTCTGCCCACCGCACACCCGACTACATGGCTGAGTATGCTGCTCAGGCTGCTTCTCGTGGTATCAAGGTGATTATTGCCGCTGCTGGTGGTGCTGCTCATTTGCCCGGCATGGCTGCAGCCCACACTGCTCTGCCTGTTATTGGCGTCCCTGTCAAGGGCAGCTCGCTCGATGGTGTGGACAGTCTGTACAGCATTGTGCAGATGCCTCGCGGTAAGTTTGTAAATTAGATATTATCCAAGCATACGGAGACTAACTCACTCTTTCAGGCGTCCCCGTCGCAACTGTCGGTATTAACAACAGCATCAATGCAGCTCTCCTGGCTGCCCGCATTCTGGGATCTTTCGATCCTGCCATCCAGCGCAAGGTTGAGTCCTACGCCGAAGAAGCTCGTGCTGAGAACATGGAGAAGAAGGGTACTAAGATGCGCGAGCTTGGCTGGGAGAAGTACTTTGAGCAGATGTAAATTCCTTGATGGGTATCGGTGACTTGGACCTGACGAAACAAAAATATTTCGATTCTTTTAGGTGGGATAGATGACCATCGTCTTTCCTACGTTTGTATACAGCGGGAGGCGTTTTATATCAGATTTTAGACTACAATGAATGACAAATTTCACTAAGACCCTTCCTGAAGTCAAACCTCTATCGGGCGACTAATAACAATGATAATTTTCCAGGGCTACCTATACGCTGACCAACCTTGCCCACCTGAGATAGAGTTGGAATTTGACCTCACCATCTCTACCTTAGGACCATCTTGCTAATTATTTACCCGCTGATCTAATACCAGAGGAGAAAAAATATGTTCGTCCTCGTGGGACGAAACCGCTATCGTGACAAAGATATTTATAGGTTATTGATCCCTACAACATCCAAGGTTTCATGAATTCCTGACGCTCCTTCCCCCATACTCAATAACTTCAAGGAGCTGGTGCCCGGTTATCGAAATCATGCAGTCTTCCTTGATTTTGGAGTGGGACAAGGTTCATCATCTTGATATGTGACGTTTTGGAAGATATGAGCTCCACGATCGATATCGCTTTAGCTACTGGTATGCCTTGGACCGTTCTCGTTGACTTAGACTCGATGCAGCGCAGATCTTGGGACACCAAAAGTATCTTCTGACGAAGGTATCCTTCTAGGAGAGTGGTCGCGTGGCATCGCAGAAGCAGAAGTGCCTCAGAGTGTTGTTGCAGTAAATCCAAAGAGGTGAATCCAGACCCTTCAGGTGTGATCTTGCTTTCTGATGGAGCATGGACGTCTAGAACAGCACTTGATGCTGTATTCTCCTGACCACGACGGATAGGTGGATCTACTTCTCGAAGACAGGCTTTTCTCAAGAAAGTGGACCACTCGCCAATCGACCCATTATGGTTGTGCTTAGTATGTCGCCAGAAGAGGACGGAAAATTCATATTTCCTCTTCCTTTCGCACGCGCCGAACTTGTGGACATTCGTGAGGTGTTTACGGCGCAGATCCCAGCGTGGCTGGGGGAAATTCGGAAACTCTTGGCCGTAATATCCACACCAATCGTATTTGGGGTCAGTTTTACTTTGGTTGAGTGAGGACTGAGAAGCATGGAAGGTGGCCTTCCATGCTTGTCCAGATATGCTGGAGTTACATCAAAGCCGGGAAATGGGGATCCTTCACTAATCTCACCGAGCTAGAAAGTCTAGCCCGTATACTTCGACAGACTGGGCATTATGACGAGGCCTCGATAATCTACTGGATGATTGCATGTGGACTTGACAGCCATACTCCCAGCACGGAGAATCTTGAGTTTCTCGCGGATGTACTCACGAACCTCGGCCTGGTCTATACGCAGCAACGCAAGTTCGAAGCTGCTCTCGGGTCCTTTGATAGATCATCAGAGATCATGTCTGAGCTGGGAACTCTGACTCCTCACGCATCCATGTCCATCACGTACAACAAAGCAGTGGTATTCATGATGACCGATCGCCTTGACGAAGCAGAAGTATTCTTGCGCGACGCCGCAGCATATTTCTCACAAGATACTACTGCCGAACACACCCTACCCCAAAGCGAGCAGAAATCCTTATACCTTCGGATACTGAACAATATCGGCGAAGTCATGCTACGGAAGAGGCTCCGTACCAGAAGCATTACAAGTGTTCCAACACGTATACTATGGTCTAGGAGACTCCAGTCGACAAGGTGATCCTCAGCCTGCCCAGGCATCTCTGAAGCTCAACGTGGGCAGAGCCTTTACCATGCTTGGAGATTTTGCGAGGGCTCGAGAGTTGCTTGAAGAAGTAATCTCAATTTACACAGAATGGTGGGGAAGACGACACACGGAGACTACGCGAGTGACTGATGAGCTGGCCTGGATGCTGATGGAAGAGTGTAAATATAAACACGGCAAAGGAGAGGATGTAGATGCAGAGGCGAGGCGTGCGGGTGAGCTTTGGAATGAAGTTTTGGATTTTTATCGGCGGACTACTGGAGATGCGTCTGACGTGGTGGTTCGAATTGAAGTGAATATGAGACAAGTATCTTGCTACACGACAGTTGATGCTTTCGATTCTATGATACCGATGGGGAGTATTAGCCCTGCTCCAACCTACAGGGGTTGGTTACTGAGGTCTGGTCTGGGAAAGGGGAAATGCGTGATGGGTAACAACCGCATCTAGCATAGCCACGACCTTGACGATGTGATGTACAATTAGTAGAGAGACAAGGCAAAAATTGATGGACTCGATTGAAAGACACTGAGGTGATCTTTGATAGATAATACACCAGATCGCTAATTTACATAGAGACCCCAACCATCCACGCCAAGAAAATAAAGGAAAAGGTGAAACGCCTAAATGACAGCGCTGAGATGATGACCAGAAGCTATTCAAAGCAAAAATAAGAGAAAAGAAAATCACAAGCGAATGAAAGTATTCAAGAAAACAGGAAAGAAAAGCAAAAGGAAGGTAATTAGCGGATGCTCTGTCTCCACCGATCAATAAATTCCTGCTGCGCCGGATCAACAGGCTGCTGTGTCATATTCGGTCCACAGCCTGCAGGCATGGCATACGCCATACCACCCGGCACGCCCATCATCATGCTATTATAGGCTTGAGCAGCTGGATGTCCCATACCGCCATATCCGTAGGGCTGTGCGCCCATTTGGTAGCCCATGGGAGCTTGGTAGCCCGGGTAAAGCGGGAGGGATTGCATGGACATGCGACTGGCATATTGCCCAGACATCGCGTTCCCGTAAGGAAGGACGTCGTGTGATGATTGGCGGGCGATGTGCTGCTGCGCGGGACGAGTCTGCGGGAGAGCAGCCATGCTTCGGCGCATATGCAGATTCTTTGCGTTGCCGCGCGGCGGGCCGTTCTCCTTCTGTAGGCGCATGCGTCTTTGAGCGAGAGTCTCGTCCTCGTGGGCGTCTGCAGCCGGGGTGGGCTCGGGCTCGGGCTCTTTCGGTGCAACTCCTGTCCGGGTGTCGATTTCGGCAAGCAGTTGACTGGCAAACTCGCTATCTGCTGGGTTTTGGCCACGGAGTCGCCTCATGCGTTCGGCGAGTGTCTCGCCTTCTTCTTCGTCGTCGTCGCTGTCTGCTTCGGGTTGGGCTGTCTCTGCTTGAGGTAATTCCGTCTCGTGTACCGAGACGGGTCGCTTCTCTGGTAATGGTTCGCCGCGCAGTCTGGCGCGACGCGTGCTCAATGGCTCGTTTTCTTCTAGCGCTCGCCTCTCCATCAACCCAACTGGTTGGTCTTCGTCATCATTCTGGACCTGGTCGGTGTACAACATTGCAAGCGGAACATCGTCATCATTCACAGTATTATGATGGTTCCATGCCAGTGTAACGGGTCTTCGACGTCTCTTATCACTCTGTTTCTGGGCCATTGCATCGAGCTCTAATAGAGTAGAGTGCAATCCCTGGGCCTGTGAGGCAGTCGGAAGATGGGTTCGCTGTCGCTGCTTCATTTCTTGCTTTCGTAGGTCCAGTTCAGCGAGTAACGTATTTGGTGGTCCCACATAATCCACGAATCCCTGCTCCTCCTCTTCCTCGCCTTCCTCGCCGCTCTCCGTTGAATGCTCCTCGCCTTCTGTGTCGCTGCTACTGGATCTGTCGGAGTCATCTTCATCATGAGACCCATCTCGGTGTTTGTCGCGCGAACTGACCGACCCTTCTTCATCGTTCGCATGGCGAGTACTGTGGCGTTGACCCATTGGAATGTGCGAATTGCGGTTTGCCCTTTGAGTCGCAGGGTCTTTGTAGATCGTCTTACGCTTCTCTTGTTGGAAGACGTACGAGCCCACTTGGCCGGCGTATGGGTGATCGGTAAAGGCTGATACGGGTGCATGCGCCGAGGCGTCGAGGATACTATCAAGCGTCGCAACTGCCGAGTCTTGCTTCACGTTCACCTCGAGGGTGGTACTCGGTTTATCAAAGAACAGACTCGCGCGAAGTTGAGGTGGTATCTTGGACTGGTGCCTCTCCCTCTCACTGGCACCTAGCCGATCCTGCTCCGATCCGGCCAAATAAAGCGCGGACTTCCTATCTTCGGCGACGATATTCGTCAAAAGCTGTGTCCGGCGCTTTTCGCGATCGGAGATTGGCTTGCGAGAGAGTTTGGGCGGGAGGTTCAACATGCGGGGGACTGGAGCAGGGTAGTATACCATGTTCTCACCCATGCGTGGCTCCTTGTACGATTCCGGCTTACTTGCAAGGGGCGGTTGGCTCAGGGACAACTGGCGCCCGGAATTTGCGCGCTCCAAGGGCGCGAAATGAACGCCATCGAAATCGGTGAAGAGCGACCTCGCTTGCTGGAAGGTATCTCCTGAGGCGGCCGAAGCTGGCCGCTCAATTTCCTCCGGGACTGCACCATGGTCATCGTATTGATTGTAGTACGGGTCGTGCGGTTGGGTATAGATCGGGGCTTGTGGTGGGGGGAGAATGGCCGACGGGGCGGGCATGCGACCCAAGAAGTGGCCGTCTTCGTCGTGGTCAGGTTCTGGAAGCTGGGCGAGTCGGGATGCGCCCGAGACGGAGCGCTGGCGCGTGGAGAAGGTCGATCCGTGAGACGCAATCGTCACCGGCGAGAATGCTCCATTCCGGAGATTGACGGAATTGGATGCAGAGCTGCACGAGCGGCGCTTCTGTTCCTGATCCATCCTGCGGATCTCGCTGGCGATGTCTGTTGAACTGGCGCTGAGCTGTTCGGCGCTTTGTTCCAGCCGCGCTACATTGCCCACGTAGGCCCCCTGAGATGATTGTAAATCGGGAGTCGGGTGAGTGATGGGGAGGTCGCTGGAAGCGCTGCGTAAAGGGGGTTCGGGAGAGGAAGAATGTCGCGCGACAGCCGTGTTAAGCGGAGGAATGCGGCGTAGACTGTTGGATCTGCTCGATTGCTCGACGGGGGAAGGATCGGCGCCGTAGTCATCGGCCTCGACAATATCGTAGTTCGCGGTGGTCATGGAGCGGATCATCGAGCCGAGGTGGCCGAGGACGTGGTGATCGTCGCTACTGGCGGCTTCTAGCTGAGGTCCTTTGAGATGGTCGACATCGCGCAGTTGCTGAAAGACCTGTTGGACGGGTGAAGCGGTGTCCGAGATGTCCGAGTTGGAGTCGGAACTGGAGGCGACTTCCTCGACCTGAGCGACGGCGTTGTAGGCCATGATATCCGCACCGATTCAACCGTCGCAAGACCGACTCGGTCGAGTTGGAAAGAGATCAGTCGAGAGGAGAAGGGGTGGGATGTCATATGAAGTGAAAGTCGGACAGTAATCGGGCCAGGAACCAGAAGGAAAAGAGAGAAAGGGTCAGGAACCAGTGGAACTTGAAACTTGGAAGTTGGACGGGTGGGACAAGGATTTGAATGGTGTCACAGACTCAGTTCCATGGGAATCGTTTTCCCCGAGGGGGGGCGCTGCTAAATTTGGGTTACGTGCCACGATCACTTAAGACAAGGCAAGACACGATTCTGACCCAGTCGGTTCTGAATTGATTTGGACTTTAGCCGCGAATGAGCCATCCAAAAAGCCTGCTCATCCACCAGGTAAACAGGCTCATCGAACCCAACAAAATAAGCCCAAAACAAGGCATTCGAGGTGGCCAAGCCAAACACGTCGAACTCTTTTCCAGTGCCGACTTTCCATGTCTTGGACCAGTCGAGACACTCGCCTCCCGTAAAGTGGAGAGAGGAAGAGGACGATGCGCACGGTCTGGCCACTGGAGAGTGGGCACTTTGGGTTGCCCGCTTGGTTGGCGCTTACCGTAGCACGACTGGAGTGGGTTGGGATACCATTTGGATAGTTTACACTGGTTGCATTTTGGGAAAGTCTTTTCTTTTTCCATCGGGCTGGTGCAGATGCATCAAACAAACAGAACTATCCTAGTACGAAAGTCCCCGTCACAGCATCAAGTCGCTCGTTCAGAAAGAGATTAGAGATGAAGATCGATTCGCTAGGATCTTATCTAGGCGATGCCCCGGCCGAGTTAAAGATCTAGCACATACCCAGTAGTAGTGCAGTAGTACTCCGTAGACAGGCAGAGAATAAGCACTCAACCGAGTATAGTTACCTGCCGCAGGTCTAGTCAGCAGTATATTTGTCTGAGTGGCTGCAAACTGGGTCCTGACCAAAACTTTTCCAGACAACTTGGAACCTACAGATCAGTCCTACAATCATTCCCACTAAGCAATATTGTTGTTGGAAATCGTGGCTTCCGAGCTACTGCAGCAGGTCAGCTACGGCACATCCTCAGACCAGCGATATACATCACGTTTCTTCCAATCGCGTGCGCCTCAAAGATAAGTAATGCTTGGCAAAGCAAAGTCGGTTCCAAAGGTGGTTAAGCATCGATCAAAGCGTATCTGCACCTCAACAATCAACCATACAAGTACAGACTACTACTAACACAGGGCACGGTGAATACGAGAAATCAAAGACATTTGCCACAAATGATGGTACACTACAGTCAAAAGAGAAATTAGCTATCACAAAGAAAAAGGTTGAAAGGAACCGACTCGAAACAGTGTCCAACTCAAAAAGGTGATGGCAGCAACCTGCATTTCAGACCCACGAATCAGGGCTTGACAAAGGTCAAAAAGTCGAGTGACAGGTCACTGAAGAAACTGGCTCCCGCCACAGTCTTGGGATGGCCAGATGCAGTCACGTTACAGTAGTCAATCCAGTTACCAGCGGCCTTGCTCTTCTTCTGGATGAGTGCCAGGTAGTCCGACAACAGACAGCTCTTGCCGGGGCCATTGTGGCAGTTGGCAATCGGGTAAACCGCATCGTTGAACAAGACCCGAATATAGGTCTCGTTGGTCGAATGATGTCCGGAGCTGACTGCACAGTTCAGAGTCTCAAAGGCCACAGTGCCGCGCAAGGTGATGAAATGGGCAACGTTGTACAGGTGGTTCGCGGGGACGTGGTTATCGGGCAAGGGAGCCTCGTTATCGAAGATACCCATGGCAGAGGTCATCTCGGCGATCTGGTTGTCGTTCAGGAAAGCCATGATCAGGTTGGGGATGTCGAAGCGACTACCATCCGCAGCAGTACCAGTCTGACCGGGACCTTTGCTCAGGAGGGTCAGGAGGCTCTCGAGGAAAGGCAGGAACAGCTTGGGAGCTGGACCATCTGCACCTGGTCCGACGCTATAGTAATAACTCAGGTCCTGGGAGTAAGCATAGTTGCGCAGCTCATCCTCGGTGAACACGCCACACCAATCACTCAGATGGCCGGTGATCTGGCTCTCATATGCGCACATGTAGGGGAAGAAGAGGATGTCCGTCTGGGTGAAGGTCAGGTTACCGCTGACCAGCGAGTTGAGACGCTTAAGAGCCTTGGGGGCCCAGGTGGCATCAACTGGTGCAAACCCGTCAGTTTATCTCAATTGATGCAGTTAATGTCACCCCAACTCACAATCAGTGACATTGTTGCCTCCGCTCGAGGTGGCACCGAATTTCGGGCACGCGTCAGAGGGGCCGAGCGAGTTACCGATGGCATTGACAGAGCCGGTGGAGTTCACACTGACCACTGTGCCGTAGGTGTCGGCGAATTCATACAAGTAGCCATTGACAAAGGCACGGGCGGTTTGAACGACGCGAGATTTGTTGATCGGGCTTGCATACTGATTGGCCCAGACGTAGAAGGGGTTACCATCCTCGTAGAAGTCGGGGTCTTCGATGGTCAGAATGAATATGAATGTAAACATCATGGAATGCTCTGCTTACAGCGGGCGCGGAGTTGGTATCCGAGGTCAGTAGCCTGGTTGTCATCAGCATGGGTATACCCAAGTTGGAAGATGCATGCATAGAAGACATACCTCCTTCCATCCGGTCATAGACTCCTGTGCAATTTGCAGGGTTGGGTTGGTCAAGACAGGGCTCCAGTCCTTGATGAAAGACAAAGAGTCACGGGCATCGAAGTCTTTGCCGTTGACAGCGATTTGGATCTGTAGATGTTATTCATGGTGTCGTGGCCGCAGTATCGAAACCATAGTGGTGCATATAGCATAGCAGAAGGACCTGAACATACCTTGTCCTTGATGCCAACCCACGAGTTGTAAGATCCAGTATCGGGGAATCTACGCCAAGATCAATCTTATGTCCCAACTATACCACCATTGGATCTATCTCTTACCGGCTTCCGTGTCTCACAACATAGGCAGCCTGTTGGACAGTGCATTTGTCAGGCACGGTGTTCTCAACGCCGTTGACATTGGGTCCAGCAAAGTACGGAGCATTGCCACCGGCAAACTGCAACGGATTCTGAGCGGTCTTGCTAGAAGGGAACACAATATCATTGGCAGGAGCCAACACCGCGGCCTGGCCAGTAGCGGCCGCCAACAACAAAGAGGTAACGACAGTCTTGGAGAAGGAATTCGCCATGACTATAATCAATGTCTCGAAATGAAACAAATGTTGATACCAGGTGAATTCGGCCATTTTCCTGGTGATCCATGCCTCCTATATACTCCTGCATGACGCCGATGTCCGACAACCAGGCGCTAGGCGTCCCTTAGTCGCATTTAGTGTTCGTGGGGGCGCCGTCGAGTTTTCGGGCCTATTGCCGGCCCACGTGCCTATTGCCGGCCCACGTGTCAGTCGGTGACATTTAACCGAGATGAAATCGAACGTGGCATGGAGAAATTATACTATCTAGAAGTTCTCTTGCGTTGCTAGTTCTATAGGGTTTGACGCTAGTCCGGCTCTACTGCAGTTAAGGGTAAACTTCGGGCCAATTGCTGGATTTGGTCGATGGAACGAGTTAGATGGAATCTTGGAAAAAAACATCGCTTCTATCGCATATTTATTGCGAGTCGAATTCTTAGACCTTTGTAAACTAATATCTAAAATAATTCTCCAGCAGCTTACGAAATGGTGGAGTTCACCGTGGAGTTAAGGAAAGTCTGGCCTAGCTTCGAAGATGCAGAGGTCTTGAAAGCCGACACGCTCTCTTCGAAATTGGAGAATATCGCACCAATAACAGATTCACCGCACGCACTTTCCTGGGTCACGGTGCTGCTATCAGAACGCTTCTTCTTCTTAAAGTTGATACCCGGCGAGATCGTCACGCAGTTGTACTGCGACTCGGCTGCTCGAAGTTGACAAATTTCGTCCGTTTTACAGTCGCCCGTGCAAGACGAGACGTCCCACCCTCGGCTCTTGCGAGCAATGTAGTCTTGGAAGACGGAGTCGTCGCTCTCAAATAGTGCCGTGACATTATGCCAAAATGCAGGTGTGAGCTCTGCGGCACTATCGGTGACAGCAGGGCTCAGGAGAGAACCGTAAGTGTCCTTCGCAGAGTAGTACTTCTCCCAGGTCGGCTTTGTCTGATAGGTAGAGCTCGACATGTTGGTAATGTACACGGTGTAGTCCAGCACACCAAAAGTTACTGGATCAACTGAGTAGACACGGAAAGTCGGGTTGCCCGAGGTTGGGGTCAAGGCCGGCGCAATATAGGACATCATAGTGGCAGTGTCTGCAGACGGATTGGAGTAGTTCGAGTAGGCAATCTCGAACTCATCTTTGTGGGTGTGGCCATAGAAGACTGCCGCAATGGTCGCATCATAGCGCTGGATAATCTGATTGAAGTAGTTGGATCCATCGTGGAACGCATCACCAGCTCCCATGGGCATGTGTCCGAGGAGCCACACACGCTCACCTGCAGTCTCGGCAGCATCGAGCTCGGTGACGAGCCAAGCGAGCTGGCCATTAGGATCCGACTGCATGGTCTTCTCATAGAGCCAGAAGTTCTCCTTGTAGTAGAAGTTGGTGTTGAACGAGATGATACGTAGATTGCCATCCGGGTACATCACAGAGTAGGAGCCATAGTCATCAGCGGTGGTAGCAGCTGTTGATCCAATCCATTGAGTCCAGTCAGAGGAGAGGGTATCATATGCCCATTGGCTGGAGATGGTGGTGTCAATGTCGGAAGGAGGGAAAGAGTTGACAGGCGCAACATCGTGATTACCGATGACACCGTAGACCAAGTCAAGGTAAGAAGGCATTCGAGTTTTGTATGCGTCGTTCAGATCGCTCGTCACTTCAGTCTCGTTGACGAGCCAGACGGCACCCTCGACAACATCACCCGTGAAAATGGTGAAAGATGCGTCGGGCGCCAAACTTGCAATCGCTTCGTACATGCTCTCCTCGAGAGTAAGGGGAGAATCGCACTGGTGATTGCCGTATTCACCGGCCGGGTAGCTGGTGTTTCCGGGCGCATCGGCGGATGTGTACGGACGACAGCAGATGTTTTTGGTACAATTGTAACTATTGACTGTTAGTACGGAGTGCGAAATCACCATTTTGGGAAGACATACTTTGCGCCCGTCTCATACGAAAGGTCAACGTGGATGTCGCTGATGTGGACAACCTGGATAGGAGTTTCTCCACTGGAAGCAGGACGCGATGCATTTGCTGGCTTGGCAGATGGGAAGTCCACTGTGTATTCCGTAACATCAGGGTAATCGCATAGCCCAAATACGGTAGAACAAAACAGTTGTGCAGTCGTGGAAGGAATGTCCATATTGCGAAGGTCATGGGCAAGAATAGGCCCTTCACGAGAGATAGCACCCTCGCAGACATCGCTATCCTCAACCTACGCCAACGGTCAGCGCTTGCTGCTGCAGATGTTCATGAAGAAAACTCACCCCTGCCAGAATGCACACTTCGGTGATCACGTCGACAAAATCGGCATTACCCAAATGGGCCAGTGCTTGAAGGACAACGAGGAGTGCCTGCACTCCATGATTAGTATTTCTGTATCGCGAGTACAAAGATACTCAAGCAATTTGTACCTACCTCGCATGCTGTACAGGTGACAGCATCTTCGATATCAGTCAGGATCTCACTGACGGTGGTTCTTTTGGCTAGCGATTTTCCTGGATTTGCAAAAGCCCCTCCAAGAAGGCCTGCAAGGTAAACCCATCGCAGAATGAACATGTTGATGAGCAACTATCCAGTAAGGATATTCTATAGCAGCCGGTCGAAGCCAAGCACCGATCGACGGGCTTTTAAGTCAGGATACACATGGATCTGTGGCCGATCAGTACCAGACTTTCCATGACAGCAAGCGAGATAATTTCTCCGTCGCCTAACACTGAGGCCAGGGCCACAGGAAACGAAAATCTCTCGCATCATGGCACGTTCCTCTCTTTTAAGCAGTGATTGACTGCTCCGAACCGAAGCGGAGTTCACGGCTTCATAACGTCACTTGTCCTGTGCGCGTGTCGAAAATCTTCTCCAAAGTGATTGGATCGTCAGGGGGATCATGGTAGGGCAGAATGTCTTAGTTTTCCTCTGGATTCTCCGGATTCGCCGGTCAGTTTACCGGTAGTTGCATTAGTTGGGCGCTAAACGATAATCTATTCCTGAAGAATTTGGACGGGATGATGTACCCACGGGGGATTTCCCCCTTTTGATAAAGGCGTTATCGCCCTCTACCCGAACCGTTTAGAATCACATTGCAGAAGGATGATCATAAGCTTTTTTTAATCTATGTGTGTAACCCATGACCCATGGGTGGCTTACTTTTGTAGGGAAGCGAATGAGGTGGGGTGGTTAGACTTAACTCGCTATGCCATTATGGATTGTAGCGCGTACTACGAGGGGAGTGTGTGCTATGTTGAACTTGGGAAATTGTCTCAAAAGCGAGCATGCCTAGGATTGCTAACATCTGATTAGATGAGAGGTAATTACTGTTTTCTATATTGGATGGTCGGGGTAGAAAGGTCACAGGCACGGAAATATCTAAAGCGATCGGTTCAATGCATCGGTGGAACATTCAAGCGAATCGCATGACCATTCCTGCAATGACCACAGCTTAATCACTCACACACTTGGGTAACCACTGGAAATATCCAGCAAAGTTCGCCCAACCTCATCAGGCTATCATCACTTTACTTGCATCAATCACTATAGGCAGGTGGAGAAAGGCGCGAGTAGGTTTTGAACTGATTCTGCGCTTAACGAAAGATCAGGAGTGCAGCAATGAGAAAGTTAAATCAAGTCAACCTAATTCGTGTCCGTGAATGCTGGAAACACGCTCGGTTTTCGCCATGATTCTGGAATAAGTTGATCATCCTTCAGCCTCAAGCTTGAATGAATGCGCTACGCACTGAGTAGGTATGGATGTATACAACTATCGCTCGGCCTCCGACGCTTTCCCTGGTTCATGGGTTCCGCTCGTCGATGTTGTACGAATGGAGCTAAGACACATGAGCAGCTATCAGGTGAATGTGAATAGTGGAACATTATCCATTCACCATACTTCTAGGTCTACACTCTTATGGATATGGTTGATGACCTGCACTACTAAGAATTCGTAGGTCCCGTCTCCTTCAAGATATATGTTGGTGAGGTGAAAATCTTAGTACCTATTGACCTTACCCGGTATTCTAGAATCTCGATGAATCCCTGAACTGCTGACCATTTTATCATCATCCATCAATTCTACTATAGGCTTCCAGTCTAGGAAGACACTGAGAAGGGTGAAGTTTGCCATGGCGAGCTGATTGGCGTTTATTTCTGACATGGGTTTGAGACTATGGTGTGCATCGAGGCAGTTCTGGAATGTAATACGAAAAAAAGACGGAATATTTAAGTAGGGCATCATGTCTTTTATCACGAGGAAGTCTAGATTACCTTTTCCACTTCCCTATAAGAAATAGTTCCGTATCCATGCTCGTGCAATGATGATATGTCACGTGATATTCAATTAAGATACCCGATGTGGAAGACCCGCGACGGCACTTGGGACACCCCACGTGACTACGCGCCAACAAACGCGTTCCAGCAACAGCATCCCCCATCACTAGATCACAACGGCCAGCGCGGGAATCGCGAGTCAGCCGATGTGCCAATATGTCCTACTATGACATTGACTCTATCCTAACTGATGCCCAAGTGAGTTGAACCCCTAGATCGGAGGCACGACGCCGAAGTCAGCTCGTGGCCCGCTAACATGTTGCACTCTAGAAACTCCCCTGCACATTTGAGTTGGAAGTCCCAGGACTGGGCATCCTAGAAGGAAATCCAGGCGAAGATGTACGTCTCTCTGCTCCCCAAAGGATCCCTATGTGTCCCAATTACTGATACTGTCCAGATCAAAGCGGGGACCCGCATCGACCTGCCACTATGGCTTGGTGAAATGCTTTCAATCGGGTGAGACCTCGATCCTACGATCCATCGCGAAGACGATTGTCTTCCAAGCCGTATTTTCTGACAGTTGCGGTATCTCTCAGTGCCCGACTAGGAACGTCCCGTCTGGTCACGCTCGATATGCCGGACGCGCTGGCGGAGCGGGTGATGAACGCGCTCAAGGCCGACCCTCGGACTGTGGATTTGCGAGCGTTGGCACCGCATTTCTACATGTTGAGTGAGCGGATTCTCGAGATCTTTGAGGAAGAGGAGATGGTTGATGTTTTGATTGATGTATCTTCTCCTAGACCCCGACCCCCCTAAGGAAATTGCTTATTAACTATCGAATGCAGACCTTCAAGAAGCGGGCAGCGGAAATCTCCGACCACGCTCATAACCCACGAGGAGCGGTGGGCGAAGGAGTGGATTTTCTGCGAGGACTTGATGAGAGTGAACGGCAGTGTAAGTGGCGTTGGCAGATTATGCGAGTGATAGTTCTGGAGACTAACATATACTAGTATTCCGAGCGGCCCATGACCGGGCGAAGGAGGTGCGGATTTGGGCTGGAGAAGCAAAGAAGAAATGATCGCGGAATACGGAGTACAGAGTACAGTGTATAGAGTACTTGCTGTGCATCCGTGGATGGGACTGGTCAACTTGGGCTGAGCTGTGCTCGTCGAATTGAGTTGAGATCAACCCGTTTACCGAATAATGAGATCTATCGTGCGGGGATCAGGATAGACAGAATCCATGACCTGGCCTACCCTAGTTCCTGTTTTCACTATTAGAGGATAGCAGCAGATCTGCTTAAGATGAACCAGGCATACTATCATATCTCGGGACATGGATGGTAGATTATCTCGATGGTCCGGATCTAAACAGGTTGTAGCCGTTCTCGTGGCTCCGCGTGGTCCAAAATCTGACATGGACAAAGCGGGCAGACTTTGACAAGGCGCGGGATCCAGGGCCTAAGCATGCGATAGGTCCATTTCTAAATCCTCAGAGTTGGTGTGTCCAGGATGCGGACTATGACATCCTGCCCTGTGAATATTTGCAGTCAGTGTAGTGTATAATTGGTGATTAGTTGTCTTACGCACTGGATACAGAAGTCAGTGGCTGTAGCCACGCGACGCACTGGGCCGACCGGGTGCTTTTTCTTGGGTCTCCGATGAACGGTTCGCGGCATCCATGGGTCGGGGGCGTGGACGGGAATGGTGGAGACCGGACGGAGGAGATCTGTCGAACAGAAAAGAGGGACCAGGAGAGAGTTTGATGGATAGGACAGTGATTCTCATGTCAGGTGATATGTATATGACATAGTCTATAGAAGACTACAGTATATACAGTACCGAAGAATAATAATCATCATGCTCGGACTTTTGCACCAATTCCTATAGAGTTTGCCAGGAATGGAGAGAGTGTTTCATTTGTCTCTCCGCAAGGGAAGCTGAGACGGTCTGATCCGCGGGGGGCCATCCGATTGGTAGTCCTTGATGCCAGGCACAAGCCACTCAAACCGACCAAAAGTTGGGCTTCGGCAGTTGGTTGAGGGGCTGGCAATCGTTTCAGTGTCAACTCATGATTTTCATCTTGGTTGAATATACCTCTGGACTGATGATTCGAGCAGATAGTGCTGGATGTGGACTGTGTGGACTGTGTTTGGTATACCGTAAATACCGTACCCTCCATGGCGGAGTCTCCTGATGTGATCTCTCTGATCTCGTCGGACTCTCTTTCCCCTCCATTCTTCCATTCTTCCAGTCTTGTAGTCTTCCATTTCTCTCATTCCAGACCCTCCAGACCCTGGCCCATAGCAACAGCAACTCAATCAATCGGCTCTCTCGAGTGAGGGAAGCATCTCCCCCAAATCCTCTCTTTCCCACCGTTGGATGACAAGATTCGCACCACAATCGGGCTGTTCGGAGCAATACAATAATCACCAGCTTGACTCGTCACAATTTGTGACGACGATCCCCTCACATCGCCTATCCCTTTCATCTGCATGTCGCAGTCCATGACTGGTCTCGCCCCAGGTGGATAAAAAGAGGGTCTCAGCTCATTTTGGATTTCGCCTTTCCTCTCTTGGGCCCAACACTAGTGGCCCTAAACCTTCGATTGGTCTCCACTCCAGGTCCGGCGACGCCCATCGAGCTTGATGTGATTGCTGCCCTTTCCCCTTCAATTGTGCATCCCTCGCTTCGCACCAGTCGACCTTCAACGCCGCGGTGACGGGGCAACCCTCCACCTCACTCCGACCATCCAATACATTGTCTGACGCCTCGTCCAATTGCGGTCTTCGGGTCTGCGACTCCGTCAATTAATCTTCCGATGCTGGTGGGGGAACCGCTGCAATCTGCTGCATTCGCGCTGCTCTGATTTGCCTAGGGCGCATCTGGTGCCGGTCGACCTCCCAAACGGGTGATTATCGCTGCGTCAAGGATGCACAGGAGTCGGCTATGGATGCAGCTATGAAGGACGCGAAAACTCAAAGGCGCAGCCCGGCCGCCCCGGCCGTCGCTGCTGCTGCTGCTCACTCGACACGCTCGCAAGACCCGGTATATCATACCGACGCTGCGCCCTCTGCCCGCCGCGCCTCTTCGAAACGTCGTTCAAGCCGTAGGTTGGCCATTCTATCTCATCTACACCTCTCCGACCTACACCTCCGCAGATTAGACTGACCGTGCCTTTCCTTTCGCGCAGAAACCTCCGAGAATACCTCAGAGCGTCCACAACACCCGTCGCTTTCCCGTGTCAAGGGCAGGACCAATATGTACACCCCGCCGCGGCTTGCAAACGAGATCTCATGGCTGAGGGATCAATCGCCAGTCCATGCTGGGACCAGAACCCCCCCCTCAGCAATGCAGTATGCCCCCACGGTTCTGGATAAACTTTAGCGCCATGTCCACAGGGCTAATATATATCAAACTTTTAGAAACACCGGACATCAGCACCCCAACCTTGGTCAATCCAGCTTCTACACTCCTACAGGATCTTCTCAAGGAACAGCGGGCACACCGCAGCTCTCGAGGACCTCTCCCCGAAGATTGGGACGACGTTGGTCCACGAACACCGGATGGTTCACGGATACAAGAGGACTCGGCGTCGGAGAAAGCACGGAAAGTAAGCGAAGCCCTCACCACAGGGCAGCGGCAACCGAAAGAGATGGGCATGCGAGAGATGGATCAGGTGGGTCCCCTTCGGTTGAACCAAGATCTGGACACAAAACTGACCCCTCGTCCCAGTACGTTTCAAAAATGAACAAATTGAATTTCGACTTGAAGCTCGAGGTTCACCACCGCTCAGAGCAGATGAAGCAGCTACGAGAGAAGGTCCAGCGCATGGAGGAAATGGAGGTCGAGCTCCAGCGCATGCACAAGTTGGAAGAGGAGGTCCTGGAGCTACGAAATGTGGGGAAAGAGAATCGACGCCTGCATGAGGAGAATGAGATACTGTCCCAGGAGCTCGAGAAGCGGAATGTGGCCGTCACCGAGGCTGTTCAGCTTATTTGCCAGCTCGAGGCGAAAATTGATGAGCTCGAGTCCGGTGGACGGACATCGCAGATGTCCATGTCCCGGCTGGTGCTCGATGGTCCCAACGCCACGACACCCAAAGGGCAGACTATGATTGAGATACCCGAAAGGACCTCATCCAAGCGAAAATCGGCTGCCATGACTCAATCACTTCAATCGAGATCTTTCGAATTGCACCAGCTCACCAAGGCCCCGTCCTTTTTGCGAGACGAACACCAAAGCACTGCCACTCTGCGCAGTCTCTACGCCCCAGAAAATAACGTGTCCCGCTCGGCTATGAGTGCTTTGACCAAGTCAGAGAGCTCCAATACTCTGAATCGCTCACCTGAATCGCCCCGGCTCAGTGTTCTAAGTGAATGTAGCGAGCTGAACCCTATCGGTTCCCAGTCAGAATGGGATGATTACGACAAGTTGGACATTCCAGTCCGTCGAGCTCCGTCCACCACTAGCAGTTTGGATAGCTATGTTCCCCCCACCGAGCGCGAGGAGAGCAAAAACCATCAAATTGATCGCTGGATGGGGTCGCAACCGGACGCGTTTGACACGATCATCAGACGACGACAGGCTCGGGCCATGTCTGCCGCTTCAAGCAGTGTAGGCCCAACATTTGGCGGCGAATTGTACTCGAGGAAACCCACTCGCAGTCGTCCCCCATTGGATGCCATTTTTGGAGGCGCAAGACTGCCTCCTACGCCTGATACCATGAGTACGGCATGTGCACCTGCCAACAACGGTTCCAATGGCAGCATCGCAGCCCAGAGGAGTCCCAAATCAGGGCAAGATAAATGGTTTGCAGGACGACCTGTTGAACGTCATCGTTCCGCGAGTGAGCTTACCTCCAGACGCAGCTTCAACGGTGGCGAGAGTGTACAGACGAATTGTAGCGACACACCCCGTCTTGAAACAACGAACCCTTGTTCTCGCACCTTCCTCCCATACATCAACGTTGCCAACAAAGCAAGCGAACTCCTCGGGCCTGGCAGCCCTAACCATCCATCTTCCCAGATACTGGGTGATCCCTTCCAACGGAGCAGCAATGCAGACACGATGACTTCCAAAATGATACGTCATGAAACTCCTACCAAGCCTCGCTCGAAATCCGTCAGCCCTGAATTTGGAAGATCTGACGGATGGGATTCCCCCTCTCCACCTCTCACGCCAACCGACTGGATTGCGGCGGCGAAGCAGAGGCCCCGCTCTCGTAAAGAGCCCAATCCGCCCCGGACTATCAGCCAAGCTGCCTTCCATGACGACCAGAGCATCGCTTCCTATCCAACGGAAGCCGATACACCAAGGATTCCAACTTTGGATATGAACACACTTGATATTCTTGAAAACGATTTTGCAGAAATGCCCATGGCTGAATGCTCAAAGCCCGAGCCCGAGCCAGTGCCGGAAACTCGACGCCGCATCAGCTTCAAGCCCCGCTTCTTCCATCGCAATAATAACACCAAACGTCTTCAATCTTCCCCAATCGCCAATGAATTCCACGCCACTGATGATGACGAAGAAGACGGCGCCCCATCACCTATCATTCCAAAGACCAGAAATGTGGCCAATGCTCGCCGCCGCCCGGTATCCCAAATAATCACCAGCTCCGCAGATATCGACTCCTCCAGCCTACCAACCACTCATGGACTTGATAGTCCATTCGAACATAAATCTCTCCATCAATCTCTCATGGAATCTCGAGGCACTTCCATCTCCATGAACGGTGCAGCCACCATCTCCGGTCGCCCAAGCACATCCCATAGCACGGAGACTCACAAGCGCCGCAGCTCACTGGGTATCTTCGGATGGGTGAAGGGAATGACCGGGAAACGCTCTGAGCCCGCCTCACCTATGAAAGCGGAAAAGGGCAAAGCCAAGGAAAACGATCCACCTACCTGGGCTGCCGGAGATGATCTACCGCGCTCAGCGACGCCAGACTCGTTCAACATGCCCGTCGTGCGCCCGCGCTCCGAGATGACCATGCACTCAGATGACCAGGGACGGCGGCCCAGATACGTTGGTCGACACTCGCGGCGAGTTTGAGATGCTGACTTGCCGGCTGGCTTGCGGCGTTGCCATAGCCATAGCATATAGTATCTGTGATACGAACGGCCCCTCCTACGATGTACTTATAGATACCCCCCTTCACACACATGTATACCACACACCCCTCGGGAACAGGTTCATTCGAGACTGGGTGCTGATTCGATATTTCCAACTATTTGTCGCTCCTTACTCACCAAGCGTCAGCGATGATGCTGTGATACGCTACTTTCATTTGTTACGCTGAGACGTGGTTGGATCTTGTGATTTTGATTTTGAATTGCGATTGAGGGGTGGCTGTTCTGCTGGTTCAGGATGGGGCGCTCTATGGTCGTTTATGGAGTTTGAAAGGGAAAAGCAAGTATCTAATGATTTCCAGCGATATTAACCATTGACTCCCTACCTGTTCATCAACCAAATTGCAAATTGACTTTGCTCAATTGAGTAAAATCTGTTGCGTGCTTAGTAAATAAATGTAAATCCGGCATCCCGTATAACTTGCGCCTGGTCCCTCCACCTCATTCATGCCGGCATGTTTTTGAGAATGCCCCCAATTTTCCCATCCCAACCTATGCCACTATAAGCAGCCATTACAATCTAGGTATAACCAACCAAACGCCGCATCGCACTGAGCAGAAAACAAAGAACCCCAAGATACTGTACACAGGTCCAATAACAAGACCCATCCCCAAAGCAACACGCTAATACCAACCATGCCCACTCTCCCCCAACTTCTTCTTCTTCGGATTCATCGATATAACCCGCTGTCCAGGCAACGTATCCGCCGTAAAAGCCGCCTCGAAAACACTCGCAATCCCACGCTTTGCATAATGCGCATGCGTAAAGCAATCATAATCATCTCGCTTCCCATTAATAGCGCCCCACTGCAGCCCAGCCGGGGTGGTCCCATCGCCCAGATCCGTCCAGCGAGTCACGACGATAGCCTGCTTGAACACCGTTCCGCGCGGGTCACTCTTGTCCTCGGCGAGCTTTACCTCGATCAGGTATTCGGACGGACACTCGGGACAGCGACGCATGGGTCGACAGAATCCGCACAGCGAAGTTAGAGCGTTGGGATCGAATCGCTGGCCATGCAATCGGTCCTTGACTTTGTGCTCTAGACCCTGTAGACCGCCCGTTTCGCGGGGCTTGGGGATGTGTTCGAGTGCGCATTTGCAGGCGGGCATGAGCTCGCCGTCGCGCCAGTGCGCGCACGCAGAGAAGTAGGGCCAGTAATCTTCGCGGGAGTAGAGGAGGAGGCGCATTGCGGAGGGTGTGAGGCCCGGCGCGGCGAAGGTCTGGCTAATGACGCGCATGAGTAGTCGGCCCTCGTGGATGTAGAAGCGGGAAGTAAATGACCAGTCGTCGCGTTGCCAGCGGCGGCCGAGGTCTTGGGGTTGGATGCCGTATTGAGGGCCGAAGCGGAATGCGCGCATGGTGAGTTGTACAAAGGAGAAGGGGATCGTGCGGGCGTGGGTGATGCGGCTTCTTGGTTGGGGGTTGAGCGAGTTTTGGGCGTTGGGGCAGTTGAAGAGCGGGTTGACGACGTGGGATGGTTTGAGGCGCTCCTGGCCTTCTTGTGTTCGGCGGTGGTATCGTGCGCATGGGAAGCATAGTAGGTGATGTGGTAGGGACTCGTCGAGTCCGATGAGGAAGTTGAGACGGTGGTCTGAGTTCTCCAGCCTTTTCAATTCCATGAATGGCCGTGTCCCCAAGCGACGGTATAGCGTGATGCTTGCAAATGCTAGACTCGCAGCATCGGCTGGGTTCAGGAAATTCGCAATATACCTCCACACACCTGGAGACAATTTTGCAATGTCCCCCTCTCCGGGCTCGCGACGCTCGTTGTCCTTATGCGCGGGCTCAAAGCCGTCATCCACCTCTAACAGTCCCAGCGTGTGTATCATGGTCGTGTAGTCGCGACGCTCGCCCAATTGCGAGTCCAGCTGCGCATGGGTTTGCGTATACTTCAGCCGGTGGGCCTGGAGAGGCGCCAAGTCTGGCATTGGTGGCGGGGGTTCATCGGCGCTGGATCGTGCGGCCAGCCGCAGGTCGGTCATTGAACGGCTCAAGCTATTCTTGCGGAGGGTTTGGCGAGATTTCTTCGTTCGTAAGGCATTGGAGAAGAATGACCGGATGCCCGGCTTGTGTCCGGGGCTTTCGGCGGACATGGTGAACGACGATGTGGGGGAATTGTCGAGGGATGAGCTGTTGAAGTGTTGTTAGCGAGGTCGAGGTTCACTTCAAGGCTCTCCCGAGTCTCTGTTCCCGAAGGACCCGGTCCAGGCATTCCGGCGGGTCTCCTCAGTGACGCGCCTACATTATTTCCAGCGCCACTTCTTGGCTTTCCCATTTCCGTTTTAGTGCTCAGACCTCGCCGCTTTTACTCCCTGAGCACAGCCCACTGAAGTACTTCTATAAAACTGTAGATTGCCCCGACGGCCCTATTGAAAAAAGCACTGGCATTAGCAATGTGGATTTTCATTCTGATACACTTGCTGCTATTTCTTGTACCACAATGAAGGATACCAGATAGCAACCTAATTGATTCGACTAATATATGTTCGTCGGAATCCTTCGTGTTACTGGCTGCACGGCTTTCTGGAAATCTTAGACTACAAGCCTAGGGGTGATTACACGAGCCTACCTGAAACAAATATCTTACAGTGCACCATTCTTCTTCTGACGGGGGGTTATGCGTGCTAAATTCACTAATTATAGACGAATAGTCAATACAGATCGCCATCATTACTAAAATAAATTCTAGGTATCGAGCAGCTTGAAAATATGCTCGAGTATATCTCCTATATGGCGCGGGTGCGGCGCGCCTTAAGTCTAACAATTCTCAAGTCGGATGGTGTTCCACTAAGCCATATGCAAGATTTTCTGGCGGAGAGAAACAAACGTGATATTGAAAATCAAACTGAGGGGTGACTGTTCTGTTTTGTGCTCATTGGGTACTAGTTTATGTCTGGCTAAGTGCTGATAAGATGGCATAGATGGCATAGATGGCCAGCCAAACCCATCACGAGAATGAATCGAAGACTCCCTGTGTTAATCAGGGTTGCGAATGCCTCCTGCGAGATCCCAATTGACTCGACCGGTACCATGATGCGGATTCCTGGTTGCTCAAAATCCTTGGTGAATGGGCTCTTGAGAGTCCTACTGGATCCGAAGAAAGGATTCATCTATTGGTATAAACAAGCACAGTTATCTGGATATTATGATCCAACAGCAGGTGTCGAAAATCTGGAAGGTTTCTCAGGTTTTGCACGAAGGAATTGATCGTGGTGTCTTCCTCGTGATTGACGGTCTAGACGGGTGCGCAAATAGGGTGATAATAAAAGAGATGCCCCTTAGATGAAGAAGCGACGAAATTAGTCAATACACCAGGAGTGAGGTATCATCAACCCCGGCTATTTTCGTCTGGAGAGCTCTATATCGACGTGACGGCCAGGATGGTCGTCTCTCCAAGCCCACCTTCCTAGTGCGCTAGATATTTGATGGGTCTTTCCGTGTCTCTGCGTTGTATGATCAAGGACTGAATTGCCAAATGTCTACCTTGCTATGTTCTCCAACAAAGCAGCTCTCCATTACCTGGCTAGGCGGGTTCAGGCAGTTGAAGTCTCCCACGACGCGCTGCTCCAGAAAAAAGATGGACAATGGCTTTGAAACTAGAAGGAATTCCATTCTTCCAATTCCTAGCCGTCGAATTCCTTTCAGCTACATTTAGCACCTCCGTTCTAATACGAATGACGACCTATTCTTAGTTTTCCCGAGCGCACCGATCGTTTCCATCGCCAAAACTTCGTATCTCCAGTTTTATCACTGTGTTCCCTCTTCCAGCCGTCTTCATGCCGGAGAATTCCACCTACTACGGAAATCAGATTGAAGAATAAGCACGAGTTCGTCAGGGCCGGTTGAATATGATTGGTGCATTGGGCATTTGAATGGGGCGTAGCGGTCCACTGAATACGGGGGATCGGCAGGCCGCTCTACGATGCGCTGTGGACTTCTATTTTTAGGGGCCGTGTCATGCCAGGAACACGAGCTTCAGACCACGTTCGGGGGCCGGAAGGAGGATTGGTGAACGCTTGGGCGAGTGTGAAGATGCGTTGAAGATGATCCTGAGATGATCTTAATTATTTTTAGTGGAGACAGATCGTACCTGAGTTCCCCAGGGTTTCTGTACACTCCAAATTCTATTACCGTCACTAGGTACACAGGGAGGACTGTCCGACAACAATATAGCCTCAAGTTCTGCTTTCTAAACCCCATAGTAAATATCGTATATAGCGCCATAGTTTCGCTCTGGCTTCCTCCCGCCAAACTGTTCTTTGTCGTCACTAAATCCTGGGCTTCCTTGAGATCCCTGAACTACTCCCGTATTCGCAACTGTGCCTAGTGCCGAATCTCGAACGAGTATACGAGATGAAGCTTTTTTTATAATCCCACCTTGGGGCCAAAAGTGGCCCACGGGCTACCATCTAAACCTCTTAGCTTCTTGAGCCTGAATACGAAGAGGGTGCTAACATTCGGATACGATTCCAAAATAGGGTCGCGACTTTATTCTAGCTTGACTCGATTCAAGCCTTACGATGATCATCACTCTGATGCTTGTCATCAGCCTCCTCAAATGCAGAATGAAGCCTATTCGAGTTAGTACGAGTGCTGTTTGTTGGTTAGTAAAGTGAAGATGGCTATCGTTAAACGACTTCAGCTTCACCAACTATGGGTCAACGAGAAGTATAAAGTCGACCAAGATTCCCCCCGATGGTTGATCTTCATTCCATCATCAACAACCTCAAATCTTCTACTTCTCCTTTGCCTTAGCAAAAGACCAACAGCCTCTCCTTCAAAATTTCTTTTCTAAAGACAATTTTCTACCCTCAACCCATCATCATCATGCACTTCTCTGCTCTTGCTCTGTCCGCGGCCATTGCTCTGCCCCTGGCCAGCGCTTACCCCGTCAAGACTGATGGCCTCCACTGCCGCTCTGGTCCTGGTACCAGCTACAGCATAGTGAAGACCTACGCCAAGGGTACGGAGCTCAGCATCTCCTGCCAGACCCCTGGTACCGACGTCAGCGGAGACTCCCTCTGGGACAAGACCTCCGACGGCTGCTATGTGACCGACTACTACGTCCTGACTGGCACCAGCAACTACGTTGCCCAGAAGTGCGGCAGCAGCTCTGGCGGCGGTGGCAGCAGCGGTGGTCAAGGTGTCGACGAAGCCGCCCTTGAACTGATCGGTTCATTGGAAGGTTGGAGTGCCACCTACTACTATATCAACGGCCACAAGACTATCGGTAAGATTATACATCATCTAATTTGATAATCTTAGTAAATACCAAACTAACTTTCTGTCCAGGTTACGGCCACGACTGTGTCGAGAAGAGCTGCGCTGGCATCAACCCACCCCTTACCAAGGCTCAAGGTCTTGATCTCCTCAAGAAGGACATTGTCGGCTTCGAGGAGTGTGTCTGCAAGCTTCCTAATGCTAAGGACCTCAATGCCAACCAGTACGGTGCTCTGGTCAGTTTCGCTTATAACTCTGGCTGCGGTGGTGTTGCCAACTACTGGCACGGAGCTATGTCTGAGAAGAACTTCAACGGTATCTGTGAAGCTCTGCCTCACACCAACACTCTGAACGGCGAGCTGAACAACCGCCGTCGCCAGGAGGGAGCTTTCTGCTCCAAGGCTACTACCCAGAAGTCTGGCTGTTAAATGGGACCCCCCCCCCCAAGGGGACTATCCCACTCTTTCCATTTATTTCCCCGGGTTAGGAGTCTCTGAGAATCTCATTCGAGATTGGCAGTTTGGATTTGTGATTTTTCTACTGTTGAAGAACATATGACTAAGCATCAGTTCTTTTTGGATTGGATTCGACTCGAATTTTGTTTCTTTCTTTGCATTTTGGGATATATTGGCCTTCTTTATTGCCTTTCTTCTGGTGACCACTTGAATAGAATTTTCAACATGCTTTATTTCAGAAGTTCCTAGCTCTCATATGGTAGTTGTTTTCTTAGCAGCAGTGCATGGAGTTTTCCATTACCCTATCTTATATTGTGGGTTAGGATTAATGTAGAGTCCTTCGAGTAGCTTGCCTTCTTGGAATGTGCTCAATCACTCATTCATTTCTGGCATCAATAGCAAGTCTTCTATCTCTATTCTTCAGGATGTTCCGAACTGGCGAGATTATAAGATTATCGCCTGAAAGGGGACGCCATCCGATCAATGGTAAGTCACTATCCTTATGCAAAATTCTAGGCAGGGAATGAACCTGAAATTACGATTAGTTTATCTCGAAAATATTCACCCGTTTAGTCCATTCCTGGATCGCGGCAAATTCGAAACCAGAGCATTTTCTCTTACTTTGGAGGACGATCATGCTAATGAGCTTCCGTGGGTAGTTGTATATTATATTGTCATAGCCTTAGGTTGCGAATTAGATGGTGGAGGTTCATTCGCACCTGGCAAGGGCTCAGCCTGGTGTCTTTTCAAGGTTGCACTAGATCTGTACCTGAGAACCTTGTTTGCTAAACTCGGGCTTGCTAGAGGTTCGGTAGGCAAATAGTATGATTTCATCTTTCGTTCATCATGAAAGCCATCTCCCAGGGCTGATAATTCTAGTCAATGACAGCTATGGTAGGTTGAATGACTGTGAATAGTGCAAAAGGCTGTAATAGGAAGAGAGACCACAGGGAGGAGGGAGCGAAGCAGGCGTGTCATCGAACCATCACAAACGATACCCATTGTTGTAAAGAAAAGTTCGAACATCAGTCTCAACTAGGTCCCTTGCTGAACTGTCATATATTATACTCGACCAGCCTGATCTCCCTAACCTATAAACTGCCATATCGGTTACCACCATCTCACCCCGAAGCAAACAAATTGTCAGTGAAGACTCCCTCCATCGCTTTCCAGACAGCAATAGGAAAGCACCCATTGATCCAGTAGTCGCCATCCGGTGTAGCTGCTAAAAAGAATGCGTTCCTCGCTAACATGTTATCTGGGCTCACATTGTCAACATGGTAGTACACTGGGTTGCTCTTCACTACTTGAAAAACAGATCCTATATTCCTCCCAACAGTTGCCATGTTCTTAGCCAAAAGAGACCTCTCATCCTTGGTACATTGTGCGAGTTGAACTGCAGGGCCAAAATCAACCACCTCGAAGAGGCGAGCTTTTGACCAATTCGACGCTGTAATCAAGAAGGAGCTTGTGTCGCCAAACATTGGAGGCAAGTTTGTTTGGTCCAGTGAAGCTCGAGTAAGGCGTGCTAGTGCGTGAATTTGGGGCTCGGTGGTCTGTGTCTTGATGCTCCCACGGATTTTGAGGGCCACAGCCCCGAGAGCATTTGTCTTTCCGATGAGTTCACGAGCCGCGATATTTGTCCAGCACGGAAAGACAGCATTCTGCACATACCCACCTTGGTTCTCTCTGGCGGGGAATATGGATGGCAGTCGATGTCGAATATCAAATGCATTGGTGATGGCAACAGTTCGTGACGAATTCAAGGGCAGAAGGGCCAAAGCTGCGATCAATGACACCCATGCCGTCACCACATCTCCCTCACTTATAAACGGTGCCTGCTCTTCAGTGGCTTTTGTGGTCGCATCTTGCTCGGTGATTTCCTTGAGTGAAGCTAGTGCATTGCTCTGCAGTTGGCTTACAGCCTTCCGTGGCAGAAATACCGTTCGAGTTTCCATCTTCCGCCACCAGAGCAGATTAAACACAAACCGAAGTCCCCAGAGAAGTAGCCAACACCCCTTGACTTGTTGTTCTTCAAGAATATGAGTGTCTAGGAAGAGAGGGTCCTTGCCGACAGAAGCCATCGGATCATCGCCAGAAGACAGCATCGGCGGGATTTCTGACTCTCGCCCAGCAAGAACAAGACCCCACGCTGTAGCCAAGTCACGCAAGCTCATTGCATCTGCTGCAATATGAGGCCAACAGAGCGAAACAAGCGTCGCGTCAGTAAATGACACGACATTCAGAGTCAATTGTGGGAGATCAGAAGTAAGGTAGTCATCCAGACAGACTGGTGCATTGGGTGGCACAACGAGTTCTCTAAATGCTGAAGGGCCGTTTTGCACTGACAGAACGTCAGTGGTGGGTGCAGGCAGCCTTGAAGCTAGCGGATGTTCGTTAATGCTGATGTCAAACTCTTCATGATTAAAATTGACTGCAGATCGGTCGGCAGTGAAGGCTTGGGGAACGTGAATTTCCAACTTCTGCTCTGTCTGTCAGAAATAATGTCATTAATAAACCAATGTCAGTTAGTGCGAGTTTCGCGATTGATGGATCATACATTTAAACGAATACGCCCCCCAAGTTTAGACCATCCCTCTTGGTCGATGAGCCGCGATAAAGAGCTCCGCAACATATCTGGGTCAAGTATATCATTGAAACGAAGTGTCCAACATTGTACGATATTGCGTAAAAGTGGTGTATCGTCAAAGTAGTAGACTGGCATTATCCTGTCAGTGGGTACTGTTTCATATGCTGATCCTTTCCGTAGGCTCTTAAATGTAAGCCATCGAAGAAAATTCATCATTCTTAGAGCCATGAGATGAAGATTGTATACTTGAACAAAGACTGAATGGTTGTAGCTAAGATCGTATCTACAGTATGCATGTCGCCTCCTATAAGAATCAGCAGAGCAAACGAGGGATTTTCCGAGTTGTTTGGAGCATCACGTGGTTCTAGATGATACTCTGGCAATGCATAAGTCTCCGATGCTACCTGCATAAGCGAGGATTTATTCGTCATGCAAAATAATTATAGGTCGATTGGACTCTCGGTAATATTAAACTTCCTTAGCGGGCAATTTCAAGATATTGACTGGAACGTTATCTGGGAGCAGAAAAACCTGTCTAGTTAATGCATTCTGGAATCTAAATTTAGTAAATGGGGCCTGATTTGTAGTCGTAGACTCCCATGCTCTCTCACCACTGGCTGGACCGTGAATGTACGTTTTGGCATTGGGAGTCTGTCTATGAAACGGAAATGATATAAGGTCGAAGAACACAGACGTTATTTATTTATAGCAAAAATTGAAACCCAAGTCGCTCTTTGATTATCGCACAAATCCGATTCGCCGCATTTCTCTGCCAGCCTAATGAAATAGGAGATATTGCGATGGTCCTTAACGAGCCGTACACCATAACTGCATCTGCCCATCCGAGACTGAACTTGTCACTAGGTAAGCAACCAATATCTTGCGACACGCCATGCATGCGTAAGATGTTTGTGGCTGTAGCGCGAAATTTTGCAATGCAACGTTCTTGCATCAGGATGGATTGAATTTGTTGCTGTTGTGAGCAACCTGCGTGACAGGAACGAAGTAGAAAGGTTAAAACTCTTGCCGAGAGATGCATTTGAAAATTTCCTTGATATGCATGCATCCCAATAGAGTGTATCGAGTGCTGTGCTGAATCATATGAAGAACGCCAAATGTTCTCTATCTCATCCATGTGTTGCAATGTGGACAAGTAAGTGGCCAACGCTGGATCCGAATTGCCAGTTAACACCTTTAGAATCTGGTTGAGAAAATGAGTGCAGTGGTAGGCAAAGGTACATGCTTGAACTAAGCCATAACTGGATGGTTCCACATGTTGGCAGAGTTCGTGGATCCAGCCCAGCACCTCTGTGGGGGATTCTCGGCCGGCGATGAGTGCTTTGGCTTGCTAGTGTTGTCAGAGATGCAGGATATGAAAGTAGAGTTCAAGAGGCTGTACAGTGCAATGACAGACAAACCAGACAAGATTCCGACCATCCTCTCTAGAGAATTGCTCCGAGCCCCGGATATGAATCAAAGTGGCCATACCTCGACAGTGGCGGTCTCCTTCCTCTGATCCCGCAATAGATGTAAGGTGGGGATTTGATAAGAACGTTGGGAAAATCAGCTCTCTTCTCCTTTAATTTACCACTGATGGACAGCGCCTACCTCGTATACCACAAACATCCAAATCGCTAACAATGTGCTGTCATGCTTGCATTGAACAGGATCACCTAGAGCTGTGTTGACGGTCCTTAGTGCGATCCCATACGCTCTAGTTCTACTGGCAATCGCAGCTGCAGTCCCTATTGTACTAGCTCGATATGCACATGCAATGGCATCGCAGACTGCGTAGACAGGGGAACCTTCTTGCGAGGTGGAGATGATGCGTGGAATGGTAGCAAACATGCTACTGGCTATGCTTGTTTCCACGAGCTCAATCGAGAACTTCTCTAGGACCAAAGGAATCACATGGTGACTCCACACTTGGGAGGGCTCGTATATTATCTGGGGAGGAGGGATTTCACTGTCCATGGCTGAGTCCGCTTTAACTATTTGCGGGTCGTGGTAGCGTATTTTCGGCCGATGGTTTCTCGTGCTCTGTTGAAACGACGAAATGTTGGCAATGCGGAAGCGCATACTAGCCTCATCTCGATAACCCAAACAGGAGATCCTTGCGCGTACACATTGACCACATGAAGGACGTGCAAGATCACACTGGAACTCGATTGATCAGAGGACAGAATACATTCGTATGTTCCAGGACCACCTTACCTTGCAGCGTCGCTGGCGGCAAGAATAGCAACTTCGGCTATATCGACCGGTGTTAGGCATTTCTTTTGCGATCGGCCTGTGTTAGTTGATTATGACCAAAGTTGTGGGTAAAACTGGCGTTCTAAGGGAGGCTGATGGGGCGTCAAAATGATCGCGTCAGCAAACTTCAGCCTTGTCCCGTTGAGGAAATCGATTCGGTCAGCCAATAGCAGTTGCAGTGACGATCATCTGTATCGCTAGCTCACAATTACAGTATAAATACCTATATGTCAGAAACATTTTCTTTATTTCAGAACACGTCCTCTCAATAATTAATTGATCTCAACCACAATGTCTCCTTTACCAGTCATTGCGTGTGGCAGCACCAACCCGCAGGTGTTCAACGCTGTCAAACCTCTCTACTTACCTGAGTACGAAAGTGGGTGATAAAATACGACTAGTCCATGTTTAAGGATTTGATGCTTATATCCTCTGTAGTTATACATAATGTCACCAGCAGCACCACCGGAGCGGTCGAAATTCCCCTCTTGCTGCAAGGGCTCGCCCCTCCCATTACTGGAGAACCCAATCGAGGCACCATGGACTATTCCAAGCCACCGGTGGCTATCTTTGCAGGGGCTCTTTACAGTGATGAGGAAATCGACGATATGCGCCAAGCGTGCCGAGGGCTCAGTTCGGTGCCTTGGTTAAAGATGGATATGACCGTTCCCAAACCGCCACTAGGACCAGGGTATGCTGAGCATGTTGTACAGAGGATCAAAGCATGTATGAAGAAAATCGAGGCTGAGGAAAAGCTAGAACAAGATGGCTTGTGGCTCTATTAAACGAGACAGGAGAGTGATAGCATAGTAAATCGAATTACGTATAGCCTGCAGATGATTTTGTCAGTATGAGGGAATTAATGTACTGGCTAGCACTGAAGTTGTCTAATAGAATCTGATGATTGATTGATTGATTGAAGATGAGAGTGGTTGAACACTCTTGAGAGTCTGTATCGTCTAGTTTCGGTGTGTTAGCACCGTACTCCGAGTGTAACCTAAATACCATCTGTTTTTCCCCGCTTCGCCCTCTCATCATCCTCTTTACATTCATCCCTCTTGCATGGCCTTTGATTTACTGAGCAATTCTTCAAATACCTACCTGTTAGATCCAACACATCGTCCAACATGATCGCAGAGCAGCCTATGACGAATTTGGAACCGCTTCTTTCTCCATCAACTGAAAGAATACGAACTGAGTGGAACCTGCGAAGTAATGTCTGTACCTTCCATCCAACCTTGCCGAGGGTTCTTTATATGGTCATTAATCCAGATCTCAATTAACAAAGCTTTAGCTACTCCGTGACAACTTTACCTTGACAACATGGCTACTTTTGGGGGCTGTGCTTCAAGGCTTCGCTGTTTTAGTTTTCCCAGGCTCGTACACGGTTCTACCTCCTATTCTCATGTTGTTATTCCTATTTGGCAAGATGAGTTTGGCGACACTTGGCTTCATCAAAAATCCTCGAATGGATGGGGTTATTGCTGGCAAATTCACCGCATTACTGCCCGACCGAAATGGGGTGCTTTCGGGAAAGGCTGCTGATCAAGATGTCACCTTAATTCTGCTGGCCGCACGCTCAAACCAGTATGTCTAAAGCCTCTTCAACTAATCTAGTGTGATTTCTTGTTCTCTGGCATTTCCGAGTTGCCCGGTCTTACAGTCGCCCACACTCAACAGTCCGATGGGGATATTCGGCCCCGGTTTCCAAGTGTTGGGGAACTATATGAATCAAATGCAGGCTCAGCTTGCAGATAATGCAATACAATACAACTGTGAGCCAATAAATTCCTATCTTTTGGTGTTGCTTGTCAGATTTAACGCTTTTCTCAATATAGATCTCGGTGCAACCTCCTGGCTGGGAATTGGCGAGCGTTCAACGGCAAATCAACTGATGTTTGCGACTTATTTTCGAACCTTGGAAGATGTACACGCATATGCACATAGCCCACTTCACCGTGAGGCATGGGGCTGGTGGAACAACATCATAAAATCACACCCGCACCTTAGTATCATGCATGAAGTCTACCAAGCGCCCAAAAATCACTCGGAAAATATATATATCAATAATCATCTTACAGGTATTGGTGGGTTACGACTCGCTTTCTATTTGTGCATTATTATGTTTTGAGCTAAGATAACAATAGCTGCTACGCAAAGCATTTTCAGGGCAGAGAGAGAAAACAAAAACGCCGAACGCTTGTGGATCCACCCGATTTTTGACGCTGAAAAGGGGAAATTGAAAACCCACAGGGGTAGATTAGAAAAGAGTGACGGTGATGATAACGACAAGATCTTTTCTAATCAATCACCGCACATCTTTTGAAGAGCTCTCCAGAATGATCTTGTTCTTCTACACTCATGCAAAGTTTTCTCTGAGCTTGATTTGCTGCCGAAGTGACCTTTCCTTCATACTAGATGCTTTGAACTGCCGGAGATTTTGACCATTATGCCTATGAGCGATCCGAGGGAACATAAATAAACGTGTCAAACGACGAGCACATAGTAGGAGTGCAATAGTCGGCCCTAATACCACCACCATAAACATTTCAGTAATATCCTGAGTTGCAGTCCCGGTACCAGACATTAGGGTCAGCACTGGTTCCAACGTTGTAGCGGGTACACGTTTGCAGGCCGTTATCAACAGCAATTCCTGCCATGTATCAGAGTCGTATGAGATTGCAGCTTGATACTCGACACATGCCTAGACGGTTCCACCGGCAAGAAGCATAAAGGAGAGGAGACAAGGGAGGTTGAAATGCATGGTGGAATGAAGCGACTATTATTATCACTAACCATCTTCGCTGTTACTATTGTCTCCTGCGTACCGTTCTTATAGTTGTAGCAGTAAAATAATAGATTGGGACTGTAGCATATATGATGAATGATGTAAAGTTATTCTGGACTGATCAAAGAAATAGAGGTCAAATATGAGGATTTTATGTCTAACCTGGATGTACTGCGGTGGATTCTTGGCGATATCTTGGCCTCAATGAATAGGCATGAACTTCGGTGAATTAGTTTGATACGGTGACTGTTCCTTATTGGCCATAGTTAATTGTTGCCCCGCTTTCCGATCCTTGGGAGGCCCGACTGAACTCGCTACCTCATACCCAGCCCCAGTAATGGTGGATTTGAAGATCCTGATCATCTTAATAGCATCCAGTTGAGCGCATCGACCTTCTAAAAGAGTGTATTTTACGAAAATCTCGCAAGGCGTAGGGTATACAAAGAGCCGTTCAAGTCAGTACTTGCACTTAACAGATCCTGAAACCTGGTCCTGACTACTTGATGGGACGAATGATGATCCCACTAGTCTCTAAAAGGTTTAATTTGTTGTGCATTCTTGTCGAGTCACCTCGTCCGCTTAAGCCCGAACCATCGAATGGATTACCCGAACGGGGCAGTTTTGATACCATTCTCAGCTGAGTATGTGCAATAAAGTTATTCTAGTCTCTGCCTCCAATAGACTTGTACATAATACTTGACAGAAAACACTAGGCAATATAGGTCTTGATTGAAATCAGCCGCATCTCCGAGGAGCCATAGCCAAGCAAAATCATCGTTTCAATTGTGTAGGCCGAGGCTAAGCTCTGTGGTAACTCTTGTCCAGTAAGGCCGCTAAATTCGCTTGTACCTACATCTGAGTTTGAATGGACTATGTAATTTGTTCTGAAACGCATGACAGAGAAAGTGGCACAACCACAGAGGATAGGCCGGGCGCTGATATTTTGATTCTTGCCTAAAATAGGCTTCAGCGGTATATTGTGGGAAATGGTTAATCTTAAAGCAGACAACACCACAGGCATTATGACTGAAGAGTCGGTCATTCAGCTAATACTGCTATTGCCATAAAGGGTAGTAACAAGTGCTTTGAGTAGGGCCTGTCCATAACATTATGTAACGCAGTAGCAAATATTGGGAGGATGCCGCCCATTTGTACAAGTTTACAATGGAAAGACCTTACAATCTAAGCACTTTCCACCAAGTTTCATTTGGATTCTACATATATCGATGGTCAGTAGGGATTCATAGTCTAGCTATGACTTCGGTAATAAAATCAAGAACTAGGATTTGGCAAAAGTGCATGGAATCCAACATATAATTAGATCAATCTGACTTGTAGGTGAACCATTTGGAGTATCCCATTTGCCATATCCCTCTCCTGCTTCGATGAGATGGGAGAGAGGAGGATAAGTCTTAATGGCCACAGCCGGAATATATCCCAAACTCCAACTGTGTAGGGTAGACATTTGCTCTTCGATCCACCAGGCGACCCCGGAAGAGCATCATACTGGAGCATTGAAGATAGCATCACCAAAACCTGGTCCGCCAGAGACTGAAATTCTTTCACACAGTGTTGCTGAGCATCGAGAATTTGTTCTTGTTGTTGCAGTGTACAGGTAGGTGCTTGATACGCAAATCCCAGAAGCGTATACACCAATGAGGATACTTGAAGACGAAAAGTGCTTCGGTATCCTTGGAGTCCTGCATCTCGAATGGAATCAGATAATATTACCACGGTCTGCGGAGAGTCAATCACTAAGTCTCTTAGAAACTTGTCATGGGATAGAGGGGCTGTTTTAGTCTCCAAATTTTCCATGTGGTGTAGTATGGAGGGGTACATGGAGAGGATCGAGTCATGATTTCCGGTCTCGATTAGATCTTGGATCACAATGCAAAGCCGGCTGCAGTGGTGGGCGAAGATAGCCGTACGAACAACACTCAATTCGACATGCTCACAGTGTTTGTAGAAATGACGTATCAAAGAGACAAACTCCCAGGAATGGTCTTGACTCGTGATAAGCGCCTGGTTTTGCTATTGAAATCTTCTGTTAGGGATATTCCAGGGCAATAAGTTGAGAAGCAGATATATACTCGAACCTACTACAGTATTGAAGACAGTCAGAAATAGGGACCGATTCTCTGCTGTTATAAACGCTTCTTCTGGTCTCTGATCGAGCAGCGCGATCATCCCCTGAGTGTGGATACACCATCCGGGAGACTTGACAACAAAACTGAAGTCGGGGCTGGAAAGAAGCTACAAGTGAGGTTGTTAGTTAAGTACGCGGTAGATAGAGTGATAGAGATACCTCATAGATACTCAACAAGAAGACACCTACTAAGATCTCATCGTGCCCGCATCGCCGAGGATCCCGGAGGTCTGTATTAATGGCGGCGATCGCCTTTCCGTACGCATAGGCCTGTTGGGACCTTGCGGTGGGACAGTTTGTCATGTTAGTGATATAGACGCGTCCAATTGCGTTGCAGACTTGGTACAGGGCAGAGCCCTTGTCAGTCATGGAGACCACACGTGTGATGGCCTTGAAGATGGTATTATGGTTGCCATTAACGTCATCGCAGGAGAACTTATTCAGAACCAAGGGCAGCAAGTGATCATCCCATGACTCGGCAATGGAGTTTTGGAGCTCCAAATTTGTCGAGACCTACGCAGACATAAGGATGTATTAGTTATATGCCACCCCTCTTGGGGCTATGGGGCAGAGCTGGAGACCGACGTTGAAAACCAACCCCGGTTGGTTGTCAGCAGGACTGGGTGGCGCATTTTTGGAAACCTTTTTTATTTGGCCAGAGATACGAGACCTTGAATTTTTGTTCTTAGATTCACCCAGACGTTTCCTTCTTTTCGAGAGGAATGACGCCACGCTCTCTGTCCGAAACTGGTTGTCAAGCTCATTGCGATACCCGGGGCATGGAACTCCTTTCCGTTGGCACTGGCCACATCCCAGAAGTCCGAGATCACACTATAAGATTTATTAGGTATGCTTCTTGGCAGGCTTTTGCACGGGACTCCTGCACCTTAATTCGTCGTTGTCGACAGAGGTGACAGCCACGACTGGGTTTACCCGTGTTTGGCATCTTTGCGATGATATTTGCATACACAGTTGACAGTACAGTATAAGATGCGGGGAATTGAAACTTGGGGCATCTCTCAAAGTAGAAATCCATTCGGATTCCCTCTGAGCTGCATTTATAGTACCGCCAGGCTGAGAATTGGTGGCAGTTCCAATACGCGGGCCGCATGGCAGCTGAGGGGCTGAGAGGCTAGGTACGGCGGCTGATAAGTGCCACCAAAGTGCAAGTGGCGTTTTCATTCCGCCTGTAACACCGCTTAACTTACTTAGTTAGTTAGAGAGAAAAGCTTATTAATCGTGTATCTCATAGTTAACTAACCAACCTAGTTAACTAGTTATCCGAATAAGGTAATTCAGTCTACTTTCGAATACCCCTGAATACCTTCCGCATCCTCCGCATTTCTCTTTCTCTCTGCATTTCTTTCTGCATCTCTCTCTACATCTCTCTCTACATCTCTCTCTACATCTCTCTCTACATCTCTCTCTACATCTCTCTCTATATCTCTCTCTATATCTCTCTCTACAATCTTCTCTATAATCCACGGAAGAAGGGTTCAGTGGGTAGTTTAAGTCGTATATAATTCAATTCAAATCGATTTAAATCGCATGAGAGATGGGCCATCAAAATCGTGGGCCCGAGTTAGCCAAATCAGAATTCCACCAGGTTGATATTGGCCGTGGTAGCTTAATCTTTCAGGTTTACGTACAAGCAGCGATATGGCCTAATTGGGAATTCTGCCGTTAAAATTAATGAAAACGCCACTTGCACTTTAGTGGCATTTATCGGCCACCGTAGGCTAGGTTGCTTTAGGAAAGCCATTCGGCGCTAGCAACAAACAAACTCCTTGGTTTGGGCATCATGTGGAACAATACAACCCTACTCGCACAATTGTCGGACATCTCCAACCTATAATCGTTCCATCCGAGGACAGCTGAATGCCGCGGTTTCAGCTCCTAGTGGTAAATTACCACCTCTCAGATTGACAAATGATTTTACCAATGCCCACAGCTAAAATTTGGACACCCTGGAATTTGCCGGTCAACCCACCACTAATCAAAGACCGAGGATACCGGGCGGTAGCAGAAGGCGTGTCCAAACTTTTGCTATGTCACTGTCACTATATAACTAACTAATGTGCACGGTAAACGAAGCGCCACTGTAACGCTTAGGCGACGTGTTTTATTGTATCCGTCTCGTTGATATCAGAGGTTGGGCTTAGTCACTGACGACTGATGGCCAATAGCCGTGGGTATAAAGAGATGCCTCCAGCTAGATTCTATCTTGTGTCTCGGTACCACGAAGGTCAGGATTATGAGCCTCAGGAATTAGTCTTGTTCCTATTCTTCTTCTTGCTCCAATCAGACTTAGTCATTTTTCATTTAATATTTTCCGTCCTGTTACATAGTTGGGAGGCCCCTGCCCTGTACACAGCCCTTTACAACCAGCGACCATACAGTTTACTCACCCTGATTCTCACCCTGTCTATTGCGCACTCACCCCTTCTCACTCACGCTGATGCAGCGCTTTATACATTGAAATTAGGAGTATTGGGGCATATATTTTGTTTCTACTTGGTTTCTAGTACATACGACCATAGGGTGTGGAGAACAGGGCTTCCCGTCCGCTCAGCCGTACTTAAGCCACACGCCGGCCAGTTAGTAGTATGGTGGGTGACCACATGCGAATCCTGGCTGTTGTATGTTTTTTGTTTGTTCTTTTTAAATTCGTTGGGACTATTTAGCTAGTGCCTTTGCCGCTCTACCAACTTTCCCCACCCCCCTCCCCTCCTCACTGTCACTGTCCTTACCTAAGAAGTTCTAAAGACTAACGTAATTCCCAGTCGAGCGAGCCACCCGGTTGAGCGGGCCACCCTAAAACACCATACTAAATGCAATATTTCACAACTTCATACTTCAACGTCGAAGGCGAATTATATAGTCTTAAGGTATCTTAATATTAAATATATTATACTAGATATTTGGATAGGCTCTAGAAATATTTCTGAGTGTAATAATGCAGATATATATATCCTCGTCGCTCGATCTAGGCGTATTTTTGGTAATATAAGTAATTAATTATCTTCTAAATATATCAGTTATACTAAACTATTTCTAATACTAGGGAGTTATAGTAGATTGAAAATTTAATAAAAAAATGTTCTGGTTGTTGATATATTGTGGCTTGAAAAATCGCTTTTAGTATAGTGTTTTAGGGTGGCCCGCTCAACCGGGTGGCTCGCTCGACCGTGAACTACGTTATGTATTGGAGGAGAGAAATGCTAGAAACATGCGGATTTTCAAGGAAAGTGTCAAATGATATTCCGTCATATAGGCTGTATGCAAGAGGGGCCTCAATGCCCCGAGATCACATCTTGAAGTTTAAGTGAATCAAAGTTGAAAAAAAGCAGATGTCCTGAGAAGCATCCAAGAAATACTTGTGATGATGACACGCAGAAGCAGTTGGGCGATAATCCGGTGGTAGCCACAGAACATTCTCCGAGTTCCAAGTAATCCATGAACCATCGGAACTTATACCATATCCTCCACATTGTGTTGTTTTGGGGCTGACACTCGTCGTAAGTGTCCCTAAATCTGGTGATAAACAAATAATATACATATCAGTTTTGAGATAGGAACTGTCGTCGTTGAATGATATCACAGAGGCCACTTGTTCAAGATTGAACGTGTGGAGGCACTTGCAATTGTCAGAGTCCCATAACTTGACGGTGCAATCAGGAGAAGCTGAAGCGAGGAGGTTGGAATCATGTGAGAAGACAATCTAGTTAACAGAGCCGCTATGACCTTCAAGGATGCGTGGGCACTGGCAGCTGTCGCTGCCGCTGGCAACATTCCATATATCGCAATAGTACCGTCGTCTAAAGCTGCGGCGAGGAACTTGGAACCAGGTGCAAGCCAATCCCTCCACCATGGCCACCAAGAATCTGTAGAGAGCAGCCACTATCACTGCTGGTATCCCATATCATAATAATATCATAATCCGGAGTTGAGGCAAGGAGCTTGGAATCAGGGGAGAAGATGAACAAGGTAAAAAGTCGAAATGGCCCCCAAGGGTCTGTCGGCACTGGTTGTCACTGCTACTGATATCCCATATCTTGATGTTACCGTCATCCGAAGACGAGGCGAGGAGTGCAGCATCAGGGGAGAAGATCACCGACGTCACGGAATCACTATGGCCTTCAAGGGTCTGTAGGCAATTGCGGCGGCTGATATCGCACAGCTTAACAGTATGATCAGTGGAAGTCGAGGCTAGAACTTTGCAATCGTGGGAGAGAACAAGAGAGGTAACAGAACTACTATGGCGCTCGAGGATCCGTGGGCTCTGGTTTCTATCTCTTGAAGTGTCCCAGATCTTGATAGTACCAGCTCCTGAAGCTGAGGCGAGAACTTGGGCGTCATGAGAGAAAGCAACCGAGAAAACGCCATGGCTATGGCCCTTGATGGTCTGTAGGCACTGGCCACTGCTTATAGTCCAGATCTTGACTATGCCATCTGATGAACCCGAGGCGAGGAGATTTGAATCATAAGAGAAGGCAACCGAGAACACGACATGTTCATGGCCCCCGAGGGTCTTTAGGCACCGACCACTGCGGGTATTCCACACCTTGACCATACTATCTCCTGAAGCCGAGGCTAGCAGACTGGAATCATGCGAGAAAACAACGGAAGTGACAAGGTGGATATGGCCTTCGAGGATCCCTAGGCACACACCACGACTGGTATCCCATAACTTGATAGTTTCATCAGCTGAGGCCGAGGCAAGAAGCTTGGAATCATGCGAAAAATCTACCGACAGGATACCTGTGGGATGGGCTTTGATGGTCCTTAGGCACTGACTGTTAGTAGTATCCCATAGCTTGATAGTATGATCATTCGAGGCCGAGGCGAGAAGCTTGGAATCATGCGAGAAACTGATTGAGTCAACTGAATCGTTGTGGCCTTCGAGAGTCTTCAGACACTGGCTACTGCTGATATCCCACATCTTGATCGTATGATCGCTTGAGGCTGAGGCGAGGACTTCGGAATCATGTGAGAAAACGACCGACCTAACAGAATCGCTGTGGCCCTCTAGAGTCTTTAGGCACTGGCCCCTGTTAGTATCCCACAGTCTAACAGTATGATCGTCTGAGGCTGAGGTGAGGAGCTTGGAATCATGCGAGAAAATGACCGAGCTAACTGAATCGGTATGTCCTTCTAGAGTCTGTAGACAGGCAGTCCACCCTTCCTCTTTTATTGGGTTTCTCGTAATCCACTGTGGCATTTGACCTTCAAATTGAATTCTTGTTAAGGTCTTGCCTGGACTAAATACCAGTCCTGAGGCATACACTTGTAGTGGATGATTCTCAATGACTATCTTGAAGTATAGAATGAATCGATACGCATCCTCGACTTTCTGAGTTAGATCAGAGGCTTTTTCTGTTTCCTAAATCAATAATGATATTAGAATATAAGCCAAGTTAGAATGTTCAGAACACATACTTCAAGTAGCCTCTTCAGAATTAACATAGAGTCTACTCCTTTCGAGACGCATTTCAATAGGCTAAGGGCCTCTAGCCAATGAGTGTAGTCTTGACAGAAGAAGTTACTGACCATACCACTTTCCGTAAGGTCTTTCGTTGCATTTTTGTTTGGAGAGCAGTCATTGAGGTGATTGACCCAGAAGGCACATGCGTACTGTACCCCAGCTAGCGGGTCTGGATATGGCTGTTTGATCTGATCAATCGAATATCCGGGGCGAGCTAGATTGTATATATCAAGTCGTAGAGTCTTATGAATAGCTCGTAATGACACCGAGAAGATGGAGTAGTGTACCATTTCTATGGCGTTGGGGAAAGTCCTGACACACGCTTCTCGGAGGAGAAAGTCTTTGGCTGACTGATGAATCAAAGATATTGTGCGTCCTCGGAGTGTTAAGAAAGAGCCACAACGCCCTATCATATCTTTCAGAGCCTGATTTTCCCTAACGCCTACAGGTAAGTCGATGCAAGATACTAGCTCGTCAAGCGTAATAGGGCGATGAACACTCAAGATAACGCTGAGAACAAATTTGCAGAGCTTAGCATCATAGCAATTGCTTATCTGATCGAACATTCGCTCATAAAGCTTGTCAAGGCTTGGAGGGTATTCCTTAAAGGTATCCTGAACGTATCCTTTAGGAATACCAGCGAGTTCTTTGCAAACCAAGGCTACCTAAAGGAAGGTACCGTGTGCGTTTGACGATAAGTTCCGCTTGACATCATTCTGGATGGCAGAACTGTAGTTCTTCCTTTTTGCTAACTCATTTAGCCTGTGGTCAATGAACGAGCCAACAGCAGCCGACACTATCTCGTTCAACTCAAGACACAGCTCCATTTGCACCTTGCCATTAAGGCGTTCCCCAATGTCCGGCACCTTTCGGCTGGAGATAGCCTATTTAACGCGCTGATGAGTAGACGGCTTCTGAACAAGAAGCCGAAGCAGATTTTCCAAGCCCACAGAACACTCGTCAAGGGCATCGATAATCAGATATGTTTCGTGTAACGTTGGGTCCTCGAGAATATTCATAAAGGCTTCGCGTAAAACGGTCTATGCATTCTCGCCGTCGAAATTACCATCCTGGATATGTTTGATAAGTGAGCGTTGTTTCTTCACAAGCATATATATAAGCCCTCGCAGGACGGCTGTCGCATTATTGATGCGGCTGTTCGTAGCTTGGCAGAAAAAGAACGAGATATTAGTGTCACGCGTAATAATTTTGTGTAGCTCATCGATAATCCCGCAGAGCAACATCGTCTTTCCCTTGCTAGGTTCACCCTTAATCCAGAGAAGCTGACCGAAATCACCATCTATCCACTTCTTGAACTGGGGATCGTCAAGCACCCAACAGTATAAGTCTCTCAAAAGGCTATCTTTATCATCCTCGATTCGGTTTTTGTCATGGCAAGGATCAAGGCTCTGGAGATTGTCTAGGCAACGTCGATACTCAGTGTCAGAAAGGCCTTGCTTATATTTCTTGACTGTATCGACAAGTTGTGGCGAATCATAGCGATCTGCTAAGAGACACGGTCATTCATTACCCGTACACCTAGGAGTATATTTTAGAATGATTCATATACATACGAATAGTTATATTGAAAGTCGCATAAGGTGAATTATCTAGTTCGTATACGTCAGATCAAGACATAGACTCGTATGATACTATTTCTTACCACCAATTATCGCATCCCCATGGGCCACAGTGTGATGCTGATCCCCTGTTCCTTTATGGAGATTGAAAACTCCTCCCCCGATAGCCGCATTATTGTCCCCACTCCCCCAATATTGCTACTACAGGAAATCGGCGGTCTCGTCCTATAGAGAGGAGGGCATATCTTTCATTTCCTTCATAGTCTCTTTAATCTCCTCTACTTCGGCCTCCGTGGCAGTTCCCATCAGCTTCTCGCTTACAAGCAAATAAACATCCTTTAAGATCCCTTCCATTAATCCCTCCACGCGAGACTGTTTTCCCAATGCCCCTTTAACGGCTTTTTTATATCGATCATACCACTTGTCGTCATCCTTCCGCACGACTTTGTGGAAGATCTCTTGAAGAGTCTCAGCCTTCACTTTGCATGACTTCAGAGTCGGCTCTAATGCCTCCTGTGCGGTCTCGTCGAGAGACTGTGCCCTAGCTTTGGCGCTTTCGAGGATCTTGATCACCAGTGGCAATCGTGCGGCTACCTGACGAAATGCGTCCGGCTGACCTTTCGCGTCTTGTGCGGCATCATATACCGTTTTAATTGCATCCACGATTGAAATTACACCGATTGAAATTACACCGGAAATAAGGCCAATGACGAAAGCGGCCTCGGCACCACTCATGATGAGCAATTGGCGGTGATTTTGGCGGGTGTACGTTCGGTGGTCAATGTACTAAAAACACCAGTGAGTATTTGAAAATACGGTGATTGGACTGTCGCTTAGATGACAGAATTATGCTACCAGATGAGGCTGGAGATCGGCACAGTGCTGTTGTGGAAAGCCCGAAGAGTTTGCGAAGGCTCACGGGAGGCTTGGAAAGCGGGCGAGGGTGAGGGCTTCCTTTAAATAGTGTTGGATAGCCGCTGGCACCATGTCGTGTGGCTTGCCTGACTGGCAGTCCAACCAGTCACGATCCTTTCCAGGGGTCTACAATACGTGGGCAAAAAAAATATATACTGGACGACGGGTAGCCGAACGAATGATAGCTGACTCCCCGGGCCTGATGGATGACAGTCTCAGGAATTTCCCCTATATTTGTGATAACCAGGCAGAAAGGCTATGATCTGGAGAAAAGCAAAGAGAGAAGAGCAACTGCCGATTGGTCCAGAATCACTTTATCCGCGCTCAGGCCCCTCGACCACCTGTAGTGAGTACTATTTACAGTATCGTGGGGAAACACGTCCTCTCGGCGATCTGCAAGCGCTCTGCAAGCGCTCTACCAAGACCAACATCACATCTCATCCATCACCTTGCATATACGGCCTGCGGCAAAATGCGGCGAAAAGGGGGCTTACATTCAAGGACCACAACTACCCAGATTCTGGTCCATACGCGGGACTCTATCTTGGTGGCCTCGATCTTCTACTATCAAAGCAGGAACCAGCGATGCTTAAGCCGGCTCGGTCCGCTCCCAGCGTCCACGAAACTGCTTATAAGTACAGTATCAGCCTGAATGGAGAGTGGCTAGTTTCCAGGACGAGGTTAATTATCCTGGAATTCCGTACCACGCATAGCTTCGTAGCTCCCACGTGATGACTATCATTTCCCCTAGGAATTTGGAAAATCACTAAGCACCGAATACAGCATAGACAATTATCCAGTACTGAAACCAATTTCACGCGGCACAGTCCATTGAGATAGCTACTCCACTTCGTGTGGAGCATGATGACACCAAACCTCAAAACCGCATAACTAGTTTGAGCTCATTCATTAATGATCTAAAGCAACGTAGTGATGACGCCTCGAAGGGCCCTTGCTAGTGACTCATGCTGTATATTTCCCTCCTTTCTTTATTTCCTGGTCTTGAGAAAGGCTGAAACCGTTATTGGATTTGTTTGGACAATTTGAAGACCCCTTGACTCTGGTGGAAGGACTCAGTTGCACTGGTTACCACAGATATCCTGGAATTCGCTTGACCATAACGGATAATCATGAATACAATGAATATGAAGTCTCATTCATTTGTGGTCTGATCCCACCACCTCGTAGCCGTGTCATCATCCACCCACTTTCCACCAGTTTCACTCGTTTGAACAGTGAAACTGACCTTGTTCTTCTCACCTGGTACTAGTGTGAATGAATTGTAGCCAATAACTCCAGCCGGATGAGGGGAGGCTGAATGGCGGGAGGCCGCCACCAGACGCTCCTAGCACGTACCGATAATTCATCCATTGTCGCTCTCCATGTTAGCCGTTCCCGAAATCTTTCCCTCTGCCAAAATGTGCAAAAGCGCCTTTTGCCAGCCTGCCTGCACCCTAGCCAGTCTTCGGGTGAAGAGGTGAACTGCCGCCTGAAGCCGCCTGAAACAAGCCTCAATAAAGCGGCGAATCGCCCAGCACCGAACGATGGGCGCTTGGTGAGGTCGGCCATACTTTTGGCTGTTGTATATTTTTTGTTCTTGTCTTTGTTTTAACCAAGTCATTTGCTGTGTTAAATCCGAGCTGCATTGGTCACCCCGATTTTGTCGAGAAAGACCAGTAATGAAGCAGGGCAACGGGGTGGGAAAAGGGTGCGAAGCTGATGCACAAAATTGGTTCTTCGAGTAGGGCATGTTGGCCGCTTCATGGTATTGCTGGCGGTTCAGGCGTAGGATGGATCAGAAGAGACCATTGAACTTCCCAAGGTATCCGAAATCAGTTGGTGATATAATTTGATCCACACCAATGGCTTGGTTGGAGAGATGGAGAACTTCATACATGATGCGTTGAATTTCAACAGGTAGGCTCAGCAGAGAGAGTGCCATTTCTTGCACATCCTGGGCAATTTTAACGAAAGAGGAATCTCCGGGCCATGAATTTCAAAAGCAACGTCTAACCTAGCATAACCATAGTCTGACATCTACTTCGAAAACTGCACCGCCACATCGCATCATCATTATTCCGCCGTGCCACAGCGGAGCCCCGGCGATCAACGGCGGAAGTAGCCAAGTGAAAGACCACGCGGGACGTGTTATATGGAGGTGGCTCTCGTCTTGACTTCCCAAATTCTTGGTCTTTATTCTGAAGACCATTTTATTTGAGATCCCGTGCTCCGGTATGATGATTGTTCGGTGCTGTGTGAGGCGATTGGTTTGCACCTCGTCATTGCTGACAATCCCCTAAGATAGCCTGCGACCCGCACAACCCCCTGTCACTCAGGCGAGATGAAAAATCATACGGTAATCATGATGTCCACCAAATCCAGCCCGCAAGTTATCCCCTGTAATTTAGCTTTGGACGGAACAGTGCTACTCTTTGTCAGAGGAGCCGAAGATAACGGCACAGATATAATCTTTGAACTTCCCGACAAGCTCCCTATTATGTTGGAGATTATAGGTATATTGTGGGGTGTTTTTGTAATCTCCGTAGCTGTAGGTACTTATTCACGGTGATTCTTATTGAAGAACGATATAGTTGCGATCGAGGTTACAAACGGATCAAGGTCTAAACGCGCATTGAAAGACAAAAGTATTGCGCAGAAAGAGATCACTAGCAGCAACTTAGACGAGCAAAAGTGTGGCAAAACGATTTCAAGTGACATTTGGGGATGATTTGAATTATACTAAACGAGGTATTGATCGAAATTTCGAACTTTCCTCTGTGTATTTTTCCTAAAATCCGGAGGGTTGTTCCTGTCCTTTTCGTTTTTCGTATCACTGTATCACTTGATTAATTTTTAAGGCTTTTCTTTCCACGGTAAGTCAGGCGGGACGTATGATGGTAAGCGGCAACCTATCCAACGTTCTGTCATGATATATGGTAATTTTGACGTGCGGTCTAGGCAAGTCGAGCCGTTCTATATATGAAAAAATCTTTCCCTATACCAATGACTTTCAAACCTAAGGTGCGTGGTGTTAGCATAACTTTGCACTATTACTGCAAACGACCATCCGCCATAATTAGCCCTCTATTCCATACTTACCTGATATCAGAATGATTCCCACGCGGTGGACGCAAGCGTGGTGATTGTCTCGTTCACAGACACCCGCTGTGCATTCTAGGCTCGGGTTACGTGTCCGGGCTTATACGTGAGTTATTTCTGAAACGGCCGCATGATCATTTGGGACTACGAGACGCGGTAACTTGCCTCGCTAAGCAAAGGACCAAGCAAACCTAAGTGTAAATATCTTCCTCATTATATCTCAGCCTATATGTAGACTACCCCTCGTAACACATTCCTAATAACGTCTGAGAACAAATAACGCTGAAATACTTCCCACCAAATGTGTGAGTGCGACGTATGATATTGTGTACGTGACTCGGGCGGTTTCGCTGGAAGCCTAGAACCTCTAGACGTCCCAAAATTTAAACTAGGCGGATGATATAAATCGTTCCAAGGGTCCATAGAAACAAAATTCGATCATGATCCAGAGCTGCGGCGGACCATGGTATATCAATGCAAGATATGCATCAACCGTACCAAATTTATAGTAGCCTGGATATACTCTCTCCATTGTATTGTTCAGAACATCATACGTGCCATATCGACATAGTAAATCCGTCTCCCACATATTCTAGGCTCTGAACCGACCCACGCGATCACGAGGTATATTAGTAGGCCTATTAATCCCGGGCAATTAGCTCCAAAGTCAGACCCTAAACCTTATCTAAGATTAAGCCTCGAATCAGCCTCTGCAAATTTCAAAACCCCACTACGATATTCAGGTAGCCGGGACAGAAATACATCTTTATTCTTAACCAAAATATCTTGATATGATTAAAGACACCAAATAAGAAGGATCTAGATTGTCCCAGCAGGGGGAGCCCCATTAGTAAACCGTGTGTTCGCGTTGCGAAGGCGGGTCTAAATCTGTAGTATCCGTTTGGATGGCAGCTTTGATACTAAATGAGCTTGAATCCAGTGATTCATATCTCAAAAAGTTCCGAGGGACTTGATCTCGATGAACACTACGTCAGCGAGCTATCCTTAGCCTGCTGAAGTTTGCCCTTTAATGTATCCGTACTCTGTTCTCTGATCCCTTAAGAATTATTCATTAGAATTTCAGAGCGGCTATTAGATCAGAGAAGCCTAGGTAAGGTCATCGGGGATGGTATAGGTCATAATATCACACATATGTACCTTAGCTAAACAATCACATGGTCTGTCATATGGCTGACTTCATTCCCTAAGTTTGCGAATTTGTGAGCGCCGTTGAATTATCATGAGGGAGAAGGATAGGTCGGCTAGCCATACGGCTCTTCGCGGGTTCTCTTCGCCGCAAGGAGCGTTTGTTATGTCTTTAAATCCTGCTTAATTCGATCATAATTCTTCCAGAACTGAGGTAAAGTCGTTTTAATAAATGCCTCAAATTACGTCAGTCCAGTCAGATTCCGCAGCCCTTGGCCTATAAAGGAGGGCGTGGGCACAGCTCAATGCCATCATTTGATGAAACTTGAAGCTTTCTCTCGCCGCCCACGGGCAATCTAAGAGCCTAATCTGGGCGGTCCGTTGGCACAAGATTGGAACAACTTAGGAGCCTAGAGATATATTTATCATAAAACAGGATTTGACTGTAACTTGCCTTGACGGAGAAAAATCACAATCAACTGACGCATCTCCCGAAGCACTGAATTACCCTGGGTCAAAAACTGGAGGTAGTGGAGATACGAAGACTCTCACGAGGCGATCCATATGTAGGCATACCTGAAAGAGTAGCCCAGGTAGAAAACCCTGAATACAAATTGTGTTAGATCCTTGGTTCTAGAGAATCTTATCCAACTACTAATATCAATCTTCTGCCCGCAGTCTTGTATGTAGGACTGTTGATGAAACTGACGTGCCGTTCAACCTACGTCAGGAAATCCTTGTTCCTCATACTTGCCATCTCTTCAGACAAGGCTTGAGCACCGTACACTGTACTTATTCAGCCTATTATCGCGTTATCGATGAAGGGATCTTCATCATTGGATCACCCACCCACGACGAAGTACGATGGTTGTCTTCCCTTGCAAGTTGCTGAAAAAGCTGGCCATTGTGGCCATACTATCTCTTATCATTCTTAGTATCCATCAGCTTTGATATGCTGACTTTTTTATCCTTGCTGGAGAGTTGTCCCGGACCGTGAAGATAGTTGATCGATGCCCTCTATTTGCCCCCAAGTCTCACGATAAAGTTCATCTGTAATTGATTCAGGAATACCCAATACTGTCCATCAACTTTGGAAAACATGTGACACACGAAATTACTCCACTGAAATATACCCGTCTCGGGAGTCATGGAAAATTATGCTCGAGCGCCGTAATTATACCGTCAAGCTCTGGGCTGACGACGAAGCCCTTGAACTCATCACTGCTAAGTATGCCTGGCTACTGCAAACATACAAGGAGCATTCTCTCAATATCCAACGCGCGGACATTGCGAGACTTCTCGTCGTCCACACTGAAGGCGGCATCTACTCAGACCTAGATGTTTACCCCAGATCAGCCGAGCACATACAATGCGTCCAACACCTCGGCTTGCAGGCGATATTCTCCTCCACAACTGGGACGCTCGGCTTAAGCAATCACTTTTTTATGGCTAGGTGTGGATCTCCGTTCCTCCAGTGGGTGCTCTACGAGGCGCCTGCAGCGTGGAGGCAGGCTATCGTCTCGACGTGTAGTCGTGCCATACTTGAAGGTCTTTTGTCTACAGGGCCAATGGTGTTGACAGCAGCGTTTCGAAAGTACTCTTGGCTATACGGCACACCGCGGCATGACATAAGTTTGCTAGAAGAGGGACATAGCCGCGCAGTGATACGGGACGCGGCCGGGCGGTCTTGGCAGGGGTGGGACGGGCAGGCATTGAATTATATTGCGGACCATGCGCGGATGGGTTTACTTTTGAAGTGTGTTATATATCTTTTTGTTGTACTTGGGCTGATCTACTTAAGAAGGAGACATTATAGGAGATTTGCCTATGGGTGACGTTTAGGGCAATGAATTGCGCAACGTTGTCGACCCGGCTGAATATAACCACTCGTAGACCATGCTTTTCGGTAGTGAATCAGATTGAGCCGCTGAAACGACGCGATTATCTTCCGGTCGCAGCAGACCCTTATAGCGGGGTCAAGGCAGCGGATCAAGCTTTATATCTTGACCAATTGGCCTTTCGACTGATGTCTGGCTTCTGATTAGCTGTTTCCCTTCGACGATCAGATGTCCAGGTCTTTTATTGGCTGGAAAAGGGCTATGTATTGGATCTCTACCCGCCACCCAGCTCTTCACCGACACCGAGGCTCCCAGAGCCCTAGAGGTTCATAATGCACCGAGCAGAAGGCAAGCCGACCGCTGCTGCCGCAAGTGCATTACCATGATTACCAGCCTTGAGCGTAAGGTTTGCGTCTGCTTAAGATTCCTCCACGAGATACTTCCCGGTGGGCTTTTCGTCAACTGGGTCACCGGATGAAACGCCCACCCGGGGACCCGGTGAGCTGTATACCCCTTCACTGTCTTTAGGTCTCCAGAGTAAGAACCCCCCTTCCCCCCCCCCCCCCCACTTAGGGCTATACTCCAGCCGCTACCGAACCAATTCTGCATCAGTTGCGCGCGAACACAGGCTTGCCATATGGCCTGATGGAGAACACAGGTCGCGATCTTAAAGCCAATCTTTGGTCTTGTGCGAGTCCGTTTAGTCGCATATTCCTCATACGACGATACACTGGAAGTTGATTGTCAGCCCCGCCGCTTCCATTTTGAAACAGAGAACATGACTACCGAGGGCCTCATTGAGTCTATCTCGAAAGGCAGCGTGTTCGATAATATGCTTACCAGATGCAATCAGACCAAAATGTACACGCGTATCTCTGGGTTTACTCTTCCCGGTCTTCGTCCTGTCACAGAATTGGCAGTTCACTGATTCTTGTCGCCTTTATTATCATCTGAGGTGACTTCGCAGTCCGCGGCGCTCAGACGGACATGGCAGTAATCTGTTTTGAACGGCACGTCCTCAAATGAATTTGATCTTAGATACTTCGGCACCAGTCTTGGCCATTTCTCTTTCAGTGCATAAAGATATTCCAGCATCTTCCATCCATACGTTTCATGCTCCGTCTCCAAATCTCGATATAGCTGTCAGGAGCGAGGTCAATGCGTTGTTCAGCGACCCCGTCCGCTCTAAATCACCGCTCTCTTTTGCTTTACCGATGCCCCGTTGGACCACATCGGGGAATTAGCCGACTAGTGTACCGACCACCACATCGCTAAGCCTCAACTAAGGCGGAACACCCCCACCGATACTAACCACGGGACCGAATCTGATGGATGGAAAAGAGTAAAGCTCATCCGGGCGGCAACGGTGGCCACTAGATTGTTGCCGATTTGGGGTCATTTGGTGCTTCGGGAGATCGGCATGTTTATAATCTAACATGGCCGTGGCCGCGATCTGTTCTTTCGGGAGGCGGCAGACCCAACCCATTGTGTCAGTATCGTGCGCTAATATCCGCGTTTCACCTTCTGGAGTCTCAATATTTCTGTGACCCAGCTTCCTCCTCTTTGACACAACAGATGTCGGTTCTTTGTGATCTTCACACTTTATCCCTTCTTTCCATAAGTAGCTTGTTCATGGAGAGAATACGGACATACGTTTCATTTGGCGTTTTCGAGATTGGAATAACTTCTCCAAGTGAGCGGAGGTATGGAAATACGTCTGTTGAGGGACAAACTCGAATATTGGGTTCTAGCTCTGTTGACTCTCTCGAACGGCCGGAATTCGTTGGATTATTTAAAATATGAAACGAGAGCGGCTGTTATATTCAACAACAGAATCGGATTTGCGGTAAGTCCGGTGGGTCTTGATTTAATTGAGCTTCCCAACATTATACTGCCGGTATTCGTAAGGACCTGGTCAGAATTTCTTCGAAAGCAGGGATTATTCTGCACGTAATCATAGGTCTAGTTGTCGCACTTGGATCGAGGAGCCCCCTCTCTAAAATAGACTATACCTAAAGGAGAACTCGCTGCTCTCAAATAAGGGTATGCCGAGCCTTTGTAGCTTAGCAGAGCTCTAATGAGTTTAGGAGTGTGGGCGGCCAAGGCTCCGAGACCCGTGTAGGCGGCGGCTGTCTCCAGTAGAAGATAAATGCGATATTTGATTTGAGACCTAATTCTACATTTCTCTCTCCTCGCATAATCTTCGTGTCTTTCTTGATACCACAAATTACCATACAAAACTGTTCAATAGTCCATGGAAATGTCCGAAATATCTGTTGACGGCCAAGAGTCGAAGGCAGTTCCATGGTACCACGACCAACTTCCGCAATACTGTTCAAATCAGCCAAGCCAAGATCTGCTCGCCTCTATCATTGAGACCGAGCATACTCGCCGGATTTTAGATCAACGGATAGAAGATATTTTTGAAGAGACCGAAGACTTGATTGAGAGGGCGCCAACCGATGAATCAAGCCGGCTTGCATCTGCAAAATGGTTGCAAAAAAGCGGTCAAAAATTCAAAGACATTGGACAGATGATGATCGAATCAGCAGTTATTCATGAAAAATGGGCTGGTGAAAATGGTGGCATCTATATCGCCTTATCAAAACTCACTGAGAGTGAGTTCAACCAGACTTACTCTTCTCTGAAGCGATGCGCGAACCAGCAGTCACTATATGCCCCAGTAGAAGATCATCAAGGCGGCAGCCAATGCTATAACAGAGATTCTGGCAACAAGTTCCAAAGCGCTCCGTTGACTAAGTATGGAAAAGGAGCTGGAGATTATACCCACGACTCTATATGCTCTTGTGCCCGGGTCTCCCACCTTTCGACAACGGCGGATCACATCAATGAAAAATTTGACAAAAGCCGTCTCCCTCATGATAAGGCCGATATACCAACACGGACTGATCGGACGGGAGCAAAGTCCCCTAAGAGCTTTTGGAAGAGAATCCTGAAGCATTAAGCTCGGCATTGCTGTCGGGATGAGTGCCTTCGGAGTGATTGGGTCGTGATGGACCCACTGGTTCAAGTTGGTGCTTGTACATCGTGCTTTTTTCTGCTTATATTACCTCTACAAAGATAGAGTCGCTAAGGAGAGTGGCTTATTCATTAACGTAATGCATTCTTACTACTTCTGGTCCTTCTTTTGCTCCCTAAGACTAGAAATAGATGAGAAACCTTTCAACTCTTAACGTAACAGATCAAGAGTCTATAGTAAGGAGCGCGGAGAGTCAAGTCAAGTGCCAGGCAGTATACATTCAGACATGTTCACCTCCGAAGAGGGCCAGTCAACTCCATGAATATATGAATGTAGTACCAGAGTTAATGTATAAGAAACAAAAACACGAGCGTAAAAGGAACAATGAAGACATCTTCAGACAGTTTTCTTCCTTCATCTCACCTCGCTGAGGTTCTCGGAGAGAAGCAAAAACGGTCAAAAAGCAACAGAGGAACGCCACAGGAGGAGCTCCGCACATGTGTGGTATTTCCATTTTCATTCATCTCACCTCGCTGAGGTTCTCGGAGAGAAGAAAAGGACAAAATAACAGAGGAACGCCGTAGACCCCGACAAATCTTATTCCCCAACGGACTTGGCTCCCTTAAAGGCCTCCTTCAGCCCATGGAAAACATTGCGCACCATGGTGGATATTGCGCTCCCCTTCGAGGGGTCTTTCACAAGTCCCTTGACGTATGTGCGGACTGAAGCATCACCGTCGGCAGAGACAGCAGGCGGGGTACGAGAGCTCTCTGCAGCGGTCATAGGAACGGTCGTAGGAGCGGTTGCAGGATCGGTCGCAGGATCGGCCACAGGATCGGCCACAAGAGTGGTCTCATCCGTGTTGTCGTCTTCATGATTTCAGCTCGTTAGCATCCAATGCGAGGTCGAGGAACGAGTGTCAAATGCTCTGGCTTACTTGGCAAAAGAGCGGACCGGCCATCTTTGACTGCTCGAGTATCTCGAGCTCCCACGTCTTGTCCAAGGTTCTCCAAGGGGGTAACGGCAGCCGTAATTCGTTCAAGGAGGCTATGCCACGAGATGTCAGCCAATTTGCATGGATGGAAACCCCATTTCCAGAACCGAGCACTTCCATAAGCGCTTGCACCAGGTTTTGCATCAGAGCTCGTATAATGCAAGCAGAAAGCTTGCAGAAGAGCGAGCAGGGCAGTATTTCCAGGGATCATGATCCTCAACTTACGGAATTTCCTCACGCGGCTGATTCTTGATCGCCTTCACCCTCTTGTAGATGAAATATCCCCCGAAGCCAAGCAGGAGGAGAGAGCCGACAACAATAGCTGCGATTACAACAGTATTGACTATGGCCCAAAGCTGGGGCGGTATCTTCGTCAAAGTATCTATGGCCGAAGACTTGTTCGCCGATGTTGGGCTTGCCAGAGACGAGGAAGTAGAAGAAGTAGAAGAAGCAGAGGTCACACGAACGAAAGTACTGGTCATTGTGAACGTAGCAGTAGTGGTCTCCATGATTCAAATCTTTGGAGGGTGTTGTAGAAAGAAAAACAGCCGTGTGCTTGGGGGGAGCACGGTATACCCATTTTTCTAGATGTAAGCCGGTTCGTGCCTACTAAATTCGTATGATCTTTGTTGTCACAACATCCGTGACCTCCTATTATTCCTAAGCATTAAGATCTGTCTGCGACTTCCTCTCCCGCAAAAGCCGCTTAATTATTTAATTTCAATTCAATCTATTGATCTGGTTGATCTGGTTGATCTGATTTGATTTCATATTTCATGAATTGGGCTTATTTGATCTATTTAAATCTGGATTGCGCAGCGGAAGAATAGCATTGACAGGCCGAAAGTAGGAAAAGAAGGAGTACCTCTTATAAATCCTTACCTGATGATAACTGAGTGTTCACCGAGATCAACAATCCTCAGCTTCCTCTGACATATGGCGTGGAAACGCGGAGACAAGGGATTTGTGACGTTGAATACCAGATTGCCTGCATAATTGTATGTTAATGTAACACCTCGACTTCGGTATGGTACTCCGAAAACTCCGTTACACCGCACGGGGACGGTTCAACCCGGCCCCTTCCCTTTCTGTACACTTAGATTTTCTCTTCAATTAATCAATCACTCTTTTCTGATGGCTCTGCTGGTTCCTCGTCTTCCTTATGCATGCATACTAGTCTACGCACCTGTTCGGCCATGCTTTGACAACATATCTCTCGATCGTGAGTCAGTCAACGGTACTCCAAGGCGGCACCAAGAATCACTGCGGAGCGAAGCGAGTTGCAATATATTAGCAAACCGGATCACTTCTGCAATATGGTTGGTCGGTTGGATCTGCGATATGATTGGCCGCTGAGATTAACATCACGTGGTTTGCTGTCTTGGTCCCTGCGCATTACCGTATAGCCCGTACCCGCCATCCGAAGCCAACCCACTAAGCCCCTTATGGACACCGCCTATCGCCTACTATAATCTGCCATACAATCTGCCCTTACCAAAAAGAAATTTACTACAGCTACACGTAAGCGTACGCTCAACGAGAATTGCCGAATTGCCTCCTAAAGAAGACCTCTCTCAGCGGCTTCGGCTCTTCATCCTTACCTCCAAACCACCACAGCTACACCTACTAAGCGGCTAAGATCCAGTGAGCCTATACGCGATCTTCACTCTCTTTATTAGCGAAGAGAACTTCGTATATACTAGCCAATCTACTAATTAATATTAATTCGCCTACTCATCTTATGACCAGTTCGCCTACTAATTAATCTACTAAGCTCAGATCCACAGAGCCTATATACTATCTTTATTATATATCAGTAAAGAGGTCTTCGCATTCATCAACCAGTATATACGAGGATCCGTAAACAAAGAGATCTGCGCCTGTGACTATGAATATCATTTACCTCCAGAAAATTTCTTCCTCTACATTGGACAGCAAGTGTTTCTTCATTATTAGGGTTTTAGTTTCTTCGTCTTGGCCTGATAGTTCGTTAATCTTGAAGTTCTGTGTAGGTTCCGCTGGCGATCTCTTTCTGCGCGATAATTCGTCTTCCAATTAGCGCTTACAGCATCAATTTATCCTCCTTCAAGAGTATAAACGATTCGCCTTTTTACGCAATTTCACTGTTGGAGAAGTTCACGTCAGATGGCGGTCTTCTCCCAGTAGAAGGGTACTAAAGTCTCATGGGATAGTCATGATCCATGGTATGACCTAGACAGACAACATACTGTTGGCCTTTGATCTTGCTGGTAGACAGTGTCCACCACCAATCTTGTACGAACCATGAAGAGAAGCTCTTTACCGTTTTTGCCGCCTCTACCGCATGAGCTTGCTAGTGTGTTTTTATGCGAGTCGAAAGAGTCACAGATCCCTCGAATCACGAGGCATGGGAAGTTTTCCATCAAGCAATCCGCCTTCATTTTCTTTTTTAAGCAAAGGATGGCAAGAATCACGCGCCAGATTATCCCTGCTGCGGCTAAAGCTTCTCCTAATCAACTACCAGCGTGACGCCTGCCTAGTAGAGTTTTTGCATATCGTCTAGGTCTCGTTGTCGTAGTCCGCCTAGAGCGATGCTGACTTTAGTTGCGCATTTTGCCTTACCGTTATTTTAGCTAATCCTAGGGTATGGTAAAGGGGTATATGCCAGTGCCAGTACCAAGAGACTCCAGTTTCAGGCACACCGAGTTAAACCAATCAAAATGTATCTAAGCCCAGTGGAGAGAGGGCCAGTGCGACAGTCGCACGACGGAGGGTGATTCTCACCCGCTCTCACCCTGTCTATTGCGCACTCACCCATTTCTCACCCTGGTCGCGCGGCTCTAAAACGGCGCTTGCCCCTTTGTCACCCGAACAGCAGCCACCCGAGTATCTGCTGCACATAAGCCACACGCCGGCCAGTTAGTAGTATGGTGGGTGACCACATACGAATCCTGGCTGTTGTATGTTTTTGCTATTTTATTTTATTTAGTTTATCTCATTCGAGGGTTATAGGAAGGTCAACGTATTAGCATCGTACGAAGCGACTTATCAGGAAGGGCAAGCATGAAAGGAGTTATGACGAGAGTAGCATCTGCCCCACTTCGCTCTCCCAAACCGGAGAGAAGCTGCCGCCCTATTCCAGCTCTTATCTACTCTACTCATGCACTTAGTATTTCCATTCATCTTAGTATAGATCCCGGAGTCAAGCCTTTTTCTTGAGTGTAGGACACTCAGTAGCAAGTCTTAAATGTGCTATATTGCTTAGCAAATGGCTTTTCACTCTCGCAGAGGCCGTACCAGACTAAGGTTTAAGCGGTGAGATTTACACTGGTAATGTCCTATGAATATTATTCTAATGTGTATATTTTTTGCAGAACATGAGAGCCGTATGCTTCGCTAGACGCGGTGCATCGTCGAAGAAGGGTACCCGTCGATCGACTTAGAAAACGAATCTAAAGCCCCGCCAAATCTCGAGCTGCGGCACTAGGAATGGAAGCTCTCAGGTTGTGGGCTCGATTGTTCAAGTGGAACACCCAGTGGCCTTTTATTAATTTTCTCAGGCAAAGCCTAGACCAGTACACGACGATAATATCATACTGAAATCATTACACACTCAACCGAGTCTACTAATTCCGAGTAATAAAGCAAACAGCCAGAAACGGTGTTGTCATAAATCAATTATAATGACAAACCCATACGAATACAGCAATATATATGATGTAGAGCCATAGAAGTCAGGCCGGGGCTAAGGACACGTAAAACACAGGCTTCTATGCAAGCCGCGATGTGGTGCATAGTACAAAGAGATGGATCCGAGGATGCAGAGTGTTATTCTACTTGCGCTTGGCTGGTATTCTGGTATTTCGAATTTACTATGTGCTTTGAGGTGGCCAGCTCGCGTGTGAACTACGTTATCTCCCCCTTTTTTACCAGAGGCTCACAAAGGGTTAAATGCCCAAAGAAAGGAGAGTATGTAGAATACTTTATTTGTTACCTTGAGAAAGTAATGTATTCGAAAATTAACTTAATCTCAATCAACATATTCCACCAAATCAACGCTTTATACCACTCCCAGACCAACTCTACACCTTGATGGCGTTATTGAATCTTGCGCTATTCAGAGGAGTTGTTCCACTGTTGTCTTTCAGCTCACACTCGAGGCCCTTATATCTTATGAGATCGAGCCACGTTGCGCACGTTTCGAATCAAGTTTCGCTACTAAATATAAAATTGTTTTGTTGGCGGCGTTCATTGCTGTCAAATATAGCCAGCTACTCGAAATTCCCGTGGACGGGCAGCAGCAGCTTGGGAGATATTGACAGAAGTGCCAGAAAGATAGATATTTGACCAGCTTGAGTGGAGTTATGCCGGCGACACCAAATGTCTTCTGCCCAAAACGAATATTCAGGACATTCTGTACGATTTGCCGAGATCGCTCCCTCGAGGCGACAACTTGACAAGATCCAACACTTCTGATGCCGTCCCCATTTGGGGGCAACATCTCGATTGCCTAATTAGGCAGGTATCTACTTTGCATGTACTATTACCCTTAATTCTAGGTCACTTCTTAGAGTACAAGCTTTTGGAAGACCACCCTGTCGCATAGTCTGTTGAATTAAGTAATCGGAGCGATCTATGTAGATTCAGCTATCAGGTAGCCACGCAGCACATAGTCCCTTTTTGCCAGGGATCTTCGAGCAGAATAGTTTCCGGCGAGAAAGCAACACACCTGTCTGAGTATTTCCAGCTGACAGGGCTTGGGAAGTGAGATTGCCCATATTCGGAAGTGTCGGTGACTTGATTATTCGACACAATAGGAGAATCACCCATCCGCTTGCCTCTCACGGAGATTGGAAGGAAGGAGTCCGCCGCAGATGAAGTTGTGGCATTCCAATAGCTCCAAGCATACTCACGGTAGTGCTGGCATGCCTCAAATCCACGGTCTGCAAAGCTGCCCAGGGTGTTCTGGCACCAGTCGAATTTTTCGAATATCCCCAGATTGATATAGGCTTTACAAGCCGCGGCGACTCCAAACATTACCATATGAGGGCCAAATAACTTGTTTTTTTCCTGCACAAAGAATGGCACAGATCGAACAATCTGATCTGCATATGCTTGCATCTTGAGATACTCTTCGTCGGCTGTGTGGTCCCCAACAGGCCCTGCTCCGTTCTCATGCGACATCACTAGTGTCTGCACCCGAGAGACCATAGCCGAGACAATTGCCATCGCTGTCCAGTAAAGAACGTGCAGCAAAGCATTATCCAGAGAAACAAAGCTATAAGCCTTACCAAAGGTGGTATTAACTGGATGTATGTCGATGCAGCAAAAGTCGTCAGACGACTTGAGTGGGTCTCCGCCAATGGTCTCTTTCCGTAGAGCATACCATTGCAAAAAGCTGTTTTTCTGTGCCACACACGCGACTAGAAGTTCCTGACAAGCATCGCGATTGGCTGGATCCATCGACTCAATACCTGCACTGAGAGGGGTGAACTCCGCGAAGATGTTGATTAATTCCACCAGAGGCCTGCCCTTACTTGGCTCGCGACAGTATTTGTATTCTTCATCACTTAAATCCCTGCCCATCGTCAAACAGACCTGGTAAAATGTGAGCCCAATCAATGTATTTGACGGGCAACGTAAGCGAATTGCAACGTACTATTCGAAACTTCTGCCACTGGTCATAGATAGCATGAAAAAGTGGATTCATTGATACAATGTCTTGGTAATGCTTCTTGATCGCATTCGTTCCGGCTATGTGGGCCAGCCACGTTTGAAAGCCTTGCGGACAGTGGCAGTTCTACCCAGCAGATCCGAAGGAAAAAATCAGCAAATAATGCTCTGTTGATTATTATGTTTGAAGTGATCGGGGTATTACCTCCATTTCTTGGAAGATCACGGAAGTGTATATAATATCATCCATATAGGCGTTCTTGCATATCATGCTTGACATATCCTTAATCGCCTGGTTGTATAATTGAAGACCGTGGCGCAAGACCCGGCTGTTGTTCTTAATCTTGCCGAGATAGACACATGAAATAGCGGTAATAGCTGTCTCCAGCATATGGGTCTTCTGTGGAAGCAAGAAAAAGCTCCCAATAAGATAGTGCCAGAGATCCACTCCATAGGATGATCCAGTACGATCAACTGGGAAGTAATGATCAAGAAACACAGAGAAGATCTGATCTCGGTTTATTGAATCAGCATCAATAACTGCCGTTGGTGAAGAACGGCATAGTATCAATGAATCGAGTTCTCGATTATCTTGGCGGATTAACTCATGTGGTGACATCTTCTTTCCTTGTCGAAATGTCTCCAGATGGACGTTGAAAATATGGGTCTTTTGATATCCTGGGCACTCAATGCCACGTTTAGTGCACTTGGCGCATGCTGGCTGTTGTCCATCACACTGTATCCCCTTGGTATGAGTGCCAATAGTAAAATGAAAGTTGGTAGTATTATGTTCACATACCTTTATCTTGCGCCGTCTACAGGCACGACAGCCTTTGGATTGCCAAGGCCTTCCGCCCATTATGTTTGAACTGCTGTGAACTAAATTCTAAACTTTCAAGCCGAAAAGGGCTGAGATGCTGGTCTCAGAGGGAGAAGAGATCAATCGGTGGGCGGGACCCAGAGATAAATAAATACTGTAGACTATGCATCTCAAATTAAGTGACTGCAAGGATATACATGATGATTGGCCTTCATTTTACTATTTACGTGACGTTTCAACAGGCAAAGGAAAGCTGTTTCTGGCCCCTCGTACCATTTGGACTTAGCCTTCGCCCCCACCTCAATACCGGATCGACGCGGTTCTCGCTTCGGGATGCTTCTTAGCATTGACTCTTATCCATAATTATGCTAGTGCAGAGCTCTTGTGAACTGGCTAAGCGAGGTTTCACTCAAATAGTCCCGACATGGGCTTCTTCAGATTTCCGGCTTTCGCATCAACCTGTGAAGTAGAACAAACGTGGCGATGTTCTTATCACTTTTTGCCGTGCAGGGAGTGTTCACTGTTAGCTCAATAGATCGACACTTAAGCTTCGGATATCTACTACGAAATACCTCAATCTTTATTTGATTCAACCTGGAAAGGCGCCAGTGCAGGGCCGATACTTGCCTATCTGGGTAATCGAGATGTTGGCCCCACAAGGCAGCTCGCCGTACGGCTGGGGACGACCCACTTTAAGCGAAGGCTTTCGTACTACTGCGGCTACGCGTGTACTAACTACGTGATCCTGGCCATGCTGGCTGGCCTACCGACCCATAATTTGATATTTCATTGTCTCGACTCTGGTTGATCAAACCGTATTTCAAATATTCAGAACTGTTTGGTTGAGTTAGGGGCTGTTCTGAATGCCTGGGGTAGGGTTGACAACTTGACACTATGCAATTGCTATATGTACCAATGTCACCGAGAGCCGTCGCCGAGACCCGAAACTACGATCTGCGAGATAAAAGTGGTTCAGTGTGACATCTGGTAGAGAAGACATTTTAGGCCCAATCCTAGCCCTCCTCCTTGGTGCGTGAATATCCAGCGAGCAACAGTTCGCAGGAGCAACAAGCTCATTAGAAGGTTCGAAAAACTTTAGATGGAACCCTTTGACTGCTCCTAATCTCCGCTAGAACATTGCAAATCACCTACTGTCCCCGAGTTGAAACCAGGTGAAATGTTCCTTTCTTATGCGTTCACTAAGGACTCGTCAATGCTTAATCTGAGCACAGCAGTCTGTTGACTCGGGAGCCTTTTGACCACATTCCCGAATTTTGATCCAGCTAAAATCACACTCCCCCTTCTACGGGCTTCTCCAGATCCCATGCCTGTTTGCGGCCGATACCAGCTTATTCCGTATATTGACAGACCTCACGCGCAGCACCCTCTTTCTTCGAATCCGAGGATAATTCACTGGCCTCTCCCCACCCGTGAAAATAACAGCATCTATACGTATATCATTGCGCCAAACAATGCACCGCTTATATCCGCACACCATGGTCCCCACACCCATCATGCGTGATTTTCTCGGAAGAGTTGACTACCCCATCCGGCCATGAGAGCGACGAGTCTTGGTCCGAAATCTCGGGTGCAATTGAAGCACCTAGGAAAGGACAATGTGAGCTCATGATTTTCATATGGTGTGAAGTATACATACCCCCCCGGTATCGTAACCCAAAGCGAGAATCACAATGGTTATCAGAACTCCAACAATAAAGGCATTCATTCCTGCTCCAAGGGGTGCGTTGTTATCATTTCCTAAGGCCATGGTGATACCTACCAGGATGGCACTGCCAATGAACTCGGTGAAAAACACGTTCACCATAAGGAAGCTATGCAAGAAGAGGGCCTTTTGGTGGGAACATCTCCCACATTTCATTTACTACATCATAGGGCAAGGGTCAATGGCAACAGGAATACATCAATATGACTGTGCAACACGAATAGATTGATATTGTCAAATTGGACCTTTCATGTAATATCATTCCTCAAAGACTGCAGTCATCGAGGTGTCGCAAACAGCGTCTCCTATGCTGTGATTGGTAAGAGCATCGCCGAGTAGCTTCATGCGAAGTATATGGCAATTTCGGATCAATAGATCCCCCTGAATAGGTGTGGAATTCGTATGATCTAGTCAGGAGCGCAAGTTCCTACGAGTAGGGAAAGTGATACATAGTAAATGTCTGAATTGAGATTGACAGACGCATGGTACAATACAAGGGGTACTTGAAAGTGGTGTTTTTATGGTACGTCACTGTACAAGCCGCCACTTAAGAGAAGCGCTTCTCAACAGCCTTCCAGTTGATGACCTCCCAGATGGCCTTGAAATACTCGGCCTTGCGGTTCTGGTATTGAAGGCTAGAAGCAGATTAGCACAGATTCAGCCCAACCTTATCCTGATTGAACTTACTAGTAGGCGTGCTCCCAGGCGTCAATACCGAGAAGAGGCTGGAACTGACCAACAACGGGGTCCTGGTTGGCGTAGGTGCGGATACCGATCTGGCCGGTCTGCTTGTCCTTGACAAGCCAGGCCCAGCCACTGCCCTGAATGCCAGCCAACGCGGTGTTGAACTTGTTCTTGAACTCATCGAGGCTACCGTAGGTGGTGTCGATGGCCTGGGCGATGGAGCCGGAAGGAGGCTCACCACCGCCGGCGCTCTTGGGAGCCAGGTTCTCCCAGAATAGAGAGTGGTTCAGGTGACCACCGCCGTTGAAGTTGATCGCAGGCTTCAGGGCAATCTGGGCAGAGATGTCACCCTTGGCCTGGGCTTCCTGGAGCTGCTCAATGGCGTTGTTGTAGTTGGTGACATAAGTGTTGTGGTGGTTCTTGTGGTGGATCTCCATAATCTTGCCGGAGATGGAGGGCTCAAGTGCGCCATAGTCGTCTGTGGTACAGGTCAGTTGGCTGATACTTGCGTTTCAATTTCGCTGGCACAGTTCCGAATACACCGAGGCACCGTAGCTTACAGGACAGGTCAGGCAGAGTAGCCTTGCCGCGGGCAAAAGTCAAGCCCGCAGCTCCGGACTTAAAGGAAGCCGAAGCTCCCGAGCGCAGGGCGATGCGGGCAGAGGTGGAGAGGAGTGCGGCCATTGTGAGTAAGTGATATTAGATTCTGGAGCGGGATCCAAGGAAAAAGGAATATCAATTATGTCTAGCAAAGAAGAACGAAGGGGAAGAGAGAGAGAGATCTCCGAGCTATGAAGTAACCGAGCTTAACGTCATCTTGTTTTCGTCGGCCACGGGTTGTTCCGCGCCGACATCCCCACGTGAATTTCACTGAGCTTTGCCCATCGCAAGTTGAAGCTTACAAGCTACGAAAGGGAGCTTTTCTGGACAGGGGAGTCGAGGTCGCGGTGAAATTGTGAACACCATGGAATCTCCCTCGTCCTACGCCGGCCAAAAGCGCAAGGTCGACGATATGAGTTCATCAGACGAAGAAGATGCGCTACCAACTACCGGTTTCCGTGGCTTCGCCAGAGCCCGCGAGCGCTCCGAATCACCTCCCACGATGGGTGGCTTGGGCAGCGCTGCCCGCAACCCCTGGAACAACATGGTCAACGCAGCGACTGCGGCGCCACCACGAGGTGGTGGTGCCACCCGTGGAGGAAAAGGCTCGGGGGGAAATTCGTTCGCCGCGCGCATGATGGCGAAGATGGGCTACGTGGATGGACAAGGATTGGGTTCTAGTGGTCAGGGCATCGTCACCCCGATCGAAGCACAGGCGCGACCACAGGGCGCTGGTCTCGGTACTGTGCGGGAGAAGACCAAGCAGGCACGGGATGAAGAGAAACGAGAAGCCGCGCGCCGGGGTGAGTCAGTCGAAGACAGCTCCGATGAAGAGAGACGGCGGCGACGCAAGAAGAAACAGGAGCGCAAGACAGAAAGCCGCAGTGCTACTGGCACACCGGTGCCACGACCCAAGCCCAAATTCCGAACTGCGCGAGAAATCGAAGATGCTATGGAAGGCCTCGAGGTCCCGAATGTGCTCAAATCACTTATCGATGCTACCGGGAAGGAACAACGTGTCTTGACGTCGACGGCTGGTTTGATGGCATCACAAGAGTTTGTCGGCCAGGGTGAAGGAGAGGCGATGAAGATCGCGCGACGTGCCCGAACCGACCTCGAGGCCTTTGCAGATGAGTGGAAAGGCTTGACCGAAAGGAAGAAGTTTATTGAGCTCGAAGAAGCCCAAGTGGTCGACGAGTTGGATGCATATCAAGGCCGACTCAATCATCTTACCGGACTGATCGCTGCCGTGGAAGAGCTGGATATCTTCGAGCACGAGGAGAGCATTGCGTCGAAGTTCAATGAGATGACCGAAAAGATCGAAGACATGGAGTCCAAGTATCGGGATGTTGGGGACGAATACCGACTAGCAGAGACTGTCGTCGCTACCATACATCCACTCTTCCGGCAGGCCATGGAAGAGTGGGAGCCACTTCAAGATCCAAACTTCCTGGTGTCCAACCTCACCCGCCTTCAACCTATCCTTTCTCGCAGGACCGAGAACGGAGTTCAACAGCGATCATCCACATCTCCGTACGAAACAATGGTCTACACCCTGTGGCTACCACGAGTGCGCTCCACGCTCCTCAACGACTGGGACGTTCACGATCCGAACGTTGCAACTTCGCTAATAGTTGCTTGGAAACCCATAGTTCCAGCTTTCGTGTATGCAAACCTCATTGACCAAGTGGTTGTTCCAAAGCTTAGTGGAGCTTTGAAGGAGTGGAAACCCAGGAGCAGCCGACGACACCCATCTCAGCAGGATGGCAAGTTTCCCTGGTGGTTGTTCACATGGCTAGAATACCTGGGTGAACGACATACCAATCCCAAGCAGCCTACGGGTCTCATGTCCGATACGAAGAGGAAATTCCGTGTTGTATTAGATTCATGGAGCCTGCGCCGGGGTCTCATTAATGGCATTGAGCTTTGGCGGGATGCTCTCGGCAGTGAATTTGACGCATGCCTACGCAATCATCTGCTACCCCGTCTAGCACGCCATCTTCGCGAAGACTTCACTGTCAACCCCCAGGACCAAGACTTGACAGCCCTCGAGGATGTGCTCCGCTGGAAAGATTTCTTCAAGCCCAATGTGATGGGTCTACTACTTGTCTCCGACTTTTTCCCCAAATGGCATGAAATTCTGTACATCTGGCTCACCAACGATCCGAACTATGAAGAGGTCGCAGCCTGGTTCACTTGGTGGCAAAGCCAGATCCCTAAGGGGGTCAATGAATTGGCCATTGTCGAGGACGAATGGAACAAGGGTCTACAAACGATGAATCTCGCCGCTGAGCTTGGAGACCGCGCAGCTGCCGAGCTTCCACGTCCAGCTGCGAACGGTCCGACTGCGCTTCCTACTCGGGAAGATGCAGTGGCTGAAGCAGCCGCAGCTGCGAGCAAAGCAGCTCCCGTGCCTCAGGCCAAGGCTGCAATTGTGGAAGAAATTGCATTCAAGGACATTGTGGAGAACTGGTGTGCGGAACAGGGCCTTATCATCCTGCCCCTGCGAGAGGCGCACCCAAAGAATGGATATCCTCTATTCCGCATCACGGCCAGCGCAACTGGCAAGGGCGGCGTGGTGGCTTACCTCCATGGCGAAGTTGTATGGGTGCAGAACAAGAAGGCTAAAGATGTCTGGGAGCCAATGGGTTTAGAGGGCTCTCTTGTCGAGCGTGCTGAGGGACGTTAGTCTATCCAAAATCGAGTACGGAGTACAGGTAACTTTGTGGGCCTTGGATACGCACAGCGGTGTTAGTAAGGAAATATACCCCTTTGAATTTTTCACCAATGATCATGGAGTCATGGACTAGTCGCATGCTCAAGCATGTCGTATATGTAACCCTGTGCCTCACCAGGAAGTTCACCGATGGCACCACAGCTGATTAGGGACTACATGCAGTCTGCGGGCCTGTGGAATTAGTCGATGTAAATCGATCTTTCTTCTACCCCGGGGCCCAAGAGAGTCCATACATTCAGTGGCAATTAAATGAGGTTTCTTTCGCTTGATACCTTTCGTAATAACCTTCCCCGCAGTGGAGAATCTGCAATGAGCCTTGGTCCCCCGCCGGTGTATTTCCTCGTCAGTCGATCAGACAAGGATCGTCGCATTATGGGCATGTTTTAGTGCCTGTTTAGCCGCCAGACTAGCTATTCTGCCGCGAAGCAGAAGGCTAAGTGAACCCTTTCAAATGACAGGGGATACTACCCTCAAGCATTTATCTAGGTCACGGCTCAAGATGGTCATCTCAACTCAACTCCTTGAGTTTTCGCGATACTTTAGCCATTTGTCCCAAAGGAGCTACTGAAGTGGTAAAATGGCGTGGGTGAGATCGATGCGTTGTCTCTTGCCCTCAAAAGCTATCTCTTAAGAAAGCCCAACGACCTCTCTAATTTACGAAAAGTCTTGACTTTGTGTCTCATATCATTCAGGTACACTTTGCTTCCTCTGCAGGTAGGAGGAGCTCGCGCAATGATGGTCAAGTCAACTTCATTCTTGCCGCTATTTTTCATGGCGATATGTGGCTCCGTGGCTAGTGTATCGTTTCAAAACCCCGTCATCTTCAACGACCTGGCAGATATCGACATCTTCCGCGTGAAAGACACCTTCTATTATTCTGCATCAAGCATGCACTTCTCTCCTGGTGCTCCCATCTTGGAATCTCAGGATCTCGTCAATTGGAAATACCTCGGGCATTCGGTGCCTTCTCTGGACTTTAATAGTCCGGCTTATGACTTAGCTGATGGTATGCGAGCCTATGCACGGGGTGTCTGGGCTTCAACGTTGCGCTTTAGACAAAGTAACAAGTTATGGTACTGGATTGGTTGTGTTGATTTCAATGCAACGTACATCTATACCAGTTCTGGGGTTACCGGTCCCTGGGAACAGAAGACGGTACTCGATGGTACTTGTCTTTATGACTGTGGCCTGCTGATTGATGATGATGATTCAATGTATGTCACACACGGCTCGACAGTCCTTAGCCTTACTCAACTCACTCCCGATGGGCTTGACATGGAAAAAACACAAATTGTTTACAATTCAACCGTCGGCTACGTCGAGGGCTCCCGCATGTACAAGCGTAACGGCTCTTATTATATTATCACTGTCCAGCCGGTTAATGGGCAGTATGTCTTGAAGTCTGATAATGGACCGTGGGGACCATATGATTTTGGTGTCATTCTTAATAACACCTCACCACCACAAGGGCTGAAAGGTGGTGACACGCCTCATCAAGGCGCTCTCGTTGACACTCCAAATGGTCAATGGTATTATATGGCATTTGTCGATGTTAATGGTGACAGCACTGGTCGCGTTCCAGTCCTCTCCTCGTTGAACTGGGATGACAACGGGTGGCCCGTTTTGACTCTGGACGAAGGCAACACTTGGCCCCAGAGTCTCCCATATCCAGTTGACTCGGGCGCAAAGACTATCAATTCCGACTCCTCTCTTCAAGGAAAAGATACCTTCGCTACTGGAAAACTGGGCAGCCAATGGGAGTGGAATCATAATCCTGATATGAAACGAGTCACCATCACGCCAGGTGAAGTTCGTCTGTCTACGGCAACTGTTTCCAAGGTTGACGACATTTACCAAGCACGCAACACATTGACCCATCGGACATTGGGCCCAGCTTCCCAAGCCACGATCCTCCTGGACTACACGAACATGGCTGACGGCGACCGAGCTGGTCTAGCCTTGTTCCGAGACAGCTCAGCCTGGATCGGGATCCGGAAAGATGGAGATACCTCCACACTTGTGATGCGCAGTAATATGACCATGAATTCCACAGATAGCTGGTCAACTATTGCTTATGGCACCGATGTGGCTAGCACCAAGCTACACCAGACAGGTCATACGCGGAACATATTCTTAAGGGTAGCGGGAGATTTCAGTGCATCTGGGACACGGAGTGCCCAGTTTTCATACAGCACAGACGGCAAACACTTTACAGTTCTCGGACAGAACTTCACCATGGCCAATGATTGGCAGTTTTTCCAGGCCTACCGGTTTGCTGTTTTTAATTACGCTACAAAGGCTCTTGGAGGAAGTGTGGGGTTAAAAGAGTTTTCTTTATACCCTGTGTGATTCAGGTATCCTTCTGAAGTTCATGAATAGGAACGAATACATCAAACCCTGGGCTTTTCTCCTTCTCCAAATATTGCATGCAAAAGGTCATTCAGGGGTGAAAGAGATGTGTCAGAGCAATACAACGATGCGGATGTTGAAAGGATGATACTTGTAACTACGCCGCTTGTAGCACCTTTGCCATCGTAGAAATTTCCAAAAAGTTCAATCCTTTAGCCCCAAAATTGAGACTAGACTAGGTTCTCCACTGTTCATTTTCTACAGTAGCTTTGTCGTTCGTAGTCGTACCGGTCTAAAAGGGTTATTTCGACCGAGACCTGCTGCGTAACGGGTCCCACACCATTGGCTAGCTCTACGGGAGAACATGATGTGTTGACTGGTTGCTTCTTACAATTCGCCCGTATAAACCTCTCCTATCGGAGATAACCAGATAAAATATTGAATATCATAGGGAATCTTACAGTGAATGGTCTATTTCCAGAGCATGAAGAATGCCAAGAGCTCGGACAAGTAGTGTTGACCGCCCTACGGAGTTCCGCTTTTTTCTGTTTTCAATCTTCTCCACCATCCCTCGATCTCTCCCAATGACATCAACGCAAATCAAATCTCGAATGCGCCAAAACGGACCCCCCTTCCCCCGTCGATCTCGTCACCGATCCAATCACCACCGATTCAATGGTCAGCATTAGCATCTCATCCAATCAGGGTTGTTGCATTTGCTGCAATGGTCAAGCCTCTCGACGCACCTTCTTTGCAAGTAGAACCTTCCCTGGGCCCCATTCTTACTCAGTCAAAGATCTCGCGCTGACCTTTGCATTCTCTCTGATTGGATATAACCTGCTCAGGAAGAGGATATCTCCATAATTTTCTTGGCCGTGGCTGTTTTTGCCTGCGCGAGGTGATGGAGAACGAGGTGCTGCGATGGCCAGTAAGCTGATGGAAGGAAGTTAAAAAGGAGGAGGGAGCCTGTGGAAGGGATGCGTGTTTCATTTCTTGGACTTTTAACGCTTCAATTGAATTCCTTTCTTTTAATAATCTTCTGCCCCTTTGACTGGTTGGTTTCACGACACCGTTGTTGATCCCAAGCCTCTGTCGCAGCACTGGAAAGAGAATACCTTCCTTCCTTTCTAAAGCCTTACAATTGGTCGTCCTCTGCCTCTCAATAAGAGCGCCGATCCCCCGGGCCTACCTTTTGCTTTCCTCTCTTCTGTATCCTGGCTTTTCCTTGTACCGACGTGCATTGCCCTGACGTCAGCTTCGTCTCGCCACAGCTCGTCTCATCGGAGCTATTCCAACGCGTAGCGTGGCGTTTCTCTCTTCTCCAACTCTGGGTTTAAAACCTACTGATACCTCCGGAGATATCTCTGTGGAAGGTCCATATAAGGCTCCCACATTGCAAACCCATCTGGGCCAGTTACACACGGAACCAGCCACGCAGCATCGACCATGGCTCTTCTCTTCCTCAAGAAAAAGCTGTTTCCTGGACAGGAGACCAAGATGCACAGTAAGAAGCCCGACCACAACACACTTGGTATGCCCTGATGATGATGATGATGGTATATGCTGACATAGCTTCATTAGGCAAGCCCCTCCTTGCCCGCATCGACGACGACGAGACCATCCGCGGAGACTCGGACCAAGACTTGGAGTCGCAACGCTCTTACGATACCTTTGGCCGCTGCGTGAGCAATGATGGGTCTACGAGTAGCAGCACGACACGCTCTCGCATCAATCCGCGTATCATTTCTGACGCCATCCTCGGCTTGTCAGATGGATTGACTGTGCCATTCGCCCTGTCCGCGGGCTTGTCTGCTCTGGGCAACACGAAAGTGGTCGTTTTGGGTGGCCTGGCTGAGCTCGCTGCAGGTGCCATCTCCATGGGCCTAGGCGGGTACGTCGGAGCCAAGAGTGAAGCGTAAGAAACCTTGAACCTACCCTCAATCCTGACAAGATCCATAGCTAACACATGTTCTAGTGAATCATATGAAACCACAGTCCGAGAGACGCGGGAACTGATCGAGAGTGACCCCTCTGGAACGCACAGCATTGTCCACGACACTTTTGCACCATATGGGCTCTCCTCTACTGCCATCGACGATATTACTCGGGATCTACATGCTTCGCATGAGCGCCTGCTTGAGTTTCTGCTCGCCTTCCACCACCGTGAGACCGCACCAGACTGCAACCAGGCCTGGATCAGCGCTCTGACTCTCGCCATTGGATACTTCGTTGGTGGATTCATCCCTCTGATTCCGTACTTCATCGCCTCCCAAGTCATGACGGCACTCTACTGGAGCGTCTGTGTCATGGGTGTGACTCTGCTTGTGTTTGGATATGTGAAGACTTGTGTTGTCCGTGGATGGACTGGGCATGACAATGTGGTTGCAGCTATGTGGGGTGGCGTGCAGATGGTCTGTGTAGGAGGTGTTGCGGCCGGTGCAGCCATTGCGCTGGTGCGCTTGATTGACACTGGCAGTGCATGAAGCATTGCATAATGGGGGATTGCGGTCAAGAAGTGAATGATTTATGCCGGCGCAACAAAAAAGCATGGGGCGGTGTTTGGGTTATTTTCGTTGCTCTGATCTCTACAGAGTACCCTTTACGATCTAACGGTCTATCATCTATCATCCCATCATCGGGACGCATCAGCGGGTGTTTCTTTTTCAGATATCCGAATGAGACATTATCTCCCTTCTTCATGGAATATCCATATCATTCATAAAACATCATCATGACTATCAGACATACACATAAACTATAGACATGCCCTGCCATACTCCTTCCCCCCTAAACCCCGAGATATGCACCACAGCACAGTATATTCAACCAGCCAACGCCCTCGTAACCAACTCCTTCCCCTTCTCCGACATCTGAATCTTCAACGCCTCCGCCCTCCCGGCCTCACTCATCTTCCCCCAACTCTTCCTCAAAATATCCACCATCTTCTCCTCATCCGCCAACTGACTCTCAAACTTATCAAACTGATCATCCAAAAACACCAAACAAGCCACATCCTCCAACGTCTGCGTATCCGCATCCCCCTTCTTCAAATCTGCCTTGCGCACCATAGCGCCCACCCTCGCCGCCTCCTCGGAGGTATACCCGCTCTCCACACAGATCTGCTCTACCAGCGCGGCCTGGCGCCGCTGCAGCTCAGCGCGCCACGAGTGGTACCCGATTTTGGTCGCTGGGTATGAGGTGCGGGGGATTTCCCAGCGGCGGAGGTGTTGGGCGCGGATGGCGAGGCGGAGGAGGTCGGAGGCGGAGGGGTTGAGGCGCTCGAGGTAGGTGGTCATTTTTTGAGCGTAGTGGAGTTCATAGGGGAGGGTTGTGTCGTTGGTGGTGATTGTGTTGGGATCGTCGCTGTGTGCGGCGTCGATGCGCTGGAGGGCGAGTTCGTATTTGGACATTGTGGGTGGTGGATGCACGTGGGAATGGAACCAGGTGGTAAGAGAGCTTGAACTGGATGTCTTCTTTTGTTTTATGGGACTTGAGAGCTGGGTCTATCGAGTGTATGAGTATACCGAGAGGGGTTGAGCAAGAAAAAGAAGGTTAATTGCAGCTCTGATAAGCTCGGTGGGGGATCCTCCGTAACTGGTATCGCCTCGCTGCTGATTGGCCCCTGCCAACGAGCTCCCCGATCTACTATGTTGGTCATTCTGATGGTAACCATGACTCTCGGTTCGATGCCGGTGGGAAAATTTGATCTAACCAGAGAATCTTTGACTTGACATCTGGAATTTTGGTCGGTATACCGATCCAGTCACAGTATTCCTCGCACAACTACGTCCTCCGTACCGAAAGTACACTATCCCAACCCTAGCATAGTTCGACCACAGGGGGAAGAACCAACCCTTTTTTGAGTCATTGAAAGGTCCCCCTTGAACGTCTCTCATTGTAGGCAATATCTGGTCATATTGGGCATCAACAAATAACTCCTCAGTCATTGCACGGATTAGCGTCGCGGGGTCACCTGATGATGGGGGCTGAAACGGCGGCCACTCCAGCTGATCAGTATCCTTCATCTTGCTTTTACCCACTCTGCTAATATCCTATAAAGCTCGGGTTATCTGAATCTCATTATGGAGTCTGCAGCCTTCACTGGTAGCAACTCTGGGATCCAGAATGGAATCAATTATGGCACCATTACTATGAACGTCCCACCCCCAAAGGGTAGGTCTGCGAACTTGAGATCATCAAGATTGTACTTATAAGAAATTTAGCAGCTAAGTACCGCGACTAGCAAGAATGGGAAGACGCGGAGCCCTTTAGATACAGGCACTACAAATTGAAAAGCAAGTACTAGGACCAGAACATCCAGATACTCTTCTCGATATGGGCTTGCTGGCAGCTATATACAATGGGCAGGAAAAATGGAAAGAAGCAGTTACTCTCTAGATGTAGGTTATGGAGACCTCGATGAGAGTGCTTGGAATGCTCTTGAGTTAATGATCAAGTGTGAGCGACTTCGCCAGGAGCTTCAGGGCACCGATGACACTGAAAGGATTCTGTAAGCTGCAGCTACATCATATTTGGCAGCGTGGGAGCCAAAACTCAGCTCATCAAGTTGCCAATCTGTATGAGCAATCATTCGGCGCCTATACTCTTGGACTTGAGACTTATAGCTTTTCATCATCATTGCGGTGGTAGCCATCCTCGGTACCCTGTGAAGAAAATGGAACTCAGAGGAATATCAAGAGCCCCTCGGCTTTCATAACTTCAATCTCAAATTCAACGGCCTTGATAAAGTAAGTTTAAACTTGTTTTGCAGCAGATTTTATTTGACAAAGCTCGCGGTCCCAGGTCTTTTGGAAGTAACAAGAAGTCGATCGGGCTAGTATCTAACTAATTGCTGTGTCCCATAACGGCAGAGTTTTGATGCTATACCTGCCTTGCCGTGAGTTTCATGTAATAGACTGAAGGACTTACATACAACTGCATTGATACACATATAATTTTTTTCTATGAAAAAGATGTCTACACAGCCAAGAAGTTGGGATATTGCTCCGCCATCCTTGGCATTGTTGAGGAGATTTTGTCATGATTTAATGAGCGAGAGACTTGATGAGTCAAGTACACTAACTAACTAACTAACTAACTAACTAGCTGTCAGAATCTGAGAACAAGTGGAGAGATGTTATCTGCCGAGACTTGGCTCGGGTTTGGCGAGTCGAAATCTGGAAGTATGCCTCGTCTGCCAAGGGTGGGTGTTGGGTGCCAAGAAGGGCGCAGCAGGCAGCTGTTTCCGTCCAGTCTGATAAAACCAAACGGTCTGGCTCGTCTGGGGATAGTTTCATTCGCTCATTCATCATTTCCGGGTCGTCATGGACATTACTTCAACACTAGAAAATGGATCGCAAGCCAGCTATTCGTCGGCTGCTGACCCTTTCAACCTCTCCAGAAAGTTAAAACCAACGGACGAGGGCCAGAGAGCAGAAGCCAATACTTCGCGCAAGCGTACTCGCTATAATCCATTTGGCAAGAAGGATTCACAGCTCGGCGGCGTCACGGAATTCTACAATTCACAAAACGAAAAGATCAAGAGCCTCCTCAAGCCCGTCGACGAACATGTCCGCGAACATGCCGAGACCACAGCGTCCCACAAGCTGCAATATCGAATCGCCGTATACTCCTCTTTTGTATGCAACATATTTCTTTCGGGACTACAACTCTATGGAGCCATTGCCTCTGGCTCTCTCTCCCTCTTCACAACGATGGCCGACTCGATCTTCGACCCGCTATCAAACGTCACTCTGATCATTTGCAACCGTCAAGCGAAAAAGGCCAGCTCGCACAACTTCCCAGTGGGCACATCTCGCATTGAGACTGTAGGAAACATTTTCTTCTCCTTCATTATGATGGCCGTTTCTCTCATCCTCGTGGCCTTCTCCTGCCAAGAGCTCTCTGAGGGCGGCTCCTCGGCCTTCCATCTGCCCTCCGTTATCGCGGTCACAGTTGCTTTCGTCGTGAAGCTGTGCCTATTTCTCTACTGCTTCGCACTACGCAACAAGTACTCCCAAGTTCGCATTCTGTGGGAAGACCACCGCAATGACCTTTTCATCAACGGCTTCGGTATTCTAACCTCCGTTGGTGGGTCCAAGCTCAAGTGGTGGATTGACCCGATGGGCGCAATTATCTTGTCTCTGCTCATCTTGGGACTGTGGTTGCACACTTCCATTGGAGAATTCAAACTGCTCGTCGGTGTGACTGCGGACGCGGATACTCTGAATCTAATTACCTATGTTGCGATGACGCATAGCGAGCATGTGAAGGCCATTGATACCGTGCGAGCATATCACTCAGGCCCGAGGCTGATTATTGAAGTCGACGTTGTGATACACCCGCAGCAGACATTGCAGGAGTGTCATGATATTGCGGAGGATTTGCAAGTCAAGCTGGAGAGTTTGCCGAATGTGGAGAGGGCGTTCGTCCATATTGATTATGAGACTACACATCGGCCGGAACATTCCAAGAAGGACATTTGAGAACAAAAACGGATAATTGAGTATATTTAATGGGATTTTGAGTGGTGAAAGACTAATGGATGGTAAGAAAATACTCATTGCGGTTAGATTACTCGCTAGTTAGAACAGCGAGATGACCCAAATGTTGTACGAAAACCCGTGTAAAAGATATGAATGTTCGCTGTAAATGTATCGTGTCATAGTCAATTATCAAAGTTCATGAATGCCATCAAGTCATAGACACCACTAGTTCGCTCACCCTAATCTTCCTTGCCTCGTGAAATCAAGAACTCAGATATTAAGCCAGGGTACCATCGCTACATTCATCTTGACAGCCGTTCACCACATTCGTAGACCCACTTGACTCAACGTCAGGGAAAGCTGACTCTTTCAGGCCTTGCTTGGAGCTAAACGCCTGGTTCAAGGTATACCCCTTCGTGAAAATAGCCGTCACCATGCCGAGTCCTGCAATCCCGCACATCACAGCCCAGACAGTAGACAGGGACTTTGCATACAACGTCTCAATCAACTCACGCTCAGCACCATCCCTCGGAAGGGTCTTGATATACTGCACCAAGCTCGACGCATCTTGTGCATAGAGAGCTGCTGAGCGTCCGAGCTGGGGGTAGTTGCTGAACTCATGCTTGATGCGGTTCTGGAAGACCACACCGCCAACTGCAACGCCAACTGCTTGACCGAGGACTCGGAAGAAGGGTGTCATTGTGACAGAGATCGTTAGATATTCCGGATCTGCAGCGGCTTGGACAGCGAGCATAACGGCGGGATACAGAATTCCAAGCCCGATGCCAGCCACCAGGTTGATAAATACCCATTGCGGAATGGTAGAGTCATTGTCCAAATAGCAGATAAGACCAATGCCTAGGGCAGTAATTGGCCATCCGTACCATATAGCCCACCGGTAGCTTCCAACTTTGGCGGCGACGATTCCGGTGATGACTGAGATGGGCGCTACGGTGAGAGACTCTGGGAATACAGCCAACCCAGCAATAACGGGGCTATATCCCAAGGCTCCTTCATAGTATAGTGGCAGGTAGTAGACAATGGCCCAGAGAATCATGCCGTGAAGGAAAGTGCTCGCGTAGCTGACGGACTGAGTGATGTTGTTGAAGATAGCGAGGGGTATTAGAGGTTGACCAGCGCCTAGTTTCTCGTAGACAATGAAGCCAGCTAAACCAGCGGCGCCGAGCAGCAGAGGAACGAGCGTATGCCACGAGTCCCAGGGGTACATGATGCCGCCCCAGGTAAGAGGGATCAAGAACGAAGACAAAGAGGCCACAAACAAGACAATCCCGGCGTAGTCAACCTTGAGGAGATTTTCTCGCAGCGGAACAGGAGTTCTCTGCAACTTCAGAAAGATAGGAACTAAGATCAGGCCCAGTCCACAAAAGGGCAGGTTGATCCAAAATATCCATCTCCAAGACGCAGATGACTGTGTTAAAGCACCGCCAATTAAGGGACCTGTCACTGTACCCAATGCCCATGTCCCAGACCGGATACTGAACCATTTCCCTCTTTCCCTCAGAGGAATAAGATCGGCAATAAGGACTTCTGTGAGTGCCATGATGCCTCCACCACCCACACCCTGGATCGAGCGGCCGACAAGCAGGAGAGTGAAGGCATGAGAAACAGCACCGAGAATCGAACCGAGTGTAAACGCGACAACTGCAAGAAGAAGAATATACTTGCGGCCGAAGATCTCAGATGCGAGACAGAAGACGGGTTGGAAGACACATGATGCGACTAGAAAGGATGTGCCGGCCCAGAAGGCTTGGGTTGCTGTCCCACCAAGGTCATCAGAGATAGTCTAGTAAAATAACAAAGAGAAAGAAAAGTCAGCTAGCAACTCAGAAATAGTAGGGTAATACTGTATCATACTGGCAGAGAGACTGAGAGGGACGTTGCATCGAGAGCAGCGACAAAGTTCAAGAGACCGACAACGGCGAATATACACTTGAGCTGCCAGCTGGGTTCCCAAACTGGCGCAGACTCATCTTCTTTCGACTCAACTGACATTGTACTCTGTCCTGTGTCAACCAATATGTTCGCCAGGATGAGTCAATTGAGAATGAATAGAAAGGTATGTCCAAGAACCACCCAAACCAAGCCGTAAGAAGGATTTTACGACCTTTTATGTCCACCCGACACCCCGAATCTTGTAGAACAATAAGACATGTATACAACCGAAATAGAAATGATCCCATGCAGTATCCCAAAACGAGGTCTCGAACAAAACAACCCATTCATCCCACTCCCAGAAAGCCATGCCATCATTGTACGCCATCTCACCCCATCCAGCGCGAATAAGGCAACCTTAGGCGTGCATAACATCTCAGATCCTGAGTCGAATACCGAGAGCACCAACTTCGCCATCTCGGTAACCATTCCTCACAAAAAAGCGCCTAGTTTGAAGGCATTGCTCACATTCAGCTGTAGTGGCCGCCAAACCACCGGCTGCCCTAACGCACTGGGTCAGGCATGAAGGCTTAACGCGAGATCGGGGATTCCGATCCTGGAGATCGCCAGCATGGTATATCAATCGGCTAAGAGAAATCAGGGTATATCAAATCGATGCGATAGGACCCCTAGGATTGAGGATTTTGGCTTGGACCACCGGACGTCGATTCCGTGGCTGTTAGGGGCGCGCGTTAGTGTCAGGGTTTTCGGTGTAGGGATTTGTTAGACATCGCTATGATGCGAGTCAGCTTCGAGCATCATTAATAGTTCAATAGTGGGAACTGATATCAATAGAGGATTATAAAACTTGCTTGACTTGACAGTGTTGGTTGAGAAACATAATTATGTGGGAGTGCTTTGAGAGTCAGATTCCTGCATGTCATGAAGAAGCTACACCTTCGCAAAGAGCTTGCAATTAGGTTCATCATAACTTTGACATTTAGCCGTAGACGAAAAATCACCGTAGTCAGCCCTATCTGATAATCGCTCCTCGATCTCGATAGACGGTCATACACACTAGCATCACCATTGCTATCCCTCCCATCCTGCACCATGCGCCATCCTCGTATTGGGTAGCATATCCATGTCCGGAATCACCTCCGTACGTGCAGCTGACATCTCGCTACGAAATACGAAGCACTGGGCAGCACACGGCATCCTTTGAATTTTGAACATTGAATATTCGTATTCATTCCTCACATACCGAGCGACTAGCCGGGACCCCGATAAGGCCTAAGCAGTAGATGCCTCAGCGCCAATCAACGGGCGTTTAACGCCGAGCAAGCATACCCAATCAGACGAACGATCAGATTCGAGCCGCTTCGAATCCGTGGCGTAGAAAAGCCGAAAGAATTGAGTATTTCGTGACGAGTGATTGGCGGGAAGTATAAGCGTCACTTATATTTCACTCTTAGTTTCTTGGTCGGTTAATTCGCACTGGTTTTGGGGAGGTGGGCTGACCCGAGCCCAGCCATACCTCGAATGGTCCTTATTAGTAGAGTACACTAAAATGAGGATGTTCCAGAAGCTCGTCGGGTTCTATGCCTTATTTTCACGCATGTCCTCCTCGGTCCTCAGCCTTTCAAAGCCCATGGGATACACGCAAAACACGTCACGCCAGTCAAGTCCCAACACGAAAACTAGTCAAGAAATTATCGAGTCGGTGGCCCAGCTGAAAGTCTCCACATGGACGCCCCCAAAGCGTGGCCGGCAAGCCACCTTGATCGGCGTCGCCGAGACTGGCTTTCTGCAAACCACGAGGCCGTCTTACCAGTATCTTGAGGGTCAAGCTAAGGGGTTCATGGGTCGTTTGAGTCGTAGGGCTTAGCTGAAATGGTGATGGAGGTTGTGCTAAGCCTCAGACCCGTTTAGGTAGTGGTCTGCTTCCTGCTTGATATGGAAGTAATCGCTGTACGCGAGATGAGTGAGAGTACGATTGCCTGGACTTTCCTTGGGGAGATGAAGTCTTACGGATCTCTCGCTATCTGAGATCGTTTATTTGATCCTTCGCCTCAACCTATCTAGTGCTCGGGAAAACATATATGATTGGATCCACGAGGACAGTGTTGCGGTTGACGCTGGCTGGTTGGAATCGATCTGGTTTTGTGTGCTAGGTATACGGAGTAGCACTAGCTTATCTGTGACCTGCTTATTAGGATGAGGCTCATATACAGACCATATACATGTCCTGTATGATGACTATCTAGTTGCCTTTCTAGAGAGACATACGCCTACAACGATCAAGACCGGTTTGCACATTTTCATCTATTGATCATCTCATACTCTGCATCCCCATTCTCCAAAGCAGCTTTGACAACCTCAAAGCCGAGCGTCCACGAAACATGGAACGGAAAAGGCAAACTACCAACCGAGGGTCATCAAGCCAACCACCCATCAAGAAAATCAAAAGAAGACATACACAATCTCCGGTCTGTAACAAAATATGACCGGGACGTGTTAAAGCAGCATAAAAACACCCTTTGCAGGAAGAAGAAAAAAGAAAGAAACCAAGCCAGCCATTACAGCAGTGGAAATCGCGGAGAAAATCAATGTCAACGTACGAAGCAGGAAGAAGAAAAAGCACAAAAACCTGGCGAGTAGTAAGAGGGAAACAGAACAAATCAATTCGTATCCACATGGAGATACTTATTTCCCACCTCCCGCCCTGAACGCCAATCCGATAGATGAAAGCCGGGTATATCCAGCACCGTGATGCAACATGTACTGTGAGAAAAAAAAGTCAAAACAAAAAGACAGAATGACTGCATTTTGGTCCCTTGAAATCGGCCTCATCTGGCACCGATGCCAAACATGCCGACTCCGTAACTGCCGCCTCGCTCGGACATTGGTGTCGAGACTTTGGAGACATGATCCTGAAGAAGGAACGGTTAGGTTGCAACGTTCACATACAACGGAGATTGCACGGCGAGACCAACCTTCTTGCGTTTCTTTTTGCCGGATCCTTCTCCATTGGAGTAGAAACCGGTGTCATCATCATCATCCGCATAGCCTTCGCCATAACCGACGAAGCTGTTATCATCATAATGCCTCTTGCGACCACGGCTGGGACGTGCCCTATCACCCAAGTCTTGAGCCCCCGCGCCACTTGTCACATTCGCTTGAGTAGCAGGCCGGCCACTTGGAGTTGGCGCGGCCTTCTTGCCAGCATCGCCGGGACCCTGGGCCTTCGCCGGCTTCTCCAGGCCCAGCACATCCTCCCAGAAGTCATTGTTCGGTGCAATACCAGGTTGCAGCTGCATGGCATTGGTTTGGAGACTGAGCAGCGCAGAGTCCATATCTGCAGTCTTGATTTGCTTCCCAAAGACCTTTTGGTTCTGCCATTCTTCCTCCGGCCACAACGTTAGATACCTCAAGCTGCCCTCCTTGCTCGAGTCCTGCTTGATCGGCTTGTTTTTACCCGCAAGGCCCATAGGCTTCAATTTCCCTTCGTATGACTTTCGTAGCCGGTTGATCTTTTCGCCAGTAACGGGGTGAATTCGTGCAACCGATTGCGCAACTGAGCCAAGCCCGTAGAGGGATATGAGATCCCACGAGGGATCAGGACCAGTAGCAATAGGCGCTGTAAAACCGTCAAGAAGCACTGTGTTAACAGGATTCATTTCCCAAAGCAAAAACAGAAAGCAAGTGCAATCACACCACTGCCGTGGCAGCAACTACGATCAAACTTGGGGAATTCTTACAGCTCTTGCAAAGGTGAAAGGCCGAAGTGAACTCCTTCTGAAGGGAGTCTAAGCCGAGATTTCGCGTGTCGCTGTGCAACGCAGGCTCCTTATCTAGGTCCATGGCGTCGGGGTCTGAAGTAAGCCCAGTGGCAAAGTCGCGGACACCAGCTACCGTCGAAGCAGTCGCCAAAGGCTGCCGGTCGTGATCGGTTCGTCTGTGTTCTGTCGTCTGATAATCTGATCCGTCGCCCATGTTTCTTGTAGATTCCTGTGTTCCCCCGGGCAAAGCTTTAAAATCTGCGTCTTCCGCTGATGTCGCATTCGCTAGATGGCCACTCACGCTGCTAGCCGGCGTAGGAAAAGAGTTCGTCGTACTCACAGTCGCCTGCTGAGAGACTTGGGTTGACATGGGCGTGGAAGAGGGAGGAGAGGAGGTGTGCGGAGGGTGGTGGTGGTGAGTCGTCGCCTGATTCGGTGATGCTTGGGAGGATGTAAAGTTGGAGACATTGTTCTGATCGCTGACCGACATCAACGGAGGCGATGTCGGGGTTTGAGGAATATGGTCCGAGGAGACGGGGAGCTGGCGGCTCTCTTTAAGAGCAGATCCGGCAGCGGGTGACGAAGGTGAGAGAGGTCCGGCTGGGAAGGTTGTGGAAGGGGTGCGATCAGACATGAGATAGTCCCACGCAGCACGGAAACTGATTTAGGGTTTTGAGCAGCACCGCAGGAAAGCTGTTCGACTGGCTCGTTTTGGGTCCCGAAACGCAAGTTCTTTTAGCAGAAGGCGCTGGGCGTGTGGAGAGGGGGATCCCGGTTCGAATGGTCGACGGTCGCTCTCGGGCGGGCGAGCAGGTCGTTCCACGGCCGGCCTAATTCATTCGCATTCCAGTGAGACCGACACAATATCCTCGCAATATTTCCGGATGGGGTAGGTGATGGGGATGGCGGGGGGAGAGGGGTCGGGTGGTTTGGGGGAAGATGCTGGGTTGATGATGGCGCTGAGATGGAGAGGCGAAACGAGCCCGGTCACATGACGCGGGACTCGGCCTGAGCTGTTTCGGCGATGCGACCCGCTGCACAAGTGAGCGGCATTGGCCGACTGCCCCCAAGAAACGAGACCTCCGGGGTTCTAGAGCGGTTTAGAAGTGGCTGAAACAGAACTGGAAAGTTGAAAAGTCTGCATACATGACTATCTTACAGAATGTTCTCATCCGAGTAGATAATGATTCAACGTGCTGAGTGGCTCGAATGCCACATGGCGATGGGGGCTCATTGATCAAGACAAAGAAACTGAAAAGTCTACTCAAAGAAAGTCATCAAGCTGAAACTTCTTATTTGATCTACCAGTAGATTCTTTTTTGTTATATATGACAAAGACTAGATTAGTTCAGTCACCGCAACATGAGCGTTCAAAGAGGTATATGTCAAAGGAGACCTGACGCTTTCCAAGAGTTCAAGTCAAAAAGAACAGAATGCACAGAAACCCAAACGCAATCAAAATTCAAGAAAGATCTTTCACCAAATCCCCTTGCGAACACACAAGAAGGCCCTTATTTTCGCCGATGCTCCAAAACTGCCAAGGTTCTGTTAAATTTGTGGAAAAGCCAGGTCCGGCCAAGTAGCGGCATCCGCCAGGTACTTTCAAGACTGGTAGAATGCATTAGATTCGCGGACCAATTGCGCAGATACATCAGGGATGTTTTGTTCCAGCGACGCCATGAGCTCGATCTGTTCCTGTTGGCTGAGGGTGCGTTCTCGCCAGGGAGGTATGGGGAAAGGCTCATTGAAATAATTCGAGTATTGGTCCGCATTAGAGGATGTCCACTGCATCGGATCCACAGTCGCGTCGATGTAGGCCAGATGGCTTGCGGTTGTAGAGGCAAGTGAGAAATTGGGGTCCCACCCTTGGAGCCCAGGAACTATAGAAGGCATCGTGTTGTATGGGGTATCAGGGTCGATAGAAACATCAGAAAAGAGTCCGGGTGGTGCACAGTAAGCAGGTGATGTATACTGGGGCGCAGAGCCAGGTGTTGTAACGGTGGGCTGCATGCCATATACCGGGGTAACGGGAGAGATTCCGATCGGTTTTGACGGATCCGGAGCATATGCTGGAGGGGTTGAATCTTGAGTGATCTGTGTGTAGGGCCCTGTTGGGTCGGCGGAGGGACCTCTAGAGAAAGTACCGGCTGAAGCATTATCGCCAATTGACTGATTGCCACTGTGGTAGTTATGCGAGTAATAAGAGGCAGTCGTGCTCGTGGATGGGCTCGACATGGGAGGAGGAGTGGTGACATCTTGCGAAGAGGTTGGAGTAGGATGGTTAGAAGGTGATTGGACCACAAATGATTCCTCGGTGCTGTACGCCTTCAAACAGGCCGCGACTAGGCGCTTGTAAAGGATCAATGCAGACTGAACACCGGGCCATCGTTCAGCGGCATAAACAATGACTTCCAAGGCCATGTCCAGATAACTTTGAACTTCCTCAATAGGATGTTCTTTTCGGATCTCGGGGTAGGAAAGTGTCCAAAGAACGGTGTTGAATACCATAAAGAGGGACTGGGTGAAGATCCAAGTCAAGTCCACGGATCCGGTGATGGTTTGCTCTTGATGCATGGCAATGTTGAAGGTCGCTGCTTCAAAACAAATCTTGGCAGCTTGGACCGACGGCTCAGGGATTTGAGGCGATGGGCGATGCATTAGAATGACAATGGTGTTTCGTCTACCTTGGAACCTGTGACACGGAGCAAATCGTTAGGAAACCAGTCTTAACAGCGGTACATCAAAAGTTAAGAACGTACCACTTCACATTGAGGCCACTGCCATCGTCATTCTTAGGGCAAGTGGCAACCCAGTGGTCGATCTTAGCCAGCATCTGGGAGAACCAGGGGTCTTGATCATCGGTTGGGGTCTCGCATCGGTTCAGGTAGAGTGCCCTGCGCACCTCCAATTGGAGCAGTCGCATCTTTAAAAAGTGAATCGCAATACACTTGCCAAGGACGGGTTTCGCGTGTGGATTGATTCCCTCGGCCGTGATATACCGATCATCCACCAACTCAAAGAACTTCACATTCACGTTGTCGTGGGTCACGCTCAAGGCGCTGGTCCGGCCCAAGCTATGCGATAGGCCAAACTCCATGGATGACACAATCCAAAAGAGCCGTCTGCGCATGTCGAGCTCCAATGGACTGAGAGGCTGGCCGTTGGATGATTGGGCAATGGTGGCTTCTTCACAGAACCCAAGCTCCTGGCACATTCTCACGGCGGTGCCAACCACCCAGAACGATGCCGTCCTTGTTGGGGTCAACATTGAATACTGAGCAATCAAGACCAGACATTGCAGCGCCCGCAAATCCATCTGTTTCAGCGTCGGTTCCAAAAAAGGCAAGGCAGCCAGGTAATAGCTGTCGGCTAGGCCTGCATAGTCTGGGCTCAACTTCTGCATGCTGATTGCCATGACCATTCGCAGTTGGAAGTTATGACAGGGGTCGGTCGATCCATTGAAAACCTCTTCGGCTTCTTGCCGAAAGCTGGGTACGTGTAAAGTTGGGAGCAATGCCTGGGCTGGTTCCGGTATAACGAGTTAGTCAAAAAAAGGACGTGGCACGATAGGGCCTCTTGGACCAATGAAGTAGCAAGCTTCCATATACCTTTTGCGACAAAAAGATCAATCAATTTGTATGCCAGGCTCCGCGGTGGTAAGCTGTCCGACGGAATCGAGCTGATCATCGGATACACTTTGGAGGTGGGTTTCGAGTCCTCTTGAGCGAAGGCTGCCTTGATTTCTTGGGCGGTCAACTCGGGGACGACATCCTTGATGCTCTTCGAATCGGTGTTTTGCTTGGCAATCTCCATGACAAGGCGCGTCATGGCAATGCCACTGGAGGCGCCTAGGTACCGGGGTTCGTCATTATCTGAGAAGCGGATACGTCCAGCGCCCCGCACCATCAACTCCGCATCGGCCGTGTGCTGAATTTCCCGTTCGGCCTTGGCTAGCTCTTTCTCGAGTGCGCGAGCTTTCTCCCGTAATGACACGATATAGGTTCGAGGAATGGTGGTGTCGCGGGCCGAGTCATAGTACACGCATTTGGCATTGCTTCGTTCGCAGGGCGCGCATCGGGGGATTCCAGGATCACATCTAGATTTCCGCTAAAACGCGATTCGGGCGGTCAGTTTCGCCATTCCATTGTCGCGACGGGGGATCTTCTCTCTTTCTTCAAGCATCTGCTTGGGGAGGATTGGGCAGGGAAAAGAGAGAATCTGGGACTGTCGATGGTTGTATCATACCTGTCGACACCTCGTACAGGCCGTCAATGTGTGCGCGATGCGACCGTCCGGAGGCTCGAATGAAAAGGATTCTGGGGATGGCTGCCCTGCGAAGGGTTGGGCGCTCTGGGTCATGGTTCGTTGGGAGACCCCCAAGCCCGGAGCAAGATGTAAGAAGAAAGGAGAAGTCACATGCGTGGGCGTTGCACAGGGATGCCATTCAAAGCACGGTTAATCGGTCCACCAGGAGCCCTTGGCGCTATCGACATGGTCCCGTCATGCGGCTCTCGGGGGGGATGGGTTGCGGGTAGGTGAATGAAAGTGGCGGAGGAAGGGAGAAATGGCGACACGAGAAATTCAATGGTCGGGGTTGAGAGTATCCGGGGAGAAACAGGGCCCAAAAAAGGCAAGGGGGGAAGTGGGAGAGGGACGAGAAAAATGAAGAAGCGTATCAAAATGCAATCAGGCTGGATACCGCGTAGGTTCCGGCCGGGACTGGAAGTTGGTTGTGGCCGTGGCCGTGGCCGTGGATGGTGGGGACTAGTGCGGGTTGGTCGCACGGTTGATCGGAGGTGGTGGTGGTAATCCTCGAATGGTCACAGAGGTACCTTGTAGAGAGGTACTAGTGTCCACCGGCGGAGTAGTCAGGACTGAGTAAGAAGAAGTAACAAGACTGGCGCATTCTTCGGGCCAGATCTGGATCGACGGAGAGGGGGGGGAAATTGGAGCTTGGGTTTTTGGAAGCGACGGACGGTCTTCCGTCAAGTGGGCAAAGTGGGGGGGGGGAGGAGACGGGGAGACAGGATGAGGGACGAGGTTGCGAGGTTGTGACGGCGGGCTGATTGGTGGAGAAGGGGACGGTAACCAGGATCGAGCACGGTAGACTATCTCGTCAAGGATGATTTGAATTCCTTTTCCTTGAATCTACAGTCTATACGTGGTGGTCTATGAGTTAGTTAGCTCCCTTGGATTAGCACGCGGGCTGGTTGACTATCGTGTTGGACCAGTTGATTCGCCGATTGGGCTAGAATCACAAGCCTGGGACTGCCAACCAGAAAGCGGCGTCGATAAAGACTGGGACACGAAACTACAGAACTGCCGAGTGCATGAGTACTACGACTGTGTACATCCTTTCCCTCCTGCCAAATGGAGTTGACCCTCCTCCTAACGTGTGACGTACAGGAAGTACACACGAGGCGGTACTCCAGATGGTTAGTCTTACGTAGTCATCCTCGTTCCACGGAACGTCGAGTCGATCAGTGGCCATTGAAATCAAATACATACATACTCTCGTCGGACCGAGTGCTTCAACTTCTCGTCTGCTTACTGGTTTATCCTGCCCAATCCTGTCCAACCAGAATCATTCTCGCTCTTTCTGGGACACAAATTGCCCGGTCTTGGTTCGTCCTCGAGTGGTAGGAGTGGGTATGATTTCGCACCCCTTTCTTGTCCCCTCGGGTAAGGCTGAGTCGTGGATGGGCCTGATCAGGAATCGATAGCTGAAACGATCCTTCAGCTCATGCAGGTTCTGACCGTTAGTTCCAACGTCTCCGTGGTTAGTTACCGTAGGGAGTTACCGTAGGGTTCAGGCTGTCAGTCATGATGTTCGGGCCTTGATCATGTGAGTCCTTCGGTGGTCGATGCGCGACGATCCGGTGGGGATCCCTTTTTGGTGCCATTGCCATTGCACCACCCACGACCAGTGGGCGTTGGGCTGGGTACAAGGGTCATCAATCCTCACATTTATTCTTTCTAGCCTCACTAACTACTCTCCCTTGAGTCGACCAGAACCCTCTGGGATTAGCCTACACGCACTGACAAGAAGAGCCTCGGTCTAGCCCACCTGCAACTCACCTGCCCTCTTCCCTCCCCCCTCCCTAGGTCCCCTCCTCAGGGTGGGCCATGAGCTACCAGGATGCCCGCGATGGCCACCACCTTCCTGGACAACCCGCTGCTGAAAGTCAGTCGGCCCGTCGCCGCCTGCTCGCGCTGCCGCACTGCCAAAATAAAATGCGACGGCAAGCTTCCCGCCTGCTCCGCCTGTGAGAAAGTCGGCAAGGCGAGCTCCTGCTCTGGGGCTAGCGATGAATTCGCCAAGGGCAAGGAGCGAAGCTATGTCGCCTCCCTCGAGGGATACTGCGAGAAACTGGAGAAGAAAATCGGCCTCTTGCACAACCGCCAGAACTCGTTGTCCGCCGAAGGCAATGGCGTGGTGCGGGAGATGTCCATCACCTCGACCTCCTCCGATGGACCGGTCGGTTCAGCGCATCATCGTGAGGTCTCCGATATCGATGATCTCGTCGGCGACTTTGGGTTCCTGTCGATCAATGCCACCTCTCGCGACTTCCAAGGCATCACCTCCAAGACCAGCTTTGCGAACCTGCTCCTTTCCGTCGCTACGGTGGGATACCCACCACCCCGCACTCCCAACCCACTGCCCGCGCGACACGAGGCCACCCCTCTCCTACAATACTACTTTGACAATGTGTTCGTTCAATTACCCTTTTTCGTGGAAACAAGTTTTTGGACCTCGGTAGACGCGGTCTATCAATCTGCTGGTCGCTTCGCCAAACCCTTTGACCACTGGACCGTCCGCATGGTACTCGCCATTGCTTCGGCCTCGATCTCCTATCAGAATAATGATAAAAGCCACCAGCGAGCTTTGGCATTGGTGTCGGAGGCGTTGGTATATGCTGAAGATGTGTTCCGCCCTGGGTCTATCACGTGCATTCAAGCCATTCTGCTCCTGGCTCAGTATGCGCTGGCAGATCCAGGACGGTTCCGAAGTTGGTATCTGGTGGGAATGGCAGTGAGAGTCGCTGTCGACCTGGGTCTGCATCAAGACCCTCCCACAGAAGTGATGTTGAATCCAGGCCGCCTCGATATTCGACGACGGGTATTCCACTGCCTGTACTGTCTAGATCGGTAGGGTCATATCCAGTCATGATTAATTCAATACACAAGTACATGCTGACAACTCTCGCAGAGGAATGAGTACTGCACTGAATCAGACGTTTTCATTTTCCGATGCATCCGTCAATGTCGCCTTGCCAACGACTGATACATCGGTCTCGACCACCGAGCAAACTTCCATCTTCTTGCGGAGCCCCGCCCCAGCCCTGCACGTCGTCAAGATCCGAAGAATCTTATCAACAGGGTACCAAGACATGTACTACAGTTCACGAGAACCATCACCCCAACCCCTCACTCAAATATGGAGCCTCTGCTACCGAGCCCGCGAATGGTTCCACGAGTGCCCCAAAAACGCCCCCAACCACTTCTCCCTCCTCTACCGCCTCGAACTCCTCTACACAAACATCATCCTCCTCTCCCCCTCCAACCGATACCCCATTCTCTGCGACTACAACAAAGCCCTCCTCTTCGACCGCTGTATGGACTTCATCGGCCAAATCCACCAAGTACTAGAAAATCCCAGCAACCTCCCCTTCCTCACCTTCTTGGATATCACCCGCGTCGAGCAAGTCGGCCACCTCTTCGTCCAAGTCCTCATTAAAGACTTTGACTTCCTCCTCAGCCCCGCCGTGCCGAACCCCCCTGCCGTCCCAGCCGGAACACCCGACCCGCCCATCCTCGCCGAAGAAGATAGAATCAACTGCCGGCCCCGCGCACTCCGTTGTCTCACGTACGTGCGCGATCTACTGCAGTACTCGGCGCGGAAGTGGGATCTGCGACGACCGCTGGACGAGTTTGAGCGGGAGTCTGCTCCGTTGGGGAGGATGCTTCGAGAGGGACCGGCGATCTATGTAACTAATCAGGGTCCGGCGTACTCCCAGGCACCGCTGGCGGGCACTGGGTATTCGGGATATCATTTGGGATGAAGTTGTACTTATGAATTGGATTGGGACGGCATATTCACTTTGGGTGTTGGACTTAATCTTGTCTGCCCTTATCCAGGCAGTATGTTTTGATATAAACCCCATTCACATCTGCACGTTCTTCCACCCTTACATGTCCAATCCTAATGGCAGCCTTGTATTAATTTGGAATTTACGTTTAATTGCGCAATCGGACATAGTTCTGCGGTACTTGCCAAATCCCAATCTCATCAACGCAGACCCATCATCTCCCCATGAAGTCAGGAAAGCCAGAGTAAATAAGGTGAGGCTTCAATCAGCGATTCTGAATAGAGCCTAGTCAACTGGCCCATAATTACATACCTACGGCTTTCATATCGCGGTTATATTCTCGGTCTTTCTACATGTCTTCCTACAGGTCTTTTGACAGAGCTGATGGAGATTCCCCTATCTGCCCGAGGTCTCAGGCTGCAGCGCCACTGGATATTTCCTATTCGGGTCTTTCCTGATTGCTCCAGGCCCTTCTCCTATAGACCGGCCCTTCCTCTTCTTCTTCTACCTTTTCCCGAGATAGACTGCCTTCGCCAGTTCCACCAAAATCTTTGCTGCTCTGGTTCCCTTTTTGCTTTCTCTACGTTGTCGAGTAGGCCTCCCTTGCCCGCTCTCGTCTTCTAGATATTATTTCGCCTACTCTGTCTAATCTCGTTCAGCCCACAAGTATATGACTTCCTCTAGGTGTTCGGCTCCGAGGATACCCTGGGTGAGAGCATCGCTAATGACGTCGCCGCGAAAGACTATACTTTTCCCGCGTTCTAGCAAGCTATATACCAAAATGACGCTATACCGTGCCCGAGCGATACGATCTCTCAGGTATGTTACCGATCCAACAATGTCCTCCCGTCAACTGAAGGAATACTCCAAATTATGGACAGAGAGTACCATCAAGCCGTTACAGAAAGGAAAAGCCTGTTCTCGGTTCTTGATTATTTCCTACTGGCCTATTACCTATCATGTTGTTAAGATGGTTATCCGACGTCTCGGTCTCGATTCCGTTGTCATTATAGCCGCAGATAGTACAGGGGACCGAGCAGCTGTTGCAGAGTTTAACAACTCTAAAGCAAAGTATCAGGTCATCAACACGACCTATCTCTGCGGAGGAACGGGTTTAAACCTGCACGAATGCTGCAAGATTGTGATCCTGATGGAGCCGCGCCCAAAATTCAACGTGGAAACGCAGACAATTAGTTGTGTATACCGGATCGGGCAGTCTAAGCCCTAGCTGGCATACCGATTGTTACAGGGTCACAGGGTGAACTGGTACACGGTAGGGAAATGTCCAGGAGATGTTCCCCCATGTTGTCTGTTAAAAGACCTGTTTATTTGATTGCACCCAAAGCCTCTATGTGAAGTCGCTTTTCAGAGTATGACCTTGAAACAAAGGATGCGGCAAGCTTCTATATTGTATAATTTTCGGTATTCAGTGGGCGAAGGCCCCAAGGCAAGCTTATAGAAACATTAGAAGATATAATGACATTTGACTCAAGAAATATAATATGTAAATGGTATGGAAGACAACATCTTTTTTGTCCTCAGAAATTCATACAAAATCACCCTTCCAAATGCGTAAATATGCACAAGAATATTCCGGGGTATTCACAAGGCTCCCAAAACGCTTTCCGTTGCTGCGTAAAAAAAGGCCTCCCTGTTCAAAGAAGAGAAAAAGCTTTCAAAAATGAAAAAGAGAAAAGCTTAATCTATCTTTTACAGGTTCTTGCCGAGGGTGGCAACGACAGTACCGACGGGCACACCGACGGAGGGCAGGCCAAGGCCAATGACAACGGCAGCGACCTCGGGGGAGAGCTGGATGAGGAGCGCCTGGCCATTGTCGCTGGTGACGGTGAGCAGACCCTTGACGGGGCCAGAGAGGTCAGAGATGAGGTCGCCAATGTTGCCAGCGGTCTTGACGACAGAGCCAACGGAGCCACCAATGGAAGTCAGGCCAAGACCGTCAATGAGAGCGGCAACCTGGGGAGAGAGCTTGATCAGGAGCTGCTTGGCGTTGGGGCCGGTGACGGTGAGGATCTGGCCGACGGTGGGGACGAGGTCCTGGACGATCTCGCCGGGGGCAGCGTCACGCTTGAGAGAGGTACCGAGAGTAGCAACGATGGTGCCGACAGGGATGCCGACGGAGGGGAGGCCGAGGCCGGAAAGAAGGCCGGCAACCTCGGGGGAGAGGGAGATCAGGAGAGCGCCGACATCAGCGCCAACAACGGTGACGAGGCCGTCGACGGTAGGGCCGAGACCAGTGACGAGCTCGCCCAGGGAGCTGGCGGAGGCAACGATGGAGCCAAGAGGGACGCCCAGGGCGGGGAGACCAAGGCCAGAGACGAGGGCAGTGACCTCAGGGCTCAGCTCGAGGAGCAGAATCTGGGCGTTAGGGCCAGTGATGGTCAGGACGTTGTTGAGCTCAGGGGCCAGGTCCTGGAGGATGTGGCCGTTCTGGGCAATGGGGGAGTCGCCGGAGGTAGCAACGTTGCCCAGGTGGAGGATGGAGGTCAGGTCACCGAGCTTGGAGACGACGGGGAGGCCGTTCAGGTTCAGCTGCTTGGTGACATCGCCAAGGCTGAGGTCCTTGGTGAGGCCCTCAAGACCACCCAGGTTGGTGATGGAGGTAGTGAGGCCAGTCAGACCGGCGAGGGAGGTGAGGCCGGCGGGAGCGGCGGTGGCAGCGGCGGCCAGGGTGAGGAGAGTAGCAAAGGAAACCTTCATGGTGTCGGTATTCAAAGAATGTGGATTATCAAAAGAATGACTGTGGTGGGAATGAATCCAAGAGAGTGACTGAGGAGAGAAGAGAAGAAAGAAGAAAGTTAACGCGAGGTGCAGCCATCTTTATACTGGACCAGAACCCTGCTCTCATTTTACCTTCTTCCCTCCTTTGGTGACAGGGTCATCGGATTTGCGCCAGCGCTGACCAATTGCTCCATCGACCAGGCGGGTCAGCTCCGTATGAAAAGCCTCAAGATGGATCTCACTAGTTGGATGCTCAGCTTTGCACTGCAGGTGGGACTGCTAGTGTTCGTCGAACCTAACCCGCTAGTCTGGACGCCCCCCCCCAATGATCCAGAGCAAGGTCTGCAGTGGATTCTGAGGGGGGGTCCTCTATGAACCCATACAAGATATGGGTCCTATAGTCTGCATGGTTCACGTTCGTGGTCCCTGATGATTATTTCTTTCGCCTTTTGGGTTTCGTGGATGCCGCTTGAAACGCCTCGAGGTAATCGGGACTCGGGAGAATCCAAACCAGCCCTATCAAGACGATCTTAGTGGACAGGGACATTCTAATGGAACGATTCAAAGTTAATCGCCGTATCAAAACAGGTAATTGATAGCTTCTGTAGCATACCATCGTCATCGTGATTGAACCGGAGATCATCGGATGTCCGCTTGACGATAGCCATGGCCCACGATACAGACTGGAAAGATATCTCCAAATTATGATCTGCAGGCGCAGCTCGAGGTGGGACCCCACTGGATAGAATTCGAGAATATGGAGTAATGGCTCTTCGATCGCGCACTGTGGCTGGCTAGCGCGAGCTTATATGGGCCTGGCAGTGGGAGGACCGAACATTTCCGCCGCCCTAATCAATAATCCTGCCGATCTGGAGCTTGAGCCAGAAGTTGTTGTTGGGGGGTCGGTAGGACGTCCGCAGTGTTCCGCTTCACTGGCAAAGGGTGACTTCATTCGAATCGAATCGTACGGAGTTCAGCAGACACAAACTTGAGTCGGGGATGGCATGATTTGCTGTTCAGTGGAGACCGTCATAATTGTCGAGCACATGGCAATTCTGAGTTGGGCAACCACCCACTTCAGGGTCAGTCGAGACAGGAGACTCCTATGCGTTCCTCTTTGAGAATAGCCCTCCAAGAATCAATTGTAAGGTTACTAAGATACGATCGGAGACCACAAAATGAAGAAAATGATCGGCAGGTGATATCGCCCCTCCAGGCGACATGCCGACAGAATTCACGGTTAAAGTTGATGCTAAAGAGGTCAATGGCAAGGACAAAGGTCTCAAGAGGCCAATGAGGGCCAGGAGAGAGTCCCGTGACTCCACTCTAAGCTAACCACGCTGAGATACAGTCAACAACCAAGCCCGTACAGAACCACTTTCAGGGACCTTCAAATACTGTAATGGACCTCATGGGAGTCTCATCATTATTCGCGCCGAGTTTGGTCAAGCGCTTCATTGAACCCCCAAGGGTTCCCCCAATTATTTGATTCTCCAGATCTTAGCTCCTCCACTTGACGGCCAAACATGGTGGACCATGCCCAGGGACCCGGACATCTGCTTGCTCATTGGCCTTGAAGCAGACGAAACGCGACTGATGAACAGGCCCATTTCAAAGGGAAAACTCAGCCCGAGCTGCAGATTGGCCCGCTCACTAGTGCTTCTGGTTCCTGGTTCTTCTCCAGCTTGGGGGCTTAAGCCCCCTAAGCCCCCCTATCGGCACTTCTCAGATCGGTTCCTTCGCGGGTTGAGAGTTTGAAGAGCCACCTGCATCATCGATCCAAAGGGGGCCGCTAAACAGAGCTTTGTTTGTTGACATTATCATTGCATTATTGTTTAATAGTCTCGATTTACCTCTGGTGGATTTTACACATATATGGAGCTATGCATGCACTATGATTATAGTTACACAATAACGTGGTCGCTGATGGCACTGAAACCGTTGAAACAAGCCCCGACAAAACTTCCTCTCAACGTGTATGGAAGGTTCCGTATCTTTTCTTCTCCCTCAACTCGTGGCCGTCACTCCACGAGGGGTCCCTGAATGCCCAACAGCCCTCCAGAAATTCCCCGTCCACGCTAAATTCCGTCGTGGGCAACCCGCGCGACAATCCCAATCTTAGCCGCCCCCACCCAGAAGGGTCCATCGGACTACAGACTATGTACAACCCACACTCGTCCACTTGACCACCCTCAACCGCGTGTGGGACTATACTGTACAGTAATACGTTCAGATTGTACTGTAGATTGAGTTCAACTAAAGCTATTCCGACTGGCTTTGCTGAGCTCCCATTGAGAACGCTCCATCAGTTCCCGCTGGATCACGATGACTCCACGAAGTATTTGGCCATTAATATTATTTCCGCGGGTTTGTGGTCCGAGATGAATGATCTTCCGGGTCAGGAACGAACCATTGTTTCTTTCGAGTACGATTTGTATACTGTACACCTGGATGCAATTGTCTTGTCCATTACAGTTGGCAACAGTAGAGATTTTCTAAACAAAAGTTCCCGAGCCGCCTCTCTGTCTACAGTACCAGGCTAGACAAGAAAAACAGGCCGCCGCCGTAGTCTTGCCGTGGACATGAATATGGAATAACTCATGGTTTCTCTCTAGATTTCATCGATTCATTATCCAACGAACAGCCCACATCTCCCTCAGAACAGCAGTAACTTCCGCGATGCCTCATCTCTTCGTCCGTCTTAGTGGCGTTTTTGGACGATCAATAGAGCATGGGATCGTCCAAATGAACCACAGGTCTAGGAAGGTAGCGGTGTCTATCAATTCTGGCGTAGGGTAATCAGCTCGTACACCGACCCAATTACGGAGTACATCGAAATCTTCCGAACGGGATGATTATCGACTCTATCTGACCGAGAATAGGGACTCTCCCGACTCAACCGAGATCTCAACTCTGGTGGATGCACCGCGTGCCGACTCACACATCACGTCAAGACTTCTCGGGAGGAGAAGCTTAGAGTTGACTCGATCTTCACATGTCAGATCAGAACACACGAAACGAACCTTGTGTACTGCCCGATGGGGGCGCTCTTGAGCTAAGCGACCGCCAGCAATCGACGGGTTGGGTGGGAGCTTCCACATCGACCCAAACAGCCGGGTCACTACTTTTCTCTGGTCGCGGAATGGCAAGTGAATTTAGCCCCTAGGCCCTTGGCTCTGACTGTGCCAGAAAGCGACTGTAACTATGTAGCTGACTATGCATCCATTTGCAGCCCGAGTACCTGTTAACCCATCCTTGCGGCGCGGCTAGATCTCCGAATTGTGCCTATATCCACATTTTGCGGGATATATTGATTTTGTAATGGCGGTGATGAAGCACATAGTGTCTTTGAGAAATCTCTAATCCTGTCCTGTAGGAAGACATGCCTGTGTTCACCGTGCTTACGCTGCAGTGTTTACCCCCCTGTTCTCTCATGTTTCCGTACACGCCAGCCAGGCTACAGAAGTAGTCCTCACATATTTCATCAAGTGCTTTTTCCATTGACTCCATTCCACTTGAAAACTCTTTACCGAGTTCCCGAATCTCGGTGTCTCCAGCCCCCTCGGTGGTCTCCTGCTCCTGCTCGGCAGAGAGATTTCTTCAGGGAATCACTAACTATCTCTTGCTTTGTTAGTTCTGCTCCTGTCAAGATACAGTGAATTGACACTAAATCATGTTAACAAGACATTCTTAGATCAACCTGCCTGCCAAAGTCGGAAGCTCCGAAACACATCATGAAGTCTGTAAGGTGCTCACCATCTTTCATGGGACTTTCACCGTCTGGTGCTTCGATAAGTAGATATTCATGCTCCAGGTGATTCCGCGGAAACGATCCAAAAAGCCGCGTATTTCCGATTCAGTCGTCAAAAGTCCCTCTCGGCCAGCAATCAGCATCTCTACTCGTCGGCCCCCAGGCAAACCGTTCAGTCAATTTGAGATTTGGTCGAGATATTTTGGCTTTACAAGTTGGACTGTATACTGGACCATAGTGATATGCTTAACGTGCGTAGGTAAGTCACCAAATTTAGCACCCCAACGAGACTGAAGATTTCCGCAGACCGTAGGTAGCCAGGCGTCTCGCTCTGGAATAGCGGTGATAGCTCTGGAAGAGCGGGCCACCACCAACAGGACAATTACCCTCCAAGACGGGACGTACGTGGAAATAGCCAGAAACTCTGACTCGGGAAGAAGTGCATCAGCATTACCATTATCTTCGTCGTCCGAGATCAAGTCATTGACCGGAACCGAGTCGTCTTCCGGGAACCCATTCAGAGTCCGAGGCCTCTCCAGAGGAATAGGGTTCCTCTGGAGAAGCTGCACTTAGATCCTCCGAAGAAGCAATGGCACTGGCACTGGTTATGATCGTCGGGTATAAAATCGCTAAGCCCAGAATCTGTCTTAAAGGCCTCACAGCGGTGAGGTTGATGAAGTCAGTGATAAGGAGAAAGAACAAGTATCCAGGGTGGTCAAGAGAGAGCCAGAATAAATGCGTGTTCTGGTAAAGGCATGTCAGATACTGGCGAGCTGGTGATCTCTGGCCATGGGTAAAACTCACATGCCGTGTTCAAAGAGTAAGGAAGATACCCAAAATAAAGTGAAGGGAAGGACACGCGAGAATTGCCCATAAATGAGGGAGGGGGCGAGTAAGCACCTTTCAGAAGTTCGCCCGAAAAAGAGCCCCCTATCCTCTTAAATTGAGAGACGGTCCCGAAATTGAGATATGGGAGTACATGCTTGAGAAGCACGTTCGATTTTTTTAATGGCAACTGAAAATGGTTTCGAGAGAACGAGTTGAGCAGAAGGTTAGAGAGGGAGCCTTGGTGAAAGAAGAGAGGATGAGAGAGGGACGATGTACAGCTGGCGATGATTACGGCCCTATTAACCGCTATACCTTCGTAGCTTAGGGGAAAGATCGCAAGTCAGGACCCCGAACGCATTTTTGCTGACGGTAACAGATAGTTCTGCACCTATTGGAATGTCTGGCCAAGTGGCCCAGTTTCAATAGGTCTGTTTATGCAGCTGTTAATGTGGGAAAGACGGGGCTTTTTTGCATATGGAAAAAGTACTCCACGCAACTCATCAGTGGTAAGGGCGGAGGGCTGGCCAATGATATTATACAAGCACATCCATGTCTTCAGATGCCATGTTACACTCTCGAGGAAGTAATTATCGGTGTAAGGTCCGTTATGATGCTAGATGCTCTTTGTGTCTTCCTTCCATCAAGCCCTTGTCTCTATGTCGAAGAGATGCCCGAGAGGAAATTTTGCAGCCATGACAGACAAACTCCAATGCAGTAGACAAGATCCCACGAACGAGAACTCATTCAATCACCCGCCCCGAAGTTCCTGCTTTCGACATCATTAAGGTTGGCAAATTGAGTATGAGTTAGGACGGAATAGCTGGTTACGAGTCGGTGCGATCAGGAGGTGTAAGCATCGAGACTCTATTGGGCTAATGCGACTAAATGCCACAAAGTCCATGCATGCTGAATGGTGTGTATGCTCTAGTTGTAAAAATCGTGGTGAGTTCGTGATAACTCCGCGGACGTGGGGGTCATCTCCAGACAGACTCAGCAACCAGTGCCATCTCCATGACGTAGTCGACTAGAACTAGGTATGTGTTAAAAGATAATTATAAAATCAAATTGCAAAGCACATTCATGTTGTCTAGCTTGTTTGAAGCCTTAACACACAGCGCTTATTTGATGTTTCAGCAACAATGACAATGTCGAGGATATATTCTAGACTGGCAGCGACGGCAAGGACTTGCAGTAGGAACAACATTTGCCTCGCACCACCATTGAAGAGCTGCCCTCGGTCAAGGTTTTTGTCAAAGAATTTAGGTGCAAGAGCTCAATCAACACAGAACAAAGGGAGTCCTCCCCATAGAACCAAGGAAGCTGGTTCGGTCGAAGCATTGCATTTGTGACACCTATCATCATGCCGGTTCTCCTATATGCGCAACTACAACAACCACTCTATATGGGCTCAAAACAAGAAAGGAGGCAAAGTGATGCAGATCAGGATCCAAAACACCACGTCTCAAAATCCAATTAAGCTTCAAATGCATCTCGGCAGAAGGGGGGTAATAATTTCGTCGAAGCCCACTCGCTTCCAAAAGAGAAAGCAATACTCACAGCGGCACCCGAGGTCCCCCCACGAATAACGAGAGACTATCCGGTCCTGCTCCAAGTGAATCTAGTCATTTCCACCAAGATTGAAAAATTGACGAGTCAATACAAATATGAAAAATGGAGCTTTAATGGCTCAGTTCCTGGATCGTTTATCTCCGCGAAGGGGAGACGTAGTGGAGCTATCACTGACGAACCGCGACGAGTCCGGCAACCCCCATAACATTGATTGTCATGCTTTATTGGGCCACGGAGGTGGAGTTGGAAAGTCTGTCCGTATTTTCTTCGGCAATGCGGGACCCGATCTGACCAGTTCTTTCCATGTCATTGGAAGTACCTTCAAGAAGGTGTATCGGGATAGTGATGTGCTGAGCCCGCCGAGTCAGTTTGTGCAGACTGTTGGTGTCCCACCGGGGGATACTACTATAGTTGACAGGGAGATGCTCGTGCCGCGGACATACACGCTCGTGGACCATGCAATATTCCGTCTGGAAAGGGCGCTGTTGGATATTTGAACGTTTCTGGGACCCCGCGGCCGGATATCTACGAGGGCAGCGAGCCACCAGCCCCTTTGTGTTGGCTGCAAGCTGCATCCATGAATGTGGATCAATACTTATTCTCAGTGTAAGTTAGCGGGTATTAATATGTGAATCTCTTGATATGGCACTTTGGAAAGAGGAAAGTTAGTACTGTTGGCTTTGTGCTGATTCCTCTTAATGTGTGCTCATCATCTTTTTTCTCGCTGCAGGGTAGTGCATAGTCTATTTGTTCTCTTTCTCTTTGAGCATTTTGGCAAGGTTTTCATAGCCACAACGGCTCTCGTCGAATAGCATGCCCGGTCGCATGTCATGACATCAGTAGCACTAAATCATTTTTCGCCCTCCTGATTGTGGCTTGGTATCCGCGAGGCAGGATCGAATGATAAAGTAGACCATTACGAGACTGCCACGGTTTCAGCTAGACACCAGCGAAGGTAGAAGATTTCTTAGATTGGGGAATCCTCTTCCATAAAGACAGAGCTCTACAACCACCCAATTATGATGATCTTAAGCTTTCTCAACAAATTGCGAATGAGCACAAGAGCAACCCCGATCCGGCTATGTATATCTTGGGCGTAATTGGAACAAACTTTTGGGCGTCTCGCCAATCATTCGAAAAAAACGCAAAAGTTTGTTTGTTCTAGAAGGGGGCGTTTTACGAACCCCAGGAAACGGCGGGCCTCCATGGGTTAACCTGCTACAAACCCTAACCACCACTTGGCACTGTCAGAGGTAGAACGGGGTGAGAAAGTCTAACCCCCAAAGTCTATACGGTTTAGTCAAGTTCAAGCGGAGAGCGAAGAGACGTGGTTGGTTGGGTTACTCAGCAAAGTTCATTAGTGAGTAAATTATGCGAATAATCCCCGGGGTATCGTTGCGCCCCGTTCAGCCGCCATCACATTCGGCACGGAATAGGCGTTCACTGGGCACCAGCAAGCAAGTATCTCTGCAACTGACGAAAAGAATCAATGATCTCACAAGCTCAAGACAACTATCTGATGAGCCACGTTCTCAACACCAAACCATAGAACTCCCAAGGCCAAACCACTGGTAATTCCAGCCGAATGGCGGCTTATCTCTGCACAATCCATGGAAAGGGCCGCTATCGGGCCTAACTTCTGGGATTAGTCTTTCAGAGCGCGCAAATGGGCTTGCGTCTCTCGGGGCTTCGTCATGTCCTGTTCTCCACACTCGGCGCTGGATAGGCCAATGGTACTCGACGTATTCTCGACGATGGAGCCTCACTTATCTCGTGTTCTCCGCCACCTCCTGTACCTTTTTTTGCCTCATACCTTTCTCCGCACGCTCGTCGGCAGGAGATTCGATTTCTTCTCGTATAACACCCAAGTGTTCTATCACTGCTTGACAGTGCCTGGGCATGCATATATAACCCTTGTTGTCTTAACCTATACCCTCACTCTGATCTTATTTATCTCATTCCCATCTGCCATTCGCTTGGTCGCCTGCGCTTTCTCGATGTGTGCCTCGTAAGGAAAACTCTCACACGACCACTTCCGACCCTCGATCCTCGACCCTGCAGCAGAGAGTATGCCCTTATGACGAGCATCGGTGTCTCTGGCAGCACCTTCGGCCTGGCCGAGCGGTCGGTCAATTCGTTTGCTGAGCGTACCACTCTAGCCTGCCTCTTCGCCATAGCCTGGTACAATGCTCTCGAGCTGATCGTTCTCTGCTTCACCACCTTCAAGCGCTATGGCGGGTGCTACTTCTGGTGCCTGCTCATCTCCTCCTTCAGCATCATTCCCTTTGGCCTGGGATACCTTCTCATCATCTTCAACGTCTATACGACTGAATTCCCCGTCGCCATGGAACTCATCGCCTGGGTTGGCATGGTGACTGGCCAGTCCTTAGTCCTCTGGTCCCGACTTCATCTCGTCGTACACAGTCAACGGGTCCTCCGTGGTTGTCTCGCCATGATTATCATTAATGCCATCATCTTCCATATCCCAGCCTCCGTCCTCGAGCTCGGCAGCCACTCCAACAGGTCGGACCTCTTCACCCCAGCCTTTAATATCTTCGAGCGCATCCAACTCATCGCCTTCTCGCTACAAGAGGCAATCCTCTCCGCAATATACTCCTATGAAGCCGTGCGATTATTGAATCTCCGCCCGCGTGGCCAATACCGAGGGACCCTGGTACAACTGCTGATCGTCAATCTGGCCATGATCCTCATGGACGCCGCCATCATCGGCGTGCAATACTCGGGCTTCTTCAACATCCACGTCACCCTCAAAGCTCTGGCATATAGCATCAAGCTCAAACTAGAATACGCCATCCTAGGCAAGCTCGTCCATTTCACAGAGATGAGCCACAGCACCAACTCGGCGCCCACCGATTTATCGGATTTCGTGGATCTTTCTTTCCACCAGAACCACCAGCGGCCAGCGGATAGCGACAGCCAGGCTCATTTCCTCGGCACGCCGGAGCCGAATTTCGATCCGCGGGCGCGAGCCGCATCGAAACAGTCCTCTAATGATCCGAGGATATCCGATTTATCGGCCACTGGCAGTTCGAGTAACGAAATACCGTGATGATGATGGAATGACTCTACATACATAATACATTCTTGTTCCAGACATAGAATACAAGAATACAACCTGCATATACTTTACATAGTGCACGATTCGTCTGATAATAATGCCTAGAATCTCGTCATGTCGGGGGAGTAACTCTCGGCTCCCCCGCTTGTCTTATCGTCGGACTCCGCCGTGGAGCTGTGAACGGGGCGGGCATATCTTGACTGCATATCCACCCAGTGTGGACTCTGTGGAGCGAGTCCAAACTGTACAACAAAATAAAGACCTCAAATCACATATACAAACTACACACTGCATACTGCATACTGGGTCCTAGTCTATTTCACCATGGCGCTATCCCCTCTAACGCCCGCACAACTCAACAACGCAGCTGCAAAATGCCTCGCCCTCCAAGCATCTGGCCAGGACACTCACGGCAAAAGACCATTCGCAGCACTCCTCCTAGCACCCGACAATGAAACCCAATTAATGTCCTCGCTATCTCTATCTCACGTCCGCCACGCCGAGTGCGAACTAGCACGCAATGCGGCTGACAATTACTCCTGGGACTATCTCGCAGGATGTACCATGGTCTCGACCTGGGAGCCCTGTGCCATGTGTGCGGGCACTCTGTATTGGGCGCATATCGGGCGATTGGTATACCTGGCGTCTGAGAAGACGTTACAGAAGTTGACTGGCGAGGGAAATACGGAGAATTTGACACTTGATTTACCCTGTCATCGGGTGTTCGAGGCGGGGCAAACTAGGGTCGAGGTTGTTGGTCCGCTGGTGGAGGAGGGGTGGGAGGCGAAGGTGGTTGACGATGCTCAGCGATATTGGTCAGCGCATAGGAAGGTATGAGAATCTGAGTGTGGAATTCTGAGTGAGGACAATGGTCTAGTGCATACCGTAGATTAAGGACTGGGGAGCTTAAGTAGCAAATCAAATTGTGGATATCTCACACATCTAGGCGAAAGACGCATGGCTGTGGTAGCTGACCGCGGTTTCTGACCAACTACTTCCCACCGTACAAAACATTTGCAGGCAAAGTTCAGGGTATCTTATTTCAGCATTGATTCTTCCAGGTCGATAACCTCTTGGGAATTGCTGCCTAAAACATTGCGAACAGACTCGACCGAGTTGTATCGAGCTAGATGATCCTTAGGTGAAGATCCAGGAGGATCAGCAGAAAAAGGGCCGCTGCTCCCTCAACCGAGCAACGCTTTCTACAAAATCAGAATTGGAAGTTTGGTCAAATATATGTCTCCATACGGAGCACTCCACTGTGGATAAGCTACTAGTAACCTTTCTGCTGAGACCGACCATATGGAACCTTGGATTGAACTCGCACTGAATTCGTCAATCAACTGGTCAATCCCTACAATAGTTAGTCTCTAGCCCGCTCACGATGCGATGGGGTCAATATGAGCTCCAACGAGCGGAGAAGTCCACTGGTGAAGTGCACAGCCCCAGCAGCCACAGCGTATGTGGATGAGAGGGATTCTTCTCCCTAAATTGAGCTCTTCAACATTTCTCCACTCGACCTCGACAGTGGCTGTGTTGACAAGCTACTGAATGTTTGCATCGCCCAGGAGTCGAAAGCAATCAGCATGGTGCTGCTGATCGCTCGGAAAAGTTCCAGTCCGAATACCAGGAGGAAAGTAACTACGCAGTAGTTTAGCGTTGGGAGAAGAAGCAGAAAACAAGTTGTGTCGCCCTTTCTCCCCGGTCGGAATTCTACGTAGTTCAATTGACGCCGTTTTGCCGTATCATTGCATCTGCGGCGCAATTAGTCTTTTGCCTTCATGGCTGCCATAACACAGTCTCTCGAGAGTGGTGCCATGTCATCGATGGATCTCGTATGATTGACGTCAGGTTGATGCGGAGGAGATCATCCTGATTCTTCCTCTCAGGCTCTCAGGGAGCTTTTTGCTTTGCCAGTCCTTGCAACGGGCCCCACTTATAGGCGTGTGCCAAGACCACGAACGGACCCAGGCTCCAGCAAGTTTTGGCAGATCAGGGCGCTCGATGCAGTTTAACGCATCGAACTAGCGTGGGTGTGCGACTCGATCTGGAGGTTCCGTGAGTCTGGGAAAACCTAGCAGCCTTATGGATATGGGGGAGGGGGAAGATTCGATGTTTTGATGCGGTTTACTGCTCTCAACCCCCCCCCCCTGATTTCGAGTCCTCTTGGCCTTTGTACTCATTGTACCTGGAGAATCTGAAAGAGGCCTAGACAAAGCAGAGGCAAGGATGGCAAACGTAGGAGTTTCAATTCCAGCCGGGGATTTTGAAAGTTGGCAAAGGAGGACAATTGGGGGAAAAGCAGTTCCGTACCGCATCAACATGACGTCAGGGGGATGGGTTGCGTCAACTGTGCTTGTTGAGCTTGTTGCCCTGGTTATCAAATTATGAAACGCCCTGACTCCGAATCATAGGATTCAAACAGGCGTAGTCGACAAGGTACCTACGTACCTCATTCAAGCTAGTGGGTTTAGGTAAAAAAATCATAGTCATCATTATCATGCTCATGTGTACCTTTCAACGAAAAGGAACGGTACAACCATCATGCAATAATGGGAAATATTAGCAGGAGGCGCTAGCCCAGACTGGGTGGTACTGCTGCTGGACAAGGGAGCTGCAATCCCCCTTCCTCTTTCCAGTAGACTGCTGGATGATCTGACGCTTTCAATGGTTTAATAATCGTCATCCCTTCTTCCTACTTTTCCTGGTCCTTTCCTTGCTTTCCTACTTCTTCTCCCTCCCTTGGAACTTCCACATATTTTGCCATTACTTCCTCTCCTACCTTCCTTCATTCCAGTGATACCCCCCTTGATTCCTCAAGCAAAACCACCAAATAATTGCTATTGTTAATAGTAATACCCACCTATCGAAATCCGAACCCCCCTGTACTGTGCGTATAACCACACTCCTTGTTTGCCGCGGTTGCAAACCCCCAGGCTGGCCACAGACACGCTAACCTGGATCCACCAGTTAATATTACTCTGTCTACTTATCCCGGGGCCCAGTCCTTGACACAAGTGTCACGGTCTTCATCATGTCTAAAGCGGATGTGAATGTGCCTACCGATGTGAAGCAGAAGGAGAAGGTATGCGAATCAATACTCCGAACCTGTTGATGAAAGTTCTTCCTAGAGCGCACAATTCTAACCAAATCTGCGCTCGTTTAGGATATCAACCAGAAGCTCCAGCTATTTGGAATCTATCATGGTAAGTCAATGCCTGCTACCTCCATATTCCCTGGTCAATTGATGAGTTACCATGCTAACCAGTCTTCAATAGCCTTCAAGAACAACAAACTTCCTTCGGTGAGTAGTCTACACGGCTATGCTTCGTCGCGCATTGTTGCCATCCACATACTAATCGTGGTTCTCTATCCCACAGAACAAGCAATGCGATGTTGCCTTGAACAGTGCCTTGACCTCCAAGGCCCTCTCCTCGCCGTCCAATGAGCTCTCCAGCGAGGGTAAGGTCCTGATCAAGGACCTGCGCAACGTCATCGAACAGGCTAAACTGCTGCTGCTCTCCAAGAATGAGGGTGAGCTGCTGCAAGAATTCATCTGGCAGGCCCAGCATATCACCGCAGGTGATGTGAAGGCCCCTAACGTACCTGTCTCCAGGGAGACCGGCCAGCAGGATGCCAACAAGGCTTTGGAGGGTCTCAAGACCCTTGGCACACTTCTGATCACCAACGGAGAGTTCCGCAAGATCCGTGAGTATCAGTTACAGCCGCCATTGACTGAACGTATACCCTAACATCTATGTGCAGTGAGTGATGCCGTCGTTTTGATCCGCGACATGGCTGCCGACGCTTCCCAAAAGGCCGCCAACGTGGTCCGCCCCCCTGAGGAGCAGCTGGCGCAGATTGATGAACCCGCAGAGGAGAACACCTGGCACGAGAAGCCTAACGTCTCCAAGGCAGACATCAAGCAGCGCCTCAAGAAGAACAAGGGCGTAAGTTCATTAAACATTCTCCGTATGGATAGACTTTGATCTCACATATACCTTAGGATAAGGACAGTGTTGCCTCGCCCCCTCTCGCCGAGACTGCTGATTATGGCACGGAGGATGGTACTTCTATCACTCCTTCGGAGGAGATCCGCCGCAAGAGGTATGCCCAGCAGGCTCGGGAGTACCTGTCGGAGAAGGTTCCGAAGGAGCGCCGTGAGCAGGCTATCTGGCGCCTGAAGAAGATGATCATTGAGATCCAGGGCCACGCTGATTGTAAGAACTCGTAAAAAGATCTCAAGATAAGAGATCCGGTTGCTAACGACATGATACAGACCAGCAAGCCGTTGAAACATTGCTGAGCATGGCCGAGAAGTATGGTGGTCACACTACGAGTGCCACCACTCAGAGCGGCGCTGCTGTTCGCGACATTCGGTCCACCGACCGCGTTCGGGTTGTTGAGCACAACCTGCGCACCCTCATTGAGCGTTTCGCCAACAACACTTCCCTGGCTGACTTTTTCGAATCTCTGAACAACATCTACCGCGACGCTGACAAGGACCCCGAGCTACGTAGATGGTTCTCGAATGTCAACACCTACATCCGCAAATGTCTGCGCGAGCAAGGCTTCATCATGCAGGACGAGTCTACTCGCCAGTGGAATGAGCTTTACGACAACGGCCGCTACCTCCTTCGTGAGCGCTACCGCACCCACACGGACCGCATTGTGGACGAGACAAAGTTCCTCGCGGATCAGTTCGACAAGGATCCTCAGAACAAGGCTTTCGCAGACTCTATTCAGAAGCTGTTCCGCGATCTAGGTCGCGATGCTGGCGGCAAGGTTGTCTTCAAGAAGCATCTACTCAAGGATATTCGCGATGTCATCCTGCCTGACATCATCGAGAACGTCCGCTATGTCCCCATCCCTCGTATTGAGGTGTCGGATCCCACGGTCGACGTGGTTGTCGAGAACCTTACCGTTGAGAGTGACAACCTCATGCCCAACGTCGTCGAGGTTGGCAGCGACAACTACTTCCGCTGGGGCCGCAAGAAGATCAGCAACAAGCGTGACAACAAGATCATGATCGCCGCGTCCGGCATCCAGGCTGATCTTCGCGATGTCAGCTATTACATCAAGAAGAAGGAGGGCTTCCCCTCTATCACCGATATTGGTGTCATGGACATCATCCTGGCCGGTGAGGGCTTCGGTTTCAAGATTGCCGCCTCTACCGCAAACAAAGGGGACAAGCAGCACTTTGTCAAGCTGGACAAGGTCACCGTGAACATCAAGAACATGGACATCAAGCTCAAGAAGTCCAAACACAAGATACTCTTCGCTACCTTCAAACCTTTGCTCTTCCGCGTTGTTCGCCCCGCCCTTGAGAAGGTCATCGAGGCCCAGATCCGCCAGGCATTCAGCGACGGCGATGCCTACGCCCATGAAATCCACCAGGAATCCCTGCGTGCCCAAGAGGCTGCTCGCGAGGACCCGGAGAACGCTCCTAGCATCTTCGCCCGCTACGCCGACGCCATGCGCGCCCGCGCCCAGGCCAAGGCTAAGAAAGCAGAGGCTGTCGTCAGCCGCACCAAGGTCCAGACGGTCATGACCATGCATGACTCTATCTTCCCTGACATCAAGCTGCCCGGCGGTATCTCCAGCAAGGCCACCGAGTACGCCGAGCTGGCCGCCAAGGGCGAGAAGTGGGAGTCGCCCATCTTCAGCATTGGTGCCGCCGCAGAGTCAAAGAACATCCCCAGCGCTGGCCATGTCACCCGCAAGCCTCACCATACCGCTGAGGACCATGCCGGTCCGGCGGGCGCTGCTGGAGCCGCTGCTGCTGCGGGCGGTATTGGTACTACTGGTGCTGCTGCAACTGGCAGCGCCACGGGTCTTGGAACCAACGGCACAACCAAGGTGGACAGCTACCCTTCGCGTGGCTTCTCCGATGAACTCGATGAGGCCTTTGTCAATGACAAGACCAATGGTTTGGGCACCGGAATCAAGTCCACTACTAACCGTACCACCAACCGTACCACCAACCGTACCACCAACGTCACCAATGGCTCGGCCGCGGTGGTTTAAACTGGAGAAGACTCTACCTGAGATAGCCCCCAGTGCTAGGTACGATGTAGTGTTGGTGATGTCCTCACAAACGTCAAATCTTCCACTACCGAGCGAATTCATCCTTGATGTTTGGTAAACAAGGTTAATGTTTCATTTGTACTCTTTCGCTTTATGATTTTTGGTGTTATTTCGTCATGATTTCCCCCTGTGCAAACTGTTTGAATTTTGGATGTTGTTTCGTGTATGAGTATGGCTCTTTTTGTCTCCAGTTGGTAGCCTAATAAATACACCATGCGACCACTGGTTCTGCAAGTTTGGAATTGTCTGGTTTCAGAGGAGAGGAGGTGAAGTAGTCATGACAACCTTAGTCGATAGTCAAGCCGTTGTAAACCACTAGCAACGTATCTAGAGGAGCTGGTGTATGGCCTCGGGACGGATCAAGGACTGCCCTAATAGCTTCATTGTATTCTCACGCTTGAGGCCATGCAAATGCTGCATAGGTCCCCAGCACCTTAATAGGTCCTCATTCCGGGTGTGTCTAGGTAGGGGCTCTGATCCGATATATTCGATCTTTAGTGCTCCAATAATAGGTTAGAGCGAGAAGGCTGCAAAGCTGTGTATTGACGCACTACCTGTATATCTACGCTTGACGGCCCCCCCGCTGGTGGTTAGACATCTAGAAACTTTCATGGCTCGTCATATTCTACGTCAAGAGCGAGTAGTCACTTTGTCAATTTCTATTGCCGGCATTTTGAAGCGCTCATGACAATCAAGAAACTCCTAGTATTCATGAACGGTCCTCATAGTTGGGTAACAAGTACTTCTTCAGTCGTGGGCTGCGGGATGGCACCGTTCCCACGGGCGCTGTCCGTGGTACTCTGACCCGAGTGGACCACGCAAGTTAGTTAACTGGCTGCGCCTGATTACGTCTCATATCTCGAGTCCCCTCCCACTTTATTTTTAGCTTGACCATCACTATCAGCTCGATTTCCCTCCGCTTCTGTTCGTATGGGCGCCAACGAATACCCCGACCATTGATTTGACTTCCGGATACTACCTGCGGCTCTTGAAACCTCCAATCAAACTTCACAGTCTCCTGCAAGCCCCACTGGCGTCTGGTATGTGAGACTGGACCCTCAATCCAACTGGTCTCCGAAACCAATCCCGCCACTTTTCAGATCAATCGCCATGGAGTCTCACGTCCCCTAAACGTCCACTACCGTATATTCGATCGCTGTCCGGGTCCCGACCCAACGGTCAACATGCCTCCCTCCACCGTCTTCTCATACTGGCGCAGAGACCATCGACGCTCGACCGCGTCAGCGCCACCGGTGTCTCTGCCCGCCCCGACGTCAGGACCCAAGAGCACGACGGACAGCCCGATCAGTCCCCCTCAACTCCCAGAGATTCCTGATACTCCGACCCTTACATCCCCGTTTGGGGACTCGCAGACACTTGATGCCCCTCCGTGGAGAGATTCACAGATTGAGAATGACGCGTCCAAGCTGAACTTCAACACCTCGGTAGCTCCGTTATCCTCCTCCGCTAGCCTGGCTGTTCCACCCCCGTTGACCGAGAGAGACAACCGCCCGTATTCGAGCCCTGGAGAGCACGAGCCTGAGGTGGGCCTTACATCGCAGCCGAATGCCTCGCAACTCTCGGTCCCCGGCGCACGGCCCGAACAAGATGATAACGAGTCACCTTCAAAGCCGAATTCGCCATTCCGGTTGTCGTTTGGCAAAGGATTACGGAATCTGCAGGCGCCACCGGTTGAGCCTCATAGACGTTCACCTAGCGCAGAACCAAGGCCAAGTCAATTTCGATTGAGAACCTCACCCGATGATTCCCCGGCCGACAAGACATTTATACCCGGACGAGAGTTGAGGATGGAATCACTGAGCACTCGACGAGTGACTGAGCGCGATGTATCCACTGAGAATGCTCATCATAAATCCGGCAAGGCGATGCTCCATCTCCTGAACCCAATGTCACTCCTCGCTCGCAGACGATCCTCACAGATAGGTGGCTCGCGTGTGGATGATGCGAAAATCGGCACCCCCGATGGGATACCCGCTATTCCTGATGACTATGACCCGAGAATTCGCGGAAACATTGTACATGACTTTTCGGCTCCGCGGCCGCGTCGTAATGTGTCCTTCAACACGGGAGTTCCACCAGATGGAAGCACCAGCTTGAATGCACAGGAGACCCGATGGAATGATCAGACCAAAAGGCATAGTGATCATTCCCCAGTGTTCAAGGAGCATTTCGAAGATGACCAGAACGTGCTACAGGTGGAGAATAAGGGCTACTTGCAGTCAAGCCTGTTGACCAATCCTCCCGAGCACGGTTATGAGAAGTCAATACCGGTATTTGCACGGAAATTACCTTCATATTTACCCGATGAACAGAGCATATCTCCGCCGGCAGAACTACCTGCAGAGTTGCCTGCGGAATTACCCGCAGATGTTCCTTCAAATATATCGCATGAGAGTCCCCCAGCTCATCAGCAGGACCAGGACACGATTCCACATGTGCCCCAATTGAATTCGGGCTTGCCTCGACATCTCAAAAGTAATGCATCTCGATTCAGCTTTGACATGGGCGGGGTCGAATCTTCTACACAGGAGAAACTGCTTGAAGAGAAACACAAGGCGAAGGAAGCTCAGCGCAAGCTGGAAGATGGCTACTTTGATGACTTTGATGATGAGTTCGACCAAGATATCATGGATGATTATGATGATCTCGAGGAAAAGATTCCCGGCGTCAATGCTGATGCTGACGACGACGACGAAGAATTCTTAGCGCCTTCAATGGCCAAGTCTTGGGCTATACCTGGGTTGTCACCCGTAGTTGCAAGTCCAATCACCCCTGCTCCGCCTGGGATCCCTGAAAGTCTGATGGGTACTGATCCTGTTGCCTCAGAGGAACCTCAAGAGGAGATCGAATTCCTTGATGACCCTGAAGAGGTGGAACATCCTCTTCCTTTGAAAATTCACAGCCCAGGGTCCAATTCCCATGCACTACCGCCTATGAACGAACGCACTCCAGTACTGGATGATGATGACGACGATGATATGTACTTTGATGATGGGGAATTCGGTGACCTGGCTCTGGATGACCAGGATATAGGGTTCGACGAGTCTGTTTTTGATGATGAGACTAGTCATCTCTATGAACGGAAGCCAGTCAGCGCACCACCAGCACGCCAGGCCTCTCAGAGCACAATCCGCAGTAGTGATGCACTCGAAAGAGAATTTCTTCTAGATGAGGCCGCCAGCCAGGGACTCAAGCATATGCCTAGTGTTGCTAGTGAATATGGAGTTGGCCCCGTCAAGCGTGGTCCACTCGGTGAGCCAATACCCAATATGGGACCTGCTCGAACCCATGGAGGAGTGCTTACTGAGCGGAACCTGGAGGTGTTGCATAATGCTCTGGCATTTGCCGCAAACGAAGTTGCTATGCAAGGCCGATTTGAACGTACTTTTAGCACGAGCGATCGGTCGGCCGCACAGGAGAGCATCTCCCAGGCATCGCACACGGCCGAATCGCAGCTCGGTCTTGTGTCGGATGACAGTCATCTCAGCCAAGGGGCAGACATGGTCGGCTTTGATGATTTCCTCGACGATCAAATCTACGCCGACGATGCATACTACGATGATCCCATTGTCGCAGCGGCCAATGCCGAAGCTCTCGAGAACGACGATGAGGGTTTCTACGGGCAGGAATTTGGCTTCTACGCTCAAGCGCATGGCGCGTGTAGCAGCGAAATGACCAATGGCGGATACTTCGGTCCACGCGGCGTCGAAGGCATTACTCGCCATCACAGCAGTCGCGGCAAGTTCCAGGAACCTAGCCTGACTCCCATCACCGAGCGCAGTGAATGGAGTACCCGCAACTCTGTCATCTCGCTCAAGGCGCATGGTGGCACCCATTCCAACCCCTCCCTGGCCAGCCCTGGCTTGGCGCAGCTGGTCGATCTGGGTAATTTGGACGACGAGATGTCATTGAGCGCACTGCTGAAGCTGCGCCGTGGTGCATGGGGTGGCAGCAATGGTAGTCTGCGCAGTAGTGCAGGTAGCCCGCCGCCCCATACCCTCTCATCGTCCAACCGTGGCAGCTTCATTGCTGCTTCGGAGGCGAGCCCGTCCGAGGCACGACCCTTCGCGGAAGAGAGCCTGGCAAGCATTGGCTATCACCATGACGATGGCCAGGTTTATGCCACCTCACCGCTCCGAGACACTCGTCGCGGATATCCCGGGGATCTTCCGCCAAGCGGAATGGACGGTCCGATAAGCAGCGCCGACTATCATCACGAAGTGCCGAGCATCGGCGCTCACCAGAAACAACATACCAATGTTTTGTAAATAACTACCTGCGACGCCTTCTCTTCGACCATTCCGTTTCTGGATATAATCATTCTGATTCTGGCCTATTCCATCTTTTGCATATGGTTTGTTGATATGGCCATTTATATTACGATCTAATGAATCTCCGAGTGTGTGTTTGCCGTGTTTTAGTATATTGGTTCCCCGGTCGGGCATCTGTTTGCTTGCTACTGTTTTATTTTCATTCTTCCGTCCCCGTTTCTGCGCTTTGACTGTGTTGGGAATTGTGCTCATGACCTGATGCATGCATTGAATCGTCGCGATGGGCAGCCATTGGGCATGTTATGGCCCAGGATAGGATGTATATAGATGCCGTAAGAGTAATCCATGGGCGTCCAATTGGGCCGAAATCACCCGCAAAGCACCGAAACCCTTAGCCGGTGGCGATTCCGTCGGGGTGACGCCTCCTCCAGGGGCCTACGTAAAACTGGGGGGGTTCGGCTATCCTTCGGGATGACTCAGCTTCGCCGGGCGTGTTCCAGCCCTGCCTATTGGCTCGTTAACCTCAAACTGTTACTTAACTGGCTCCCTGCTGCTGGGCCTGCTGGGGCCTGGTGGCCTGGATGCCTTAGCGCCTGTCTCCGTCACTGCCGTGCAGGCTCAGCTTTCAGGAATCTGGTTCTTCTCAGCTTCTTCTCTTTGCTCTCCACTCTTCTTCATCCTTTCTCATACCCCGTTTTGTGATCAGCAGAGTTTCTGCTCTCTGATGAGTTCCGTTTCTATACAGGTGCTACGGCAATTCTAGTCGACACCTGTTTGCTGCGAGTTTTTTTCTAAAAAACAACACACCTGTTCGTGCTGGTCCTTCCTTTCCTCCGTGTCTCGGTACCCTCGGCAGGAGAAAAAGCAACCTGGCAACTTGAACTAACTGGCGCATGAATTGTGTACTGACTTCTAGATCGCTGAATCGTGAAATTTCCTCCAAAGCTGAAAAGCATCGCATACCTAATATTCCCCTATTATTCCACCGTGAAGGACTTTGGACTGTTCCCTTGAATCGACGGAAAAATCCCGCAATGTTCAGAAACACCGCCTTGAAGGCCACTCACAGCAACATGCTGCGTGGTGTTGCCAGCTCGACCTCCCGGAGAGCTTTCCACCTCACTTCCACTGCTCGCAGTGCCTCCAAGACCTCCACCTTTGGTCTGACATCTCGCCGTCCCCTCGCTGTCGTCGACCGTGCCTTCAATGGCGCTCGCCTCTATGCTTCGTCTGCCGAGGGCAACGCTCCTGGAGTGGTAAGCAATATACTAGCCTCTTGATCGCTCTTGCGATCGAAATGATGATCATGATGCGCGAATTCGCGAAGATCATATATAAATCGGCCATTCGACTAACGCGACGGCGCGAACTTTTTTGCCCTCCCTGTCAATAGGACCCCAATGATTCTTTCCTGCAGGGCAGCACCGCCAACTACATTGACGAGATGTACCTCGCCTGGAAGCGGGATCCTTCCAGCGTCCACATCTCGTGGCAGACCTACTTCAAGAACATGGAGGAAGGCACCATGCCCATCTCCCAGGCCTTCACCCCTCCCCCGACCCTCGTCCCTACCCCTACCGGTGGTGTTCCCCAGGACATGCCTGGCCATGGCCTCTCCGCCGGTGCCGATGTGACGAATCACTTGAAGGTGCAGCTGCTGTGCCGTGCCTACCAGGCTCGTGGTCACCACAAGGCTAAGATTGACCCTCTGGGCATTCGCGGCGATGCTGAGGCCTTTGGCTACAGCAAGCCCAAGGAGCTCGAGCTCGACCACTACGGTTTCACCGAGCGTGACATGGACCAGGAGTTCGCTCTCGGCCCCGGTATCCTCCCCCGTTTCTTGACCGAGACCCGCAAGAAGATGACCCTGCGCGAGATTATTGCCGCCTGTGAGAAGATCTACTGTGGCTCCTATGGTGTCGAGTACATTCATATTCCGGACCGCAAGCCTTGCGAGTGGATCCGTGACCGCTTCGAGATCCCCGAGCCCTACAACTACTCGGTTGACGACAAGCGTCGCATCCTCGACCGTCTCATCTGGTCGTCCAGCTTCGAGACATTCCTGGCTACCAAGTTCCCCAACGATAAGCGTTTCGGTCTGGAGGGTTGCGAGACCCTTGTGCCTGGTATGAAGGCCCTGATTGACCGGAGTGTCGACTACGGTATCAAGGATATCGTTATTGGTATGCCTCACCGTGGCCGTCTGAACGTCCTGTCCAACGTCGTCCGCAAGCCCAACGAGTCCATCTTCAGCGAGTTCGCTGGGTCTACTGAGCCTTCCGATGAGGGTTCTGGTGATGTCAAGTACCACTTGGGTATGAACTTCGAGCGCCCTACCCCCTCGGGCAAGCGCGTCCAGCTGTCCCTCGTCGCCAACCCCTCTCACCTGGAGGCCGAGGACCCCGTCGTGCTGGGCAAGACCCGTGCCATCCAGCACTACAACAACGATGAGACCAAGTTTGACAGCGCCATGGGTGTTCTGCTCCACGGTGACGCTGCTTTCGCTGCTCAGGGTGTCGTCTACGAGACTATGGGCTTCCAATCTCTGCCCGCCTACTCCACCGGTGGTACCATCCACATCGTTGTGAACAACCAGATTGGTTTCACCACCGACCCCCGCTTTGCCCGTTCCACCCCCTACTGCTCGGACATTGCCAAGTCGATTGATGCCCCCGTCTTCCACGTCAACGCTGACGATGTCGAGGCCGTCAACTACGTCTGCCAGGTCGCTGCTGACTGGCGTGCCGAGTTCAAGTCTGACGTTGTTATTGACATCGTCTGCTACCGTAAGCAGGGTCACAACGAGACTGACCAGCCCTCGTTCACCCAGCCCCTGATGTACAAGCGTATTGCTTCCCAGAAGGCCCAGCTCGACAAGTACATCGAGAAGCTGATCAACGAGGGTACCTTCACCAAGGAGGACATTGATGAGCACAAGAAGTGGGTCTGGGGTATGCTGAACGACAGCTTCGACCGCAGCAAGGACTACCAGCCCACCGGCAAGGAGTGGCTGACCTCTGCCTGGAACAACTTCAAGACCCCCAAGGAGCTGGCCACCGAGGTTCTTCCCCACCTTGAAACTGCTGTTGATGCCAAGTCTCTTGGCCACATCGCCGACAAGATCAGCGGTAGCAGCGCTCCCGAGGGCTTCACTCTCCACCGCAACCTCAAGCGTATTCTTGCCAACCGCAAGAAGAGCGTTGAGGAGGGCAAGAACATCGACTGGGCTACTGCTGAGGCTCTTGCTTTCGGCTCCCTCGTCGACGAGGGCTACCACGTCCGTATCTCCGGACAGGATGTTGAGCGTGGTACCTTCTCTCAGCGTCACGCCGTTCTGCACGACCAGGAGAACGAGGCTACCTACACTCCTCTCCAGGACATCAGTGACAAGCAAGGCAGCTTCGTCATCTCCAACTCCTCTCTGAGTGAGTTCGGCGCGTAAGTTTTACATATTCCCACCACTTGGAAAGTCTTCTACAGGAATCGCATCGCTAATCTGCTTCCACTTTCATTATAGTCTCGGCTTCGAGTACGGTTACTCCTTGACCTCCCCCGAGGCCCTCGTCATGTGGGAGGCTCAGTTCGGTGACTTTGCCAACAACGCTCAGTGTATTATTGATCAGTTCATCGCTGCTGGTGAATCCAAGTGGCTGCAGCGTTCCGGCCTGGTTGTCTCTCTGCCCCACGGTTACGATGGCCAGGGTCCTGAGCACTCTTCCGGTCGTATGGAGCGCTGGTTGCAGCTTTGCAACGAGGAGCCTCGCGTGTTCCCCTGTGCTGACAAGCTGGACCGCCAGCACCAGGACTGCAACATGCAGATTGTCTGCATGACTGAGCCTTCCAACATCTTCCACGTTATCCGTCGCCAGATGCACCGCCAGTTCCGCAAGCGTATGTTTATATCCTAACCAATCCACTCTCTGGGAGATTGATATACTAACAATTGGCATCTTTCAACCAGCCCTTGTCATCTTCTTCTCCAAGTCGCTCCTGCGTCACCCCATTGCCCGCTCTGATCTGGAGGCCTTCACTGGCGAGTCTCACTTCCAGTGGATCATCCCTGACCCCGCCCACCAGGCCGAGGCCATCGACGCTCCCGAGAAGATTGAGCGTGTCATCATGTGCTCTGGCCAGGTCTACGCCGCCCTCGTCAAGCACCGTGAGGCCAACGGTATCCGCAACACTGCCATCACTCGTGTTGAGCAGCTGCACCCCTTCCCCTGGGACCAGCTGAAGGAGAACCTGGACAGCTACCCCAACGCCAAGGACATCGTCTGGTGCCAGGAGGAGCCCCTGAACGCCGGTGCATGGTCGTTCGTCCAGCCCCGTATTGAGACCATGCTCAACTCCACCGAGCACCACAACCGCCGCCACGTCCTGTACGCTGGTCGTGCCCCTAGCGCTTCCGTGGCCACCGGTCTCAAGGCTGTCCACCTGAAGGAGGAGCAGGAGTTCCTGGAGGATGCTTTCTCCGTTCACCAGGACCGTCTGAAGGGCGAGTAAATGTTGTCATTCTAAATCGGGATGATTCGCATTTGACTGTTTGATTCGGTTGCTTTCCTATGTTCATGGGTCCTGCTGGGAGCTAGCGTCCGATTTTTCTGATTTCCCTTTGTACTACCTCTTTTTTTATTTGCATGAGTTCTCTCTTGTTCTCGACCTGGTGTATACGACCTGTCTGTGCTGTTGCTAGACTTGGACCCGTTTATACCTAGAATCTATGGTTTTGTAAAATACAAATTTCATTTATTTGTTGCATTGAGAATCTGTATAACTATTGGAACTATATACTGTAGAAAGTAGACGTAAAAAATAATGTTTGGATCGTTGTTATAAAAGCTCTATTCTATGTAGCTAACAGAGCTTTGGAGCTCGTCTCGTGCCTGGCGTGACGTCATCGGATGCATCCGCTGACAAAGCATATTGATGCCTGATAGCACAGGACGACACTCACCTGATCCGATTGCTCTTCTCCGCACGCAAACTTCCCGAGGGCTGCTGCTTCTTCACCCGCTCACCATCTGGCCCCAAAGCTCTCGTTGAACTTGCTTCTTAGCCGGGAGTATTTCCCTATCCATTGACCCTTCTAGCCTTTCGTTTCTTGAACTCAGAAGGGCCAGGTGCACCCAGAACCCCCTCTTTTGCGGTGCATCTCCCAGCCTGATCTCTTCCACACCATGTCCGCCGTCTCAACGTCAACCCTCAACCCCCAGGGCCAGGGAATTCGCCAATCATCCCGGCAGACACGAACCAATCCCTCTCGAACATCCAAGACTACCAACCGCTCTTCGTTCGGTGTCAGTCGAGGCTCGATAGCCGAAATTCCCGCAACGCCCCCTGTTCCTCATGGCTTCTACCCTGCTCTTACGCATTTCACGGACGCGATCACCGCGCTCCCGCGTGAGTTCCGCAGACACAATTCGCTGTTGAAGGAGGTTGATGCGAAGGCGTGGGCGCTCGAGGAGAATCTGCTTCAGCTCTTGCAGATTTCCTCCGAGTCGCAACCTGTGCCGCACCCGCCTCACCCGGCGCCTATTGTCGGTGGTGTGGTGCGGGAGGATGTCTTGCCAAAGGTAGGTGATGCGAGTATGAGATTAGTCCTTTCTGTGGATATTGGACTAACGAATTGCCTCTTCTTCTCTAGGAACTCTCCCAATCCCCCGAGTCGCCCGAGAGCAAAAACCGTCGTCTCCTCTTCGATCGCGTCCGACAGAGCTTGACCGACCTGATGATGACGGCCGACGAGAAGAACCATGTGATTTCCAACGCAAACGAGGAATTGGACCGCCAGATTGTTCGGCTGGATACCGTTTACCCGTACATTGCGGGTGAGATCAGCGACGAGGCTCGTCTGGGTAGTCTGACGCATTGGGCCTACTCTAACAAGAGTGCTGCCAAGGCTGCGACCAACGAGCGACCGCGTCGCGAGGCGGTGGCCCAGCGACAGGATCTCACTCATGTGCTCCATGAGGCTGAAGTCGCCAGCCGTAGCGAAGCGCGGCGTGAAGCTGTTCGGGCTCGAGCACGGCGACCAAATCCTGACGCAGACTATGAGGAGGGTCGCGCTCCTCGGAAGACAAACTCTGGCAAACCTCGTGGCGATAATGCGACGGGTGAGAGTGCGGCACCCAAGCGGCGCAAGGTGGAACGGCCCGCACCGATAGACGCTGGAGTGCCGATGGAGCGTTCTGCTAGTAGTACTGGCGGCCAGCGTGGTGCTAACAAGGACGGTGCGGAGAAGAAGCGATCTCGCGCTCCTAATCCTACCGCCGCCGCAGCTCGCAAGAAGTATGTTCTGTTCATTCCCCAGCGTTCTTGCTCGCAAAATTGACCATTTCATCTGTAGGACCACCGCCGCTTCGAACGCTGGATCGCCCGTCCTGGCCCCCTCGCCTCTTATCGGCACTTTTAACAATACCCCACGTGGTGCTGCGAGTCCAGGCCCGAACACATCACGCCCGCAGTCCTCTCGAGCCCAACAAAATGCCGGGCAGACGAGCAATTCCCGACAACGACCTCCGTCGTCATCAGCGTCTAATCGCATTGGTCAACCAAACTCCTGTATGTCTATTTGCCCTAAATATTTGGTTCCTTCCCTGCTGACCCGATGTTGTTCCAGCCAAACCTGTCGAGTCCAGATCGACTCCGCGCGAGCCAGTCAAAGCCGAAACCACCATTCCCGAAGCCCGCGACCTGGACGGCGAACCCGGCAGTCGACCCTCCGTACCAGCAGGCGCCAAGCGCGAAGAAGATCGCCCAACAGATGCAGTCGAGCCCGAGCCCACGAGCAAAGGTCGCAACTCCAAGAACTCCACCCCTCTCCTCTCGAACCTCGCCGAGCCCACGCAGTCTCGCTCCCGACCAACGCGAAGCAATGACGCCGCGCCTAAGCGGACAGCCAAGAAACCGCCTGTCCAGCCTGCAATCCCCTCGGATGAGGAATCCATTCACGAAGGCGACGACGAGGACGAAGACCAGGAGCCGAGATACTGCTACTGCAACGAGGTCAGCTTTGGTGAGATGGTGGCATGCGATAATGATGCTTGTCCGCGAGAGTGGTTCCATCTGTCGTGTGTTGGGATGACGAAGCCACCTGGAAAGAATGGTAAGTCTTATCTTTCAAGTGTGCTTTGTGTGTGATGGTCATGTTTGCTGACTCTGGGACAGTTAAATGGTATTGTAACGAGTGCAAAGAGAATATGCGACGCGGTCGTAATGGGCGGTAAATGGATGGGATTAGTATGTGAGGTGTCAGGATTTGAATAGACATGGATGGGCTTATGAATATGGATACTTTGGATTTGACTATGGTTATATTGCTTATACATGCTGATGCTGATGTTGATATTATTTTCTGCATGCTCATTGCGAGGATGACACACTAGCAATTATCCTATGAATGAAAGCGCAGTATTACTCGCTAGTAAGGCAATCTCATATTCGTGACAATCTAACTCAAGACAGTACTTCGAAATCTCAGTTCTTGCAGAGCCTCAATAGAATCAATTCCCTTCTAAAGAGCAAGATCCAAAGATCCCCACCCTCTCACATTCACTCAACAAGAAACCCTAAGATCGAGTAACCAAATCAAAAAGCCCCCTCAACCTCTCCATAATCCCACCTCCAACACCCCTTCTCCTCTGCCCACCCCCATTCTCCACCCCCGACGTCGAAGCAGCAACCTCCCCCTCCAACCTCCTCCTCAAATCCTCAAACCGCTCTCTCTCCGCCGCACTCCCACTTCCACCCGCACCAGCGGTACCAGCACCAGCACCGGCCGCACCACCCCGTCGCTCGCGCTCCCCGACTATCCACGCCGGAACGCGGAAGCCATGAGGCGACGGTGAGAGAGCAGGTAATAGCTCTGCGCGCCAGGCGAGGCCGATGATCCAGCCGAGCGCGGAGGGGAGGAGCATGGCGGGGAATTGGGAGAGGGCGAGTTGGGCGGCGACGAGGTAGGTTGTTGATTTGTCGGAGAGGAGGAGGGTTAGACTTGGTGGTGTTGGTTTTGGGTTTGTTGTGGAGGGGTGGTGTGGCGCGGTGGTATCGTCATTCGCGGTGGTGGTGGTGGTGGCGGGTGATGATGATGGCGAGGAGGAAGGGGATGTCGTTGTACCGATGCGGAAGCGGAATGTATGTGGGACCATGGCGTAGTATTGTGCTAGTAAGGCGAAGATCATTGCTGTTGGGCCGGAGGGGAGGTAGTTTAGTGTGTTGAGGGAGAGGGGTCGGATGAGGAGGGCTAGGAGGAGTGGTGGGAGGAGGGTTGTATAGGGTAGTGTTGTGAGTAGGAATGTCTGATTTCAATGTTAGTTGGACATTCAGTTCATAAAACAGGGCCTTGACGTACAGCCATCTTTCTCTTCCCCCAAGCGCGCTCAACAACCCGTAGATGGTACACTAGCATCGCGGCGAACAAGGCTTCTGTGGAATTTGTGAACCCAGCGACGTGCCAGATAAGGGCGCGCCAGAATTGCGCGTACGGCCAGAAGTGTGGGGAGACATTGATTGAGGCGAGGTGTTTGATGTCGAGGATGGAGAGGGCGATTGAGGAGCCGATTGTGTAGACGATGAGGGATTTGGTGAGTGGGGTGTTGGTTAGCCCCGATGTGAGCATTTTGGGTATTGGGCCTTGTGAGATTGTGGCTTGGTTGTTAGAGAGTGTTGGTAAGTGGTGTAATCATTCGAGCGGTTTGCAGGGTTGGATTGGAGCGTTGTTGTGTTGCTGGAAGGTAGTGGAGGTTGAAGGTGGTTGAGGTGTGGGGGAAGTTTGGAGGGAGCTTGACGGAGGAGGCCAGATTGGCAGGGAGTCGGAGAGTCGGAGACGGAGTCCGGGGTACCTCGGCATGCCGAGTTAGCTTTACTTTGAAATGGAAAGTGAGACAAAAGTAAAGGAATCTTTTTATGGAATATAATACATTTCAAGTCGCCATGCCCGAATGTCAAAAAAAACGCCAGAAAGTCTTGTGTGCCCCCCATTTTGTTGATCTCTTGGGCTGCGCGTCGCTACGCTCCATTCTCTCTCTACACAGCCAGCAAGGCTGCTTCTCTAGCCGCCTCTGCCTTTTCCGCTTCCAGCGTAGTCTTATATCGGGTCAATGCTAGCTGCAAGGCGTGTGATGTAGGCCCTAGCAGCTGATTGACCACTTTCTGGCCACCCTCGATATCATCCAGATTCAGTCGGGGCTTGCGCTTGGTGCGTTCAAAGTATTCGCGCGCCGCGACTTTCCGTCGGTCAACCTCAACCTGGCGTTCGGCTTCCGCATCGTTGGCGACAGCCTTGATGCGCTCTATGGCGCGAGCCAGCGATTCTGAGAGGGACTGGACTTCGCTGGCTCGCTCGGGATTGCCAGAGAGGAAGGCTTGCCAGAATTGGTTGAGGAACTCGGTTGAGGTTGCGTGGGTAAGGGTCAACCGATCGTAAAGTCCCGGGGAAAGCCCGTAGGTATCTGATGTAGATCCTTCGTTCATCTGGTCGCGCTGTTCGCGGACCGCACCGAGAATCTGTGAAAATGCATCATGAAGGGCTGCCGCTGACCCGACGGGGCGCTTGCTGGCGGGTGCATCTTCCATCTCTTCGTCCTCGTCATCGCCCGGATCAACAAGCTTCTGGAGTGGTGCATTACCACCGAGCGGCAGGTTCTGTGCAATCTCGGACCGGAGAGTTTTCAAGACTTGGTCCGGGTCTTGCTGGGCAAATGCCCGGGTCTGCTCGTCCTCTTGAGTTTGCGAGAAGAAGCGGTTCTGATCGCGGATATTAAGGGTGACATGAGCCTGCTCCTCGTCCCCTTGGAGATCTCGTAACTGCATCTCCTGCCAAGTCTCCTCGTCCATACCGATAGGAGCTGTCACATCGCCATCTGCCGGTGCAACGTTGGCCATGATCTTCTCACTAAGATTGTTCAGCGTCCGAATAATAGGCACTTTATCTGCACCTGATGGCCGCATATCCAGATCCGGCCTATTTCCACGACGCTGGCTGTGATGGACTTCGTTTCCAGCCAAATCCATAAAGTGTGGGACGAACGCCTCACGGTTAGCCTCTGCATTCTCTTCTCGTAGATACTTGTCCAGAACAGCATCCGTAGCATCCGAGTCCGAGATACGTTCTCCGCGCAGCTTCTTAAACAGTCGACTTTGGAAGAATCGCGACCAGAACTGCTGCTCGCTCAGTTTGGGAACATTCTCATCATACACCCGTTTAACAAGCGGATGCTGTGAGAAGATCAGCGAGATCTGCTCCTTGCTTATATTCAGCCTGGTCACATTTTCCTCCACGCGCGGTTTCAGCGACGACAGCACGTTATACGAGCCACGAGTCTGCGCCCGCTCAATCGCATGCGCCCGCAGAAGATGCAACCGCGTCGACCAAAACTGGGACATGAACTGTGCCGAGGTCAAGCTATCGGGCTTGGTATGTATCGACTCCATGAACATCCGCTGCAGGGTGGGGTCGGCCTTCAGTAGTGACTGTTGCAGTTCCACATCGCCCTTGAGCTTATTATCATCGTCCCACGGGTTCTTCGATGTCCCGGCGGACGTAATGGCATTGGCAATCGCCATCGCCGCAGACATACCTCCTCCACCGGCTGCACCGGGGGTTGGTGTTTGCGCGGGCGTGCCTGTCTTCCCTGTGTTCATTCGGGCGCTGAGTGCGTTCTTGATAGCGTCGGCCTGCGGGCGGGCGGCGTCCGGCCCTGCCGTGAACAAGAACACATATTGTTCTGGTGTGGTATTCGGCGGGGCATTAGGGGCGAGGGCGAAGACCTTGAGCATGACCTTGGGGTTCGTTGCGGGGGTTTGTTGCAGGTCTAGAGGCCGAGTTAGCCAATTTGCCCTCAAGTGGCAAGAATAGACAAGCAACGCGTACTGGTAATGGTAGAAACGGCAATATTCAGACCCGCAGGCCCAGCAGCGGCCGGGTTCCAGGTGAGCGTCTGCTCATCCTTGGCCAGAGTCAGGGTGCCGTCCTTCTTCTTGTATGAGGCCGCGCCGCTCGGAGGTGCCATCGTCGCGAGTCTCGACAGCTTCCACTGTCCTGGGCAGCGACAAAGAAACCACCCATCGGGATGAGAGAATCTCCCGGTGCAAGGTTTCGATGAAGCAGAGAAGGCTTAAAACCTTCGAGGGCGCAGGGACAGGCAGATGATGTGAAAGCGACAGCTGAGAGCCGCAGCTCTTTGATCTAATCGTCACGTGATGACATCACCTGAACGCCATACCCTAACGCCAAAGGTAATTTTTCTCGATGGTAGAGTGAAAGTGCCCTCGACCGCTCATAAATACGTGTATGATCTTGAAGATGCTATTTTTATCTACTGAAGATTTCAATAGAGAGGTATTTGAAAGAGATATCAACATTGCATGAGTAGAGTGATGCGAATACGCCAGATGATAATGACATGCGCCGTAAAAAAAAAAACATGAGCAAGCAAGGAAAGCAATGAACACAGCGCTGAAGAGATCCTGAATGCTATGCAAAACCAGAGAACAGACGCAAATTGAGCGCACGAACCCGAAGCCAGGAGCCAGAATGCCGAAATTCGTAAGCCATATTGCGCGCCGCCATGCATAGACCGGATATCGTCATTCGTAATCGTCAAAAGCAGCAGCAAAAAAGAAAAGCATCCCTCCCAAAAAGAACTGAACCAATGTGCGCAATGAGAAAAGAACAATGCTGAAAGGAAGATAAAAAGTGCGGAAATCAACAAGGGTATTGGTACCAGCAAGAAGAAAAAGATAAAAGAGGAGCAGCCAGCATGCTTTTGTTCGAACAAGGCATGAAGAAACGCAAAAAGAACGCTCCGAGAGAATATCATTTCTTGAACATGTAATGGCCGTAGATGCCACCCACGTCGCCCACGGCCATGGGGATCTTGCGCATGCCCCACCAGCGCGCGCCCATCTTCCAGGAGCGCGAGCCGTCATCGGTAGGCTCGATGGGCATGGATGCAGGATCCCGGACGTACCAACCTCGTCGGCCGAGGTCACGAACAGTCCAACCAACAGAGACACGCTGGGTCTTGGCACGCTCACGCAGCGGTGTGATGATCTTGTCGCTGAACTCGATCACCTGCAATGGGTAGCTGTGCTCCGACAGCAGCATGCATGTGCTCGTGTTAAAGATCGCGCCAATGGTCATCTGTGGCACCTTGGCAAGGTCAAGGTAGCACAGAGTGCTTGGAGCCGCATTTGGCTCCGCACCGTTCTCGCGGGACTGGATGAAGAACGAGTTCACGTCCTTGACCGACAGATCAGCCGAGCTCAGGCCCAGCTCTTCCAGATGTTTGGTCAGGGGGATCAGCAGCGGAACGTGCTCAGAGGTAACCTTGGCACCGCCTAGGTTCAAAGAGCGAAGGCTATCGGGAAGCTTGGGCAAAAGTGCGGTCACATCGTCCTCCTCCAGGAGGCGGAAACGGGTGGGGTCGGTCAAGAGGTTCAAGTACACCAAGGAGTCGCGGACGGCTGGGTGCGTGGTGAGGAACTCCACCACAGCGGAGCTGGGCAGACGGGTGCACCGTGACAGACTCAGGTGGGTGATGCGAGCCGTTTCGGGAATCGCCAAAAGAGCAGAGTCTTTCACCTGGGTGTGGGTGAGATCCAGGTGCGTCAAATTGGTCAGTCGGGAGAGCAGGAGGTCGAAGATTGGAGCCTGGATAGTGCTGCACTCGTGAAGGGATAGCCGCTTCAGGTTTGGCAAGCTCATGGGCATGGCAGGTCCCGCAGTCAACGCCTCTGTGAAGACCTGCGAGAAAGACTGTGTGGAACAGCCGCAGAAATCCACCGCACGGAGATTGGGAAGACCCATGAAGAGCTTCCGCACCACATCCACGCTGAGATCACCCTCGAGGTGTTCCTGCAGCAGGCATTCCTTCAGATTGGGCAACAGATCCAAGCACTTGAGCAACGTGCGCGAAGTCAGGTTCTGAATCTCGGCGTTCATCTGCTTGGTGCGACCCAGGCCGACAGAGGTAAAGTGCGAGAAATCCAGACGGCGCACCAATGTTCCCAGAGCCGGATAAGAGGACATATGATTGAGGGCCTTGGAGAAGATGATCGAGTGCGGGAAGGTCATGTTCCTGTACAACACGCCCAGCGTTGCGGCGTGCAACGTGCGCGAGGCGAGGAGGCATGAAACGAGGTCAATATTGCGCGGCGTGTAGCCATTGGGCGGCAGATCAATGGCAAGGTAGGAGATGATTTGATCTAGCGAACGGGTTAGTACATATTCAGATATGACAAGCTTCTCGGCTTTTTTTGGTTGCTTCTCTCTTACCCAGAACTTCGGGTGGGAGCTTCTCCAGAGAGGAAGTGCCCGCCGGCGGCTGTACCTGTTCCACTACGGCCGGGATGGCCTTGGGTGGCGCCAGCTCTCGTCCCGATTGGGTAGTCTCCCAGGCCCAACCTTTTGCCTGCATATTACCCAGGTTGCGAAGATCGCCATAGCTGCGACTCAGGCTCTTTCCACCCAGACGAATCTGCTTCCACCCCAGAAATCCACCGCATGGGCAGCAGAAGTCCGGAGTCTGCTGCATCGCCGGCAGGTGCGGCTTGTGAGACTCCTTGGGTGATGGAGCGTGATGAGTATCCACGAAGGATTGCGCAATGCCTGCAGAAGGGGAATCACATCAGCAATCTTATTCATCGACTACTTTACAATGACTTGCCGGTCGCAGTGAAGCCATCTTTTTTTTTCTTATTCTTTTCACGTACCGTCGACGTCTTCTTTGATGGAGCCGAAAGACGGGCGCCGGCGGCTGCTAGACCTAGATCCGTCGGGAGTGTCGCAGGATGAAGGTGAAGAGTCGCGTGAGTGTTGGTCGACGCAGGGGGAAGTCGAAAGTCGAGGGTAGGTCGGCTTGGAGGGTGTAGGGGCAGCCGGAAGAGTTGAAAGAGAGGTCATGGTGAAAGAGAAAGTGAGCGGGCCCTCTATAAAGAGGCCCCAGTCCAGTGCACACGCGCGGACTGGTCGGGAGGTATCTTTCGAAGACAAGTGGGAACACAGAAGAAAAAAAGGTAAAAAAAGGGCACAAAATAGGGTGTGCAAATTAGACGAGTAACAGCTTCCCCGGATTTCAAGCGAAAAAGAGTTTCCGGTCAAGCGACAAAGGGTGAAGTGAGGACGGAGTTAGGGGGGATGGGAGAGCCCAAGGAGGATTGAAGTGGTTTAGGGCTATACTTTGTCGCAATAAATGGGAGGGGCGGCGGGGAAAAAAAAAGAAAAAATGGGCAAAGCTGTTAGTCACAGAAAAGGCTGAACCGGCGTGGTACACGCCCAGTTGGGGTGGTCGTGGCAGTCAAGTGGACCGGGGAGCATTTAAGAGACAAATCGTTTCGGTCCACCGATCGGATTGGGTTCGTGGAAGTAGCTTGAGAATGGTGGCAGAGGAGAGTAGCAGTCGTGGGAGGAGTAGTAGTGACCTGGAAGGGGAAGGAACAAGGAGGTCATGGAAGGTATGGCAGGCATGGCTTGGAATGTATATGAGCAGGTGGCAGGGAGAATTAAGTTTCTACGGTTTGCCGGGGGCGATGACTCCTCAGGATGGCGAAAAAATATTGGAAATGGAAATGGAAATGGAGAAGAAAAAAAAAGAATAAAAAAAAATATGAACGGTGGCGGAGATCGGCTTCGCAGCCTCGAGCGTTGAACAAAAAAGAACAGGCCCAGTTCTACTTTGGGACCTCGAAGAACGGTTCAGAACGAATGAGCATTCGAGGAGGGTTTAGTCTAGTCCGATGACTTACCCCTGCAGACTCCGATTTGCTTTGCTTTGCTTTTTTTTTTTTTTTTTTTCGGATTAAGATCGGATGGATTTTTATTTTTACTTTGGGTTCTGCAAGCGGAAATCCATGGCGTCATAATGGAGGACCATCGCTTTGTTCGAACTTCGAGGCAGGGGCAATTCAGGAGAGATTATGTACTCCTACTGATTAAAGCATGAATCAGATGGGGACTAACAGCCCCGAGTTTTCAATCCGAACCATCAGGTAACTAAAGAATCATATAATTTGATCAGAAAAGCTCCCTTGTGTCTCCAACCGGCCGATGCCGAATTACCTTTCGCGCGCATTCTATGACATAACTAAAATAGCCGCCGAGCGGACCCCGGGCAATCAACCTGCACACGTTAATCCTAGTCACTGATCAATAGATACGGAGTACATCCAGTAGGTAGTACTCCGTACTCCGTACTAATTCGCCAGGTCTTATTAGTCTAGAATGTGAATATGTGGTATTCTGTACCATATAACCACAATAATTTCTAGTCTCAGTCATTCGACCGAATACTAGGGAACCCACTCACATCTCCGTCGCTAGCCACCTGTCGCCCGCTTTGGACTAGCCTGCCATCGTCCCTTCTGTCAGGTATTGCCAGCTCAGACTGGCCTGGCCCCGAGTCCAGTCCCCGGGGTCCTGGTTCCAGAAGCCGCCGAGGAGGGCGAGGATTCTGTCACATTCAATCTATTCAATATGAATTACGAATGACCAACTGACCCCTTGGGACAACGACTGAACCATGCGCAGGTCAGCTGGAGCACGCCAAACAAGCCTCGGATTGCAAGCACCAATCTGGGTGCCCGGGGGGTCGAGTGCTGACGAATCTCGTCTGTCCTGCCTCAAGCAGGGAAATTCAAGCCATTGGAAATCCATGTCGTCCCTCTCAACTGGCGTGTCCTCATCGCAGAGACTGTACCCCAGACCCGGTTGTTGTTAGGTAACCGCTACGACCATCCCTGCACGCGCCATTCGCCAAAGCGGCCGATCATGCGGGGACGAGGCGCTCCCATTACCTAATGAGAATCACCTGACCTGTCCCATGACCATCCGCGCAACGCTCCTTCGCCTGGACTCCGCCAATAACCAACCTATTTGCATTGTTCTGACTTGGGCCTCTCCGAGTCTCCTGAAATTAATAGATGATTAACTCTCTAGTCCTTGGGTCAGCCTCTCCGGCCGGGAAGGGATTACTATGTCCAGTAAGACTGTAAGACTCCTCGGCTTGCGGAT